TTTGATAAGCATGAACATCAGGTCATAAATAGTACGAGAAATATAACAAGAAGAGGATCTATAACAAAGATAGACACAACAGTGGTATCTTCTGCTGGAAGTGTTCCAAATTTTCAGTCCAATCAAAACAATGCTTGGAATGATGTATCTTTACATGATGAATGCGCTATTACTCCTCAAAGAAATTACAACTCTCAACCCATTCAGAAAATCTCCAAACCATCAAAAATCAAAAAGAGTCCACAAACACCTGTCACGGTTGTAAATATTCTTGGTAATGAGTATGGAGATTTTATTAATGAGGGTACACTTGTTAAAAAGAAGAAATCGATCAAATTCAAATATTATACACCGAAAATGTAACAAATAGTTTTGGCACATGTGATTCTGAAACATGTTTTTTAATAAAATTAGCAGGTCAATAATTTTATTCATCAAAGTTTTGAGGCACCAAGATGTTACAATAATATTCCCATGATTGTTGGGTTACGTTCACATCAGTTACTGCAAATGGTTGTAAGAATTGTTCAATATTTAACAGTTTCTTTTTGTGTTTGAGGGATTTGAGTTTGTCTTGTTGTTTTTGTAAACTGGTGTTATCGAGGAATTTTGCATGTGTTGAGCGATAGGCCTTGAGAGCAGCTTTAAGTAAATCTCTAATTTGATTGTACTTTTCCACAGCTTTTTCACATTGGAATTGAATCGACAAGTCACAATGAGCCTCATTTGAAAATTTGTCATATAATTTCAAATGGTCAGCCTTTTCTTTAAATAATACGTCAGCATCATCTGATAGACCCTTTGTATATAATGCTATAGATCTTCTGTTATTACCAATTCTTTGAAGATATGTAGAATTGTCATGTGGCATCTCAAAATGAATGACAGCTGTTTTGGAAGGATCAGATGAAGTTGGAATATCAATCATACCATCATAAACAAAGTACATTGATGATTTTTTAGAGATTGCTTTAAAGTCTTTGGTATGTTCAAATAATACTTCATAATATTCACAAATTTCAGCACTTGGAAAGTAAATGTAAACTGTTTGGAATTTTCTATACTTGACCAAGAATGAAAGGAGAGAAAATAAATAAACTAGTTTGAGTGGGAATTTAACAGGCAAATATGAATGCTCTTGCTTACTCTTATCCATTTCAATAGATTGCTTAATAATAGCTTCTTCAGCAATAACATCACTCAATTTGATAAATGGTGGATTGGCCCTAGTGAGCTCTTTCAATACAAATGCTGTAGTTTTGCTCGATATGGAATTGGAATAAAAGATAGTTTGTCTACTACTCTTATTTGGAAGATAATTTTCATTTAACTCTTTCAATTGATCAAATAATTCAGATGATCCATATGAATAAGTCATTGTATCCTCTCCCAAGTGGAAAATTACACATTTGGCGCTAATCTTAAATAAATCAGGTTGTTTCTTCAAAATTGGAATAATGTTTTTCAATGTTGAAATAACAATTGGAGTCTGTTCAATTTCTTCTCCATCTACAATTGAAATCAAATCATCCTCAATAGCTGATGGTAAATTATTAACCAAAATATCATCTCTAAGTCTTTCTAATTTTTTATCAGAATCAACTAGAATCAATGCCAAACAACCACTTCTCTTAAATTTAACAGCCTTGTAAACGTTCGTGACAAGTGGAATTAAATATGAAAGAGAACAATCCTCAAATAAAGCGTCCATCTTTGAAAACACACTTCCTACAGCACAATATTCACAAATTAAATCCTTTCCTCCTAAAATTTCATTAAATACTACACTTTGTGTAAGGGAAAGAAAGACATTTTCCTCACTATCTCTATTTAATAAATCCTTCTTTACACTAGCATGTATATTATTACAATTGGTAATGTGTACTAATTTTGCCAATTGTGATGAAGATGAAAATTGTGGTGGAACAATAACTCCATCATGAGAAGAAATGGCATGAGAAAGTGCCTGTTGTTGATTAATACATTCATCCAATTGCGAAATGTATCCTTCATAGGTAGGAAGAGGATTTGAAACTTTTGAAATTTTCTTCTTTTTTGATGGTGGTGGTGATGATATATTATTATTATCTATTATTTTCTTTTCCGATACCAATGATGATGATGTTGATGGTGTATTCTTTTCATTGTTGGTTGTTGTTGACTTCTTTTTCTCTTTAATTTCAGAATTGCTTCTCTTCATTTTTTTTGTTCAGTTTTTAAGAGTTTCATGTAATTGTTTGATTCATAGATTTGAGTAAAAGTTTAAAAATTGCGAATTGAATAGTTTCTTATTAATTTTTTAACAAAAAACATGTCAAAGAATGATAAACTGACAAGCAAGTAGATTAAAAAAAAATGTCAGAAGAGTGGAAGGATTTTATTGAAAAAGAAATTATTCAAAACGGCAATGCAACACACGGAGCTCTTGTTAGTATTTCGGATAGAGGTGTTTGGGCAAAAACATCAAATTTTTCAAGTGATCCTAATCTAGGAGGTGAAGAATGTTCAACAGCTTGGTTGGATAATGTTTTGGATGTTATTGAAAATCCTGACATTTTGAATGATCAAAATGTTGTCAAGAATAGTGTACAATTATTGAACAAACAATTTATTGTTACTAATGTGATAAAAGATCGTGTATTATGTGGAAAGAATGGAGTGGAGGGATGTTATTTATTTAAAACAAATCAAGCACTATTGGTTGTCATGTATGGAATTTCAAACGAACCAGCGGAGTGTTATTTGGATTGTGAAAACTTTTCAAGATTCTTAATTTCTCAAGGATTGTAATATTAAAGTATCAATCATCATCATTTGTAAAATTATACATCAATTATGCCATTATTATCTGATAAATAAATAGATTATTATCATTGTGTTACACGAGTATTTCACATTGTTGAGAGAAATAGTCTAAAATAGTTCCAATTAAAGGTACCTCTCTCTACTACAAATTATATTCCAAATTATGGTTAATAGCAATTTTCAATCCTGTCAAGTATTTTGATCCTCTATCAATTTTAAAAGAAGTTTAAAATACTAGATATTTGATGGGATGATTTCTCCTCTTTGAGCATTAGCCAATGGAGGAGGAACTAGAGGAGAAGTATAATAATTAGGTTGTTGTTGTTGTTGATAGTGTTGTTGTTGTGGAAAGGTTGGAAAATTAGTACTAACTGCTGTGGTTGGTGTTTGTGTTGCACCACCATTACCGATCAATCTTGCTCTGGATTGAGCAATTAATTTGTGTTGTTCCGAAATTAATTCTTCCTCAGTTTTACCAGAATTTTTCAACTTCTTTGAAGCATTGTTATGTCTTGAGGATTCAACCTTGTGTTGGTTGTGGGCTTCATTAACCAATCCTAAATATTCAGAATAGCCCAATCTTCTCAAAGCCTCTGTAACATGTTCTCCAGCAATAGTCTTTCTCTTATCCGATTCACAAATAGAATTCGACTCAGCAGCAATCATTTGTACAAACTCTACACAACACTCTACGATCAATTCTCTAGTATCGGCAGCACATTTGATCGACTCTCCCAAATGTTCCTTGATAATTTTGACAATGGTTTGTTTAGGGAGGGTCAAATCTTCACGATTAGCAGAACTCATTTTTAATTGTTTTTTTTTAATTTATTTTTAATTTATTTTTATTAATATTTTACATGTTTTTGTATTTTCTAGTTGTTCTTATATTTAAACTAAATTTTACATTGTATTAATGGAGTTGATTTTTAAGTTTTAATAAATGCATTAAACAATTCATATTATTATTTTCTAAAAAAAAAATACAACAACTCGAAACAGTCTCCTGGATAAAAACCATCAAATCAATCGAATCGGAATAGAATCATTATAAAACCATGGCAGAAAGAAAAGTTATTCAAAAGTATTATCACCCAGAGTTTGATCCAAGCCAAATTCCGAGAAGGAAAGTGGCTGTGACTAACCAAGTCAAAATTAGAATGATGTTGCCAATGACGGTACAATGTTCTGTTTGTGGAGAATTTATGTATCAGGGAAAAAAATTCAACTCCCGAAAGGAAACAGTTCAAGGAGAGGAATATTTAGGATTAAAAGTATTTAGATTTTATATTAGATGTACTAGATGTGCTAGCGAAGTCACATTTAAAACTGATCCAAAAAATAGTGGTTACGTTCCTGAACATAATTGTGTTCGATCGTTTCCACCAAAGCATAATGGATCAGATGAAATACATGATAATAATGAAGATGAAGATGCAATGAAAAAATTGGAAAGTAAAACACTCGATAGTAAGCAAGAATTGGAAGATTTGGATGTATTGGATTCTATAAAAACAATTAAAAATTTACAAAATAAGATATCGACTGATCACTTGCTAGAAAAATTACAAGAAGAAAAAGAACAAGAGGAACAAACTAAAGAGGAATTTACACAGAACGAGTTGGAAGAAATTAATGATTTTTATAAACAGAAACGAGTGCATTTAGAGGATGAAGAGATGATGAACCAAAAGTTACCATTGAGGAAGAAATAATCAATAGTGAGGAATCCAAAAAGAGAGATAGCTCACTTATTTCTGGAATTGGAGAAGTGCAAATGATCAAAAAGAAGAGGAAAAAGGCAACAAGAAAAGATGCCAAGAGTGCTATGGATGCTCTAGCAAATTATTAAAGTGTTGTACAAAAATAATTTATTTAGAAAACACCACTTCCTTGAGCAATGTCCTTTTCAGTAGCAACTTGAGCAATTACCTTCTTTTGACTATCGAAAACAACCAAAGGTAAATTCTTATAGAGTGGGACATTATTTTCACCAATCTTGATAGAATCCAAAATAATCTTTGTTGGATTCTTCTTCAACACCTTTTCTGGTTTGAAAGCAGCACCCTTTGGATAAATTTGAGCACCAAGTGGAGCCTCTCCTGAAGGTGTGAGCAATGAGGTCACTCCATCATTTTGCTTAGAGGCCAAGAGCATACCTTCACTTTCAACACCCTTCAATTTAGCAACAGCCAAATTGCAAGCAACAACAACCTTCTTACCAATTAAGGTTTCAGATTCTGGATAAGCTTCTCTCAAACCACCAACAATCTTTCTAGTTACAGTGTCAGCAATCTTTACATTAAAGACATATAACTTGTCAGCTTCTGGGTGTAATTCAACGGATTCAATTTGACCAACACGCAAATCCAATTGGAAGATTTCATCTTCACCACCTCCAAAACGCTTTTTCCATTCCTTAATTTCAGCATCTTCAATCTTTCTAATCAAACCAACTGGTTCACCAATCTTGTGACCTCCTTGACTCTATCCAAGTTCAATTCTTCATCAATATTATCAAATCACCTTGACCCAATGAATCAAAGAACTCAGCAGTGATAGAAATGTAACCAATTGGAGCATCAAACCAGACATAGAAAACCTTGTCTGCAAACTTTTCAAGTGGAACAGGAGTACCCCACTTTAAATCTCTGGTAATACATCTTTCCTCAAGTCCCTTATCAAACCAAGATTGAGTAATTGAACGAGCAACTGTAGTCCATTGAGCAGTATCCTTATTATTTTGGAACCATTCCTTTGTTTTGTGTTGCAAATCTTGTAACTTGATGAAAATGTGATTTGTTTCCTTGATGATTGGTACAGAACCGGTAGTTGTTGAACGTGGGTTAATAAGTTCAGTAGGATTCAACAATTTTCCACATTTGTCACATTGGTCACCACGAGCATCTTCATATAAACAAGTTGGACAAGTACCTTTGACAAATCTATCAGCCAAAAATGTCTTACTCTCTTCATCATATAATTGTTCAATAGTCTTTTCAGTCAAAAATCCATTTTGATGAAGTTTTAAGAAAATGTCTTGAGCAATTTCTGTTTGTTGCTTTGTACTAGTTCTTCCGAAGTGGTCAAAATCAATATCAAACCATTCATAAACTTGTTTGTGAAGTTGATAATATTTAGCACAAATGGCTTCTGGTGTAGTCTTTTCTTGGAAAGCCTTTGTTTCTGTTGCAGTACCATATTCATCGGTACCACAAATATAAAGAGTATTGTATCCTTTTTGTTTACAATAACGAGAAAATACATCAGCACTCAAAACAGCACCAACAATATTTCCCAAGTGAGGATAGTTATTAACATAGGGTAAAGCACTAGTAATTAAAATATTTCTTTGTCCAGGCACTGGCACTGGAACCTTCTTTTCTGATGATGACGACAACATTTTTAATCGATTAATTTTTTTGTATTTGATAATTCTTTTGATTTTTTGAAAATGTTGTTGTTACGGAGGCAAGTATTTATTTTAAATTTCTATTAGAATAGATGTAATTTTCAATGTTACTGATTACTTTGTATGGTGTTAGCCATCTAAAAATAATAGCATTGAGAAATTAAGAATAGATTTCAACAGTTTTTTACAATAAGGTTATTTTTAAACAATGTTGCATTTCAGAATTTAAATGAAATTTTAATTCAATCCAACTTATGTATGATGTGTTCCTTAACCCGTTCCAGGTAGTTTGGCATCTTCTTGTGGCAAGAGGAGAATCAATACAGCCAACAATGTGGAGGATCAAATTTTGAAAATTTTAAATTTACAAAAAAAAAATGTCAAGCCATACATCAGAGAGAACTGTTCTCGTCTCTAATATTGCCCCAACCATTTCCGAAAGTACTCTACAAACATTTTTTAATTATTGTGGAGAAATTGAAATGATGGAACAATTAAAGTATGTATTTTATGGTGGTGATTTTTAATTTCTAATGTTTTTTAAAATATGTTTGTAATAATAATTTCCGAATAGTTCTTCATCAGATACAAAATTTAAAATAATTTTTATGGAGGAGAGTTCTGCTCAAAAAGCTATAAAATTAAATGGAACACCAATGTTAGGATTTAAATTACAAATAACGGGATTGAATGATAATTCTGCACAATCTTCATCATCTTCATCATTTCAATTGTCGAGTGGAAATACGGCAGCTGAAATTTTGATTGGAGCATCCCAAGAATCATCTTCAAAGGCTTTAAATCCATTCATTCAACAAATTGGTGATCCAAATGTAGATAATAATCTTGTATATAGTACTGGTGATGTTGAAAAGGATAAAGAAATTGCGAGGACGATCTATGTTGGAAATATTAATTTGAGAGCTAATCATAATGATCTTGTGGATTTTTTCAGTTCGTGTGGACCAGTTGCTTGCATAAGATTGGCTGGAGATGATAAACATCCATGTAGATTTGCATTTATTGAATTTTTAGAGATTGAAGCTGCCAACAAGGCTATTTTGTTATCAGGAGCTAAATTACTAGATAAGGAAATTAAAGTCAACCGATCGAAAAAGTCAATTGCTAAACATGTGGCTAGACTTGCTCCACAAGAGGAAAAAAAGTTTAATGACGCTTTCAAATATCTCACAAATAAGTTGGAAATGTATGAAAAGGATCCTGAGAGTTTTAAAAAACCTGAAAATATATCCAGTTCCTCATCAGAAAGTGGATCAACCAACGTTAACACTCAAAGAGATTACAGACACAACAGCTATCAGAGTGGATCATCTTCATATTCAGATAGGAGAGGTGGAAGCTATTATAAATCTGGTGGCGATCGTGATAGAGGTGGAAGCTACTATAGAGATAATCATCATCAACGAGGATCATACGACAATCACCATCATCATTCGAGACAAGATTCACATGGAGGGGATTATAGATATTAAAATTCTCTTTATCTGAAATATTTTTCTATTTTTTATTAGGATTATTAGTCTTGCCAAGGAATAAGATGTGATCCTTATATGTAATCATATAAAAGAAAGGTTGGTCAGCTTTAAATGAATAAACAACCTCTTTCTTTACCTTTTTAGATTTCGCTCTCATACTCACATAAGTGGCAGCTGCAGCCTCTGTACCTTCCTCATTAACCTTAATGACAGCTTTGTGAAAAACCTTATCAATCATTACAGAATTATTCTTGTCCATTTGACTGAAATCAGCACCTGCTGAGAATGCAGATGTCATCGAAAAGGGAGCCTTTTGAAGAATTTCATTTAGTGAGGATGAATATTCAGCCTCAAATCTTGGAAGAATGAACGATTCGAGTTTTTTCTCACTCGTTGGAAATTTGGATAGATTCGATCTTTGAGATAGTTTCTTAGTAATCCACTCATCAAATTTTGATTCTACCTTATCAGAAACTTTTGTGTTTGGTGTCTTGGGAAGAAACAATTTCATTGCAAAATTATATTCTGAATATTCTAATGTGACCCATTTGTAAGAATCATCTTCTCCGTATGGCAATTTTACAAATCGTTTTTTCATGAGTGGCACACTCTTAACCACTCCATTCACTGTGTAAAATTCTCCATCTTCATCTGTTTGTTTGATATCGAATGTATTTTTCCAGGATCCAAAGAAAGTTATGGCATTCACCAAAATTAATTTCGTACTTGCATTAATGGATGATGGATTAATGAGATCCTTAATTTTTTCAGCCGTCTTTTCAGAAACCCATTCATTAATTTCATTAGCAGCTTTAGTTGAATGAGTGAAATCTGTCTGCTTCAAATCTGCTTTGAATATTTCCTTCATTGTGTTTTTAAAAGCATCTTGTAATTCAATACTATTGGAAATATAAATATTATTGGCCAATGATAATGTATTCTCAGAATAAGATAAATGTTCCACAATTCCATCAATAAACTGCTTCAATTGATTATCTTTCACTTGAGAGAAATCAGAATCTCCATATGAAAGTGCATTACTCATCTCAAGAAGAGTTTTACCATTGGCGCCACACATAACCATCGATAATGCAACAAAAATTGATAGAGGAGAAATTATCAAATTATTACCATGTCCAGCCACTCCAATCAAGCTCTTGAACAATTTAGATGCAAAATCATACTCTGTTGATTGTATCTTTAAATCAGCAACTTGACTTGCAGATGGATTGGTTGTGGTTGTTGAAGAGGAACCTCCTCCACCCGAAGATGAATTACCCATTTTTTTTACAACTTGCTTGATCTAATATGAGTTCACAATGAAATGCATTAAATATTGTTGAAATTGGTACAATGTTCGTGTTTTGTTCGTTTGTGTTTTATTAAGATTTCTTAAAGATTTGAGAACAGCTCTAACTAAACACATGGTACTAGCTTTCGATTATTCCTTGGACATTTTCTGTGAGTTGGGTTAAACTTATTGGCATGTCCAACATCCCATAAGACACCTCCTTCCAAACCCCATCCACAAGAGTATAAACGATTACCAAACTTGGAATGATTATTTCTCTCGACCCAATTACTAATTCCTCCAATGTGTTCCAATTGACTTTTACGATAGACATAGGAGCTGAGACCCCTTCTCACACAGGTATCATATGATGATGTCATTTCTCTGCTATAAAGTACAAATATAACGAGAATGTCAATTGGTTCTAATTGAATGTTATCCTTAATGTGTTTCAGAAAAATTTCAGCAGAAACTGGGCTGAGAATTAATCCTCCCAATCCTGTTGCCAATTTCAATGAACAGAATCCCTTATCAAACTCTTGTCTATCCGCATTCTCTTCAGAATAGAACCATTCAATATCATTTAAAGTTTCGAATGTGGTTTTTAAAAGGTTATTGCATGGAACAAAATCATCCTCTGTATACATTAAATATTTGAATTTGAAATTTCTCAAAATGAAATCTGTCAGAAAGGCAATATCACACGTTTGTTGTCGAGCCATCTTTCCAGGATATGGATTATTTGGATCTCTATAGTTAACTTTTGGAACATCTCTATATGGATCAGTAAATCTGAAAGGTGGAACAAAAAACACAAACTCCTTCACATGACTATACTGTTCCCTAAGTTCATAAAATAATTCATGTTCCATCTCATTGACAAATGCTTGAATAATGAATAGAATTTTCTTTCCCTGAATGATGGGATCTGGCTCAACCCTCAACTGATGATAATATCCATAAATTGTACTATTCAAATAGGTGAGTAGTGTATCAGTTCCATTATCTTTACGAGCCATAGTTGGCATTAATACAATCAAATCAAACTCTTCATCCTTAGGTATCCAATATTCATTCAGAATGGCATACCTCTTTTTATCCTTCTTAACTTCCATCGGAATAAAGGTTGGTAGTGTTACGATGGGTGATTCATTGGGTGGTAGCCTCTTTCTCTTCTTCTCTTGTTCAAATACTTCAGGTTTCATAAAGTTTCCGAAGCGAGTGGGACACTTTGTTGTTCTATTGGTTGTTGTATTATTTGTATTATTAATAAGTAGTGCCGATGATGATGATAGCTTATCAGAATGGTCGATTAATTCTTCTTCACGTGAAGAAGGTGGAAGTGTTTCATTTTCCGATTTATCAATAAATGATGGTTTGGATTCGGCTCGTTTCGTCTCCTTTCTTGAATGCTTTATAGTGAGAAAAAAGTTCAATAGAAGCGATAGTATGAGTAACGAGACCAGAATGTATGTAAGACAGCCTTTGGCGAAGGACATATTTTTTACTTAGTTTCTTCGAAACCTCAGAAATCGTTTCTAATGTAATATCAGCCGTTTGTATTTTGCGTGTTTGGTAAGTTCCACAAGTGTAACTTGGTACATTCATAGGAATCGTACAATTTACTTTAGATTTGAAAAGACCCATTGACTCAATTCACAATTACTGTTCCAAATTACAGTGCAAAACAATTTTTAAAAAACAAGAGCTATTAAAAATACACTAAGAAAATGAAACACAAATATTGAAAATCTCAAAATATGATACACTTTCACATTGAATTTAATGATAACACAATTATAAAAATAGAGGTACATTTCTCGTTTTACACCTGTAAGAATATTAAAAAACAAAAACATTTTAAAATTTTAAAATAAAATTGAATAAAAAAATGAGCGTTGTAGACGAAAAGGCCCTCGGTCTCGACTTGAAGAAGAAGAAGACCACAAAAAAGTCATCAGAAAAAGCTGAAAAGACTGAAAAGACAGAAAAGACTGAAAAAACCGAAAAGAAGAAGAAATCCTCTGAAGATAAGGTAGACTCCGAAGAATTGCAAGTCATTCTCAAGGATGCTGTAAGTTTTTAATCATCATCAATTTATTAAATTAATATTTTAAAATAGGCCAAACTTTTCAAGGAAGCTTTGGAAAAGGTTCTTCCAACTGATAACTCTCAAGACATTGATATTAATGTTGAAGATGATGAACAAGTATCAGAAATTATTGATTTGTTAAAGACAAAGAAGAGTACCGAAGTTGCTCAAATTCTCAGCAAGAAACAACAATCCCAAAGCACTGGAGGATCCTACTGGAGTGAAGATAAGGAAGGTGAAGGTGATATGGAAAATTCTGGAAGAGATTTGGCTTCACTTTTGGCCAAGGATGAAGACCATGGTCCACTCGCTTGGAACAAGTCTGATCGTGACTACAAGTACCCAGAACTTTTAGAACGTATTTTCGATACACTCAAGAAGAACAACCCAGAATTGGGTGGTGGTAAGAGAAAGCCAATCAAGGTTAAAACTCCACAAGTTGCCAGAGACGGTCCAAAGAAGACTGTTCTTATCAACTTTACTGAAATTTGTGCCAACTTACATCGTGCTGAACAACACGTCTTGGACTACTTGTTCGCCGAATTGGGTACAACTGGTAACTTGGATGGTAGCAACAGACTTGTTATTCGTGGTGCATTCAAGAGTAAGGATATTGAAAACTTGTTGAGAAAGTACATTACCGAATATGTTGTTTGTAAGATTTGTAATAGTTTGGACACTAGACTCAACCGTGATTCCACAACTCGTCTCTATTCTATTCACTGTTCTAACTGCCAAGCTTCAAGAACTGTGCAAGCTGTTAAGCAAGGTTTCGTTGCTAATCTTAGACGTAAGAAATAAATTATCAATAATTATTTCACAACAATTTTCCTGTTCAAAAATGATAATTTTTATCGATCATAATTTGTCTGTTGGAATTGGTCAACCAAAACCAATCGACCTTAATTCGAACCTTGTTTAACGTTGAATACTTGTCACTTCCTTACTAATTCTATTGAAAATTCAACAATTTCTTACAAGAACGTTCAATTTAAGCTTCAAACGAATAATTGGAGATTTTCCAAAGTGCGGAAAATAAAATCCTTACTTCTTACGGACCATTCTCGGAAATTCTAGAGAAGAAAACATATCCAAAAAATTGCCTCCACACCTTGACTCCTTCATCATGAAAAGAATAATCTTTGATCATCTGTTGCAAAGACCTTCTTCTCAAATGTTATCATTAGACAGAGTTGGTCAAAATTTGTGCAGAAAATTTCATGCAATCAAGAAATATAATTCATATTCCGAAATGAATAATGGAAGGAAGAGCAGAAGCAATTTGAGATTATTTGTTGATTTTGATTCTACCATAACTAAATCTGATACTTGCACATTAATTCCACAACTTTTAAAAAATCCAGAAAAGAATCAAGCTTGGGAAATGGTTTCAAACGACTTTTTAAAGAAATACGAGACTATTCTGTCAAAATATGAAGGAAATATATCCATGTCAAATATATCTGATTTCTTGAATGAAATGGATCATGTAGAGTTATTTGGAGTAAATTCAGTAGAGCAAAATAATCTATTGGAGGGTCTTTCTAAGAAAGATCTCGAAGAGTTGCCAAAAAAATTTCACACTGAGCTTGCTCCTCAATGTGAGTCATTATTCGAATTACTTTATGAGTTTGGAAAGAAGAAAAATATTGAGCTTTGTATTATATCCAGTAATTGGTCTTTTGATGTCATTCAATCATTTATCAAACAAAATGTTCAAAAACATGTAAATACTCATTTGAATATATTTTCAGTAGATAGAATTAATGAAACTCTTACCAACCCTGAAGTAATTCCAACCATTCCTACTCAGTGGAGTGTAGAGAATAGCTCATTTCCAAACATTTACATTTACACGAATGATTTACAATTTAACGAGAATGGAATTTCAACTGGAAAATTTTCTTCCAAGCAATGTGTCACCTCAATGGACAAACTCATGTCCCTCAGACATCATCTCTTCATCAGTAGAGATACCAGTAAGACAATATACATTGGCGACTCTGTCAATGATTTGAGATGCATTCTAGAAACTAATGGCATACTTTATCATCCGAGAAATAATGAGGAAACAACTATACTATCCCTCTTCAAAAGATTGGGCATTCCACTCTCAAAGCTCCCTCAAAATGCCGCTAGCAGCATTCAACAAGTTCAAACAACTCTCATTCCCTCTCCACACTTTGCTTCAAATTGGGAAGAAATTACATCCTCTATTCGATCTGAATTATTGGTTAATTAACCAAAGTTTCGGAGTGAGTCAATAAAACACCTTCTTAACCTTAAAATATTTCCTCATAAGGGAACTTCTCAACTTGAATCATGTGTTCGGAAGATTTTAAATAAGGGTCTTGGTGAGCATTCTGATTTGTGTGAACATCAACAATAAGCCTTCAACATCACCCTAAATACTCATCACGGATTCATTTCCTGAATGAAGAATATTAAAATAATAAAAATGCTTCCACAACACCACAACAACAATAATTCCTACCAACACCAACAACTGAACAATATGAACATGGTGATGGGAAATCAACAACAACAACAACCGCAATACAATGGTTCAAATTACAATACTCAACAACAATATTCCGATCAAGCTTCATTCATTCAGGCTCATCAACATGATATCTATCAACAACAACAGCAACAATACTATAATCAACAACAACAATTATTTAATGGAGGAAATTCATCATATCCGAATAATAATCAAATGTTTACTGGTCAACAAGCAAGTAGACAAACTTCCTCTCCGGAATATGTACAATATTCTGTAAATGGAAACACATTTTCATTACCAAAGAGATATACAATGGATGGTGTAAAAGGAGCTGGTGGATTTGGTTGTGTTGTGAGTGCATTGGATAATAAGAATAATGAAAGAGTTGCCATTAAAAAAGTATCCAGTCTCTATGAAAGAGATAGAAATTATCAAAAGAGAATTTTAAGAGAAATCAAAATTTTGAAACATTTCAGACAATTTAGTGCCCATAATGTTGTATTACTTAAGGATTTATTCTTTGATCCTTATCAACCTGGAAGTATTTATATTGTCACCAATTTGATGGATTTTGATTTGGAAAAACTCTTGTCAAGTAATCAGACATTTAGTGAACAATCTATCCAATACTTTCTTCATGAAATTTTAAAAGCAGTTAATATCATGCATAGCAGTAATATAATTCACAGAGATTTAAAGCCAAGCAATATTCTGCTGAATAGAGATTTGGATTTACAAATATGTGATTTTGGTTTGAGTAGAGCCATTGGTCAAGATTATCCAGAAGATTCCAAATATGTTGTGACAAGATGGTACAGAAGTCCAGAAGTTGTAAGTACTGATCTACATGTATTTTCTAAATAGTTGCATCAGATTTTGTATTGGAACAAATTGCATGCTGCTATGGATATGTGGTCAATTGGATGTATTTTTGCTGTATGTGTATAATTTTATTCTTTCTAATAACAGTCATTTTAATAGGAACTCTTAGTGAAACCACTTCACAAAAATGGAAGACCTATTTTGTTTCCTGGCAAAGATTTTAAGGATCAATTGGAATTGATTTTACGTTTGGTTGGTACTCCAAAGGATGAGGAAATTAGAGGTTGCAGTGAAGGAATTAAATTTATGAAGACTCACTTTAAGCAAACATATGAAAAGAAGAATTTCGGTCAAATCTTTTCACATGTTACGAATCAATTAGCAATTGATTTGCTTGAAAGAATGCTCACATGGGATCCTGAAAAGAGAATAACAGTTAGAGATGCTCTTAGACATCCCTATCTGAAAGAAATGTTCGATCAGGATGAATATAATACCGATCCAAACACTTCTGAAAATACTTACTTTTGTCAAGCTAATTTTGATTATCAATTCAGTGAGGATATTAAAACTGAGGATATCAAGATACTTGTCTCTAATGAGGTTGAGACTTTCCAACAACAAATTCAATAACACCTTATCATGATGTTACCATCCTGAAAGAGGTGAGTAAGAAAATACACTAGCTATTTTCATAATAGATCACAGATTCGGAGAATATCTGTACTATGTGGATAAATAGTGATTAAACTTTGTAATCTATAGAAATGCTAAAGAACTTGTGTGAGACTCTGATAATTATTAAGAATAAATGTGAAATCATAATAGAATTACAGTTTTATTATGGACTGAAGGGTGTGCTCAATCATATTTTGCAGATCAGGAAAATGTTTAAGGGAATGGTATGAAGATTCCAAAAGTGAAAACATTTCTTCTACAAGTAAAAGGGAACCCTCTTGAGATGAAATCACAAGTGATGTCAATTTTTGACAAATATATTTGATACTCTCTGTTATTTCCATTCTCGCTCTTTTAATCATTTCAACCTGGTTCTGTTTAAATGTTTCTAACAACTCACTGAAGATGTCCCATAATTGGAACAATTCTTCGACATGATTTTTCTGGTTTGAAACGGTAGGGATAAACTCCAAATTTTTACCCACTAATAAAGGTGAAATGATATTTTCAATATTATACAGTTTGGACATGACCATGAAATCATTAATGGAAATACAATTGGCAGCTTCTCGAAATATCATGGACATTGCAATTTTCTCCAATTCCCTCTTTTTTGTTTGAGAAAGCTTGTTGACTCCACAATTATGTAGAGTAAACATTAATCTTAGTAGTTTTTCATCTTGAGGAGATGTTTGATATTTGCTAATTAAGTACCTTAAATAGCTCTGTTTTTCACTTTTCAGTTTTACGAGATTAGTTGTTAATATTGACAATTTCATATCAGGCAACAACCGAGAAAAATGTTTGAATTGCGTTCGATTTACAAGTTCAATAAATAATATTCTTAGGCTTTGTACTTTTGTTTCGTCTTGACCTAGTAGAATAGGATCTGAAAGTATTAGGGAAAATAAATATAGACCTAGAATAGTTTTCATAGGATTGTTATTTCTTGGTTCTGAGATTTTTCTGGAGAGGTTGAATGTTGAATGATTAGTTATTTCAACACTAGGTTTGAGAATATTCAAATCATACTCCTCACTATTGGAAAATAATTGTCGTTTGTAATATACTTCCCTTATTTCATTATTGAACCGTTCCAGTATTGAATATTTATCACACCAAGCATCAAATGTTGTTATGGTTGATTCCTGATTCAGTATTTGTTGAAAATTGTAATGATAATTGAATTTAATCTTGCAATATAATACATATTTAGCACTTTGGATAACTATTAATATTCCATCAATATTCTCAATTAAATTACTCACTCTTTTTTCTTGTACTGAAATGGAATGTGTCTTCAATGAACCCTCTCAGCTGGTTCAATTTTTCATTCATTGGCTTGTCCTTTTGTTCCTTGAGGACGATCTTGTTGTTTTTCCTAATTTTTTCATTTTCCCTCTGATTGAAATATTCAACAAACTTTTTCCCAATCTCGTAATATTTCAATTGATTTTTATCCTTATACTCGTTTCTAATATTTTCCTCTACATTATTCAATAAATAATCAATTCTCCCTTCAGTATCCAAATTCTTTGGAATTTTCAGAAAGATCTTGGCATCCTCTCCAATTTTTGAAGAGTTAGATAAATTATGTAAATAATCCATTTCCATCCCTATCAATTTAAACAAGTCTTGAAATTTATCCTTAACAATGTTTCTAGTCTCAATTAATCTGTTTTGTTTTTCATCCTCTCTTCCGATTAATTCCTTTACAAGAGAATCCATCCTATTGGATTTTAACGAGAGAAATTCATTATTTAAATGAAATTCTCTCTTTTTATAATACAATTGTTCAATTTTGGGAATAATCTTTTCGTGCCATATTGAATTTCTTTCGGAAATAATTTCTTGTAATTGTTCAGAAGTTTCTTGTTGTTTTTCTAAAAGAACTTCGAATAGACTTTCAAAATGTGAAAGTGTACTCGATAATACTTGTTCATTCATTTTTTCTTTTATTATTCTCAATATTGTTCATATGTAAATTATTGTGTTAATTGATAAATAATTAATTTTACTAAAAAAATGATTAAACAATCAAAAAGTGCATTCAATCAAGGAAGAATAATCCGAGCAACTATCGTAACTAAAACACATAATTGTTGCAACAATGATACTTTTAGACAACACTATTTAATATCAGGAAAAGAATTTGGAAAATCATTTTCAACTTGGAATAAATTATTGAATAATGATGTCGAGGAGGAAAGAAAGAAGGATAGAAAGGAAGCACAAGAAAAGATGTATAATATTAAAAGAGAATTATCTGAATTTTTAACTGCTAAATTGGATGGTAGTAAGAGAAAGGAAAAACAAGAAGAAAGAATTAAATTGGCACAAAATTTGGGTAATGTGATGATTGTTGCTGGATTTATTGTTGGATTGATTTATTATGTTGTAAGTGTGGATTCAATTTGTGGATTTATTGTAAAAATAATTTGTTATTATCATTAAATTGTTGAAAAACATATCAATAGGGAGAAAATGAAAAAAAGAGGAGAATTGAAAGAGGAGAGGAATTACCTGAAGTTTCCCAACAAGGAGTTTTTGCCTCAACTAATGATAAAGGAAATGTGTCTGCAGATGCATTTCTTTCTTCCATTTCTAAAAAGGTTAGTCAAGTAAGGGAGAATAACAAACAAGTTCAACAATCTGAAACAAAAAGCGATGAAGAGTAATACATTCTTCCTCTGATATTATTTATTATTTTTTTTGATCTGATTGATTTTTGACAGCACACCCATACTTCTTTTAAGCACATCTTGTGCTGTTGCATTTCCCTCACTCTTATTGAGCGATCTATTGGTGCCTTGATTGGAGGTATTATTGGATGATCGTGTCAACATTGAATTGTTTCCAATTGATTTCTTTCTAAGCAAGGGTGTTCGTTGTTGTGATGGCACTTCCTGTTCGACAAACTTGGGCATTTCCTCTCTGTTATTGTACAAATTTTCTGTTGGATCGAGAATGACCTTTTGTGGAATAGGTTCCTCGATGTTTCGACTGGTTGTCATTAATTGATCTGATTGAAGACTGCTACCCTCCACTTTGGCTGCTGCGTAAAAGTCTTCAAAATCAAATACGAAAAAGCCGAATTCTTTGTGTTCCCTTAAAAACTTTTTAAAGAGTTTGACCGTGAATTGATTTTTCTCGGTTGCATCTTTTAATTGGGAATAATACCCAATTGCTCTGGAAACACTAATATAGTTTCCATCTGGAAGTTCCTCTCTTCCTTTTAACATTGACATTACCCTTTCCATAGTTTTCATAATTTGTTCACCATCTTCATTTACAACAAACTCTAGCTTACTCTCCAACATTTGCTCCTGTTCTTCGAGTTTTCTATTTTCTTCCAATAGTTTTTGAAGATCATGATTGTGTTTATCTTCAATTCTCTTTGTTTCTGCGCTGACCCTCTTCTCAAAATTTAACTTTTGTTGATTAATTTCTTTGAGGTGGAGCTTTTCTATCATCCTTCTTCTCTTTGCCATGAGATGTTGATTGTGAATGGAATTTACTTCCTCCAATTTCCTAGAAGCATCCTCTATTTGATATTGTAATTTCAACATGTTATAAGCAATGGATGAGTTTGTAAAAGCGTCATTGTCTGAGTTTTCCAAGTTTGTTATGATTTTTTTCTGTTCTGAAGACTCCTTCTTTTCAACTTCCATCTCCACTATTTTAGACAACTCTCCAAGATCTGAAATATTTGATGTTTCTTCCTCAGCAAGAGTTTTGTTAAAGTTAATTTCCGATTGTAATCTTGAATTTCCCATCAACAAAATGGTTTCCTGTTCATTGAGATCACTAAGATCATTCTCTGCAAATCTAATTTCATTCTCCAAATCCTTCTTCAGGGAAAGCAAAAGGGCTTTACTCGTTATTTCATCCTCATTAATTTCTTCTAGGGACTTCTTTTTGGCATTATTCACATTGTTAATATTTGCTTTAAAGTCAGGCAAGTGTCCGTTACTGGAGTTAATATCCTTAATATTCATCTCTATCATTGTTTCATAATAGAATTTATCTATCAACACATCAGTGATACTGGATTTGGTGGGTTTCTTAGATTCTGGTTGTGGAAGAGCTGTATGAATTGTTAATTGTTCCTGTTGTTGTTGATTATTTGAAGACTCTTCAGAAGAGTAGTCATCCTCTGATGAATAATCCTGCTCGGAATCATCCCTATTCTCCTCACTATCGTCGTCCTCATCAAATTTAATTTTTTTACTGAGAATGTAAGGCTTATCAACAACGTCTAAGGTGTTGTGGAACATTTTTTTAAAATGGTGATTGTTTCTTTTAAAAGTTACCGTTTCATCATTTTAAAACAATTAAAACAATAGAGTAGAGCATTCTTTCAATTACAAAGATCCAAGTCTCATCTGCATATTGAGGACTGCCTTTCTTCCTTCTCTCCAAATGTAACCTCCCTTTTTCTTATCAATTAAACATATGGTTATTACTGCTTCCAATTCCTTCCTATTTTTAAATCTAGTTATAACACGTTTCAAACAACTAAAAGTAAAAAATGTCTTTTGTGGTCGTTCCGAGAAGTAATGTTGGTTCTGACAATGCTGTTGGAGAGCAATCGAATAGCAACACCAATAATAATAATACTCTATTCATCGGATTTAACCAAGATTCTACAATGTTAGCCTACGGAAAGGATCAAGGGTTTAGAATTATTTCGTGTGCTTACGGATTTTGTGAGAGGGTATTTGATCATAGTGAGTTTTAAATTGTTGATTAGACTAATCATCATCGTAACATTAGAATTTATTGATGGAGGAATTTCATTTGTTTGTTTCATGGATGAGGATAAGGGCACAGTTGCCCTTGTCGGAGGAGGTTCTCGACCAGCATTTGCAATGAATAAGGTTGTTTTTTACAATTATAAAGAAAGAAAGGTCACAAATGAGTTGATTTGCCCAAGGAATATTATAAGTATTCATTCAAAGAAGAATTTGTAAGTTTATTATTTGATTTTAATTATATTTAATTGATTTATTGTAATAATCAAACTTGAATTATCAGATTTGCTGTTGTTGCTGAGGATATGGTGTATATTTTTGATTTACAAACCAAACGACAAGTACACTCATGGAAGACAACCCTCAATTCATATGGTATATCCACCTTTATTTACAATAAGCAAAAGAAAGAGTACTTGCTGGCTATTTTGGATGAACAAGTTGGAGAGGTAAAGGTTGTTACCATTGGCCACGAAAATTATGAAATAATTTCTGAAATTACAATTAGAGCTCATGAATCTTCAATAAGATGTGTTGCCTTGAATCAGGATGGATCCATGTTGGCAACTGTTTCTGAGAAGGGAACGTTGGTAAGAGTGTTCAACATTGATACAGGTGTGAAAATTCATGAATTCAGAAGAGGTAATTTGGCAAAGGAAATTTATTCTCTCACTTTTAATCATAAGGGAGACTTGATATCGTGTGTTTCTAGAGAGACACTCCATGTGTTTGTAGTAGACTTTAAAGAGTGGAAAGCCAGACTAGCAAGCAACACTGAAAATTCTGCCAATTCTAGTCTATCAACAATTTGGAGCTATGTAACAACCACAATTTATGAACCTCTTGAAACTACACCTACTAGCACATTTAAATATCCAAATATTGATGGTGTGTCAGTTTGTACTTTTGAGACTAATGATGAATCCATTCTCGTTTGTAATAATAAGGGAGTGTATGTCTCTCTCAAGTTTGATTGGAATTCCAATACAGAACCAATCAATGCTGATCCAATTGATAAGTTTGAAGCCCTTGTAGAATAATTGTAAATAAAATGTATCAATACATCCTGAAAAAAGAAATGATTAGCTATTCTCAAAGCTCTCAAAGTACGACTACATCTTGTTTGGCAATTTAAGCTCTGAAAAATCACAAGGCAAAGGTTCACTAAAAAAGTATGGATGTCTTAAGGCCTCCTCAGCACTATATCTTTCATCATTGTCAAATCTTAATAGATGTGACATAAGATCAAGAGCCAAATCAGGAGCTCCTGGAACTAGTTCACTGATCGTTCTCACTTTAATTTTCGAGAAGGTTATCTTGCCAAAATCTGGCAACTTGGAAACTCCTGGCCAATTATTTTCTGAAGGAATTCCCAAAAGTGAAAGTACCTTATATAATTGATCAATATCATTTTCACCAGTGAATAAGGGACAAAGATTGTACAATTCTGCCATGACACAACCAGCTGCCCAAATATCTACTTTACAATCATAAGATCTACTTCCATACAAAAGTTCTGGAGCTCTGTACCATCTTGTTGCAACTTGATGTGAGTAAGATTCATTCTTTCCAAGATACAACGTAGCCAATCCAAAATCTCCCAGTTTTAACTCTCCGTTGTGATTGAAAAGTAAGTTGGCAGGTTTGATGTCCTAATAATTCCACATAATTAATTTCTAAATAATTACACTTTCCTACATACTCTGTGCATGATACTATTGGTGTGACAATTGTGGAGACCCTTTAACATCATTAGCATTATACATTTGATATGAGACTCAAGGAAGGGTGTCCTTTGGGCTTTAATAATTCTTGCCAAATCTGTTTTCATAAATTCTAATGAGAGAACAAGAGATGATCCATTCACAAAGACATCATACAACTTGATGACATTATTGTGGCACACATGTTGAAGACTTTTTGCTTCTCTAATTACATTTTTCGGAAAGTCTTCAAATTCTTGTTTCCTAATTCTAATTTTCTTTAAGGCCACAACTCGTCCATCAGCCTTCCTAAATTATATTAAAGATCATTATCTTCCTTTTACTACTTACCTTTTTGCTTTTAATACTTGTCCGAATGTTCCCTCACCAATCTTCTCAATAATTGTATAATTTTCCATCAAGTAGTTTGTGGCCATTTTTTACTTTGTTGCATACAAAACCAACTTCTTTGATTCATTTGTATGAAACCATTGTATGAGCGTGTTCGAACAAAAATCATCCTTTTAAACCCACCAATACTCAAAGATAACAATTGGTCACTCTTCAAAAGTTGTGAATATAGGGATGACAAAGTACCTTAACAAAGTTCAACTCATGGGGCACAACTTCCACATGAGGGAAACATCCAATAAGGAACTAGTAGTAGGACCTGTATTCAACCATAACCCATTACGACATATTTCAAAAAAAACAATGTTAAAACCATATATGCTGATGAGAAAAAGTATTGGTTTATAAAGTGATCATTGTTTATGAGAAGATAATAACCTTCCATTCATTAAGGGTTCGCTATTTTCCTAATTGTCGCACTGATAGCACTTGTTTGGCGCTCATCTCTTGTGGTTCTGAATTTTGTAGTGAGTGTGATTAGCGATGAAAGGCCAATTAATCTAGAAGACGCGCTTTCTAACCAGTTCGCCTACGAAAACAACGTTGTAAATCTTTGGCGCCAAAAAATACTGTAGTTACAATAAATTGGCCAATACATCAACCGAATAAAAACATAACCTTAAAAAAATCCCTAACGAAGACCCTTGTATACAAAATGAGTAGAGAAGCTATTAGCAATAACGAATTAACTGAAGAACAAATCGCTGAATTTAAGGAAGCCTTCTCTCTGTTCGATAAGGACGGTGATGGTACTATTACTACAAGCGAATTGGGAACTGTTATGAGATCATTGGGACAAAACCCAACTGAAGCAGAACTCCACGACATGATTAACGAAGTTGATGCTGATGGTAATGGAACAATAGATTTCACTGAATTTTTGACAATGATGGCCAAGAAGATGAAGGATACTGATAACGAAGAAGAAATCAAGGAAGCTTTCAAAGTTTTCGATAAGGACGGAAACGGTTTCATTTCTGCTCAAGAACTCAGACACGTTATGTGCAACCTAGGTGAAAAACTCACAGACGAAGAAGTTGATGAAATGATTCGTGAAGCCGATATTGACGGTGATAACCAAATCAACTATACTGAATTCGTCAAGATGATGATGCAAAAGTAAATATAAATTGTACCAATAAAACACTAACCACCAACCTTATTAATTCATTCTCTTTATTATTCTTTTCAATTTCTTGATTTTGTATTTAACCCAATAAATTTCGGAGAATGAAAATTAAATATTCAATTAATTTTACTATCAATTTAAAAAAAAAATGAATCGTTTAATCAAGTATCAATTTTGCTCAATCAAGAAATTTAACCACATACCTCTCACCAAGAATTTTAATCATCTCTCATTGGCACGTTTTTCAACACAATGTATTAAATTTTCAAATAATAATGCGGAAGAAGACATTTCCGAAAATGAACAACAAGAAGAATATTTAACTGATGAAGAGATTATCAAGAGTATTCCAGACTTCCGTCCACCATATTTTCATGAAATTTTAGAAAAGGCAGTAACAGAAGGAAAATCAATCAAAGATATGACACCAGTAGAGGAACAAGCTTTTATGGACAATATAAAACGTCGTATCCTCATGTATTGTAGAAATAGAGGTCGTGTTGAAACTGAACTCTTCTTGGGTGGTTTTGCTAGAGAGAATGTTCCAAAGATGACTCAATGGTCAGATCTTGAGGAATTTTATGATTTACTCTGTGAACATGACAGTGACTTGTATAATTGGCTTATTGCAACTGAAACTGATAGACAAGATCCTGAATGGAAAGAAAAATTACCAGAACGATGGAGGGATTCTGATATTATGGAAAGACTTTTCAATTATGTTGATTCCAAGAGAGCTGTCAAGTATTATGAAACCAATGAGCAAGTGAGAGCTGCACCAACTACTTCCAATAAGGGCAATGCAACTTTCAATGAAGATTACGACCAAACTGATTCAGGAGAATTTGTAAAACAATAATTTATTAAAAGTAACTGCTCTTTTCTTCTGGTTTATCTGCAAAATGGACCCTATTTCTGAAGAGCTCTTCAAATTTTCTTTCCAGTTCCATTTGCTTTTTCTTCTTGTATTGATTGTCTGCCAGAGTATTTCTAGAAGGATTCTGTATGGACTCAACTTTAAGTTGTCTATCAATTTTGGATACTCGTTCTAATTCTTCAACAATAATCTCATTAAATTTTTCATTTCGCACCTTTTCTGCGGCTTTTCTTGCAAATCTCTTTTCTGAAAATGCTCTTTGCAAAGCTGTCCTCTTTTTTTCCTCTAAGGTCAATTCGGCTTGTTCATTATTTACATCAACACCAGCCTGTTTATCAAAATGTTTGACCACATGTTGATTAACTTTAATAGCTGTTTGCTTTTCTGGTGAGGTTGGTTCTAAAACCATTTGGTGATTAAACGTCGTCTCGTAAATTCCCTGGTCTTCTCTCTTTTTGGTAGGATTCCAACCAGCCACTACATCATTCAGGTCACGAGATGGAACTGCAAACAACTTTTCATATCCATTGTGGACAGGCTCAATTTCTGGATATTCCATGTTCTTTGATTTTTCAATTCTTTCAAAGAGATTATCCTTTTTCTTTTGATTCTCGACCTGTCTTTGTTTGACAATACTGACACATTTATCAAACCTCTGTTGAGCTATTAAAGCGTTTGCCTTATTTTGCTCATGTTTCTTCTGTTGTTGAAGATGGAATTCCTTATTAAATTGGAGTGCATTCCTATTGGCTTCACCAGCTTTTTTTCTAGCATAATCCAACTCTGTTTGGAGTTGATCAATCTCTTCTTCCTTTCTTTCTTCCCATGCTTTTTTGATTACCTTCAAATTACTTTGATTTTCCTTTTCCTTTGCTTGTGCATATTGTTTTGTCTTGTTTTTTGCAATATCCATAGCCATTTGTCTGACTTGTTTTAATCTTTCTATTCGTAGTTGCTTTTCATCTTGTTCCTTCATACGTTTAATTTCAGAGTCGCACCTATAAATCTTCCTCAACACTTGTTGTCCATCCTTATTGTTGTTATTATTTCTCTTCGGGGATGTATGTGATGTTGGTGGAGTTGAGGTTGCTCCCGTGCTTGTGTTTGTGGCTTTTAGCACTGAAGACTTTGGAGAGGTAGCGATGGCCATATGTTTTTTTTGTCAAAGTTTGTGCAAAATGTAATAATTTTGGCGGGATTTTAAAATTATTACATTTATAATTCTTCTCAAGATTGTTTGAGGTTTTTTCTTGTACTCTACTCTTCAGTAACTACTATTGAAACTCAATGTCCATACAATATGATTGATTTCAATCTCTTCCTTTTGAGATTTAAATAATACCCTTGTTAAATATCTCATATAATCAACATTTGACAAAACTCTTATTTTTCCATGGGGAAAAATTGTATCATTCCATTTTAGGTTTTGTTTGAATTTGAAAAATGTTCTTTTCTTCATCCCCTTTCTGAAAGGCATGTTGCAACATTTCAATTTGTTCTTGGGATACTATGAGCTTCTTAACTTGTTCAGCTTGAATCCCCTCAAAGATTGAAAAGTTGATCGGAGTCAAATATTCGTTAAAGAATTGATTAAATATTGGGGTAAGAGGATCTGTTAAAATACATGTGAGAAAAGAAATCATTCTTCCTTTTTGTTCCTTCTTATATTCAATAAATAATTCTCTCTTCTCGTCAATAGTTTCGATGGCTGACTTTCGGAATTGTTTAGCCATCAAGCGATCATTTCTTCTATGGATATCCTCTTGATTGGTAGTTGTATCATCACCTCCAATAGTGTCATTGCTGTTGTGTGTTGTGTCAGACTTTGCATTATCATCATCAACACTATTATCATCAGAATTATCCTCCACACTTTCCTCTTGTGGTGACATTTTTTAAAGTATTATTCAAATTTCAAATAATTAATAATTCAATTCTCAATGCTCTTCCTTTATTGTGGCAGGTTGTTGATAATTTGGATCTATTGATGGTTGAATTTGGAAGGCATTCTTGTTTTGTTTGTTTTGTATCAATGTGTTTGTGTCAATATCTAACAGGTCGATAAGTCGGGAAACATGGTTTTGCATCTCTACAGAATAAGGAGGTAAGTTGGCAACAACAAAACGATCCTCTTCCTCCGATTTGTTTCCATCCTTTTTTGCTAATGGACTAGAGAGAACAGTCACATCATTTGTTGTGTATTCAACATGAGGTTGTATTTCCTTGAAAGTTTGATTCAACAGAGAAAGAGAATTAAAAGATCTTGCTTGTATCACGTCATAAACAGAAGGTGACTGATAAACAACACCAGCTTCCGCAGCTATATAGTACAAATTCAATAATTTTGGAGCATTCCTATCCTTCTTTTCCACCTTCTCTTTTTTAATGATGAAGAGGGAAGGAGGTTTTGATCGTTTAGAGTCAACAGAATATCGAATACCCTCTGTTGATTCTAGGAGAGCATTCCTATCAATGATACCTCCTGTTTGTTGCATTCGGAGTGTTTCATTGACAGACTTTTTCGAATAGAAAGGGTTTGATCTATTGCAAAAATACTCCAATGCTGTATCCTCATTAACTATTGGTCTAAAACGTAAGAAGAGTTCATCTCTCCATGTTTTTGTTGCTAATAATTGATCGTTTTCTTCTTCCTCCACCAAGTCATCGACGTCTGTTGTGATGATTGGATCGAACATCATTGATGATGATTTTCTGTCCATTTTTTATTTAATGTTATTTGTTCCATTGGATAATATTATTTATTATTTGAAACATAATAACATCATATGTTTATTGTTAACAGAACATTACCTGGTCAAAAAAAGTTGAAAATCACCAAAAGGATGCATAGGGGAGTATTTGAAGACTTGACCATTTTATCCCAAATATTTAATCTTGCAACCAAGTTACAACATTGCACAGTATTACCTTAAAAAAAATACCGTTACGCTAATGAGTCATAATCAGACCGATTTGTTCAAACTAAGCGTTCGTAACAACGCCTTATCAAAAGTTAGGAATTATGAGTCTGATGGAGAGCTTACAAATAATAAGGCCTTAAGCCCACCCTCTCCTATTAATAAGAATAATTTAACAATACAATTAAGCCCAGGAAATCCTTTATCAGAGAGAAGAGACTCCCCTAAGAATACATCTAGGTTATTTCAACAGCTAGGACTTTACCAAGACATGTCTGATGATGAATTTGTTCAGAAACTTTCAACAATGGAAGAAAATTCGGATCAAGTTGATGTTGGTGATCATGAATTTGAATTAGCAGTGAATCAATTGGTAAAGCTTCTCGGAGATACAGATTTAAATAATAGCAAGGCATTGGAGATTAGTAACTCTAGAATTTCACATAATTTATCGAAAATAGGATTGCAAAATATGAACAGTAGTGTTGTAGATTTTAAAAGTTATCTAGAGAGTCATTCTAAAAACAAGGAAGATTCACCTAAGAAGGATGCTGTGTTAGGCCCCGTATGGGAGTCAGTCGCTCCAAGCATTAAGTCAAGAATGCAAAGATCTATATCCGCCTTTAGAGAGCATTTAAACCAAACAGAAGATCCAAACGAAACCATTTACATATTGAATAAGATAAACAGTGAAATCAATGAAGAGAAACCAAAGAAGGAAGTTGGTCAAGAAAAGTGGGACGAGTTGGCGCAAAGATTAAATAGACCATACGAAAAAAAGGCAAAGAAAATAGAGAAAATTGTTAATGAAAGAGAGGAGGACTATTGTAAGAATAATACATTTCAACCAGTTATCAATGAAAGATCACGACAATTGATCTCTCCAGGAAGTACACTTGACGACAGAGTATCCACCTTTGTAGTAGAAAAGATGAAACATATTGAAAAGAAGAAACAAGAATTTTCCAAAATTGAGGAGAATGAGCTAAAATTCAAACCTGAAATAACTAAAAAGTCTCAAAAGATGAATAGAGATGTGACAGTTCTTCTTAATTGGAGAGAAGAAAAGAAAGAACGCCTCAAAAGCCTAAAGGATCAAGTTAAACAAAAGGAAGTTGATGGATGTACATTCAGACCAAATTTAAGTAGTAGATCCAGAAAGATAGCAGAACAAACAAAAAAGACACCAAGCACATTTCAGACCTCAAACGACGTTTTTGAGAGGAATTACGAATGGGAGTTCATCAAAAACCATAAGAAACGAAAATATATAGAGTCTTACATCAAGCAAGAGAAAGCCCAACACAACCCTAATATCACAAGTAAGGCTTCCAACTTGAAAAGATCTGAACCTTTCGGTGATAGGCTATATAAGCAAGGTCTAGAAGGTCTCGAAAAGAAGGAGAAGTTCAGAGAAACTTTCCTTCATAATTTTTACCAAAAAAGAGGCCAAGGTATTATCCATAAGGATGATGATTCTTACTTTGGAGATGATGACAATATTAGTGCAGGTACTTCTGACAGTAACTTTAGTTTGACAGATGACCAAATTTTTGCCATTATTAAGCAGTATGAATTGGACACTGACATTCCAAACACGAGTTGGTCTCCAAAGAAAGAGGTTGAACCTTCACCATCTAAATCTCCAGAAAGAGAGAATGAATCTGATGGTCCACATATTTCAGATCCCAAAGAAAGATTTGCCAGAACACTGGAAACATTGAGATTATTCCACAAATATAAGAATCAAAAAGATCCAAACGATGGAGATCTTTAAATTGTAAATTAACAGTGTTGTGTATTTTATCAAGCTGCTCCACCTTGCAGTAGATGTGACAAAGACAATAAAGGCCTAGAGTGATACTTTCTACAATAATTTCTTCAAGTCAATATTCACATCAAAAAAAATGAAGAGATTCGTTGGAAAGTCATCAGTAGTAGCTTCCTTGTCGGGATTGCCTCTTTCTAGAAAATTGCCTCTGATTGGAAATAACAATAGGTTATTCTCTACAACACTTTTTCTAGAGAAGAAATCTTCTATTGATTCTCTACTTTCATCCATGGAAAAATCATCGGGAATTAAAAAGAATAGTAACAACAAACCAATGAACACAACTAAATCCAACAATAAGAAAATAGAACAAGCCAGCAACAAAACGAAAAAGAAGGTATCTTCAGAGATTCCAAAAAGTACCACAAAATTATCCAACCCACAACAACCAAATACCACTACTATCACAAATCAAAAGGTAACTGATGGAAAAAATAATATGGAGGAAGAGGATGTTGTAGCACTTGTTCAAAAATTGAGGAAAGAGATGAAAGAATCCAGGTTGAAGGAAGCAAAGGAACTAGAAAAGAAAAAGGAGGAATCTAGAAAGAAAGATGAATCATCATTCAAAATTCTTGTTAACAAACCTAAACGAGATCAAATAGATACAAGCTCAATGCCTGTTGCAGAATACACAACAACTAAATTACAAGATAAGAAATTTGCAAACCTCTTACAAAATAAGGTAAACACTGAGGATGACATCTCGAAAGTTGTTGAATGGGGTATTAAACATGATGTCAGATACAATTTGGAAAATATTCTTCTCCCTGACATGGACAGTACACCAGAGGAAATTGAAGAAAAAAAGAAAAAGAAGGCAGAACTCAAAAAAGCATACGAAGACTATGTGAATTCTGTACCAGAGGAAGAGGAGGAGAAGAGAGGAAAAGAAGATATTTCATTCAAACAATTTGTAAATAGTATTACTGAGGAAGAGGAAGAGGATGTCGAAAGACCAAAGAAACAATTGCCAAAGAATATTGAAATTGTTGAGAGTGATAAGCTCTCCTCAAAACCTCACAAAAAGACCGATCTCCAAAAATTATCCCAAAGACTCTCCACCGTCAATAAGAAACCATCTAGTTATGAAGAATTAGCTCACAAAGAAACAATGGACTCAAGTAAAGAAAAACCAGAAGTGGATCAAAATGAATCTAGTCCAACATTCTCCACAACCATCTTGAATTTAACAGATGAACAATATAGTAATGCCATGTCAAATCCAGTTGAATTTAACAAACAATGGGAATTAAAGGGATACTCACCAGTAATACAAAACAATCATGGTAGAAAAATATTAATCCTCTACCCAATTGGAACCAATACAAAGAAAGTTGTGGAAAAGGTTAAAAATGCCACCAATAAGGACCAAACGAAACCACTTATAGTTGCAGGATCAAAGGGAAGAATACCTCTAAGAGATTTACTAGTTGATGAAAGTACCAAGGATGAGGTAGATTTGGAAAGCTCAAATTTTGATGAGAGAGATTTGGAGAAGAAATTGATAGATGCTAAAAACTACTTTTTAGAATATGGATATGATATTTCAGATCTTAATACCATTCTTAAAGATGATGAAATCATTAAAAAGAAGAAGGAAAAAACTCAACCTAAAAAAATAGAAAAAACTACAGCTTATGATAAACTGCAAGACGAATTGGAAAATGAAGAGAATGAGACACCAATTTCGAATCTTTTGGATGAATACTTGGGGGATGATGACCCAAACCAAATTTTCCAATCGTTGGAAGAAAAGAATTTACTATTATCTGAATATGAAACCAAATCAGAATATGCAATGTTTTCAGAGGATATACACCCATACTTGAAGAAATCTACAAAAGAAAACGAGGATAAGCTTAGAAAGGAAATAGCCAATATGAGTATTGGTTCTATTAGTCTTCCTCCAGAACTTGTTGAGGGTGTATCTGAGATTGTATCTGAATATCCAAAGAATTTGATTCAAAGAACTGCTCAAATTCTAAGTGCTGCCTTTAGATTGAGAACTAATGGCTTGGATAAGAATCCAAAAGTTTTCAGCAGATCTGATGAAGAAAAGAAATTGAATAAGGATGAAAGTCCTGAAGATGAATTATTCAGGGAACAATTGGAAGTTCTCAAACATTTGAGAAGTTACAAGGAAACCTCAAAAAAAAAGAAGAGACCTATTGATATTGAAAAGATGAAAAAGGATAGTGAAGAGGAATTTAATAGAACTTATAATCCTCAAATTATTTATAAGGAGTTGGAATCTGCTGCATATATTGCCCACAGACTTCCTGCCATCTATGGTACATCATATAGAGTATTTTCAGAGGCTGTAATGAGAATGCCTGACTTTGAACCAAAGACAATGCTTGATTTTGGTACTGGACCAGGTACTACCATTTGGGCAGCTCATGAAGCTTTTGGAGGAAGTGTGAAAGAAGTGATGGCTGTTGAACCGTCTACTGCAATGATGGACGTTGCTTCCAGATTATTCGAATATATGAACAACAAACCACACATTACATGGAGACGTTTTTTGAATGAACATTCTAGTAAGCAATATGACCTTGTTGTTGCCTCATTTGTAATGAATGAATTGTCTAACTCTCAAGAAAGAGAAAGAATTGTAAAGGCACTGTGGAAACTAACATCTGGTGTTTTGATAATTATTGAACCAGGTACACCTGTTGGATTTGATTTTATCAGAGAGGCTAGATCAACAGTACTCACACAAAAATACATTAACATTAATGATAAGCCAACAATATTGGCCCCATGCCCTCATGATTCAGTTTGTCCAATGGCCGGCACTCCAAAATGGTGTCACTTTGCACAAAGAGTGGAGCGCGAAGAATTCCAAAAGTTGACCAAGCAAGCTAAAAAACAATATGAAAATGAAAATTACTCATTCATTGCTTTCAAGAGACATGGACTTGATGGATTTAAATATGGAGAGCAAGTAGAAAAAGAAGAAGAAGAAGAAATGAGAAAGAAACAAATAAGAGAGCAACTTCCAGATTCTGTTGTGGAAAAGGAAATTGCACTTAGAAAGGAATTGAGAGGTTATGCAAGAGAATTTTCTCTTCAATCATTTAGATGGCCTCGTATTACTGATACTCCACTCAAGAGAGGAGGTCACGTAATTACTTCAATGTGCTTACCTGAAGGTACTTTATCAAAAGTAATCATTTCTAAAGCTGATGGAAAGCAAGGTTATAAATACTTGAGAAAGACTCTTAAGGGCGATTTGTATCCTTATCCATTAAATCCAAAGAATCTCAAAGCTAGTGCCGAGATGGAAAAGTATTTCAAAGATTTGGAATAAAAATTAAAGGAATTTATGGAAAAACTTGGAAACTAAAAACTGTGAAACTTTGCCAATCTTTCTCTCAGGAGAGGCAAAAGTAGCTCTTGTTACAAGTTTGGAGTAATTGGCGAGACCTTGTCTCTCCTTCTCTAATGTTTGCATTAACTTTTCATCCTCAGTCATTAAAATTATTTGAGATTCGACATCTCTTTCTGTTGATCGTTGTCCAAAATTACTACTTCCAATCATGGTTAGAAATGGTGCATTAATAGTTTTGTTTGGAGAATAGAGCCACAATCCTTTGGCATGGAAAGTCCACTTCTCTCTATTGTATTCGAATAATTTGATGGATCCCAATTTTTGATTTCTCTCAACTGCAGAAAAAAATGATTGCTCCATAGTATCATATGCCATTGGAATATTCTTTGAAATGCCAGTTGCTGTAAAAAATCCATTTGCAGCCGGTGAGGCAGTGAGTATTGAAATGTCTGTACATGGTGTAGTCAATACTCTTTCCATATATTCATCTGTAAAGTTAAAATAGGCGCTAGTGAGAGCTATAGAAGAGTCCTTAGACTTGAATAATTTTCTTCTCTTGTTCTCCTGTTCCTAGATATAAACTACTCAATACAACTCTGTCTTTTGCATGTTTAATTCCCTCCAATAAATCATCATAAAATTGTGATGGTGTTTCGATAACTTGAACATGATCAGGTTCAATTGGAAAACAAGGTGATTGTTTTGCAATCATATTAAATAGATTTTTAATATAGGGATCTTTAAATTGATAACCCTCTCTGATACCATCAGAAGTATGATGTATTGTCATTTTTTTAATAATAGAAAAACAATTATTCTGCAAATAGTCAATCAATAACAATTGTTAACTTTATTTACAAGATAAAAAACCTAGTGTTTGTTGAATTTAGTGCTACTTATTTTACCCATACTCTACCTGGGACACCTTCATCAACAACGTTAGCGATTGGTTCAATACCTAACTCATCCTCAATTCCATACTGTTGCATCTTGGCATTAATTACTCGTATCAAATCATTATAACTCTTCTTCATCTTTTCAATTTCAAATTTGAGTTCTCGTATCGTGTTGTTCTTTTCTTCAATGACATTATCAAGACCTTCAGAGATTTCTTCGGCTGTGTGTTCATCTATGTTACAAGCTTTGAGTATTTCATGAATTTGGGCATCCTTCTTTTCCAAAGTTTCTTGAAGTGCATAAACCTTTGTTTCAAGAACTTGATTCTTGAACAGTGTTTTTTGTTGAACTTCATGAATAGTTTTTTCAAACTTATCGTAAAGATCGTCACGTTCTCTGTGCACTTGCTTATGGCTTTGTTCTAAAATCTCATGTTCCCATTTCAATTTCTTCAATTGATCTTCCATCATGACCAGCCTGCTCTTGGCATTTTTGAGAGATAGCTTGTCCTTTTGGTAGTTGGCCAATTCATTTCTGAGCTTTTTAACTTCTGCCAGAGCCTTAACAAGAGGTTCACTCAATCTCTTATTGTCTTGAGCAATTTCCAACATGAGTTTTTCATTGTCTGCTTCTTCCTGTTTCATCAGTGCAGCTTCATCTTTCAGAGTTTTGATTAATTCCAAGTTATTTCTAGTAATAGTTATATAGTAATCCTTCATTTGTTGAAAGGCAAGTTTGTGTTTTTCCATTAATTGTTTGATGTGAGTATTTTTTCTTTCTTCAATTTCTTCAGTTTCTTTTCTCCCTCTCAATTCTAAATCTTCTCTTAATTTTTTCATTTTCATTTCATATTTCAGTTGGGTCTCTTTAAGTTTTCTTGCAAATGTCTCAGTTTGTTTTGTCAAGTTTTTGTCTTGATTCGTTTTAAGCCCCTTGATTTCTTCTTGGTAAGCTATTTCCATAGAGTGGAGTTCTCTTTTTAATTTTCTCTTATCCGATTTCAATTGAGCTAATTTTTGCCTAAATTCATCAGCTTGGATCTTTAAAGCATTCTCACTTTCAATTTTTAATCTATCAATGGTGATCTTTTGTTCATAGAGAAGATGTCTAACTTTTTGTTTGTACACTTTTAATTCTACCTGATGTCTTTCTTCATTTTCTTCCATCTCCCTCTGCATGTTCCTTACCTCGCCCTTGAGATTTTCCACTTCCTTCTTTGTAATATCCCAGAAGGAATTTATTCTATCCCTTTCCAATTGGTAGTAATTTCTATTTCTCTTTGTCTCCTCCAATTCCGCCTTCAACTCTTCATAATTCTTAGCATCAGCTGGATTAGCAGCGGCTGTTGTGGGTTGGGGAGGTGCTGTGTTATTATTGTTGGGTCTTCGGTTTGAGCTCATTTTTTTTGATGTTTTTTCGTAAATAACACTTGGCGGGAAATATTTATCATCTATTTAATGTTGTTTCCTCCAATTACTTATATCTTGCTCTTCTTATTACTCGTTCCTTACATGAACCGACAATTCTATCATCCAATTAGTTGAAGGGTGATAGAGGATATTACTTTCAACGATAACTTTTCTGTTTGCCTTTCGCAGCAAGGACATTAAAATCAAATAAAAAATTGCAACAAGATGATCGGCTTTCTTCAGAGAAAATTCAAACACTATCAAATTATGAGTGTTAACTACATGTTGGAACCGTGGGAAATTATTTTGATGAGTATGTGTTGTTGTTGATATTGATAATTTAATAACAATTATATTTTAATAATTAATAATCGGACTTGTTAAATAGATTTTATTTACCTCTCCATCATTAGCTTGATTGTTTATTTCGTTTATAGCTTTTCCTCATCACTCTAAATTAATCCCTCTCTAACAGTTCGAAGGAAGACTATGAAGAATATCTTTCTTGAGTTTTAAATTTTGAATCACATTTTATGTAAATTATTAATAAATAGTTCTGTCATATCACATTGCTTGATAATAAGAAATCTGAAACATGATTTGGGTTCAATTTTTGTTGTGTATTTTACAATGAATAATGTGATTGGTTAGTTTCTTAAACAAAATTATCTCAAACCACAAAAACACCATTACCCAAAAGATAATCGATGGAATTGTCAAGGACACTCTCTGTCTTCAACCAGTGTTGCAACGATAATAAATTGGGCCAGTAAAGGTCTATTCTTTCCAAAGAAATCAACCCTTGAACCACCAACAACACACAACAAAAAAACTTCCCAACCAATAACGAACGATCTACACTGACGAGCTTTACTCGCTCATCTATGTTCTTTCTTCTAGTCATTGCCATCATTAAAAACCAACAAAAAACACAACTTCACATCAATGGAGTACTCAGAGCTTTTGAATCCATCTACAAATCTCAACACTAGCCAATATAACATCCTCCTCCGCAGCCTTGATGCATCAAACAACATCAAACCATAACATCTATTTAAACATTAATAGGGGAAATCAACAACAACACCAACACAACAATAGTATGAGATTACCATCACCAGAATCTGCGTACAACACATCTGCTAATGTGACAACGGATGGCATGCATGTGCATGAGGATGTTGATGACACATGCTTAACATCCAACTCACAATTCGAATACATGTCGAAATTCAGGATTGGTGGAGTGAAAAAAACTAAAAAAATCAAAAGAAAGTACGAAATGAAGAATAGAGATTCCAATAGTTCGAATACTAGCGAAAAACCCTTTGAACAAGTTGTTTATACATTCATGGAAAATCAAATGTTAAGCCCAGTAGATGTTCATAAGAATTCATATTTTAATTATTCAAAGGATCAACATGTTTCCATAATTCGAGTCGATGCATCCATGATTGGAAAAAGAGGAAAAAGAAGTGTGGATAGTATTACAGATGATGAGATGATACGTCTCTTGCATCTTACTCAACAGCAAGCATGCAATGTTCTTGGATGTAGTTTATCAACTCTTAAAAGAAAATTTTATCAGATCAAGGAAAAGATTGGAATTGATAAGTGGCCCCACAATTATCTAGATTATAGAAAATATGATTTCTTTGAGAATTTCTATCCTCTCTCCTTAAAATACATATTGAATAATACAGAGAGAGAATAATAACAAGCATGTTTCACTACTTTGTAGGATGTATCAACAACACATATTGCATGTTATAGGTTTCAAGAAGAAGAATTTTTCCACAAACAAGAATTGTTTTTACCATATTTAGGCTCCCTTAATGTAGCACTGAAGCTTATTTGAACGAAATTTTTGCCTCCAAAAATCTACAAAAAAAATGCCCTCAAATAACGATGATGTAAATGTTTTAAGAATTGGAATTAGATTGAAATTATGTGCTCTCGTAATTGAATATACAACAATTTCAAAGAAAGGAAAGAAGGAACTCAGACATCGAAAAATTTACTTGGAAGACTACATTGTACAAAACTATCCGGAATTAGAGGAAGATGAATTGGTTGAACACATCAAGTCTAATGTCCTGATGAAGCACCATAAGAATTTAGCCTCCCACATTCCAGAAAATCAAACTACAAAAATGATCAGAAAACTGGTCGATTTTACTACAAAATCATTTTTACCTCCAGATAATAGGCCTCAATCTATACAAAACCAAAGTAAACCTTCCCCAAATACCAATAATACAACCTCTAAGTACCATCACCAAGGTGATGACGATAACTTTGACGAGGATGAGGAAGACAGTGAAACACAACAGAAAGACTTGAACAAGCTAGATGATGTCACCCTAAGGAGAGTAAAGGCAGAGATGGACAAGAAATTCAACGTTATCAGACCTGGTGATGAGGGATATGAGTATGATAAGGAAGTAGATTTTGAGAATGTTCCAAAACAACAGTCGTCGTGGGATGACTAGATATTTCCAATTTCAAGAACTATTTGAGATACCAATTAATAATACTAATCTAGGTTTGGCACGAGCCAATTTCTAAGCACAACTTTGTAAAATAACTAAAGTCACTGACAAGTCTGTTCGCAACCAAAATAAATACAATTTTGCACATTCAAATTATTTACTATTTGACTTGCTCTTTTTAAGGATTTTAGCTATTTTTTTGGTTCTGAGATAGATATCCTCAATTCTATTTTTCGAAACTTTGAACACTGTATTGGGTGGATAGAGTAATTTTTCACACCAAATCTGGTCATCCTCTTGGATTGTTTTCTCCTTGGAGATGGAGGACTGTAGCTTTTGTTCAATTGTTTTCAATTGGAAGAAACTTGATGGCTTTAAAGAGTGATTCTGATACTCTACAATTAGAGACCTATCCGACTCAATTAATGAAATGATATTCTTTGGTATCGCCTGTCTAAATACAGTGAAAGGCATTATGGACATTAAAAATGTAACTGGTAACAAGCTTGAATCACCAATTGTTGGCAACATTAATATCTTATCCCTTTTCGCTAAAATTCTCATATCTTGAATCATTTGAGACAAAAGTACTGGTGGTGTGCAATGTGAGAATTGTGAGTAATTTCTACAGACTCCACTCTCATAAGTGCCAATACACCACAACAAACTCTTCAAATAATTAAGCGTTAAAAGAGTTTCTTCCTCTGATCGTTTCATGGAGGGTTGTACATCCTTCGATTTAATTAAAATCTTGGTGAAAAACTCCAAATCTAGTCCAATTGTATTCTTCTCAATATGAACGAGAGACTTTTCTGGATATTTTTGCTTCTTTTTCTTGTATCTCAATAATAGGTTTAACAATTTTTGTTCGTGTGACATTGGTTTCAAGTAATCATTTCCAAAACTTATTGATAGAAATACCATATCCAACAGTATGCTATTCAATTTTTCCTTATATTGTTGATTATCAAATAATCCAAACTGATCTCTAACTCTCTTTACCAGAATAATCTTTTCTATTTTCTGATAATCATTTACAAGAATGATATTCTCCTCACATGATGTCAATAAGAGCAATACAAAATCACTATCCTTAGTATAGACAACATGTCTACAATTTGGATTATTTCTTATAGCCTCTAAAATTTTAATTTCACCCTCTCCAGGTACGAAACAATCAGAAAATTCCACCTTAATATCTACTCCCTTTGTGGCATGTGAATAGAACACATCATCTGCCCATTTATAAATCTCCTGGCAAATTTTAAACATGAAAAAAGTTCCTGGACTTGCCATCAAACTGGAAACATTGGCAAATCTACGTTTTCTTTGTTCTTGATTTTTAGCACTTTTCCAAATTCATAATTATGATAGCAAGGAAACTATACTTACAATGGGCAAGGACCATCAAAAACTAGTACAATCTTTGAAAATGGTCTATTCTCCAAATAAATATGATTCAATTGACCAATTACAGAATCCTTAACTTGCTCCACAATTTTCAAAACACTCTTCTCAGCAAACAATGTTGAAGCAGTAGCATCTACAGGAATAACATCTTGCAATTTGTGATAAATTAATGAATTTCCATCAATATAAATAACAGTTTCCATAGTGGCTCCTCCTGCACCATCACCACCACCTTCCAATTGTGGTTGCTTCTTTGATGCAATCATATTCATGGAGGCATCATTCGTTCCGAGAATGAAACTCAACACTGATGTGACTGTACTTCTGGGAAGACCCATTTTTTTCTTCTTTGATTTTATTGAATAATTATTGAACAGTGTATTATTATTTGATGCAATAAAATTGTTTGTATGAATGTTTCTAGAGGAGAGTTAACAAGCTTGTAAGTAGATTCAATTGTATCATTGTATCATTATTTCTTCACCGTTTCAAATTGAAACTCCTGTATATCCACTCACTTAAACTCCATTAAAAAAAAGAAATCCACACTCACACGGCGTACCATACACGTGTCATCCAAGTAGTCGAAGGAGACACTGCTCTGAGTAAACGTACACTATTTTAAAGAAAACAACAACAACAACAGAGAAGAAGGTTGTTGTTAAAGAGAGAATTTTGCTTTTTTTGAATCGGAAAATATGTTACCCTCATCGACTGCTAATGTCGGATTGGATCATAAGAGAGGAAAGAAATGTTGTTCCTGTTTTAATGATCAATTTTCAAAGTCTATTCAACGTTCATTCTATTCCTTTGCAACATCTAAATGGGGTGCTATATTGTTGATTATTATTACATTTATTACTTTAAATACGGCATTGCACTTGTTACAATCTATTTTGGATATTTCCATCACTGATAAGACTACCCTTGTGGTAAGTTTATAATAATGCGAATGAATTTATTCTCAATAATTTTAACATTTCAATTTTTAAATTATTTATTTAAATATTTAATATAGGATGATGAAGCATCACAATTGGGAAATTATTGTAATAGGATGTATAGAGATAATATTATGAAAATTAATTCAGTTTCTAAATTGTGTTATGAACCTATGGATATTGTTTATACTTGGGTCAATGGTTCCGATCCAATACACAAGAATTTAGTGAAACGATTTAATGCTTTGGAAAAGGAGAAGGAAGAAAAATCTAATGTTGACAATACTAAAACAATTGAAAGTGCTGCTACCAAGACGTCTTCCAATACTACTACTACTAGTACTACTGATTCTAGCAAATCCAATCAGAAAACAACCAATAATTACCATTTGAAAGGAGTAGGAAATGCACATGTGAAAACACAAGAAAACAAAACAAAGAAGAGAAGAAGATTACTCTCTGTGAAATCCACAAGCAAGAAGAAACAAGAAACTAATAAGAAATCAATTCCTCAAACCAATAAGAATGCCAAAGTAACCAAAAAGACTAAAGCACCTGTTACAAAGAAAACCAATTCATCAAAAAAGACAACCAAACCACCAGTTACCAAACAACAACATACTAAGGTTGAAAAAAAGGGTGCCACTGGAAAGAAAGCAAAAACTAACAAGGCTTTGACAAAAAAGACCACTAAGAAATCAAAGAAGGAAAATACTCCTAAAGTTAAAAATGACTCAGAAATTATCAACAATGGTACAACAACTAAGAATGCTACCAAAACTGATGATACCAATAGTAGTAACAGATTTAGAGATAATGATGAGTTGAGATACAGTTTACGTAGTTTGGAACGATTTGCTCCATGGGTCAGAAATGTTTATATTGTGACAAGTGGTCAAGTGCCAAGCTGGTTAAACGTAAAGAATCCAAAGGTTAAAATTGTTAAACATGCCGATGTTTACAGAAATCCAATCCATTTACCAGTTTTCAGCTCACCTTCTATTGAATCTCAAATTCATAGAATTCCTGGCCTTTCTAAAAAGTTTATTTACTTGAATGATGATGTCATGTTTGGTAACGATGTGTATCCAGAGGATTTTTATAGTCACTCAACTGGACAAAAAGTATTCCTCAGTTGGGAAGTTCCTCCATGCCATGAAGGATGCCAAGAATCTTGGTTAGGTGATGGTTATTGTGACGTTTCTTGCAATGTTACTCAATGTGATTTTGATGGTGGTGATTGCGTTGGTCCAAATGTGAGATTCTCTTACGGATCTTCAAGCTCTTCATCAAGTTATGGCAACTATGGTGGTAACTATAATTATGGTAGTAATTCTAATAGTTTTTGGTCATCCACTAATACTAAGAATTATTGCTCAGCCTCTTGTTCTGATTCATGGATTGGTGATCGTTTTTGTGATAGACCATGTAACGTTAAAGAATGTGGTTATGATGCTGGAGATTGCGAGTTTAAGGAATTAAAGACAGAATTGGAGCATGTACAATTGGAAAATAGCATTTCAGTTATCTATGTCCGTAATATAGAACCTTCCATTTACTTGGATTTGAGTAAGATATTCAAAGATGCTCAAATTACTAATGGCAATCACGAAAATGAAAAGCTAGTTAGAAGTTCAACAATTTCACAAAAGGAAAAGCTCCTCATATTCACTTTTAATTATCAATCTCTCAAGTCCAATGTTACCAAGTACAGTAACAATACCAATTTCTATGAAGAACATGTCCCGGTTTCTTTGGAAGCTGAGAGAGTTCTTAATGATACCTCCAAAACTGATACATTCCAAAACACTCACTCCACTACTTTTGAACAATTGGGCACTAAATTGACAATTACAAAATCTTTCATCGTAAAGGTTGTTTCAAATCATACATTCAATTACATTGCCAAAAAATTTAACTTATCAAATGAAACAAGCATTTTTGGTATTCATGAATCACAAGAATCAGAGTTAGCAGCTGACAAGAACTACAATAAGGCATTGGTGGTTTCTACCTACTTTTCTAAAACTCAGCTTAATGCTATTGTTGGAAAGAACAATAGCACCAAACCTGCAGAAAAAGCCACCAAGACAACTCCTGAAACTGATTGGTTTAATAGTTGGAACAATATCAATTCTGATACTCAAGAAAATGACAAGTCAGTTACAAATACCAAGAAACAATCTGGATCCAAGTTAGAAACCAAGGCAACAGAAATTGACGATATTTCTGAAAATGTTATCAAAACCAATCCAGTCATTACTGAAAACCAAGCTGTTCGTCCTGCATCTATTGACACCAAAAAAGCTCAAGTTAAATTGGAGGAAAAGAAAACTGAACCAATGAAGAATACTTTGGAAACTGTCACCAAAGAAACCCCAACTAGTACACTCGACACTATACAAGCTAAAAAGGATACTGAAATCAAACCTGTCACTAAAAAGATTGAAGATGATTTGACTAAAAAAGTTGTTGATATCAAGACAGAAACCAAACAAAAAGAAAAGGCAACAGAAATTGATGACATCTCTGAAAATGTTATCAAAACCAATCCAGTCATTGCAACCGAGAAGCAGCAAGTTCCTAAAACACCAGAAAAGTCTCCAACTCAAGAAGCCGACAATTATAATATCGATAATCTCAATAGTGATGAATTGAGATATTTGAAAAAGTTGTTAAAAAAGAAAAACAGAAAGTTATTGGGCATCTCGTCTCCATCAAATATTCGACCATCATACTCTAACAGAATTCCTATTGTTCAATCTCATCCTGAAGAAATTGTTAATTCCCTCCGTTTCAATCTAGCAGAAAAGGAAAAGAATCAAGAAAAATATGAAAATATCAAAAAGAGAATTGAAAGAGAAATCAAGAGTGAAAACTATGATGACAGCAGTAACAGCGTCACCACAGAAAGCTCCACACCTGTTAGAATCGGTAGAAAACTCCTCGATAAGTTTGGAGATAGTTTAATTCATGTGAATAAGTTGTTGAATAGAGAATATGGTAGGGCCTCTCGTAAGGTACCAGCTCACATGCCTCACATGATTGATAGGGACATTATGTTCGAACTTCAAAAGAAATGGGAATATGAATTCAATGTCACATCATCCAATAGATTTAGATCCTCAAGTGATATGCAGTATACATTTACCTATTTCTACTATTTAATGCATGAAGGTATTCACTATAATGTCTCTAGATTTTTGAGGGAACATGTTGATACAAACAATGATAATGTTTTGGATAATTATGAAATTAGAAATTTAGCTAACTTGATGTATCACAAGTACAAGATACCTCTCTCCAAATTAACTGATTTACATACCAATATTACATCTAGTATTAATACAATTAATGATGAAATGAAAAAGGAAAGAGGAGGATTAGAAAAACCAAAAAAGAAAACTAAGAAGGGCAAAAAGAAGACTCCAACACCAGAAATTAGTACATCACCTATTAACACAACTGCAACAACAAACAGTACAAAAAATTCAGAAGATGATGAATTTGGTTCCTATTTCTGGGCCAGTACAAAGAGTAACAAGAAGTGGAAATCTTGGTCCTATTTTGAAGATTTTTCTGAATTTAAGGAGTATCATCAAACAGTAAGAAATATCCTGTATGGCCATCTCAATTATACAAGGCTTGTATTGTCACGATATCAAGCAATGGATGACTCTGCATTCAGAACTAAACCAATTCTTGAAGATTTTGTTAATAGTGGCCTAAGCGATATTGTTAAAACAAAGGCACACAAGAGCGAACAACGTTTTCCATTTACATTGGAAGATTTATCTCAAGTAGGATTCCACATGATTAGAGATGATGAAGATAAAGTTGGAGATCAATTGGACGAATTGAGAAGAAACAGACCTAAATTCATTTGTTTGAATGATGATATGAATCAAACCAAACCAAATGAACAGGTTGTTGAAATGTTACACAACTTTTACAATTGGTACTTCCCAAATAGATCCCAATTTGAATTACAAGACAGTGAAGAAAATCCATTCCTCTATATTGATGAATTGATGGAGCACTACAATAATGTTCGATATAATCGTTATGTTTATGACGCTATTATTGTCGGTGTGATTTGCTTTATTTGTTGCTGTTGTTTAATTGTAAGAAAATTGTTCAAATCAAAGGGTGGAAATAAGAGTGGCAGAAACTTTAAAAATCAAACAAATATGGGTACTAGTTTCACAGATGAAAAGGATCAAACAAGCATTGGTCAACCGATTACAGCAGGTACCTCTAGCTCAGTTGGAATTGGACAAACCTTAACCCACCACAGAACAGTCAATGATAAACCAGAAATTGTTTAAAAATGTACAATTGATTTATTTAATTAAATTTAATTGGAATGAATAACAAGCCAAATAAAATACAAATCACAACAATCAGAGTTACAATGATAATAATTTTCCACTTATCAGAGGTATTATTTAACATGTTGCTCAATCTCTTATTCGTTCTTTCCAATAATCCTTTTGTTTTATCGACATGTTGCTCCATATCCTCCAACTCTCTGTGTTGTTCATCGAGTTCATCACCCATATCTTGAGCGATTTGCCCAACACGTTGAACAGTAGTTGCCATCTTATCCAATTGTTGGTCTTGATTTTTCTTGACTTGATCCTGAACTTGTAATTGTTGGTCGATAAATTTTTGATTATCTTGAATGTATGATTCTTCCAATCTAGAATATTTTGATGAACCTTTTCCTGTTGGTTTTGGTTGTATTGGTTGTTCATCCTCGTCGTTTGTCAGCAAGGTTTCTTTTTTCTGTTGTTGCTGTTTTTGTTTTCTAGTTTTAATTTGTTGTTCTATTTGTCTCATTTGTTGTGATGTTGTCGAAATAAATAATTTACGTTTTCCGATTTCTTCCTTTGAAATGTTTTTAAAACGTTGCGGATTCTTCTCTACAATATCAATTGTTGATTGCAGATCCCCCAAAAATAAATCAACCGATTTAATATTACTTTGTAATTCGGTTTCTATTCCTCTCCATTGTTCTTGACTTGTTGGATCAATATACATCTCCTGTAAAACTTTGATGGAGGCCAGCTTTTCTCTGACCTTGTCTTTCACCAGGTCGAACGGATCAGCAGAGTTCATTTTTTTTAAAATTTATTTTTATTTACATTCAAATGAAATCTTCTATTAGCCAGTAATTGGAAGTCAACGTTAAAATTTTGAAAAAGTAAAATCTCCTCATTTTCTTGTCATGATGGTCGTTCAAATAACATTGAGATTAAATCAATTAGTTAATATTAGTTTTATAAATGTACAATAATTTTAAATGATCCAATTAGAAATGTAAATCATTTTCATTACAAAAATCATCAAACATATTTGCAATGAATAAAAGTCTGTGAGCACTATTAATACTCTTCTCATACAGAACTTGACCATGCTCATCTGACTCAGCCTCAGAGAGAACAATATTCACCTCTCTTCTAGAAAGGTCCAAGTCTGCTTCCAACAATTCTCTTCTGAACTTGGCGAATGAAATGGCACCTGTTTGGCCTTCGTCAGCTCTTTCGAAAATGGCCTTCAATTCTTCATCCAGTTCCATCTTGTTGAGTCCATGAACAACATCGGCCTCATTGACATTAATTTCTTCCATAAACGACTCTACTCCCACAATTGTTTTCAAAACATTTGTCACTTGTTGAGAGAATTGACCAATTTCAATTGTACCATCCTCTGAAATTTCTGATTCTGCCATAACAAAGAGCATGATTGCTTCAGGGAGTTGATAGTTGAAAACTTTTTTGATTTCATCCTTAATGACATCCATAGGAAGATTTTCATATCCGAACGAGCTTAATTGATTATAGATAATATTTAAAAGCTCTTGGTCTGAAATTTGTACAATAGCTTGGAGCATGTCTCCTTCAAAAGCAGAATTTGCACCACCTTCTGGATCTTCATCTACACCCTCCTCTTCGACATCATTGTCTTCGAATTTGTCTTGAGATTTAATGCTCACAGGTTTATCTTGTATGGAAATGCTGGAAATATTTTGGTAGTCGTCTTCGTTTGGTTTAATACTACTAGCGTTCAGAGATTCATCCAAAGTATGTAAATCATTATTATTTGTATGTACAACCTTGTATTCTTGTTCTGGTTCCTCCTCATTAACTTTGGAGGCATTGTTTCCAGCAGTAACCACAGGTGTACTTTCTCCCATTTCCTTAGCCAGCTTCATAAAATAATCATATCCAAATCGATAAATGTTACCAGGTTGAGATCTTAAAACCTCTCTAGTAAAGTCCCGTAAAGTCTCTTGAAAGTTATTGGGCAGAGAGAAATCCTTTTGATATTTGTGACTCATTTTTTTAAAGTTGTTTTTTTAAACTACAAATTTGGCGGGAATGTTCGTACAAACCTACAACTATTAATAACACCGCTCGATTAAATCTGTTTAATTCTTTCAATACCTTTATTTCTTCTTTTTCTGTTTATTTTTCTTACTCGTCGAAGATGGAGCAGAAGACATGTTAGAGGCATTCTCTAGTGATAGTTTTTTCTGTATCTTGACTTGTTCGACAAGTGAAAATACTAATTCTTGATTCTCCTTCTTGATTGATTCATTGAGTAGGAATTGAGAAAGATCTGACGATTCATTATTCTTTGTAAATTCTATCAAGCTTTCTGGAAATGGAGATGGAAAATCCATTCTATTAGTTTTTGTAAGGAAAATAATAGATACCTCTTTCATGAGATAGGATGCAACTTGTTCTCTAGTTGGAAGACAATTGCACCACTTTTTAAATTTGTTATAAATTAACTCTACAACTTTCATATTCTCCAAGGTAATACTGTATAATCTGGCAGTTATTGATAAGAATATCATCCAAGGCATTACAAATGATCTGAAAGCAATATTCAATTTTTGATAAATTTCTTGAGCTATTTCCAAAAGTACATTCTGTATATACTTTAAAGTTTGTGACATTTGCAATATTGTAAATAAACATTCATCCACTGTATCCATTATGGTATTAATTGAATTAAATGTAATCTCAAATCTCTTTTTATCCTTTTCAATATTCATTTCATGATCTAGTTTTGCAATTAAAATTCTCAATTCCTTTCCTGATAATCTTCCCATATTCTTTTTGATAAATTTGTTTAATTTGATGAGTTTTTGTGTATGATTTTCATTTCTATAAGAAATGCCAAATCTCTTTTTCAATAAATCAATAATTTCTCCCTCATACTCATAAAAAGAATAGGATGATTTAAATGTTGTGAATGCATCATGCAAAGTATTTGTTCCATAATAGCTATTTTCATCATCCAAAGCAGAATAAAATTGAGATATTTGTTCTCTCACAGATTTAAACAATTCTTCAAAACCTTCTCCTTCGGAAAAGATTGAAAATTGACAAACTATTGGTACTTGTTCATTCAAAGCAATCACCTTTTCAATTTTACTCAAATCCTTTACTAGTCTTGTTGTCTTTTCAATTGAATTTTCCTCTCCTCCAAAATAATGTCCTCCAGCAATTAATGAAACATTTTGCTTATTGTGTTGAGCTTTGACAAACATTTTTTTAAATTATTAATTATTTATTATTCAATTTATTTAAACAACATCATTACCTAGGTACCAGGCAAGAAAAGCCAAATGTAAAACATTTATTGGAGGATTCTCGCTTCAACAAAAACCAACCATCTATCTGGAAATTGTTTGAACAAAAAAAAGTCAAAAGACTAACCACCACCACCACATTACCACTCATCACCCAACATGCCTCCAAAGAAGAATAACAAGAAAGGTGGTAAATCCAATACTCCTTCTCCTGCTAGTACCACTCCAACAAAGGTTGATTATGATAGTGATGACGAAAATCACGAACTTCAACAAGATGCTTCCACAACAACTCTTCACATTTCAGCCACTGGTAATTTGGTTTCTCACCCACTTTCTATGGACTTGAAATTTGAACACTTTTCTATATCCATTTCTTCACCACAACTCTCTGCCTCAGTTGATCTTATTGATGACACTGAATTTTGTTTGAATAGAGGTGTTAAATACGGTTTAATCGGTTTGAATGGTTCAGGTAAATCCACTCTTCTCAAAGTTTTGGGTAGAAGAATGATTCCTATTCCAAAGCAAATTTCAATTTATCACTTACAAGGTGAAGCTAAACCAACCGATATGAGTGCACTTGACTATGTTTTATCAAGTGTCGATAAGGAACGTAAAAGATTAGAAAAGGAATTGAACGATCCAAAGACAACAACTGAAAGACAAGAACTCATCATGGATAAGTTGGAAGAATTAGATCCAGAATGGACGAAACCTAAGGCTGCTAAACTTTTGCACGGTTTGGGTTTTACTCCTCAAATGCAATTGAAGGCAACTAAGGATTTCTCCGGTGGTTGGAGAATGAGAATCAAGTTGGCCGAAGCTCTTTTCATTGAACCTGATGTTTTGCTTCTCGATGAACCTACAAAGTAAGTGTTTTATGATTTTTGACCTAATTCTTATTTTCATATAATTACAATCTTATTTCCATCCATTAATAATATACAGCCATCTTGATCTTGAAACTTGTGTCTGGCTTGAAATGTACCTCAAAGAATATGAAAACTCTTTAATTATCATTTCCCACTCTCAAGATTTCCTTAACAATGTCTGTACATCAATTATCCATCTCAAAGATCAAAGATTAACTTATTACGGAGGTAATTATGATACCTACTGCAAGACTAGAGAAGAATTAGAAGTCAATCAAATGAAGAGATATCAATCTGAACAAGATGATATCAGTAGAATGAAGGAATATATTGCCAAGTTCGGTCAAACATCCATCAAAATGTCTAGACAAGCCAAATCTAAGGAAAAACAACTTGAAAAGATGATGAGAAGTGGTTTAACTGAAAAGGTTACTGCTGACAAGATTTTCAAATTCACATTCCCAGATGTTCCAAAGTTGCCACCACCAGTTTTGCAATTTAACGAAGTCTCATTCCACTACCCAGCTACTGAAATTATGCCAGAACCTCCATTGTTATTCAGTAAGCTATCTTTGGGTGTTGATATGGATTCCCGTATTGCTCTCGTCGGTCCAGTAAGTAGTCAATAGTATATCCTTAATTGAAATTTTTAACACTCTTTATAGAATGGTGCTGGTAAATCTACATTGATGAAACTCATGGTTAAGCAACTTAAACCTGTCTCTGGAGATATTAATCTTCACTCCCACTTGAAGATTGGTCACTACCACCAACATTTGACTGAAGTATGTTTTTAATAACCTGTCAATAATTTTAACTATTTATTTAGCAATTAGATGAAGACATGACTCCTTTAGAATGGATGTTTAAGGAATTCCCAGACCTTATTGAAAATAACTCTAATGGTACAGAAATGATGAGAGCTGCTATTGGTACTTATGGTATCAGTGGTACACGTCAAACTGCTCCAATTAAATGTCTCTCAGATGGTTTGAAATCAAGATTGATTTTTGCTTGGTTAGCTCTTAAGAAGCCATTTATTTTGTTCCTTGACGAACCTACTAAGTAAGTATATTAGATTGAATTTAATTTCTAATTTATCTTTTTACAGCCATCTTGATATTGAAACAATTGACTCTCTTGCTGAAGCTATCAACTGCTACTCTGGCGGTGTTGTTTTAGTTTCTCACGATTTTAGATTGATTGATAAGATAGAAAATAAGCAAATCTGGCAAGTTGAAAAGGGTACTGTCAAGATTTATAAGGATAACATTGATGCTTACAAGAAGAAGCTCATTAAGGAAATTAGAGAAGCTTCTAAATAAATTTTAAATCCAGTTTTTTCTCATAAGAAAACTTTACAATGCATTCTTTTTGTAAACAAACCAACCTCTATTGCACATAATTAAAAAAGCAAGTCACCACCTGTGTTGGAGATCTCTCTATCTTTTCATGAAGAAACATCTTTGTGCCTCAACAAGAATCCTTTTGTTGGACCATCACAAACATCAACCAAGCAGAAGTTGGCACCGCAACAACAACGCAAAACAACCCGTTAAAACCTATTCAAAATATTTGCTGTTCAAAAAAAATATTAACACAACACCCAAACAACAACAACAAAACAATATGAACGCTTTAAAGGAAGGTTGGTTCTCAGAACTCTCCACTATGTGGCCAGGAGAATGTTTCAGCTTGAAGGTCAAGCAAGTTTTGCACGAAGAAAAGTCCAAGTTCCAAGATATTTTGGTCTTTGACTCTGAAAATTACGGAAGAGTTTTGGTTTTGGATGGTGTCATCCAACAAACTGAAAGAGATGAATGTGCTTATCAAGAAATGATGGCTCACATCCCATTGGCTGCTCTCAAGACTGACCCAAAGAAGGTTTGTGTTATTGGTGGTGGTGACGGTGGTGTCGTTAGAGAAATTTTGAAGCATCCATCTGTTGAAGAAGTCCACTTGTGTGAAATTGATGAAGGTGTCGTTAATGCTTCCAAGAAGTTCCTCCCACACATGAATATGTCTTTCGAAAGTCCAAAGCTCAAGCTCCACATTTATGATGGTGCTGTCTTCTTGAAGGAACACAAGAATTGCTTTGATGTTGTCATTGTTGACTCTTCTGATCCAGTTGGTCCTGCTTCATCATTGTTCGGACCTGAATTCTACAAGTCCTGCAAGGAAGCTTTGAACGAAAATGGTATTTTGTGTACTCAAGCTGAATCCATGTGGTTGCACTTGGACATTATTGCTGGTATGAAGGATTTCATTGTTGATATTTTCCCAAATGTCTCCTACTCTACTATTTCCATTCCAACTTATCCATCTGGTGCTATTGGTTTCTTCATTTGTTCTAAGGATGAATCCAATGACGTCAAGGTTGCTAAGAGAACTGAATGGTTCGAATCTGCTAAGGATACCCTCCAATACTATAACCCAGGTCTCCATGCTTCAAGCTTTGTTCTTCCATTGTTCGCTTCTAGAAGATTGGGTCTCAAACAATAAATTTTGAACTAACTTTTTTTCACATTCTATTCCTACTTTTTTCATCATTTAAATTTCAATAAGTAATGCAATGAACCTTTAAATTCAACAATATTACAATTATCTCTCTTCCTTTGATAACAAGTTGCGAATTTCTTAATAAAAGCTTGATGCAATTAGAAAGAAGCAATCAAGTTTTAAAAATAACTCACAAACAAAAAAAATGAAAAGGTTAAGCCTTGTAAATAATATCAGAGGAATTTTCAAATCCGCTTCCTCTCCTAGTGTAAATTCCATCCTTCCTATTATTATTAACAATAATAATAATAATAGATTTTTGAATATTGTACATCAACAACTATCTTTGAATACTAAACAATTTGTTAATAATAATGCATTATTTATGAATACAACAACAAGTACTGGTCAACAAATGATGTATCATACTACTGCTGTTCCTAAGAGTGCCAATGAAGGAGAAGATGAGGCAGCTTACTTGGATCGTGTTGCTCAAGAACTTGATATTAAATGGTCCAATTATTTCAAAGCTAGAACAACATCTTCTAAAAAAGAAAAGGCTCTCCGAACAAGCAAGACCATTCTTGTAGCCAAGGAAGAGGAACTCGGAATTGACCAAATTACTAAACCTGTAAATTATGAAATTCCAGAAGAATTTACACACTATAGACTTATTCGTGTCAGTGATGGTACAATGATTGCCGATAAAATTGATAGAGAATCAGCAGAAGAAATTGCACTCAATGAAGGATTAGATTTAATCCTAGTTGTAGATTCTGTTAGCCCACCAGTTGTTAAATTGGGTGATTATGTTGTATTTTTAAAACATGCAATTATCAAGGACAAGTTGAGCCAGTTGAAGGATTTAGAAAAGGAATTGGAAGAGAAGAAGACTAAGGAAATTAGATTTTCTGCTAATATTGATACTCATGATTTGGATGTCAAGATGAAGAAAATGATCAAGTTTTTGGTGACAGGAAAAAAGGTAAAGATTTTGTGTTTCCGTGTTGAAAATGAAGAACAAGCTTTCCAAATGTTAAAAGACTTTGTTGGTAAAGCTAAGGAAAAACTTGCTAATGAATTCCCTGGTATGGATTTAAAGAAAGCCCTTGAAGAAGATAAACCATTCAAGCAAAAGAATGAATACATGCTTACTATCAAGATGAAGGACGACTTTTTGGCAAAAGCAAAGAAGGCCAACAAACAATAAAAAAGGTTTACAAAGGTTATTTATTAATTTTCAGGAAATTTCAGAAATATAATTTATTCTAAATTATTTTTACTTAGCACGAGGAAGAGTAACAGATACTACCTCAGTCCAGTGACGACAGAAATCTTCACAACACATCCAAAATATGCCATCATTAGCACTCTTAACATCAAGTTTTTTCAAGAGTGATTCATTCCATGATGAATCATTGTCAGAGTATTTACCTTTCCATTCCATGCAAGCATATGCCTTCTCAGTTAATTGCTCATTTGAGCTGTAAGCGAAACCCCATGGGTTGAATAACTTTACAAGCTTGTGAACAACCTTATTATCATCTTCTACTTCAACAACTTGTTGGACAATATAAGCATGACAATCATTTTCAGTAATTTCATTGTAGCCCTTAGTATTTGAAACAAGAAGGAGATTTCCATTGTTGAATTCTGAAACGACTCTTGACCAAACAGATGAAACGTCGCAACTACTTCCTAACTTGGTTTCAAAGCTAATCTTCGTTCCAAACAATGATTGGAGAGCATCTTGGGGTCTACCACCATGGCAATACATATGATAACCTCCCAAGTGTTTTGCGTAAGATTTTTCTAACAATTGCACCCAGAATTCATTTGGATTTCCAGAGATGGCACCAATAGGCTTACCCAAATATTCAATAGGAATGCTATCATCAATTGAAACAAACTTTTGGTGACCATTAGAATTGTAGAGCTTCATGGTATGTCTTCCCGTAACAAAATCAGTTTCAACAAAACTATTCTTGATAATTTCTGGTCTCTTTGATGAAATGGCATAGAGTGCAGAGATAAAATAGGCATTGTTGATAAGACCCTTTCTGATATTCTTTACTTCAATACCAGCGGCAGAATCAACCAAGATTGGCTTATCACTGAATTGACAAGGCCTTAACCAATAGGCAACACTGACCTTGAGGGAATCAACAGTAAAGTCAAAATCATTGTCCGAATACATCTTTGAAACTCCACATCTTGTAGTTCTTTCAAGGACAACCTTTGGGGCGTCATACTTTTTATGGATACTAGTATAATAATATCTTAAAAGAACCAAGTATTGTACTAATTTGCCATACTTTTGGAAGTATTCAATAAGAGTCTTGACTGATGAATCAAATTTTGGATCAGAAGGTAGCTTTCTACACTCCTCAATGAGTTGTTCAACATTCATAGACAAAAATTTTGGAATATTAGGGTTATCAGTCCAGTTGTTGAACGCAATCTTTTCTCTTTCGAGCATGACAATTGTTCTAGTCAACCAACCTATATTCTTTTCAAATTCAGAATCGATTTGATTGGCCAAAGTCATAAACTTGTGAGTATTATCTCCAGTTGCCAATTCAAGAGTCTTCATGAGATTGGCTTGATACTTCTCCAAAGTTTGTAAAGTTGAAGAATAGAGAGGAGAAACTCCCATCAAGTGAGAAAAGTTTGATTTAAAGTTGGTAATTGTAACTTCAATTACCCATTTTCTTTCACTATTTTCAACGGAGCACTTGTTGGTTTGGTTGGTGATAGCCTTATTATTGCAAATGTTTGTCTCATCTGTAATGCACTTGGAAGAATTGTTTGTTTCACTAACATTCTTATTAACTGTGGAGTTGTTGATCACATTAGTGTTGTTAATAACATTATTGGTAACAGTGTTGGTTGTGTTAGTGACATGAGTAATATTGTTTGTAACATTTGAAGTAACATTATTAATAACATTGACCTTTTCAACTGTATTAGTAATGTTACATTTCTTGTTATTGATACATTCTACAGTTGAGTTATTATTTTGTTCAATAGACTTGTTAACTGTCTGGTTATTGACAACATTGTTTGTAACATTATTGGTAATATTCTTTTCAATAATAGTATTATTAATAATGTTATTGGTGGTATTGTTCACAATGGTCTTGTTAATTTCTTGGTTATTGGTTACAGTTGTAGTGTTTGATACCGTCTTAGTGGCACTTTGTGGTCTTGTAATTGAGGCAGTTTGAGTTGTGGTGGTTGTGGAGACAGGTGCCTTGTTATTAACAATACTTGTATTGGTTTCCACTGTTTTGGTTGCTGTAATTGAAGTTGGTTGGTTATTGTTAACTGTACTTTCAAGTTTGACGGATTTGGTTGTGTTGGATGTTTGATTAGAGGTATTATTGACAACATTGTTATTAATAATGGTAGTATTACTGTTTGTTGTAGTGTTATTGACAATAGTTTTTGTAACAGTGTTACTAGTTGAATTGGTGGTGGTTTGAGGGGAAGGGCTTGCTGGTCTTCTTGGAGTTGTGGTGGTGTTTTGGAGTGTATTGTTTTCAACCTTTGTATTGTTAGTAACTGTTTTAACACAATTTGATTCATTCTTTACAATAGTATTATTTTCGACATTCTTTGTGACATTATTTGTAACATTGTTAGTCACAGAGTTTTGAACAACGTTTTGTTCTGTCCTTGTTACATTAGCAGAGCTATTGACTCTTGGACTGACAGGTCTTCTTGGAGTTGTGGTGGTTGCTTGAAGGGTTGAAGTATTGGTGTTGTTTTCAATGGTCTTTACGTTTGTGCAGTCATTGTTAATAACAGTCTTATTTTCAACGACCTTTGTGTTACTAATCACTGTATTTGTGGTATTAGTAATGTTTGTTACTGTATTAGTAACAACATTTTGGGTTACTGTTGTTGAGACATTGTTAACTACATTTGAGCAATTATTGACTACCTTAGTTGAATCATTATCAACAACCTTACATGAATTATTTTCAACAACTGAGGAGCAATTAGTTTCCACAATTGGTCTTGGGCTAATAGGTTTTGGTTGAGTATTTGTTCTAACCAAAGTCTTGGTATTTTGAGATGTTGTACTGGTATTATTATTGACAACATTGGTATTGTTGACAATGTTTGTGTTTTTGACAACATTTGTTGTAGTATTATTGGTGACTGTATTGGTCACATTATTTACAACATTAGAAGAATTATTAACAACGTTAGAGCACGTGTTTTCAACAACCTTATTGCATGAAGGACTTGGAGGTCTTGGACTAATTGGTCTTGGTTGAGTATTTGTTCTAACCAAAGTCTTGGTGGTTTCAGTACTAGTGGTTGTGTTGTTATTGACAACATTGTTGGTTGTGTTATTAACAACATTCGTTGTCTGATTATTATTAACTACAGCCTTATTTTCAACAACTTGATTTACAGCTTTAACAGTGTTAGTAGCAGTAGTGGTATTACTCAACCTTGGACTGACTGGTCTTCTTGGAGTTGTTGTGGTTGGTTGAAGAGTATTGGTATCAATTGTTTTTACATTGGTCGAATTATTATTGATAACAGTGTTATTTTCAACAACCTTAGTGGTATTGGTAACAGTATTATTAACCACGTTGGATGCATTATTGTTAACAATAGTGGAATTGTTTTCGACAACCTTCTTTCCTGCAGGACTTGTAGGTCTTGGGCTGATTGGTTTTGGTTGTGTATTTGTTCTGACTAATGTTTTGGTGTTTTCTGTGGTTGTTGTATTGTTTGTGACATTAACTGTATTATTAACAACAGTATTGGTGGTATTTGAGTTAACAACATTTGTTGTTTGATTATTGACAACATTTGTAGTTGCATTGGTAATTGTTTTTGTTGCTGATTGAGGTCTAGTTACGGTTTTTTGAGTACTTGTAGTGGTAGTAACAGGAACACTGTTATTCACAATAGTAGTGTTCTTTTCAACAGTCTTACTAGTGGTGACCTTACTAGTTTGATCTACGGTTGGGACTGTGACAGAAGCCTTTGTTGTTTCGCTAACATTGGTGGTAACATTTTTCTTATTATTTTCAGAAGTTTCTACTGTTTGGATATTATGATTCTTTTGAATATTAACTGTAGTGTCGTTAACAGTGACAGAGTTATTAACGGTTTTTGAGATATTGTTGGTTGTGACATTATTGATAACTTGATTGTTAACAGTGTTTGTTGTAGTATTTTGATTGTTAACGACAGACTTCTTTTCCACTGTTTTTACAACTTGCTTATTAGTGTTGGCAACATTGTTAATCTTATTAGTTTGATTTGTAACATTGTTATTAATGGTTGTAGTGTTATTTGTAATTTCAGTATTGACAATATTGGTCTTATTAATGGTAGTATTGTTGGTTATAACGTTATTGGTATTTGTAACCTCATTATTGATTTGAGTGGTTGCAATTGGAAGATAGGTTGGTTGAATAAGGGCTTCCACATTCAAGTTATCAAAATTGAACAATGGAGGAGGAACAAAGTCACTGTGACTATCAGTCGACTCAGTTGTTGTAAAGAATGGCAAAGTATCTAATGATCTTGGTTGTTCATAGTTTGTATTAATCGTACCATAGTTTTGTTCCATCGTATTATATTGGCCATACATATTGTATTGTTGATACATTGGCTGTTGATGGTAAGTAGTAGTTGTAGTTTGCACAACAACAACTTGTTGAGGATTATAGGCTTGTTGTTGCTGAGCCATCATCATTTGTTGGTGATGTTGTTGCTCGTGATAGTATTGTTGTTGGGAATACATTTTTTGAGAGCTTGCGAAGGAGATCTATTAAGAGCGTGAGGCAAATTCAATCCTTTGGAAAGAGAACACAACACTATTATTTTTTTTGTAGTTGTTTGGTTTGACCTTAAACTTTTGAGTTATTATATTGAGAACAACAGCAACCGACTACAGAAAGTTCATCCCTTCAGAAGCATCAGAGATGACCTTGCGATGGAGATAGTCTTGTAGAAAACATCAGTACCAATATATGTTTATTGACGGAATCTTGGGAATTGAGGTATTAATACAATAATCCATGTTTACAATAACTATTCTTCATCGATGGTAGTGTCTTTTGATGGATCTTGGTTAGTGTTGTTAATAAGGCTCCCTTTGGCAAGTTGTGGTTGTAAACCACGTTTTTTGTGGTGTGGTTTGGAGTGGTCTTGTTCCACTTCTTTTACTTCCAAAGTAGTTGTTGTGAGCGAAACAAATTCTTCTACAGATGTAGAGCCATCTTGTCTCTGTTGCTCTAGAGTCTCCATGGACCTGATATATTGCTCATCATCCACCCCAACCTGTGGAGGAACAAAATATTTGTCACTCAAGCCTCTCATATCTTTCTTCAATTGCTTCCTCTCTGCTTTAACATCATAATCCAAAGCAGCAGCAGCAGTATGAATATTTGATTGAGTGTTGCCTTCTTGATCTGCATTACTCTGTGTGGTTGAGTAATTTGTGGATTGGGTTTTAGGAAACGAGTTGTTAAACAACCTGGACGAAGAAATAAACTTTCGTACAGTAATTGTTCTTTTAAACATTTTTTATAATTGCAATTAATCACAAATGGAAAATTTCTCTATTGGATCAAACTGTGTAAAGCTTGTTTCTTGTTTTCCGTTATTAATACACTACTAATTCTGTGACGGTTTCACAATAGCCAAAAATTTAGCGGCAACCTGTGACATAATATTTTTAAATTTAAAATAATAAAAAATGCTCAACCCACATACATCGTCGACACTTCTCTCCTCCTCGGGAGCAGCATCACTAAGAGGAGCAAATCAAAAATCATCGTTAATGCTTTCAAAGGGTGGTATGTTATTGTGAGAGTGTAAAATTATTATTCACCACGATATTTTTTATCGGATCATGATTATCATCATTTTGGATCCTAAATATTATTTAATGTGGAAAATAGGAATCACGAAAAAAGAACATCATCAACCAATACAACAACGTATAAATTTGATACAAATTAAAAAAGCAATAGATAAACATTTAGATGATAGAAAGGGCTTGTATTGGAATACATTTATTAAATATTTACAAGCTAAATTATCAAAAACTGAATGGGACCATTTCATTAAAATTACTTTTGGATATGAATTTATTGCACTCCATAATTACTTTATTAAGAGCTTACTGTGCAATGCCAAGATTTCGACATTCCATCATTTGAATGGAACTAGCTCAACAGATGGAGCTAAACGTAAAAATAGAGGAATTAATAATATGATGATGCTAATGGAAAAGGAATTACTACACTTGTCGAGCCAAAATTTGATATTTGATAATTTATGTTTACACACTTCAACATCTTATAACCCTTCCAAATCTGTAAATTTATCTAATGAAAAACACTATACAAAAGATTTATTCGAAAGTAAAATGAATAAGATTGCGAATGATTTGGGCGTAATGAATGTTGATGGTGAAAGTATCAACTTGTTATATTATGCCACAGAGTACTATTTGAAAAATTTAATAACAAAATGTCTGCAACAAAAAAAGCAAAAATATGAAAATTACAAAAAACCTCAGATAGGATCCTATTTAGTGAAAGATGGAAAATATACACACAGTTATAGACACTATGAACTGCCTCTGCCAGAAGAAGAGGAAGAAGAAGAGTTCAGCACCAATGCCATCCATGAAATTGATAAGCATGTCATTACCCCTAGAGATTTCTCATTGACAATACAAGCCAGTCCAAACTTGATAGACGACATCAAACTAAGGGAAAAAGCTATCAATATGGATTGGGATTTGTATTATTAACATTGATTGATATTAATAAAAAGATTATTTGAGTTTTCTTCGAAACAACAAAAGAGTATTGCAATACCTTATTTTTTAAGAGAATTGTTTGTTGGTGTTGTACAAATGTTTATTATCATATAAGTTACCAATGCCCACCATTCATCATGTCAAATGTTACAAAAAATGTCTCAACCATCTCCACACTCATCATCTGCCAATCTTTTTCCTTCCTCTTCATCAATGAACATCTCATCATCAAACAATAATAATTTAACATCTCTCTCAAGTACCAGTAGCATTCATTACAATCTAATTTCCGGAAAACACTCCATTAAAACACTATGTAAATATCACTTTGACTTGTATTGTATTAGGAGGTGTATGCTAGGGGACAATACCATTCCATATCACAGATTAAAATCTGATGATTTAATGCTCATAGAAAATATGAGCGTTCACTCACTGAGTAGTGAAATTCTAAGTGAAAAATATGAAAAAATCAACAAGAAACAAGAAGACACACAACTCAGTGATTCCTCTTCTCAAAATCAGCAGATGCATTACCATGAATTTGGAGAGAAATTGGATTGTGATGAAAATATTACAGATAATCATCAAAATGATAGGTTGAAAGATTCAAATCCATCCATCATGATTAAACTGAATGATTTGGAAATTGGATCCTCTCCAATTTTGTTAACTTTAGAAGCTCCACATTTGGGAAATAATTTATATACAGGTATGTCTATCTAATTCAACATTCACATGTTAATACTTTGAATAATAATTAGGAGATCAATTAATAGATTTTGAACATGTTAAATTATCAATGGAACAACGTGTATTGGCCTGCATTGAGTATGGGTATTTGGATGAATTGGTTCGATTACTGGATTCAATTAAAAACAATACTTATCCAATTTCACCTAGAGTGGCTAGTGGTGGCTCTTCGTCACCATCTGGTGGTAATTCTACCAGTAGCAATTCAACATCCCTATTTGTTCCGTCAAATACTTCATTTTCTAGTGGTGGAGGAGGTGGCATACTATTTGATATTAATCAAATATTTAGAGACAAGACAAAGAATGATAGATCACTATTACATATTGCTTCAAGATTTGGTCATACTCATATTATTGAATATTTAATTGACAAGTATGGAGCTAATCCTAATATTGTTGACAAATCGGATAGTACTCCAATTTTCTTAGCAAGTGCTCATGGACACACTGATGCCTGTCATGTTCTGGCATCAAAAGGAGCTCAAGTTAATATTCGTGATGCTTATGAAAATTTTCCATTAGGTATAGCCTTGTCGGGAGGGTTTTTTGAAACAGCAGATGCTCTTATTCTGTTTGGAGCTGATGTCAATTTTAAGGGAAAGAGAGGAAATACCATTTTACACGATGCATGTGAATCGAACGATTGGCCTCGAGTTCAATTCATTCTTAAACAGCCAAATATTAACATTGCAACAAAGAACCGATTCGAGGAAAATTGTCTATTCTGCTCACTTCCATTCCCTTCATTGTTGTTCAAATTGTGTGATTGGTTCTGTAAAAATTATGCATTGGATGAGTTTCAGAGATGGATTCGATCTGATGATCAACTAGGCAAAACTCTCCTTCATATATGTGCTCAACAGGGTTATTTCATTTCGTTTTGCATTTTAATTCAATTCATACCATTAGATAGAATTCAGGCCTTTTTAAATTTCAAAGATAGAGTTAAGGGAAATACTGTTCTTCACTATACAGTCAACTTGGTTGGTAATTCCATCTCCAATGTTGTCAACTCAAATATTATTACACCAAATAGTGGAAGTGAACCAATTGATTCTGCAACTATTATTTCAACGCCAACTGTCAATAATAATTTCTCCTTCCAAAACAGTAATGAAAATGATTCAACAGGCAGTGCAGATAATAACAGCAATAGTAGCAGTGATTCTCCATCGTATTATGGAGATAATAGCAGTAATATTACTAATACACCAGTACACATTCCATTCTCTGCTTCAAAATGCTACCTGTACAATCATGATATTCCCAATGAGGCATTCTTTTGGGTTTTGATATCAAGTAATGAAATGTCTATTGATGAACAAAATAATGATGGTGATACGGGGCTTCATCTCTCATTGAAATTGAATAATCCATCAACTTCCAATCTCTTGATTACTATTGGAGGTGCCAATGTAAAAATTCAAAACAAGCAACACAAATCATGCAAGAAAGTTGCAAAAGAAATGGGAATTATCATTAATGATGATACCAAGGATTCTAATCGATTTGCTGGACTATTCAAGAAGATTACAAAAAATAGAGGAGAAAGCGGTCAAAGTAGTGGATCTGCCACTCCACACAGACAGACTTCATCTATGGATGATTTCAGTGCTGTTCTAAATGGTTCAACAGCTGGTTCCTCAGCAAGTAATAACCTGAATGGAGGAAGTAATGTTGTGAGTGGAACAATACCAACCTCAACACAATCTCAACACTTGGTAACCATTAATAATCTTACAGTGTTGCCTAGAGAACAATTGATTGCTTGGACTAATCAGTTGGGTTATAATTTAGGTGTTATTGATACTTGCTACATGAAATTATTCGATACAATTAATAACTTGACCAAATCAATTTTCAGAATGGCAAAAGCCAACAAGAATGTGTCTCTAGTGGAGTGGAATATTGGGATTTATATTTTGGAAGATGCCATTGAATCATTACAAGAATCCTTTGAAGCAGAAAGACGACTCTTTATTGAATGCTTACTTAAAAACGACTTGTTGGAAGAACATTTCAAGGAGCATGAAAAATTCATTGAAATTATTTATGAATTGCATGATGAATTCAAACAACATGGTTCTGAATTTATTCTAGAAGAATTTCTTTTATACCTCCTAGCTCACATCAATGAACACTACCTTACAACAGATAGAACTTTAGCAATGCATGTCAAGGCTTTCAGAATTGCTCCATTGCCAGAAGAAAACGAATTAATGTTAGAGTTTCTCTAGAGATTGAGATGAAAATTATTTTAACCATTTCTAAATGGTAACCAAAAATTATTGGTTCTAATTTTTTTCATTCTAAATTTAATTATATTAAATATTCAAAAAAAATGCTAAAATTACACAACTTGTCTAAAAGTCGTTTTATCGGAGAACAGCTTGGATGTACGATTATGAATAATAGAAGTTTTTCAATAGGACAAAAATTAATGGCAAAAAAGAAAAAATCAAGTAGCTTGAAAAAGAGACGATCCATAGAAGATATATTTTCTATGGATCCATTTCAAATAATTCAACAACAAGGAATAAGAGATGGACCTAGTGAGGATATGATGTATTTTGAACATCCAATTTTAGGAATGGCTCCCGAAATGCTAAAACAAGCTTTTGTCTATGAACAAGAACATCAAAACCATGACTCGGTTGCTATTAATTGGCATGAGGAAAACGATCATTTTGAATTAGTTGTAACTTGTCCAGGTTTATCAAAAAAGAGAGCTCAAGTTTCAATAGATGAAAATTGCCTGGTTGTAAAGGGTAAACTCAAACCTTTGAGTGGCATGATGGAGTCTGTGACATTTCACAGACGAGTTCCATTACCAGAAGGTGCTAAAATTGAGGCTAAACCTCACATAACAGATCTCAATGTAGAACGTTCTGAATATGATGGAGCAGAAGGTATTTGTATCATGATTAGAAAACAAGAAAGTGAATCCACTAATGACCAAGAAAATTTCGAATCATCCTTTGGTGAGGATCAGGAATTCACTGAAGAAACAACTAGAAACAGTTCAGGTTTGAAAAAATCGAAAAAGAAAAAGTCTAAATCCAAAAAGAAAACATTCGACGATGATTACATAATAGATGCACAATTTATTGAAAAATGTGCCTAATAAAACTTTTCAAAGTCAACTTCATCAAAAAAAATGAAAAGAGGAAGAGAGGAAGTTAAATCCCAACTGTTGAAAAAGGGAAACAATTCTTCATCATCGAAACAACATAACAAAGATAAGAAGAAAAAATCATCAACACAAATTAAACAACAAGAAAAACCACATAAATTGGAACCTAAAACAAAAAAGAAAAAGCATACTTCGGAGGAAAAGAATGAAAGGGATGAACAAATAACATCATCTTTTGTACTTGAAAAAGATATCGACTTAGTTGCTACTGAGGATGTAAACGACTCGGAAAAGAGATTAGGAAAGAAGGAATTGCATAAACTTGCTACTGTTAAAAGAATTATTGACACAATTTATGGCAGTGATGATACACAATTAGTAATTTTTATTTTCAACTATTTAAAATATTGTGGAAAAGAAGAGAAGGGAATTGTCTCATGTTCTATGAAAGAAATGACAACAAAACTTAAACAAATTCTACCTAGATTACATTATTTATTAAGCAAAACATTTGTTGAGCAACATTCCAAAGAGCTCAATATTACTGAAATTCAAGATGACACCATTGTTTGCAAAAAAATCGCACCATTCTTTTCCAAAAAGGATAATACAAGCCAAGAGTTTAAGGATCGATTGTTTGGACAGATTTGCTCTTCATTTGTGGGAATTTTCAATGTAAATAGTGGTGATGCATGTTTTAATATTGGCAATGTCTACTCTAATACTAATTATTTTGGTCTCGACCGTTCTAAATTTGTGGAATATATTTCTGGTTTGTTGGATAATAATGAATTATATTTGAAAAAGAAAACAAAGAATGGATTCTCAGTTTGGAATACAGACATTAAACAAAAATTATCAGCAATTCCAGAAAAGAAACATCTGGTTGGAACATCTCTAACTCATTTGGACTATTCTGACAAGCTGATAATTGTCTCTAGATTGAGCAAATTGGAAAAGAGAATTTGGAACTCATTCATGGATACAGCAGATCAATCTTCAATTTTTGTTGTTGATACAGAATGGAATTTCAATGATGAAAATGATCACGGTATCAGACTCTTACAAATATCGACATTGGATGTATGTCTTGTGTTACTAATTGATTTTAAACAGCCCATTCCTAAATTCCTTCTCGATTTCTTTCGAAGTCCAAAAATTTTGAAAATTGGTTATTCATTGAGTGGTGACATTAAAAAGGTCAATAATTGGTTGCAACATCACAAGCATGAACAATTAGTTGATTCAAACCTGCAAACCGACCTGAATGTGAACGAACATGGATGGGTTGAAGGTGATCCTCTAGTATTAGGTCTACAAAAACTATTCTCCTTCTGTGCACCAAAGATTTATCACAAATTTGAAAATAATTTAAAGTACAATGATTTGATTTGGAATCCAAAAGATATGAGGCCCTCAACATCCAAAGGAAACATAAGAATTGAATATGCTGCCCTTGATGTACTGGCAGGTTATTACTTTTTCAAACATATCTCAAATCCAGCAAGTAATCTTTTCAGAATCAAGATGCAAATTCCAAACTTTGAACAACAAATTGAGGAGAGATCTAAACGAGTGAAGGAAAATCTGATGGAATTTTTCGATTCAGGTCATCATCACTATGAGGATCACATTTCCAACAAGTACAACATTCCAATAAAGTTCAATACTCAATAGTTTTCTTGGAAGCAACAATAATGTTTTACCCGCCAAAATTTATTCAAAAAATTAGTTTTTAAAAAAATGATAAACAACTCTTTGACAATACCTGTTCGTTCTAGGCGGAGATCACACAAGAAGAAGTTGATTCTTGAAGAACAAGACTTATCGGAGGCAAGAAAGGACTTTTTAAAACATGATAAATATCAGAAAATTATAGATTCATCAATTCATAATGTGGAAGAGTTTATCAATAGAAAGGCAAGTGCTGAAGAAAATACCCACACTGAAGAGTTAATTATTGAAGAGTTACAGGATATTGCAGAAAGATTTGATAAAGGCTTGAGTAAATGTATTTCACCTGTAATCATTTTGAAAACAACAACAAGTAGGTTAAATGTCACATTTCGAATGTTAATTGTTTCGAAATAATAGACAAATTAATGGAATCATTTTTCATTAGAGATTCATATGTGGAATATGATGACGAATATGATGAATACGAGGACTATGAAGATTATGAGGAAGAAGCTCCAAAAAAAGGACAAAAATTGGACGGATTTCATGTTTGCATTTTCAGATCAGAGACAATGTTTCCAACCTTAAAAGCTCTATTGACACTAATTGCACAAAAGTATACAAACAAAGTATTTGGATTACCCGACGCCCTTAAAGAAATGACATATTCTTCACCTGGTGGAAAGAAGGCAATCGTATTTGTTTTCGAGAATACTCACAATGTACCTCAAATTGGAAAATGGTTAGAGTTGTGTTCATCATATTCTTCAAGATTTCCAATCATTAATATCTTGAGAGTGGATGAGAAGGGAGTTGATATTTTGGAAGGGATGAATGTTGATGTAAGTTAAACTATTTTTAATTGAACAAACTAATATTGTACAACAGTTGAGCAGATTTCAAATCAAAACGTTCAAAACTCAATCATTAGCAAAGCCACTATTTTTGAAATGTACCAATGATCTCTTTATTCAGAAAAATTTCAATGTTAATTTAAGACCTAGCTATGAAGTTTTGAAATTTTTAATGAACGATTTTACATCCCTCAAACATTTTTCCAACTCTCTCAAGGTAAGTTTCAATGTGATTACTGAAATTATTGAAATGGAATAGCATTTGTATACTAGACATTTCCACTATTGCCCACTCTCTATTTTTACTAGAGCTTTTTTCACATTACCAGACGAAAAATGTTTACAAATTCTCTTTTCTAAAGAGTTATTGCCACTATTGAAATCATTACCTTCTGTAAAATCGAAATTGTAAGTTAATAGCCTTATCAATGTTTGGATAAGAATGTTGTTGTTTAAAGTGGAAACAATGTTACTGAAGAAGATATAAGTCCCTGTATAACTCAATTCAGATTTTTCTTTTACATTCATCCTCTCATTGTTGAATTGATCGAAATAGCCCTGCGTTGCTTGGTTTTTAAAGAGCAAAATGTTAAACAAACCTTGGAAATAATTGGTGAAGAGAAGAATGACGATCTTGTCCTAATTATCCATCAGTCCATTATTTCTCCAAGAAGTTTCAAAGAGCAATCTTGGTTCAAGAAGATTATTACAGCACTAAAGTAAGTTAATCATATTTTTCTTTATGATGCCAACAATAATAGAGGTGATATACCAAAGGAAAACATTGTTGACTTTTTAGCTTGTTGGCAAGTCAAAATTGATGAAATAAGAAGCAACCAAGGTCTATTTGAAGAGGAATATAATACATTATCTTCCATTTTCAAAGATGTAACTATTCAAACAAGCGATACCACTGCTGAACAATTAATCAGCAGTGGTGATAGTAGTAGTTTACCGCTAGAAACAATGAATTATCTTACAAAGCAATTCCAATCCAATTCTGAATCAGCTAAGTACATGTCTGACGATGAGGAAGAATTTGATCCAAAACAACTCATTCCCAAATCTAAGACTAGTTGTTTTTGTCAACTCGAGCTCAAGCCAAGAGATAAGGTTGAGTGTAATCTTTGCAATAATGTATTCCACAAATCATGCGTTGGAGTTCACAACCCACCTTCCAAAACCTTCCACTGTAATACTTGTGTTAGAACTGAACAACAAGATACAAATTATTGTTTCTGTAGAGGTATATATGATAGCTCAAGAGATGATATGATACAGTGTGAGAGTTGTGAGATTTGGTATCACTGCAAATGTGTAGGGGAAAAGGCCACTGATTACAGTGAAAAACGAGCATTTAATTGTAAATATTGTAAAGCTTTGAAAGAGCACCAATCCGGTAAATCAGTCTCTAAAAGAAAGAAGAATACTTTTTGTAAATGTGGAGGATCTTGGAAAACCAATGAAATGGTTATGTGTGAAAGATGCAGAAATCACTATCACTTTTCATGTATTGACATTACACCAGAGGAAGTCAACACCATTATCAAGTATTATTGTGAGGGATGTTGCTCTACATACAAAGATGAAACGATTTTCAAAGGTAGAAAGCAAAAGAGAAAGTCAATTCTCTCCTCTCAGATCGATACAGCAGAAACATCAGAACAAATCTCTCAAGAAACATGGAAGAAGGTCCAAAGCAAGCTCAAAACTCTATTTACGGACATGTTTACAAGTCCTTCTACGATATATCAAACCGAATTCATTTCCATCAATACGAAAGAATATTCGAAAAGGCCATGGATCGAAAAGTTGGTGCTCAATGAATTATTTTTCATTCAACCTATGAAAGGACAATCTCTCAATCAATTCATCAGACCTCTCACAAAGAGGGAAGGCTATGAGTACAATCTAGCCTTTTACCATCCAACTCTATTCCTATGTGACAATACAAAAGAAAAACATGAAACACCAGACTTGTACATGGCAAAAAACACCTTGGAACAATGTAAAATGAATGTAAGGTATGAAATTGAAGTGGCTGAATGGTTGGAGAGATTTGCACAAATGAAAAAAGCAAAGAAGGATGATTCTAAACTACAATCTCTATTCAATGTTCAGGTGCGAGCTCTTTGCTTTAGAGATTTGATTGAAATATCTAACCCAGGAACCATTAAACGAAAACTATAATCCTGGATGGAGGAAATATTGACAGGAGAGCCTTCACATGGATTTATGTAATAGCTCAGGTTTCAACTTGGATTTATTAATTTATTAGAAAGGGTGGGTAAAAAATTAAAATTTTAATTAAATGGTATAATTGTCAACCTTTTCTTCAAAACAATGTTCAGCAACAATAACCTTTGGTTTGTAAGTATCGTTTTCGTAATATTCAATGTGTTTGATGTTCAAGACAACTTTGGAACCTTCCATAATATCATTTGGAGATCTATTTTCCTTCATTTTCTTAGTAAGGGCAGGCCATCCAAGCATATCCATTGATGATTTTTCAGTTTCGGGAAGAATGCCAGACAATAGCTCTATCATTTTCACTTCGTCAAATTCAACCAAGTGAAGAGAAATTGTTTTATCCATAGATGGGATGTAAACAGAGCTCATACCCTTTCTCTTTTTAACAACCTTACCAATCACCTTATTGGATTGCTTTTGATTGCTATTATTGACCGATTGATTCTTATTTTTTGATGTTGCCAAATCTCTCTTTTTCTTATCCATCATTAGTTGAGTTTCCAAAATATCCTTTTCAAATGATTGAATTTCTGTACAAATATTCTTAATTTCCTTATCTGAATAGATAGGCTCCTTGCTATTGTTCAGTAATGAGTTATATTGGATGTGGGTAACCAAATCAGCATACCTTCTCATAGGAGAAGTAAATCTATAGTATGAATTGGATTGTGGGAATAGATTTTGTATATCTACTTGCTTGATGTGAGCAGCCAAGACACTATTGGCAATACTCATAATAATTGCAACAGTATCGTGAGCAGGAGTTGATTTTGTTTTGGAAATTAACCCCAAATTCAAACTCTTATCTACATTGATTGAAATATGAAGCATTTCTATCAGCAATTGATGAGATTGATCCATATCAGTTGACTTGTTGCCCATCTTTTTCTTTACAAATTGATTGAAGAGTGAGTCTACAGTGTTATAAGTGAATATTTCAACCTTTGGAAGAATGGATTTGTAAAATTCATACTTGTCCAATTTAAGTTCTGAGCCACTCTTTATAAGACTGAGTTCAAGAGTGAACCCTAGGTTTTCTCTCTCTGGTGAAAGCGTGATAGCTCTGATAGCACAAGGATGCAACATTAAACGGACACCATTCTTTCCATAGATTGTTTTAACTCTGGAACGAGATTCTGTTTCAAGGGCATCATTCTTAGTAATAAATGAGGAAACATCACAAACATGAATATAAATCTTATATCCATTCACAGTCTTTTCAATACTGACAGCATCATCGTATGCCTGTGTAGAAATATCGTCAATAGCAATACATTTCAATTTTCTTAAGTCTCTTCTCGAAATATTTTCCTTTTCCTTTTCAATCAATGAAGTAACTTGTTTGAGCATGATTTGAGAAGCACTTTCAACTTGGTTTGGGAATGGCTTGACTATCGATGGGAGATTTTTTACATTTTCAAAATCTGGGTCCATACTCTCTTCCATGAGATTTGAAGACTTTTCAAAATGCATATGACCAACAGCATGTAGAAATTGGGCAGCTCCACGTCTATTCTTTGGATATCTGAAAGATTCTAAAATTGATTCAATGATAGTCTTGTTTTTAGAGTTCAAAAAGTTGGAAAGGATGAAAAACTCCATTTTTCTCAAAAGTGGCACATCAATAATTGGATCCCATTTAGTATGAAGATTCGCATTGAGAAGCTGTGAATTGTTTTCTATTTGACCATTCTTTTGTTTCAAGTCATTAATTTCCTGAATACGCTTCTTAGCTCTCCTTATAAAATCTTTAACTCTAATCTGACTAGAATCTGTTTCAATAACAATATACTTGTTGGATCTTGTATCATATTTGAAACATCCAGAATTTTCAAATAAATAAAAAGCAATATATCTGGTAATCATACTTTGAATTTCAAATAATTCATTCGATAATGTTGATGATGAAAATTTCTTTCCAGATGTAAATCCTTCAATTAATAGATTTTCCAATCTTAGTTCAAAATCTGCTTGATAGGTTTCATCCAATACCATATAATTAGCCTTTTCTCTAATTTCTCGTAAATCATTCAAAGTAGTCAACATGTTTGACCACTTTTCTATAATGACAACATCCTTGTTTTTAACATTTGTAAAATTCTCTTGATAAATAACAGATTCATGTTCATCCAACAAGCCTAATTTGATGGTTTTACTACTCTTATCAAAATATTCAACAATAAATCCTTCAATTAAATTGTCATCCATAAAATCATCATCCCTGTCTTCCTTGTCGGATTGTAAATTATTATTGGAGATGATACTATAGAATTTGCAATTATTATTATTACTAGCCATGGTGATAGAGTTATTAATGAAGGAAGGAACACTTTTCCATGTTGATATATTGTTGTGAAGAGATGAAATGGTTCCTGAAAGTCTGGAAGCAGTAACCCGATGATGGTTTTTCTTCATCAACAACGAACACAGGTTTCTTCCACTGCTTGTGTTCTTCATTTTTAAAAATAATTTTATTAATATTCATATTTATAGTTTTTGAATTACAAACAAACGTTAAATAGAAATAGTGCATGAAATTGTTTTAAATAATCTACTTATTTCACTTGTGCCAACCTTAACACCTTCCTCTTGAACATGACAAGTTCATCAGTATCAAGTTCTCCTTAGAAAATAATAATAATTCTAATAATTCTGATCAACAGCTTATTAAAAAACGCTTGACGCTATATGGGAGTAAAGATACAAAAAATGACCTCATCAGCTACCACGCCAGACTATGAAGGTGCATACAAACTTGTACATGAACAAATGCAAGCTTTGGATAAGAATTTGTTCTATCACTCCATAAATCACACTTTTGAAGATGTTATTGGTTATTCTATTAAATTGGCACAAGAAGAAGGTCTCAACGAGGAAGATACATTAATTTTGTAGGTTTTTTTAAACTGTTAAGAGCAGCTGACAATATTCTTCCTCCGATAATAATACAATTAAATAGAAAAACTGCTGCCTTGTTCCATGATACTGGATATCTCGATCAATATCCAAAGAATGAACCTTTTGGAGCAGATAGAGCTCGTAAATATTTGCCACAATTTGGTTACACTCAAGATCAAATAGATAGAATTTGTAAATGTATTATGGCTACACAAGTACCACAAAATCCAGGTGATTGTTTATTGTGCCAAATTATTTGTGATGCCGATTTAGCTCATTTAGGAACTGATCTTTACTTTTTGAAATCCGAATCATTAAGACTTGAATTAGAAAGGGTAAACAAAAAACCATTCCCACCAAGAGAATGGCACATTTCTAATTTGGATTTCCTTACAAAGCATACATACTTTACAAAATCGGCCAAAAAAACTCTTCAGCCTGTTAAGGAACAAAATTATATCCTAAATCAAAAATTAGTGTTTGGAAATGACTCTAAATAAATCCATAGTTGTGTAACAATTTCTCATAATGTACAATTACAAATTGTGGGCTGGATAAGATGCCCTGTTAAGAGAGGAAGCTATTATTTCCACTGGAATGTCTTCAACAGATGAATCAGTTTTTTCATCATGCTCAGACTCTTCATCACTATGTTGATAAAAGTGGCGTTCATCAATTAAAACACTACTCTTGTTCTTCTTCACTCTTGTACTACTTGTCACATGAACAAGGAATGAATTATTGCCACTAATACCACTTCCATTTGAAGAACCAGAACTTGCAACATTGAATCTAGCATGTTTCTTATTGGCATTTGAATAATAATATCCATTTCCTTCATCCCTATTTCCCATAGCTCCATATTGTAAAATTCCTCTCGTGGTGGAAGAGGAATCCAATGCCCTCTCTACACTCGAATCTGTTTGATAATCGTCTTCATAGTCATCCTCAGTATTGATGGCAGAACTCTTGTTAGATGATCTCGGAATTAGAATACTCAATAAATTCCTTCTCAGTCTCCTCTTTCTTTGACTCCTCATTTGTGAATGTCCAACACAGAATCTACACAAATTGGTAAAGAAGATGGTCATGGAAACAAGGACAAGAAAAAGCAAACAACCACCCACACCAATCACACCCAAACCAACAATGGTGTAAAAATGTACAAGATTGGTCTTGTCAAATGAAACATTCTTTGGATTACTCTCATCATAAAAGCAAGAAACCTGTTGATTGAGTGTGTAATTGGAGTGCGTTGATACTTTAGGGAAGGGAATCGTACTTGCATGAATGATTTGTTGTCCACTTTGTGAAGGAATAATGGTGAAAGAGACTGTATAAGTACATTCAATAGGAGAACTCTTCTCATTGATGAGTTTCTGAGAATTTACTATTGTTGATTGATGATGACGAACAGAATTAGACGAAGAACTGGTGAATGTTGCACTTGTTTGTTGTGGTGTTGTTGTGGATGTAGCCGAGGTGGTGACACATTGTAGTTTCGATAAAATTGTACATTGTGTTGGAGTTGTAATATTATCACTCGGAGAAGTAACAAAAACAATCAAGCCTACAATCAACGTTGCAAGAGCAGGCAATAAACAAATTCCAATACAAATACCATGCAGCAGTAATTTGAGAGGAGAAACATTCTTGAAGAGGAGTCTCGAGAGGTCTCTCTTTGTAAATCTCATTCCGAACAACAACAAGCGTGATGAAGATGGGAGTTGTATTTGTTGTGGAAAGGATTCTGATGTTCGGAAAACAACTTTGGTTCTTTTTTTTAACGTTAACTTTGTGTGAATCAAAGTCATGATCAAAATAAGCCTCAATAAATTTCATTTTCTACCCGTACTACTTCATGATATTTCATAATTATTAATACATTTCTAATATTTCACATAATGTATTTCTCTATTTTGTTAAGCCAAAAAGGAGTAAAAAATAGCTTTTAGATCCTTCCAAACCTCACTTATTTTAGCTACAACAAACCATGAATGGAAAACATTACAGCAAAAAAGTTAAATGAACCCTCCACCAACAAAAGCATCTTTGGATTGTGGATAAGGAAGCGAAACTCCTTATTCCCAATCCTCGCAGCCATTGTTTGCATGTTTTGTGTTGTTGTTATTTTCGCCTCAGCACAAAAGAAAAACCTCTAGTTCTAGTATTTGGTAATGCCCTTCTTTTCGTTGAGAAGTACAAAGTCCTCCTCCTCGCTTAATACATCTTGTGAGGATGAGCTCTCCAACAAAAGTAAGGAAAAGCCTTCATCCCTCAAAACAAGCAAAATATTCACTCCTCCTTCAACGTCACCAAAATCTAGTAAACAGTTACCATCATCTAAAAAGACGGAAGAACATGAGGATGAGGATATTGTTAATATTGAACCAACACCACTTCATCCCTATTTACAAACCCCTAGGAGAAGTTCGAGAACCAGTAGTTTGAAAACATCAACACCAGTACCAAAGCTCTCCTCTTCATTCTCTCCAACCAACAAGTACATTTCAAACATTCATCAATACACTAGGAAACGTTCAAATTCCATGGATGCGACAGAGTTGGCAAAAACACTCAATGTCTATAATGCAATGAAGGAGAAGCAGCATGACGAAGAAAAGAGGAGACAATTATTATCCAGTGAGGTTGATTCATCTATTGATTCTACACCATCATCGTCGCTCTCTTTTTGTCCTTTTAGTGGTGCTACCAACAAATCCAAACCAATTTCAGACACAATTAGTCTTCTCCATTTTGAATCCTCTAGTTCTTCTGACCAATCTTCAGATGAAGAAAAACAGAACCTTAATATTTCTAGTGATGACGAGCATAAGCTAAACGGCTCCTCTCCAACAAGGAAACATGCAGACGAAAGAAACAGTCCAAGTTCCTCACCCTACAATAGCAGTGAGGATGAGAGTAAAAAAATACAACATTCCGTAGGGGTAGATAACAATAACCTCTCTAGAAAGGAGTTTAAAAAATTACCTCACCTTAGAAAACGTGTTGCGAGAAATTCTTTAAAATCCCAATTAGAAATGAGTAAGGAGAAGGAAGCCTTAGAGTTGGAAAAGGAAGCTAAAAAATAGTAAGTTATTTTCCTATATTAACAGTTGGATAATTATTGCAATTGCAGTGCCTCTAGAAGTTTGACTAGATGGAAACCTGATTATGATTCCGCAGGTGCTGCCTATGAAAAAGCAGCAGCAATTTTCAAGGCTTTGAAACAGCCAGCAAAAGCCATTTCTTGTTATACAAATTGTGGTGATTGTTTCTACAAGTGTGGAATGTAAGTTATTCATTCTTATTGATGTTGTAATTTGACTGCTATTAATCGACCAAAATCTAAAACAGATACTACAAATCAGGACAAGGTTTTGAGAATGCAGCAAATATTTGTAAAGACACTAAAGATTTCGGTATGGCAGTTGAATTGTACACTAAAGCATCAAATTCTTATTTGGATGATGGTAAGGGTAATAGAGCTGGAGAGGCCCTCACCAAGGCAGCTAAAATGTTAGCAGATAACGGAAATATCCCACAAGCTATCGAGCTTTACAAGAGTGCTGTTGAAAGCTTATCTATGGGAGGAACATATCATAATGCCATGTCGACGTATAGAGGCTACAATGACTTTTTGATCAGAAATTCTCAATGGGAAGAGGCAATTTCAAATTGTTTGGAAATGATTGTTGGATACAAGGCCCTCACACAACATGATAATGTCAACAAAACCTGTACATCAATTATCCTCATTTGCCTTAAAATGGACGATTACGTAAGAGCTGATGAGTATCATAAAAAGTTCCAATCAGAACACAATTCTTATGGAACATCAAAGGAGAGCGATATCAGTGAAGACTTTTTGGATGCATTCGAGAGGATGGATAGTACTGCTTTGGAAACTGCTAAGCAAAATCATCACCTCAAATACTTGGAAGCAACAGTTTACAAGATGGTGTCAAAATTAACACTCTCTGGAGGAATTGAATTATCTTCCCAAACCAGAAAACCAAGACAACCAAAACCAGTAGATGCTAAAAAGAAGAGTCTTTTGAGTCATGATGAAAATTCAGAAGAAGACTCAGATTCAGGCGATGAGCAGCAACCTGTTGAAGAAGATAATGCCGATGATGCTTTTGATCCAACTGATTTGACTTAGACTATAAACTAATTTATTGTTGCAACACGCCAAAGTGACTAATTCCAAAAACCCGATTTAGTTCACTCTTATGAGGTACAATACTTTCAAAGTTGTGTCCAAACTAAACTTTTACAAGTTCTACAGTTAATTGTTCAAGTGATTGGACAGGTACTCTTGGAAAACAAGTAAGATATCTTGATGCAAATCGGCAGAAGAACTTTCTGCTACAATATTGTAAATCATGAATGATATCACCAACACCAATGATTGTGCAGCTACTTGCGTTGTTGCTGCATCAGGTTGAACATTTTGTCTATTTCCAAACAAACTATTCAAAAGTACCATTGCCAAGTATTTCAATTTACCAAATATATCCGAGAGAAGTCGTTTTACAATGTCCAGATTCAAAGATTGCGAAGATTGGGTAGAATGTATGTCACCATCATTTGTTTCAAAGTTACCAATGATAGGAGTGGTGTTTGAGGTTGGAATACTGCTAATATTTACAATTTCTTCTTCATCTAATAGGAATATTTTGTTGGTTCCATAGAATTTGCCATGCTTTTTTACAATTGGTTGTGTGGGAGTTTTGGTTTCAACTTGTTGTTCGGAGATGATGACAGTAGGCTGACTATTGTGAGTTAAAGAAGGAGTAGACGATATTTTGACATTACTACTATTCTTAGTGTTACTACTATTGATATTACTGTTGTTGATATTAGTACCTAAACCGGAATCTTTCAACACTTCGTGAGCAATTTCCTTGATTCTATTTCCCTGTTCTGCACAAATCTGTTTAGCAATTTTGAATATTGCCGAATCTGTTGGCACTAGTGTGTTGCAAAACTCTTGCAATTCAATACCAATTTTGTTTGATGTTGCACCTATTGGCACAATAAGACCAGTTGTTTGGTTTCCGGCAACAACAATTTGTTGTTGTTCATTATTGTCGGATCGTTTAATGTGCTTCAGACCATTGAGTAGGGCCTGATTATTTACAAAACGTTTGAACATTTTTCAAATCTATCGGTTAGAAAATAAAGTCTTGATGATGGTGTATTAGACATCAAACGAATATTGATCTATTTTTTTTGTGATGAAAGAAGTTTCAAACCGCCAAGCATTATTTTTGGCTTGGAATTTTTGCATACGTTTTAATCTTCATTTCATAAAACAAACAAATCGTTTACAATTCCTTTAATAATCTTTGTTTTATTTATGCAAATTTATTAACTCATAATGTTCCAACATTCAAAAACCTAGGATCTCTTAAGGAATTGGTGGATTTTTTGGAAAAGCATTTAGTTAAGTAAATCTAATAAACCTACATAAGCTTAACTCTTACTGCAATTTAATACAAAAACGGTAGATGATTCTTTGTGAATTAAAGAAAAAACAAAATAGAGTAAATATGTAGCTTTGAATGTATGTGGATTGTTGAAATCAAGTACCCTAAAAAACCATAAAACCAAATCTGAAATATCTGAAAAACTTTACAACTAATTCTCTTATTCCCTTTTTAATTTGTTCCAATGTTGTGGTAAGTGTTTTTTAAGAAACATTACTTTATAATAGATCAATAATTTTTATCTAAAGCAATTACTTTAATAGCATTGCTTAGTTTATCAAATCAACAAAATAAAAAGTCGTTTCTGAAATACTGAGTTTTACTACACGAATTTTATGATACTCTCGATTTTTAATAGGTTCTCTTTTATTCTTAAAGTTGTTTCAATTAAATTGTGTTAGATTTTTAATTCAAATCTTGATTTTCTATATTGACTTCTTCTTTCTTTCATTGTTTTACGAGTTGGTTGATTTGAGAAGTTTGTTTATCCTTTTCAATTTCAGCATTTCTTTTTTGGTTCTGGGATTGTTTAGTTAATGCTTCCAACTTTTTCATCCAATAAATAACCAAACTATAGTTAGGATTTTACTTTTTTCTTAAAAACACAACCTTTTAATCCAAATCCAAGTCCCATTAAAAAATTAACCTAAAATTAAATCGAAAAACTGTTCATTACAGTAGGGTCAATAAATATTCGTAAAGTGATTTGAATGTATTTTTTGTTGGTAATTTTAACTTAAACACATTTCCAAAAAGCTAATCAATTCCTATGGTTTACCAGGTTTCAATTAATAATTTTGTTCAATTATTCATGGAAATTAGTTAAAAGGTTTATCAATAACAAAATAAAGTGTCGTTTCTGAAATACTGAGTTTATTCTATTACACGCGTGTAGATTAATTCGTAAGAATAATAATAATAATAAATAATGATTGAGGATATCATTAATCAATTTTTGTATAATATATAAACTCTAATACTTCTAATAGTTGCAACTACTAGCCCAAAAAACCATCTAATCAATTCAAAAAACCTTAAAAAACCATAAAAACAAATCTGAAATACTGAAATATCTGAAAACTTGACAACTAATTCTCTGCATAGCAGTGCTTTAAATTTAAAAAATTAAATAAACACACAAATCATATAAAAATTGTTAGAATTTTCACATATTTGATTAAGGAACCAACAAATGATCCAACATAAGCTTAACGCTTACTGCAATTTATTACTATAAATAACACATACCACTAAAAAAGTTCAATATCACCATATAATTCTATAAATGATAATTCTTACCTGATATTATTATTTTAGGTTAAACAAAAACATTCAATCATTAATTCTTTTCTTTAAAATATGGATTCAATATTTAAGGATTTGCGATGGACTGTTTGATAAATCTTCATGATTATTACTATTTGTTCCTGGAGTTAAAATATATCTACCCTTCAAATTGGATAACCCTTTTGATATCTGTGGAAAAGTTTCCCATGCTCCTTACAAAAAAGGAAATATTTAATTTAATACTTAGTGAAATAGAAATATTTTTTATTATTCATGTTCTAATTGATGTATTCTACAAGATACTGTTTTCTTGAATATAAACTATTTGTATTAACCGAGAAAACATGCTCGTCTTACTACCACATATGAAAATTTTGAAATCACTTTTCTCGATAAGTAAAGAGCCAAATCTGTAACAAACTTGATATTATGATTGTTAACATAATGAATAATGACAATTCGGCATGTTTCTCTAACATATGGTGTTGTTATTGAGATATGCTTTGTTGAAGTTGAGTGAATTTGCTTAAGGAATGAAATCGGTGTTATTGGCACATCCAATTACCCCTACAGGTAAATCAGCTTTGGGAGCATTCCATGTTTTTTGGGAGCATTGCAAAAATGCGTCTAGAACCTTACCACAGATATGAGGTAATGAAGCTGAAACCTTAAATATCAATTAGGATTCGAGTTTCTCCTCAATGATGAGATTTGAAACGGCCAATCCTGTTACGAGTTTATTGGAGGAGATAAAATTTGAGTTGTTCCTTATCTCGTTTAGGGGTTTTTGAATGTATTTTAAGTATGGCCAGATGCTTTTTCAAGAACTGTTATTCAGCAACAAAAAAATGTTTCCTCATCAACATCAAAACGGCCAGCACAACATTGGGTTGTTGGATTTTCTGTCGTTATTGACCAGTAGTAGTGGTAATCATAGTGTGGTTGGGAATAATGGCAACAATAACATCCATCATCATAATACATTCGTGACGAATACTAGTAGTGGCGATTTGTCTTTTGCGCACCATCATCCCATCATCACAACTGGCCATTTAGATACAAATCCAAACTGCTCAACAAGTCATCAAAATAATCTTCATCAGCAACAGGAAAGTAATAGTAATGGTTCGGGTTCGGGTGTAAATAGTCAAAATAAGGATTTACATTTCAAACCATATGTTAAGGAAATTAGATTTGAGGAGCAAACATTCAGTTCAATTTCATGCAAATACTGTAGAAGAAATCATCGTAAATGCACTAGAAATCTTCCTTCCTGCTCTAATTGCTCAAAGAGAGGAATTAAATGTGAATATGAAAGAAAGAATGGAGGTAAAACAATATCTGATCCCCCAGTTGTCTCTATTCAAAATCCAACTATTAATGATACATCTAATGCAATTCACGCAAATAAGAAAAACATTCTTGGGTTTTATTCACTCCAGTAAGTAATCTTTGAAATATTCAAAACTAATTCTCTAAAGAATGTATGAGATAATCCCAAAAGGTTTGTTTGGGCATTTGATTGAGAACTTGGATGAGGCTGGGAATGATTTTAAGGCTGTTGTATTTTCGTTACAAGCATGGAGAGAGCTGCGCCTAGGTTCAAAAGAGTATGCAGAAATTTGTTTTCAGCACGCAAAACTTTTATTGGCACCCTACATGGACTGTTTTACCAATACATATGCTGGTATGGCATTGTTGAATTTGTCGTTTGTTTGCCAAGGAAGGAGGAAGTATAAGGAACAATCTATGTATTTAGATATTGTAAGATATTTTGTAAGTGAGGTTATTGAGTACGAGTCTAGAAATAACCCATCCACCCCTGAGATGAAAAATTTAGTCAAGTGGGACATTAATCTCAGAGCAAGTCTTGAGTTTCTTCTGGCTGCTGAAAAGAACGGACCAATAAGTATTGTACAAAATTTTCCCAATGTTATCAAGACATGTATGGGGTTTGATATAAGGAATATGGGATTTTTGGAAATGTCAATGGATAAGACAAAAATTAATGATGTATTTAATGTATTGGATGCAATTCTAAGGCCATTTACTCAAAAAAAGCTATGTCCTGAGCACGATAATCCACAACATCCAGTAGTTCAACTCATTTCAACTTTTATTGACATTCTTCATAATGGGTTGAAACTTGCTCTTATGGTAACCATAGACAACACTCAAATAGATGAGATTTGGAATTTATCTACAATTATCACCAAGGCTGCTAAAACTCCCTTTTTCCCTTATGTCCCCTTATTTACTGTCCCTTTTGTGGATCTCGCAATTTCTGAACATGCTAGGTTGGCACCTATTTATTTGAGGAATTCTGTTAATATCGAGAAAGCAATTATTCTGATGGAGGATATGGAAGTTATTACTTCATTAAATACCAAACTAGAACGAATAGATGACTATTATCAAAATTTACAAAAAAAGGTTCAAGCCTCAATACAGCAACACCATTAATATTTAATCTCTCATGTTTAAAATTTTTGCAAAAATACCAAATTAAACCTTTACAAAAATTGTATAAAAATTAAATAAGATTGTTATTTTCTAATTTTGATAAAAATTATTAGAAAGATTAATAGAATCATCAATTTACATTTTCGAAATTAATTATCAACATTTCCATCTTCTCTGTATAAGTATTTTGCTCTATGATTAAAGTGAGAAAAGTTCACTCTATTATTGATGCTCTCGACAGTTCTATTATAATATATCAGCCACTATGATGCAATAATTAAAACATACATTTTAGATGAAGCAATTGCTTTTGTAGCATCAATATTCTTCCATCCGTCGGTAATTCTACCAGGATTTGGACTTGATTTTGCCACAGAAATTCCATCATCATCATATATCACACTAGTATTCAATTTTACAAAAGCAAAAGAGCTTGAAAGTGCTCCAATTAAACATTCAACAACAATATCCAAAGGTAAAGATCCTTCTTGTGCTGTTTGCACTGTAAAATTTATCCAAATATTCTACAATTAAGTTAATGTTTGCTAGATACGTACCTTGAGCAGCCGATAATAATGAATGCAACAAGGCCAAAACTCCACCTATCCACAAAGCTTTATAAAGAACCATTTTTTTATTCTTTTTACAAATTTTGAATAATTAAAATAATAAATTCAATCCTAATGATGTCAAAACAATAAATTAATAACAATCAAATAAATAGAATAAGTTTGGTTTTATAAATCTTTAGGTTTCAATCAATTTTATTTCCTTCGATTGATGTTCAATGTTGTGGCTGACTAGAGAATCATCAAGTTAAAAAAATGAAAGCAACCCTAGAGAAAGTCTCCCACCTGAATTGTCATAAATTGGTGGAAAAGTCAATGAATAATACTGTTAGTAGTAGCAGTGATAAATCAGTGTACTTGTTAGTGAATGAGACTTTCATGACAGAAGCTCTTGTTTCCGAGCAAACATTACTAACAATAATGAATAACAAGCCAACAAATAGTGATAACAACAAAATAATAGAATTTTTGGTTGGAAATGATTATTTGGAAAATCTATTGGATCATGTAGTTGAGGAGGGATTTGTTATATCTATTGATATTCAAATTATTGAAAAATCTAATATTCCTATTTTGGAGCAAATTATTGTGCAAGCAATTATTTCAGAAAATGATAACAATGTACAAGATTGGATTTCAGAGAATGAATATGAATTTTTACATTTTACCAAAAAACAAATATCAACATTATTGACCAGGTTTCATACTTTTAGTATTATTGATGAAGGAAAATTGTTGTTTCAAATTGTTGATACAACTCCAACTCGACAAGGATTAATTGATGAAAAGACCAAGGTCATTCTATTCAATACACCTGGTGCAAGTGTGCCAGATCGTATCTATAATTTATCAAATATTGAAATGGAATTATTGGGAAATGATTCCCTAGAAGAAATGTTATCTTCTGATTTTATAGCAATGAAAAATCAAATCACAATTTCAACCACAAATATCAAATCGGTTACTACAGAAACCTTCCGTGGTTATCTTGAAAAATGTGTCAATGAAAACATAGAGCAAATCTTGTCTGCAGATCCACTCTCCATGGTATTACTGAGTTCCAAACTATTTGCCTCTCTCAATTGCTTTGATAATAGTTGGGTGAAGTTGAATAATACACACAGTTCTTTAATTTGTGTCATTCATGGTGTTGAGGATGATATAATATTGACTAAATCATTGTACTTTAATCTCGGCAAGCCAACACGTATTCAAATAATGTCCAACCAAAATGCTCCAAAGGTAGCTTCTAAAATTGTTCTCACACCAATACAAAGTCCAAATCATTTCGGAAATACACTTACAGAAGGAACAGAGGAAGAACAAAAACTGGAACAACAACTTTTCGAGAAACAATTAGAAATCTTTTTTACAAATCATAAGAGAGCATTACGTAAGAATGATATTGTGTTAGTGGAGAATCCAAATATTGATTTTATTAAATCTGAGGAGTCAGTTCAGATTCAAGTTTTGGCACAATTGGAAGCAAGCAAAAGATTGGATCCAATTCATGGAGACTATACTGGTTATAGAGTTGATACACTCGAATTGGGTGTTGATTCAGATGAAACACTCATCATTGATAATACAGAAACTGCTGTCATTACCAATGCCCAACCTGTAAGGGGATACATACCATCAGATATCAATGAGGACTATGAAAATCAAGTGAGTGGTTTCAAAAAACTTTGCAAAGCCATCGAGCCAATCATTTCCATTCACAAACAGCCAAATAGATCAAGCCAAAAGAATCTAGTTCAACAACACTTTTTAATTTATGGCGAGGAGGGCTCAGGAAAAACTCATGCTGTTCATTCTATTTGTACCAAGTATGGATTCCATCTTATAGAAATTAATGCTTTTGAAATTATCAATGAATCAGATGCCATTACAGCCCAAAATCTTGCTCAATGTTTTACACTTGCCAAACAATGTACTCCTTGTGTACTCTACATTAAGCACTTCCAAGCCTTTGATCAATTGAGCAACAATAATAATGGAGGTACCAACATCAAGCAACATTCCAAGATTAGAATTGTTAAATGTCTCAAACAATCTCTCAAATCAAAGAATAATCCTTACCCTATGATATTCATTCCAAGTGTTTCATCCTTAGATTTGCTAAGTCCAGTATTCAGAAATATATTCCTAACCAAGATTGAATTTAGAAGAAACTTGAGTGAAGAGGAGAGAGATTTATTCTTTAGAAAGAATACTACTGATATCAAATCAATTTGTAATATTGATTTGTCAACCTCACAGATTGTTAAACAAACCAGTGGATGCTCTGTGCATGACCTGAACAATATCGTTCAAATCTCCAAGACACAAGCCATAATAGAATCGCTTCAACATGTCAACAAGTACCAACAACAATCAAAAGTTTCATCTTTAGTTTACACATCCACCCTATCTCACAAACATTTTGTGAATGGAGGAATGAAATGGTTAAAAAAATATGCCGTAGCAGGCAAGGATGCAGGTAGTACAACCAACTTATCTATCCCAACTGTAAAATGGCAAGATATTGGTGGTTTAGAACATGCAAAACAGGAAATTCTTGATATCATTCAATCACCTCTCCAATCCCACTCAAATCTCAAAACAAGAAGTGGTGTCTTATTGTAAGTAATAATTTTTATTTCACAATTTTATATCAATATGGTACAAAGGTATGGTCCACCAGGCTGTGGTAAGACTCTTCTTGCAAAAGCAGTAGCAACTGAATGTCAATTGAATTTCATGAGTGTTAAAGGACCCGAGTTAATTAATGCGTATGTTGGTGAAAGTGAAAGAAATGTTAGACTTGTATTCGAAAGAGCACGCCAAGCAAAACCATGTGTTATATTCTTCGATGAATTAGATGCTCTTGCACCAAATAGAGGTGCTAGTGGCGATTCTGGAGGTGTTAGTGATAGAGTCGTTTCCCAATTGTTGGCTGAATTGGATGATATTTCTAATGCCTCAGATGATGAGAAGGATTCTACATCTAATAAGGGAGTTTTCGTGATTGGTGCAACCAATAGACCAGATTTGATTGATCCCGCTCTTTTAAGACCGGGAAGATTTGAGAGATTAGTTTATTTGGGAGTTTCAAAGACACATGAAGGTCAACTCAAAGTTTTACATGCTCTCACAAGAAAATTCAACCTTGCAAATGATGTAAACTTGAAAATACTTCTACAAAACAGAGAATTTAATCTAACAGGAGCCGATTTTTATGCTATTTGCACAGACGCTTTTATGAATGCTGTAAGCAGGGAAACTAGTGAGGGTGACATTTCCAATAAGCAATCACACCAAATTGTTGTATGTCAAGATGATTTTGAAAAGGCATTCAATAATATTACTCCTTCTGTTTCAGCTGTTGACCTAGAACGCTACGAATCATTACAAGATTCCTTTAATTAAAGTGCTCTTCTTTAGCATTCTATAAAACTCTTGTTCAAATTGATTTCTCCTTAAAACATCAAGAGCAACTTCGAACTGATGTTTCAGGTTTTCTATTTCAATCAAAAATTCCTCCTTTTCCTTATGTCCTTTTTTTACTAATCTGAGGGCTACTTCAGTTCGTTGTCTCTCTCTTGCAATGTCATCAAAAGCTCTTTCACATTTTGAACTCAAACTTTCTATGTATTGCTCTTGCTCTGTAATTTTTAGTACAAACTGTTTACATTGAGCTGACAGTTTGTTCGTTTTTTCTCTCTCAGCCAAATATAATTGTTGAAACTTTTGGCTCTCTTCAAAATAAACGTCCTTGGAGAAACTTGCTATTTGAAGTTCAAGAAGTTTGTTTGTCTCAGTTATTTGCTTGTTTTCAACAGTTAGACGGTCCATCTCTTCCTCAAAACTGACTGTACCTGTATTATTCTCCAAGCGCCTAAAATGGGATTGATTGAGCAGATTTCTGTATTTTCCGTTTGTTAAACCTACATCCTTTTTCAACCGTTCAATCTCCTCTCTTAATTCCTCTTCGACAGATTTCCTCAATTCTATTTCTGCTTTCAGTATTTCTAACTCTCTCTTTAGTGAATTGAAATGCCTAATAACCATCTCCTTTTTTTCAAAATCTATGGTTTCACTGCCAAACTTTTGATATCCATCCAGCTCTGTTTGTGAAAGTGAAAGTTGTCTCTCTAATTGTGATATTAGAGCTGTTTTTTCGCAAATAGAGTTGTTTAAACTTGCCACTTCATTTTTTAACAATTCATTATCACCTTCCAAAAGCGTTTTTGCTTGTGTAAATTCTGTTTCTAGTTTAGTTTCTCTTTCATTAAATGAGTCCTGCATTCTTTGTTGAGTGTCATTAAACGAGGCCTGTATTCTTTGTTGGGATTCCTCAAATTCACTCTGCATTCTTTGTTGAGTTTCCTTAAATTCTGAATTTAGTTTTTGCTCCCTTTCAGTAAACTGGGAAATTAGAACCATTTCCTTTTCGCTGAATTGAGTTTTAATTCTGTGTTCATTTTCCTTAAAATTCGAAATTAATTTTGATTCTCTTTCTTTGTATTCCAAAGTTAGTTGGTTTTCCCTCTCCTTTGCCTCGAAAATTAATGTTGATTCTTTCATTGCAAACTCTCTCGTTATTTGAGCAATATTATTATTGAGGTCAGTAATTTGAAGGTTTGAGTCTTGTAAATCCTTTTCCAAAAGCTGTACTTTGCTTTTAAAATCATCTAACTCTTTCTGCTCAATAAAAACTTCCTCTGTTTGTGAACTATGAGCCAATGTAATTTTTTGTTCAGGAGGAACAACTTTTTCTATAATGGTAGGAATCAAACTTCCAAGCTTGTTTTTGGCTTCTTCCTTGAGGTTCTTTACTTGACTCATGAATTCCTCCTCCATCTTATGGAATTTTAGATCCAAATCTCTGTACTTGCTTACCGCATCGCCATATTTTGTTTCTATCGAACTAATAAGTGATTCCTTCTCAATAATCAAAGTTTGAAGGTGTTGTTTTTCCTCTCTTTCAGTTTGCACATCTTTCCTTAAACTGTCCAAAATATTATTTGCATCTTGAGCTGGTACAGAAGAAGTTAACTGAGTCTCCAAGGTTGATATTTTTTGTTTTTGATTTTTCAAAATATCCTTCGTTAAAGCGTCCTTTCTCGTTAGCTCCGTTATCTTTACCTCTAATTGCTTTCTAGTTTCCTGCAAAGAATTATTGGCTTCCATTTCCTTTTCTATTTTCATCTTTAAAGATTCAATTTCTTGTTGGAAATTAGAAATAGCACTCGATAATTTTTGGATGTTATCTTCCAAAGAGGTTTTCTGATTCTCTAGTCCCTTAATAGTATCTGCTTGATTTTTAGCATGTTTCCTGATTTTTTCATTTTCTTTCGTTTTGTTTGATGATTTCATTTCTTGATTTTCCAAATCTCGTATTGTTAAGTCAGTATTTACATTTGAATCGGAAAATGTTTTGGATATATAAAAATCCAATCGTTTTCCCAATTCAATTATTTTGTCTTTTTGCTTATTTACAATAACTTGATAGTCTTTTTCTCTATTTTCTCCTTCTTTGATACATGATTGTAGTTTTTCACATTGTTGTTTTAGATTTGCAGCATTTAATTTGCTTTCATCCAAATCATTTCCTAGTTTCAAACATTCCTTCTCTTTTTTCCTTATATAATTGACTAATCCAAAGAATAACTTTTTTTGTACACTTATGGATTTTGTCAATTGTGCTTGAGCTCCTTCAATTTGTTTGTTGCAAACTGCACGTTGTTCTAAAATGTATTCATCTGATCGCTTCTTCTCCTTTGCCTCTATTCCAGAAATAATTTTCTCAAAACTAGAAACGTGTACTCTCATGTCCTCGTAATACTTTGTTGTTTCTGACACAAGTCGGTCTCTTAGATCATCCTTTTCAGATGCATATGCTTTAACTTTTCCACCCAATTCTTCAATTTTTTCCTTATACTTTTTTAAGAGTGTTTCTTGGTATCTTTTTTGCATGGATATATATTTGTCATTGAATTCCTCCATGAAACTCTGAATCTTGGCCATCTTTTCATTGTCTTGTTTTTCGAAATGTTTTTGAAGTTTCTTAGTCTTTTCTTTGAATTCTTGCTTGGCATTTGAGAACTTGTTCATAATTTCCTCTACTTGAGTTTTTGCATAATCCATTTTTACATAAATCATATTATTCACATTTACAGTACTTGCCGAATCATCCAAAGTTATTGATATATCCTCAGTTCTTTGTAAGGATGCAACTAGACGTTTGGTTTCCTCTTGTGACTCTGCAAAATTAAGGAGGTTGGAGCCAAATGCCTCATTATTTGTTGATGTATTAATTGTTGTGGGAGAGGACGCTGTTGGTGGAGAAGATGAAATGGGAACTGGAAGTGGAGCATCAGTTTTCCTTCTTCTCCTAGTTAAATTAGCTGCATTATCCTTCCTTAATCTGACAGGAATGGGTGATGAAGATCGGGACGAAGAATCTGAATTGTTATCACTATCCAATGTATCATGAGAAAGGAGAGCTCCAATAATGTTTAATTTTCCAGCTTGTGTGGTTGTTGGAGTTGAAAGGGCACTTTTAGCAATATCGCCAAAAAACGTTGGACGTCGTGCACCCGTTTCAAGAGGATTACTAGTAGAAGGAGTTAATGGTGATGATGGATTATTAGATGATGTATGGGAGTTGGAGGGTATTGTTGATGGCCTTAATCTCGTCATGACATGAAGTGGTTGGTAGGTTTCTGATGAAGAAACCTCATCAAGCATTTTAAGCTCTTTGGAGAGATTTGTTTTTTTTAATGTTGTTGTTATGGCGGTATTGTGTAACAGTAACAATCTTCGCAATAGTTTGGTTGTGAATGAATGTTCAGCTGTATTTTACTGACTAGTAGTACGGTACCTGTTTTGATAATGGTGTTTCTGCAATGGGAAGAAAGGGCTTTGGTTATTTCATCAACATGGACCATTCTTTATTTTTGTAAACAAGTAAAAAAATTGAAGGCAATTTACAAAATATTACTTTCCAATTAAAGTATGCCATCTATTTTGAATTTTGTAAAAGAGAATAACTGATGAGGTGGTTTTCTTTTTCCTTTCTTTTATTCTCGCAGTTGAGAAAATCATTTTAGAATCTTCATCATATTATTAACATAAAAAAATTACCTCAACAATTTACTGAGTGTGTGTTTCGGACCAAATATTATTTTCCGTCCATAAAATCATATCGTCGTTCATAAATATTATCTTCACAACCCGTTATTGTTGCTTGTGGACATAATCAAGTTGTTAAATATTTTCACACACTGCATCAACATTGTGTTCAAATTTAAACTCCGATTCAGAGAATATCAAGATAACAATGAATTCATACTTTGCTTCCTTTTCTAAAAAACAAGGTCATACTGATGATTATACTTTTTATACCTATTCCGATTTGTTGAATTCAACCCATCATGATGATTACACTTCTTCAGCTCCATTATCTTTAACTGAATATTATAATAACAAGACTGTTTTCTGTACTGGCTGTACAGGATTTTTAGGAAAGGTTGTTGTTGAAAAGTTTTTGAGATGTCTTCCAAATATTAGGAAATTATACTTGTTAGTACGTGAAAAAAAGGATAGAAAGACTGGAAAAGTAATTCCACCAGAAGAAAGATTGATTACAGAAATTTTGAGATCACCCATTATGGATAGAATAATAAGGGAAAGATTTAATGGAAAACGTGAAGATTTTGAAGTATTTGCAAGAGAGAAAGTTGAAGGAGTATTTGGAGATGTTACAGAAGAAAATATCTTTGTAGGATCTACCTTAGATAAGATTGAACAATTGAAAAAAGAAATTCAAGTTATTATTCACAGTGCTGCAACTATCGGATTTACGGAAAGATTGGACTATGCCATTAATTTGAATGCTTATGGTCCTTTGAGATGTTTGAACTTTGCTAAACAATGTCACAATATTGAAGCATTTACTCACATCTCAACTGCCTATACAAACTCAAATATGAAATCAGGAAGTAGAGTTGATGAAAAATTCTATCCTCTTAAATTACCAGGTGGTGAAGATATTGAAGCATTTTGTGAAAGAATTAGAAAATTATCACCAAAAGAAATTGAAAAGGCAACTGTAAAGGCATTGGCCTTTACAGGTTATCCAAATACCTATACCATCACTAAGAGAATTGGTGAAGCACTTGTTGCCAAATATAAGGGAGATGTCAATGTTGCAATTTTGAGACCAACCATTGTGGGTGCTGCATTGAGAGATCCTGTTCCTGGTTGGATTGATGCTGTATCTGCAGGTGGTTCTGTTTACTTGTTTAGTGGTCTTGGTATTATTCACTTGCTTCCTGGTAACACTAAGGTTGTATCAGATCAAGTTCCAGTTGATTTTGTTTCCAATGCCATGATTATTTGTCCAGCTGATATTGCAACAAGAAAATCAAGTTTGAGAGTTTACCATTGTGGTACTTCCACATCTAATCCAGGCAGATGGCAAGATACTGTCACAGGAACACTCAGTAAGTTTATATATTCTTATTCTATTAACTTTTTTTAGGATATTGGCACACTCACCAACCTGATAAGAGTGTTTCAAGAGCTGAATTTAATATGATTACAAATAGATTCTTCTACAAGACACAATACTTGATGAGATACACTTGGATGATTCAATTATATGGGTTGATTGCCACTATTTTTGGAAGCAAGGCTGCAGTTAAAGCTGTAGAAGGATTTAAAAAGATGGCCTCCCGTCAATCCAATCTCTCCTCAAATTTCCATCACTTTACCCTCAATGAATGGTTCTTTGATGTTGCCAATTTGGATTCTGCTTTCCACAGATTACCAGAAAATGAAAAGGACTTGTTTACTCTTGATTGGAGTCTTATTAATTGGTCCACCTATTTCCAATATTTCTGTTATGGTCTCCACAAGTTTGTTTTAAAGGAAAATCCTGAACCACCAACCACCACTGACTTGATCAAGTCCAATGAGTATAATTTCATTAACAATCTCTATAATGATGTAGAATTGGCATTTACAGCTGCAGGCCGTTTCACTGATGGTCAAACCCGAGAACAAGTCAAACAAACAGTTTTACAATCAAAAATTGTACAAGATGCCATATTATCTGAAGCTGAAACTCTCAACATTTCTGTTATGAATGTTGAAAAGAGAGCTCTCCAAATTATGGACCAAATGTTTGCTGACCCAAATAATAATGCAATTAGAGCATTTGGTTGGATTTTAAGAAAGATTTGGCGTAGAATGTATCAATCTATTATGGTCGACACAAATGAAATTGAAAAATTGAAAGAAATTTCTAAAAAGGCAGAATCAGGAACTCTTGTATTCATTCCAACTCACAGAAGTTATATTGATTTCTTAATTGTTTCCTATGTTTTCTTTGTATATGGTGTTCCAGTTCCACACATTGCTGCTGGAGAAGACTTTTTAAACATGTTTTTAGTTCGTGATTTATTCAGATACTCGGGTGCTTTCTTTATGAGAAGATCTTTCGGTTCTGACAAGGTATATAAGGCCATCTTTTCTGAATATGTTCAACGTTTACTCGTTGATGGTAATCCTGTTGAATTCTTTGTTGAAGGTACTCGTTCAAGAGGTGGCAAAACTCTCAGACCGAAACTTGGACTTTTGAAAACCATTGCTGATACTTATTTAGACAAGCGTGTCGATAACCTCACACTTGTACCTATTCATATTGGTTATGAAAAGGTTATTGAAAGTGAATCACATACTAGAGAATTGTTAGGAGGAAATAAGAAGGGAGAATCTCTCTCTGCTCTCATCTCTGCAAGTTCTGTCTTGTTGAGAAAGTATGGCGACATTCATGTCAAAATTGCTGAACCAATTTCATTGAAGGACTATGTTGAAAATATGAAATCAGAATCTCCTTCATTCGATCCATTCGGTCAAGATGATGACAAGAATACCCTTGTTAAAAATCTTGGTACCAAGATTACCTATGATTTGAATCAATCTGTCGTCATTATGCCTATTGCTCTCGTTTCTACAATTTTATTAACCTATAGAGAAGGTATTAGTATGGAAGAATTACAAAGCAAGACCGATTGGTTAAAGAATCAAATTATTTCAAGAGGAGGAAATGTTTACTGGTCCAAGACACAAACTACAGCATCAGTAGTGAACAGAGCTCTTGGATTGATCAATAATATTATCAAGAAGAATAAGAACATGTTAGAACCAGCTATTGAAGTCAAGTCAGACTATAAGAAGATTTTGGAACTCAGCTATTATAGAAATCAAATTATTCACCTATTCTTTGTTGAAAGTATTGTCTCATGCTCATTCTACTCATTCAGAGAAAAATTAATGATTGACCAAGGCGTTCCTCTTTCTGAATTGTTAAAGAGATGTGAATTTTTGAATGAGCTTCTCTCTCTTGAATTCATTTATAAGGAAAGACCTGAGGAACATGATGACTTCATGAGCGTCATTAATGCCATGTCAAAGAGAGGTATTTTCCAACTCAAAGATGAAAAGGTATTCATTCCAGTCTTGTATTTGGAAAATCTCAAATTTATTTGCTCATTATTGTGGCCTTTCATTGAAGCCTATTGGGGAGCTTCCATGGCACTTATTTCATTGCCATTCTCAGGTAATGAACAAGAAATTCCAACACTTAGAAAGAAGGCTCTTGTTGAAAGAATGCAATGGTTTATTGAAAAACTCTACTTTGATCAAAAAGTTCATTTCTATGAAGCATGTTCATCTGAGACTCTTTCCAACACTGTTGCTATTTTTGACAAGATGGGTATTCTCCAAACAACTGTCAAGGTCGAAAAATCAACTTCAAAGAAGGGAGCAAAGGATGCACCAAAATCTGAGTCTGTTGTTTCCCTCTTACCACCATATAATGAAATTGATAAGTTGTTCGAGTTTGTTGGTGAATTGCAACAATATAGAAAGACAACTCCAAAGACAGACAAGTCCATACTTCCAAATACTGAAATTCCTCTTCGTCAACCAAGATTGTAAATAACTGTATTGATTAAAGAATTGTTTACCTTAAATTGTTACAGAAACACTATTTATTTATTACTCCCTAAGGCTCTAATTTCATTTAAAAATTGTCCACCAGTCAAAACATTTGTAGATCCATAGGTAACATTAATGGAAGTACCACTCTTGGCAATAAAGTGTTGGAGGAGATTTGAATATTCCATATAATTACCACCACCAACAACAAAGGTAATCACATCACTGAATCCATCTTGTGAATTATTTGATACATTGTGGGAAGATTGGCCAATTTCATCCATTCTCATACCAGGAGTAGTATTGGTATTTGTTTCAGGAGAAGATTTAGAATAAGTTTTGATTAGTGATTGGGAAGGTGGGAGTTTTGGATCAATAAATACAAACTCCTCATGTTCTGAGAGTTTTCTTGGTGTATTATTCACTATGGCATCAACAATTCTAGTGAGAGGAAGGGTAGTTCTATACTCTGATCCCTCACCATAATATTCATTGAGACCTGACGCAATACTCTTAATTTGATCCCCCAAAATTGAAAACTTTTTAGTCAAATTGGCAAGAGAAGAATTGTGTCTGAGTGATGATTCATTAGTACCTCTTGTCATACTGATGTGTCGTGTCATTTGTTTCAAGAATGCAATTTCAGGTAAAATATTTTCAAGGGATAAATTTGTTGCACCCTTGAATTCTTGACCTTCCTGGCTCAATCTTCGTTGTTGAAGGGTAAGTGCGTATTTTTCTAATTCCTGGCGAGTTATGAATTGAGGATCCTGGTTTAATCTTTCTTGTTGAATAATGTAGAGATAGCATACAAGAATGAGTCTCAACTTGTCTTCCAAAGTACCTTTTTCTTGCTCACCCTCCTCTGAAACATTCAACAGGGAGTGTAAGACTGCGGATTCAATCTTTGATTGTTTGGTGATAAGAGCCTCTTCGATTGCAACAAATTCATCTAATTTTCTCTTGTTTACCTCATGAAGGATAGCATAGGCAATATTGGTGTGCATGTCAACTCTGGTTCTTTCTTGTGACATGACAAATACTTCATCAACAGTATTCTTATTGAGTCCAGAATCTTCAGTGCTTGATGATGACTTCATAACATCTTCCTCACTCATATTTAATCCATATTTTTTGTTAAACTCGTTCAATTTTGCTTTGTGCTTTTCCAAATAGTTTGTTACATTTTGAGCTACTTCTTGGAATGGTTTGGTAGCATTTTCAATCCAAAATTCATCATCCAAAGCAATCTCATAGGTCTGTTCTGGGGATGAATTTTCAGAAACCTTCTTTCTGATTGGAACCTTAACTTGATTGGATTTCATTTGGAAAATGTCATGAATCATAGAACGGTATGTCCATTGGTGTTGTAAGCAAACTGTAAAATCAACTGTTCTGTCCATAATTATCAATAGTGGCCTATTCTTCTTTTTATCAACACTTGTTTCATTCTTTTGATTTTCTTGAAGAGGTGATTGGGCCAAATTCCTCAGAGTTTTTTCAACAGCTTCGGCAATAAATCTGGCTGGTTTTCCTTGAGCTGAGGGGCAGACAATAATTGGCATTACAAATCCTCCAGAGGTATTATTCTTTCCATTTGATGAAGACAAAATAACTGATGCAATTCCGTTTGCTATTTGATCCACAATTAATTTAATTTCCTCTTCCTTCTTGGTTGGATCATGAAGTTGTAATAAACAATTATCCAAACCTAGTAAGGAGAAAAAATCCTTCTCTAGGCAAATATAATTAACAAATTGATCCAAAACTTTTGAAAGTAAATGTGTTGATTCAGTTTGAACCAATTTGGTGGCCATCTTTTCCAAAATATCTCTTTTATAATTACTATGGCAAAAATTAATATGACAGGAGGCATAGAGCTCCCTTTCACAATCACTACAAATGCGATCGATATTATGTTGAGTTGGTTGAACAAAATAAATGGCCGGTGCATCTGCAATTGGTTGTCTCTTCTCTTCTAAAGGTCTAAATCAATTATCCACAAATCACAACAAAATAACTTACAACATTAAAGTCACTCCCATTGCTCTCAAATCTCCAACTTTGAACAATGGAGTAATAATTTCTGAACAATGTTTATCCATAATTAAAACTTTCCACTGTTGTACTTTTCGTTCTGTTAATTGATGTCCTAATTCATGACCCGTAAGAACATGATCATTGGATCCACTGGCTTTCTTCTTTTTCTTTTTACTTGATGTATTAGTAATGGCATCGTAGCCTTCAATATTTAACATGTTTAAAATACTCTCTTTTATATGATTAACAATTTCCGATCATTTAGATTATCAGACGTACCTTTTTGACAATCCATCAAATTGATGGATGCAACAGAAGACTTTGATGAGAGCATTTTTTTTGATGATTTTAAAACTTATGGTCGTTGCAGAGTTTTTAAAAACACGTGGCAAGTCGTGTCATCCATAGGTGGAACAAACTAATATTACTCTAAGGCTCCTAATAAATGAAAAGCATCTTATTCGATTCACTACACTTTTTGAAAATCAGTTTTAATAAGATGGCGCCAAAATTTAGTTTACGATTTTAAAAAAAAATGTCTTCCCCATCCGTGCCTAACAATGATGCTACCAGTTCGAGTCAAATATCTCAAGCTCCTTCACCATCACCAACAATTATCAACCCAATTCATGATCCGAAAGCTCTGTTCAAATACCCAACGTATGAGGACTATTTGGATGAAAAGATAAATACTAAGGACTTGTTTTATTTGGAAAATCAAGATCTTGCCAGAGCAATTATTGAAAATGAATATAAGAGATACAATATCTTATCTAGGGATAATTTTGAAGAACAAAAGAAAAAGTACATGTTGAGCCTAACCAACAAAACGCCAAATATGACCACAAACCTAATTTCAAATTCTGACCCAGGAAAAACAGATAAGTTGTGCTCTTTCGGAAAAGACCTTAGAAACTATCCTCTCTTGAATGAACTTGCGAAAAGAGAGGCTAAGGTTAGAAGTGGTAGATTGAATACTATTATTTTCATCAGAGATTACGATAAAAAAGGAAATGAAGTGAGTGGATATATCGATTATGGACACCGTCTCAAGAATGAAGATTTTGAAGAATATTTCAGTCTAAAAAAGAGGCTCATGCCAAAAACCTCTGACTTGAGCTATTACAATTGGAAGACTCAAACGGTTTCCTACAATAATAGTTCAACATTTCAAGTAATCGCCAACAGTGAAAATGGATTGTTTTTCAGACATAGAAGAGACAGAAAGGTCATTAGTGTCGATCCAAAAAGTAATAGTGATACATTGGCAAATGCTGACACAACCATGCAAACAGATGCCACAGTTGGTGATAACAGTGAAAGAAGAGTAATCAAAACAGATGAATATTTGCAAGTGGTACTTTACGAGCATAGACCAAGAAGAAAGAATTAATGATTTTGTACATAGTTCCTTAATGCTAAAAACTCCTTTGAAAAGACTTCTGGAACGTTTGCTTCTTCGTATTCTGAGTTGCTTGTTGATGTCGAAGATTTCATATTTCTTACAACATCCTCTCGTTGTTGTTGATTTAAATCTGGTGCATATCTAATTTGTTCGGTGGACATTGTATTTTCAGGTTGACCATAACATGATTTTGTAAAATCTTGAATAGAATATGGAAAATCATAATAATTATATCCTATTTCTTCCTCTTCTTCTGCCTCATTTTCGCTTTCATATTCTTCTCGTTGTTGTTTTTGCTCTTCTGCTTCCTGTTGATGACGATATAAGGCATCAAAGTGTTTCTTCATCACAGATTCCTCAATTTGTAATTTGTGAATATGTTCTGATAATTTTTTGTGTAGGCTATTTAAATAATTACTTTCTCTTTCCAATTCTGTTAAAATAAATACATGTTGTCCATAAATATTTAACTTGTCATAGAAATCGTGTGGTAATATATTGCTGTAAACTTTGGGAGTAGTTGCTTTTTTCACTTTCTTTTTTGGTTTTTCCTTTGTTGGTTCATGAATAATTTCCGAAATATTTGTTGCTGCACTAGTATCAACAGTTTCTTTTCTCTTTCTTTTGGCTTTGGAGTTGGTTGATGTAATAGAAGGGTTTGTGCTTGTTGATGCAAATTCCGATGTAGCAAGATCGCTCATTTTTTTGTTTGAAGTTTATGGTAGCTAATAATAGACAGTTAAAAGATAAACAATACAATTTATTTTTTACTGAAATAATCCTAAATGTGATAGCCACATCCTATTGCTTCTAACTTTTAATATTCTATTTGAAGATTCAAGCCCAATTTCAATCCAGACAAAGAACTAGCCCCAGAGAAATTCTTAGCAATAGTAACACCAACATTGAGCTTGTCATTATTCCAGAATTTTCTCTTTTCAATGAGGGCTGCAATTCCCTTTTCAGTATCAACTCTGAATTTGGTAGCATAATCTTCAGCTCCTGGTGGAGAAACACATTCAATACCAACAGCCATTTCTGTTTGAGTTTGTGTACTGTTGTAACGAAGTTGAGCACTAGCAGCCAAACCATAAATTCTTGAGATTTGGGTTGTGTAGGAAAGGTGCATATGCCCCAAAAGATCACCATTGAAAACAACAGTTGTCTTTTTCTGTGAGAGTGGTGAAACAATTCCAAATCTAGCAGCATAGGCCAAATTTCCTGGCATGTAATCACAAGCAAGAATACATCCACCTACATCCACTGCAATGTTCTTTGTTTGGTAAGCTCTAAAAAGTCCTGATAACAATGTTTGAGATTGAATTGGAGAAAACGATTGGAAAATATCTGTATGTGCTCTATTTGACTTGATAGAAAGAAGAGTTTCATTAATCCAACCTCTTGGTACTGCTGCTGATAGACTTGATGGTGAATTATCAATAACTGTTGGTAATCTCAATTCATGTTGAATAATATATGAATCGAGAGCCATCTTCAAACACATTGAAAAAGTTGTATCCGGATAAACATGAGCTCTAATATCCAAAGGAGCATTCATAATTTTTCTAACAATCTCATTCTTTTTTTCCAAATTTCCAAACAATGATTCAACATTAGGAGCCAAAAAAGAAGAAACAAGAAATTGTTTCACACTAGAAATTCTACGTAACATGAATGTAAAATTTTTCAACCCTTCATCATGGAATCTGAGTGGAATGATGAGTTGAGAAGGTAATTGATCAGATGGTACTTTTTGATTGGAATTTCTATTATCAAATCCTCCTTCTTGTTCCAATTGTAGATATGGAATATATTCCTCTTGTTGAAAACAACTTGTTGACGGAATCTTTTCTCCCGAAGATCCATTAGAAGACGATTTCATCACAATTTTCAAACCATCAACTCCACTTAAATATTTATGAAAAGGCCCTTCTCCACCTCCAGTTGTATAAATTGCTGTTTGTTCATCTCTCATTGTAAAATGGAGAATACTCTCGGCCCAGTAATCAACATATCTGTATTTGCCTGGATACCATGATGATGAATCATTTGCTGATTTTTGCATTTTTTATTTCTAAATTTGTTTAACAATAATCAATTTATTGGTTACCAATTTCAATCATCACATTCTTCATGCTTTCTGTTCTTTTGCACAGAAATAAAACCCGCCAAAAAAATGCCTGGAAGATTTTCTACTTCACCAGCTTATAATTCCTCTCACCAAACTCCCATCAATAACAACCACACAACCCGACAAGAAAATGTCGATTCAATAGGTTCCTTCCACATAGTCACCCCCGTAGAAAAATCACAAAATCAATTGGAAGGAAAGGATTGGGAGATGGCACCAACACCTCCTCAACTCGATCAGGAACAACCAAAATCACCAATGTCAAGTCCTGGACTTTCATTGCTATTGAGTCACAGTGCAAAACGAAATGCAACATCACCTCACATGCCAAGATATAGGCATGTCATTCCAGATCAAAATACAAATGGAGTCCAATTATTTTCTCCTTCCAAATCACCAAAATCTAAATTAGTGTTCAGAGATTCCAATAATTTTGTGGAAAATATGGAAGAAACTGAATCCTATGATCCACTTTCAAAAATTGAAAAACTAAGGAGAAGATTATCACTTTTAAAATCTCAAATCAAACACTCCACTCAATTGATTTCTGAAGGAAATAACTTATTGACATCACCAAATAAGAATAGGTCAGTAACTCCAAAAAAACAGACAACTCCATCAAAGTCCTCATCAATTAACGTATCCCAGCAAAATCAAGATGATGACATCTTCTTACTCGGAAAAGAATCATTTTCAACACCCTCAAAAAACCACAAAACCATATCCAATCCACAAGACGATTCAATTCGTGACAATGTTCCATCAACTCCATCTCGCAAGTTGTCAGCACTAACTCTTTCCACAGGTAAAAAATCTCCATCATCCTTAAAGTTATTAACTCCTCCAACAAGTGTGAGCAAACCCAAGTCACCCTCTTCTACAAAAAAGAGAAAAATTAATGAGATGGCTACCAATAACTCAACACCTAAAACACCCTCCAATAAGACTTTACAAAATCTTATTACCACTCCTAAATCTTCCCATACTAAGAAAGCAACATGCACTACTACTCCCCACTCCAAGAAGAAATCTCCTCAAGTTATTTCTACTAAATTTAATAGTGATGAAATTTTCACACCAATCTCAAAGAAATTGAAAAAGACAACAGACCTTGAAGAATCGTTTAATCTGGATCTTTTCAAAACTCCAACACCAGTCAAACCAAAAAATCCACACTCTATCAAAATTAATGCCATTCTAAGAAGAAGTCTTACTCAAGAAGAAGGAGAAACAATAAGTAGGAATATCTTTGAAGAGGAAGACGATGATTTTGTCTTTAGAGAACGTAAAAAAACTTGTCAGATAAAATAGATTCAATCTCAAACTTGTAATTATTAACAATTTTTTGAAATATTCACCACTCAGCTTGAATTTTGGATCTCCTTTACTTGCTTCAAATTTTTTTTCAACCAACAAAAAAATGCTGCAAAACAACAATAAGAGAAGAGGTCAAGGTGGTGTCAAGAGAAAGCAAGAACACGACATGGCAGATGAATCCATGGTATCCTATGAAGATATGAAGAGGGATAGAATGAATATGCAAGATGGTGATGAGGAAAAGCCGTTATTTAGCGTCGGACAAGAATATGTGGAGTATGATGATGGTCAAGAGGATTCTGCCTCTGAACCAGGTGATATGGTTGTCGATTTTGATGTTAATGCTCCAGATTTACAAAGTGATTACTATGGAGCTGAATTATACGTCAGAAATTACTTACAAGGAACTGAATATAATTACTTTGAAATGGCCGAACTTGTGTTAGGAGATGAAGCAAACAAAATTCCAAATCCACTCACATCTGTTATTAAAACAGCTTCAGATCCACAACAGCAACAACAACAACCTTTAATTGCCCCACCTTCTAATACATCCTCTCAAAATGCCATGAAGGATGATGATGAAGTTGATCCAAGCCAATGGGATTGGACCATGGATATGTATGGATTACTGTCGCTCTTAGATTATAAGCAACATAAGAAGAAACAATGTATGAAACAAATCAAAGCATTCGTTCTTCAAAAATGTCCAGATCAAGATAAGCGTGAAAAATTATGTGAAGTCTTTGATAATTCTAAATTGGGAATAATTGTTAACGAGAGAGTTATAAATTTACCATATGAAGTTGGTGGAATGCTCCATCTTAATTTATTTGAAGAATTAGAAAGAGAACAAAAAGAAAATGGTTTTACAAAATTCCAATACTATTTGATTATTACCAAAGTTTTCCACATGAGAAGTCCACTATCAGGACAAGTTAAGAAAGTCAAAGACGAAGCTATTTTCTACAAACCAGAAGAACAATTTTATCATGAAAGAGCCCTTGTTTCATTTGACTACCCAATCAAGAGTGAATACACTGAAGATGCATCAACCCTTACACTTACAGATGACACTTTCCAACAAGGTTTATGTATGATCATAGAGAGCTCCAAGGTCAGAAAGATCCTGAAGAAGATTAAGGAGCAATTACTGCCCAACTCTGCACAATCATCAACTGCAGACGAAAAGGATGATGAATAAATTGTGTCAAGTTGTCAATTTACCATAAATAATATACCCTTTGGTTTATTTTGACGTGTTAATTTAATGTTTGAAAGAGGTGGGAAGGAAGGAGGGGTGTGGTTGGAAGAAAGTACAAATCATATGATGATGTTATATTACTACTAAATCTACACAGAAATTATGATCACATGATGAAGAAATGTCCACATGAATTATTGTTGTTGTTGAGTCAAGAACTTTTGATATTCATTCTTGTGTTTTTCTCTAAATTCAGCCAAACTTTGTTGATATCTAGCTTCCATAGTATGGACTGGTAAATCTTGTTGTTTACGGTGTGGATTGTGTTCATAATAAACCCATAAATTGAAGGCTCTTTCATATTCGGCATCGTTCAATGGATTCAATCCGTAAGCTCGTCCAGCAACATGTTTTACAAATGATTGACCGGCAAGGAAACCCATAGCAGCAACAAAAATACCAGTGAGAGGTTGATATGATTTTTGATAAGCAGGAACACCAGCGACAAGACCCAAAACTGAGCCCACCTTCAAAGAAAGTTCAAAGACGTCCTTCTTCTTTTGATGGTAGTCGGCAAATTCTGGTACTTCTTGGCCGAATTGTTTTCCAAGTCTATGTTTTTCTAAAGGATTTAAAGTTGGTCTTGGCAAAGTGGAGGACATTTTTAATTTTTTTTAAATATTTTTTAATTGAATTGTTTTTTATGCTTGTTGCCTCCAATTATTTCCCCAACACTTGTCTACTTGATTTTCATCCCACCACAACTCAAGCCATAGCATCCACCTTATTCCTTGTTTCAATATTTATTTTCAGTAAGACCCATAGTGTTATATATTTGAAAAACATTCAGCAAAATGTATTTTTAAAACAATCGAAAAAAAATGCTTCCTTCATCATCTTCATCTTCGACAGCCAAGTCGAATTATTCGGAATCATCATACTCGATTACCTTTCCTGAGAATGTTTTTAAAGTAGAAACAATTACTTGGAGTGTAAAGGAGAATCAATGCATTCTTGCATATGAACCTTTGGGAAGATTGGTTTTTACTTCAACTCAAGGAATGAAGGAAGCCTTGACAATTGTTAGCGATCGATCAGGTTGTGTACAAAAACTTCTCAAACTAAATTCCAATCTGGAGCAAAGTAGACTATTATTGACAATTAAATGTTGTGATCACAGTGAAACAATGCTAGGTTTATGTCTCTTGTGTTCTGGAGATTGCTCATCAGCAACTATGACAAAAAAGTTATCTGGAGCACTTACTAAATTTTCATATGAAAGAGGAGCTGTATTCAATTTACCAATTCCTGAATTTGAAAGTGTACAAGAAGTGCAAACTTCTGCCAAATCACACATTGCACTTTTACACAATGTAGGATACACTATTGCCTATGAAAAAGGATTGGAAAGAGGAAAGGCCAACCAACAAAGATTAATTGAAAAGAAGAAGCTTTCACTTGTTTTGGATTTGGATCATACTCTATTACATACAATTAACGATTTTGAATATAGGAGAGAGCACCACAAGGTGACCTATTTTAACGATATTTACAATAATTCACCAGAACTTCAAAAACATATTCACAAATTTTTCATGAGAGGATCGTACCATTTTGTAAAGTTTAGACCTAGATTGGAGAGTTTCTTGAAGAGATGTTCAGAAATATTTGAATTACACGTATTTACACATGGTGAAAGAGCCTATGCCGATCAAATTGGAAAAATGTTAGATAGTTCAAAATCATTATTTGCTGACAGAATTTTATCGAGAGATGAGTGTCCAGATATTAACACCAAGACACTCAGCCAAGTTTTTCCTTACAGTGATAAATCAGTACTAGTTATTGATGACAAGACAGATGTTTGGAAGGATAATGTGGACAATGTGATTCAAATAGCTCCGTACGACTATTTTAGACGTATATTCGGTGTTCAACTAGATGTAAATAATGCACCAGGTAATGATGCTGATAGAAAGAAAAATAACTCTCAACAAACTCCAAGAACATTTAAAGTTATTGAGAATACTATAGATGATTACAATGATGACGATCAATTGGATATCATCTATAACCTTTTAGAAAAGGTTCACCTGGATTACTTCAACTCTCCACAGGATTTATCTGAGAGAGACGTCAAGGCAATCCTTAAAGAAAAAAAGAAGGATATTCTCAAAGGGGCTCATATTGTTTTCAGTGGAGTCATTCCTTTGAAACAACAACCAGAAACCCATATTGATTGGAAAATTGCTACAGATCTAGGTGCCAAGTGCTATACAGATATCACTCCCAATATGACTCACTTGGTGGCAAGGCAAAAAGGTACAGAAAAGGTTAAAAAAGCTGAAAATATGCCTGGTGTACATGTTGTAGATTTATCGTGGTTACATGCATGTTTAAAGTATTTGAAAAGGCAAAATGAGTTTGACTATTTTTTGGGTGATCACAAATTATACCCATACAGTGAAGCATTTTCTAAATCAAAACCAGAGATTGTACAATTTCAAACAGCCTGCTCTGAATTTATGACTTTGATTCAGAAAGAGTCAGCATTTCTGAGAGGCTTAAAGGCCAAAGAGGTTGAAATGGATTTGGGGAGTGATTCTGATGGTTCGTCTTCCTCAGATAGTGATGATTCTGGAAGCGATATGGATTTTTAATTAGTAGTAAATTAATTTCCACTTTATTAAAATATGAGCCAATGTTCTTTTAATCAATTCGATCATTTGCATTCTCATTTAAAGTTTTCGCTCAACATATTTTAATTTCCACAATATCTTGAAACTCTAATCCAACAAATTGAAAATAATTCATTTAGAGCCACCTAAAATTTGGAAAGAGTACACACGTGGCCTTTCCTTGAACTAAACCCATTGGAATAGGTCCATAATTATTTGAATCAATACTAGAAGAAGAATTGTCTCCTTCCACCCAAATATGTCCCTTTGGAATTAGTTTTGCTGTTTGTGAATATCCTTCGGAATTCAATCTTTTTGGTTGAAAAATTTCTCCAGGTAATGCCTTCACTCTTTTAACAGCTGTTGTTCTTGGATCCTCCGGTGAAACAAATACAATAATATCTCCAATTTTTAATTCTTGTTTATGATTCCTCACTCGTTTAATAACTATCCAATCACGAATTGAGCTCAATGGACTAGCATTCCTAGAGTAGGCTCCCCATTCCGAATTTAAAGTTGGTTTCATTGAAGCTCCATTTACACATCCCAACCAATATCTATCCAAAATAAAAGTCGAACCTGCATAAACACTCGTCGAAACAAAAACTGCAGGAAAGACAATCTCTCTCAATCTTTTCATTTTTTTAAAAAAAATAATTTAATAATTTTCATTTCAATCAAAATCTTTATGAGAACTTTTGGCTTAGGTTCTTCAAGTATCGAATGAAAAACTTGTTAATAAAAGCACAAGTTGTTTATATTGAAAGAAGCTTCTTTAAGAACGGTTTTGATGTCTTATCAAGAAGCACATTAAACTCAAGTTGTCCGAGAGGAATGTTTGTGGCGCCATAAGGAATATTAGTGCGATATTGAATAAAAAATAAAATTAAAAAAAATGGAACGTTCTCTGTTTGTTATCCTCCTCGGATTGCTCGTTGCAGGCTTGGCAATCAATTATAATTCCAAATATTCGACAGAGGTTTTTGCCTTTAGATCGGTATTTAATGGACTTGTTTATTTCAACAAATATTTTGGTATGAAGGAAGGTGATCCTACAACACAAATGTATGGTGTAACCACTCAAAATTGGAAACATTTATCTGTGGAAGCTCAAACTTATTTCAACTTGATCCGTTTTAACAATGCTAAAAAAGTTAATGATCCTGTTATTTTACGTCAAAATGTGAATTTAAATATGGCTCCTCCTATTAGTCTTTATAATGTATTGGAAAAGGAAGAAGTGTCATCACTCCGTAATTCAAAATTTGTTAAACTTCGTGATAGTTTTTATTTGGATTTTGGAAAATCAAAGACTGCCAAGACAATGTTGTTGATTCATGGTGGAGGTGGATTTGCTGGAGTTCATGATGGTTTGCAAATCAGATCTATTGTAGAATTCATGTCAAATCGTTTGAATAGTTCATTGTTAAACATTCTTTCTGTAAATTATAGAAAGATGCCTCTCACTGATGTTGAAAAGAAAGACAATAAGAATTTTGCTTCCAGTTTTTCCGAGCAAGTTAATGACGCTTTGGAAGCTTACAAATGGCTCATAAATGAAAAGAATGTCAATGCTAAGGATATAGTTATTATGGGTGACTCATTTGGAGCTGGTATTGCTTCTTCACTTTTGCTTCGTATAGCTGAAGATCAACAATTGGATATGCCTTCATCTGCCATCCTTATTTCAGGTGTATACGACCTGAGCGGACAAATGGCTGCTTCAACAATGAATGAAAAGAATAACCTCTTGTGTACACGTGAATTGTTGGCTGTCATGGAAAAACTTTATAAGACTGAAACTAATCTTTCCCCATTGAATACATGGAAAAATGCTAACAAGAGAGTTCACTCAACCAAATTATTGGCCGTCTACAGTAAGGACGAAGAGTTTACTGCTGAAAGTGTCAAGTTTTTGGAAGTTTTGAATGAAATTGAGCACCCATCTGTCAAGGTAATTGTTGATGAAATGATGCCACACATTTATCCATTGTTGAGCTATTATATTCCTGAAGCCAGAGCAACAATGCAACGTATTATCGATTTTATTGATGAATAAACGTTAAAAATACAAGAACTTTTTGTCAAGTGAAGTATATTAAGGTTTAGAAAGTAACACTAAAATACTTTTCCAGGTTTTTTCCAAAAGCTCCTTACAATATGTTGGACCTTGTGAAATTAATTTTGAAATATCTTCAGAACCTTCATTCAAGTACTTTAAAACTGTATCCTCCCCAATATTGTAGATTAAGAAAATAATAAATAAACAGTACAAGAACATTATACCAAGAATAGTATTCTTGGCACGTTCATCTCTCATAACTGAAACCTAAATGAAATTATAGCACATCTTAATAAGGTTAAACATACCTTGGCTAATTTTCTAAAATCTTCAACGTCAAAGCTTGCTAATTTATCTAAATTAGCAAATCTCTCCTCCATGGAAGGATGTGTTGATGTTAATGAGGTCAGTTTTTCTCTCTCGAAAAACATCAAGTGATTAGTAGAGTCTGATGTTGGCAGTTTTGAAATTGAGCTAAACGTTGGTTTGTTATGCTGATTAGATATCTTACGAAGAGCATCTCTAATATAGTAAGGATGAGTTAAAGCACCGGCAATAGCGTCTGATGCATATTCTCTGTGTCTGCTTACTGCCACTGATAACAATTTACCAGCCAAGAGTGTGACGTATGATAGTAAGATGATTAATCCAATAATGGCTTGGGAATTATCTTTTCCCTTATTGTTACTACTACTGGATTTGGAGCTATTGCTACTTTGGTTACTCTTTAAATGTCTGGTTAAATCCACAGCTATTGCAAAGGATGAAATCATTCCTGCAATTAATGTACCAGTTTTCATATCACCATTTAGTACATGTCCCATTTCATGACCAATAACACTTTTCAACTCATCATCATTTAGCATTGAGGCTAATCCTTTTGTGACCGTGATACAACTCTTTTTGATAGAGTATCCAGATGCAAATGCATTGGCTTCATCACAGTCAATCCAATAAACCTTTGGAATGGTTTTTAATTTAACTGAATTGGTAATTTCTTCAACCATTCTATAAACTCTGGCGTGTTCTGGAATTGTAGAGTTTGGTAAAATTTCAACTCCTCCCTTATAAAGTTATTTCAATAAGTTTGAATAAAAGCTCACAACAAAATACTTACCATTGATGCAGCAATATTGGAACCACTTGATAACATTGATGCAGATCTATTAAACAAAAGATAACAAGTTAATAGAGCAGCGTAACCAAAGCCAATGAATGGAATGTCCAACATTCTGAAAAGAACTTCGAATCCTAAAGTACCAAATGACGCCAAAGCAGAAAAGCAAGCCCAATAAAATTTGGTATCCTTATTTCCCTTATTAATCACTGATTCTAATAGAGCTTTTCTGAATAATTCTTGTTTTTCTGCAAATACTGCCTTTTCCAAATCCGTTTGTTGATTATTATCCATCAAAGAAGAAACTCTAGTAGAGAATGTTCTCATTATTTTTTCTCCTCTCAATGATAAGTTATTCACCTGTTGATCAACTCTTTTATAACAAGAGTTTGATCTTCCGATGAGTAATGTTGATGATCTAAACTTGAGACAACTGTTCGTGGTTGAAATTAGTTTTTTCATTTTTTTTAAAGTCCATATCATGTCTATCATTATAACATCCAGTAATCAAAATTCTGACTACATCAAAATATAGAATGACAATATTAAAGAATTGTTGCTATTACACGTGTATTGAATAATGAAAGTTGGTAAGACTTTTTAAAAGAAAAATAAAAAAAATGTTTTCATCACTCTCCGAACAATTTAAAGGATTTAATGCAAGAGAATTTTTGAGTCAGATTGTTTCTCTTGCTTTTGTGCTGTGTAGTGCACTGATTATTTGGAAATCCTTATCAATTTATACAAATTGTCAATCTCCGATTGTTGTTGTTTTGACTGGTAGTATGGAACCTGCTTTTTATAGAGGGGATATTTTGTTTCTTTCATTGAGCTCGGATCCTGTTCATATTGGAGACATTGTTGTTTACAAGTTGGAGGGAAAGGAAATTCCAATAGTACACAGAGTGATCCGATTGCACAATACTCACAATCAAACTAATTTATTTGAAGGAAAGGAGGATGAAAATGTAAAAATTTTGACAAAGGGAGATCACAACCCACACGATGATAGATATGGAATTTATAATCCAGGATTGCAGTGGTTGAATAGAGGACACATTGTCGGAAGAGTGAAGTCTATTTTACCATATGTTGGTATGGTGACAATTATTATGAATGATTATCCATCTGTTAAATACGTAGTTGTTGGTGTTTTAATATTATTGGTCCTTACAAACAAGGAATAATATTGTAAATTAAATTAATTAAATATTACTTAAAATTATTACCTTTTTTAATAAAAATAATAATTTATATTTATTTACAATTTCCTAGTTGATTTTAAATCTTATTGAACTGCAGTAATATAGTAAGTCAGGTAGCTTTTTGGGGCTTCATCCCCTTCACCATTCGATTCAAGATAGACATCAACAATGAGTGCTGTACCATCAGCAAAGATACAATTCACATCAGTTGGATTGGCATTATGGGCATGGAGAAGTCTAGAGAGTGATTTCAGCTTGACTGTAATCTCTGAAGTGTAAACTTCATTGATTGTGTTAGGAGGAGAGGCTTTAACATTAAGCCCCTTATAAATAGTTCTGATTGAAACTAATGTACTAGTCACTAATAACCTTAGTTGCCCTGTAGGTGATCCAGATACTTCTACTGTACCATTATGAGTTGATTTCATCTTATCAATAACAGATTTCATCTCTTTTAGTTTTGGTAAACTAATAATGAGCGGATTTTGACAATGTGATGAAAAGTCTGGTTCTACAACTTTGACTTGAATTTCCTCCTGTAAAAGTACTCTAATTGGAACATCTTGAACGACTGTCACAACATTTGAAGTTTCCTTTCCTTTTGCTACTTGTGTTTTAATTTCAAAGCTCAAATATCCAATTTCTTGTTTTTTTGTTAATTTTGCCACAATCGCAAGTGCATTATTGGCAGATTTTAAAGCTGCAGATAGATTTTTCAATTGTACTTCAATCACAATTTCATTTCGGAGTTTGGATTGTATCCTCATCTCTGAAAATAAATTTACAGATGGCACAACACCATGAACTTGAGTATTTTCACCATCAGTTTGTCTGGCGATCAGTATTATTTTATCCTTGCTGAGACGAATGATTCCTGTCTTGTCCACTTTTTCCATACATTGCACAATAGAGTATAATAATTTTTGATTGGTGAGGTTGGCTTTGAAACGCATTTTTTTTACTTGTTGTGAATTTATTTTTGTGTTCATTCTTTTAATTACTGGAAATTTGAACAAAAAATGTAGGTGATCCACATTGATTGGCATTTATTTTGGCGCCAAATACTACAAAAAAATAACCAAACCTCAACCACGAGTACAACATCCTTTATAAAAGCATTCCAGCAATATTATTAATAATGCCTAAAAAGAGAGCAGCATCTGGAGGAGCCTCCAAACGGAATCAAAACAATAAGATTGACCAATTACTTATTGAAATGTCAAAGAATTATACACCACCCCCACCAGAAGTTTTTGCCGAAGTTGAGGATAGGTGGGTTCTTGTAAAAGTAAGATTGATGAATTGGGACAATATGGGATTTCAAATTCGTGTTCGGGAATCAACAAATCTATACACTATTGAACAAAAAATTAAGGAAAGACATGGAGGAAGTGTAACTGGTGTTTCTTTTTGGAAAGATAGTGTGGCTCCAGGAAATGAAGTTGGAAATCAACCAGGAGATTTGAACAATACTTTAAAATCGATATTTAGATTTAACCCTCAATCAGGGCATTATGTGGGAGGAAAAAACAATTCTGGACCAAAAATTAATTTACAGCAAGAGGACGAACCTGAATTGCCACTTTCTTCAAGATCTGTAGATGCTAAGAAAAAGTTGAACCTTTTTGAAAATGTAATCACTGAAGAGTGTGACTATGAATGCTCCTTATTTTATGATTTCACGCCCTATGAGACGGATTGCCCACTTTTACAAACCTCTCCAAGATTGTCTGACGTAGTTAAGGATGATGATTACAAAAAGAGAAAGGGTTCTTCTGTACTGTAATATTCACTCTAGAAAACCTTTCTTTTCTTTGAGAATAAGTATATATCAGCTAGACAAACAATTATTCCATAACTAATTATAACTAAACTACCTGTAACATAGGATGCATCAATCGTATGAATAGATAAATTGAGTAAACCTGTCATAATATTCGCAAATAAAAATGAAAAAAGAGGATTGAAATTCATAGAATCTCTCACGTGACTTTGTCCTTTGGTAGGTAATTCCTTAGTGACACCTGACACCAAATAAAATAGGGCCACTAGTGTAATATTAAAAGATATGGTATAAATAACATATCCAAAGTTTGTCATCCTTCTAGATGGAATCAAAATTGAAAAGAGTAAATTAGTTTCTTGAAAGAATGAATAGCTAATTTGATAGTGATAGGTTCTGTCAAGGGAATTATTTGGGGATTCAATAAATTGATTACCTCCAAAATAGAAGAATGGAAGGAAGGTTAATAGTATGGTACATACAGAAAATATGGTCATTATTGTCAGATAGAATTTTGAATGCTTATGATTTGAGAAGGTAAATTGACCTATGCCAACACCCAACAAGTGTATTGAAAAATATCCCAGTATTGTACCAAAACCTTCCTTGTTTGCCAATATAAAATTGGATCTCTCTTTAAAGAGAATTACATCTTGCATGTTAAAGTATGAGAGTAGTATTTGTTGAGTGAATATACATAAAAATCCAGATATTATACTTCTCTTCCAATTTGATGTTATATTTACAAAATCTGCCACAATTGACAAAATCAATAAACAAGCAAGTGTAGTGAAAAAATTCCAATGAGTTCCATACTCTGTCACATGAGTTTGATAGTTTACAGTTTGGACAGTGAAAAATCTAAAGAAGGCCAAACAAACTAATGGAATGAGAGAGTGCATTATTTTGGAAATTGATAAATTTTGACTTGTTCCAGAGACTTTTCTAGCAGAACTGGAAACAATAGCTCCACTAAACACAAAGCTTCCAACTCCCAAATCCATTAAGGTGTATCCAAATGTTTCTGCTTTACACAATCTTCTCGGAAAGAGTGTAAAATCCACCATTAAAATGGCCATAATTGTTGACAATTGCATACTATGTCTATATTCTGATAAGAATTCTATGTGTTGTTGCTGTTGTTGTTGTTGAGGTAGAACTTGTTTCTCCTCAACATCATACTCTTCCTTCTTATTATTCACTTTTCCCAAGTATTTGAATATCAAGCATGTCACAATCATGAACAGCCACACACAAATCAAATTAATAGAAAAGGTCTTTGAAAAAACAGGTTCATTCAAAACAAATACAGTCTGAATGGCATAGTAAAATACAATTTTAAGAATAATTTCCAATCCTATCAGAATGGTATTGTTATTCTTCCAATTAAATCTTCGGATCAGAAAAACTTTTACAAATTGCTCCAATAATGGAACCAAAATAACAGAGAATGATAAACCAAATATTTCCAAGGGTGTAGTTCCTCTTATATTGGAAACAAAGTCCTCTTGTCTCTGTTTGTATTCGGTCGAGTGTTGCATTTTTTAATATCTAATTTTAAATATTAAATATAATATGTGTTTGAATTATTCTTTTACAAAAAAAATGGAAATAATACTTTCAAAATCATCACATCACTTGGTCAATCTCTTGTTGTGTGATTTTTTCGATCATGATCCGAAACAACAAACCATGTTGGAAAATTTATTGGTGAATGTTTTTAAAATTCCTCTCGATTTTATGAAGAGTTTCAAAAAGAATTTGAAGGATATCATTTCATCAACAACTACTACGGAGGGAGAAATAAATTCGCGTGAATTTGTGGAGCAATTATCTAATGAAAATGCTGAAAGTTTGGAATCACTAGTTAGGAGTAGTTTGAAAATTTATTTATTGTATGAACAAGCTAGGTTGTCGAAAGGATTAACGACAGAAATTAATTTTTCCTTCTTGGATGAAATTACTAAAGTTACATTACATTCACTAAAAAGTGAGCAACATGATGAAGAGAAAAAGAAGGCCATGTCCATCATACCAATTTTAATTCTGTCGGAATATTGTAATCATTTCAATCATGCCAAACAAATTGAACAAATTTTCAATTATTGTATGGATGGAAGTAAGGGGAATGATTTTATTGAAGTTTTGAGATTATGCTGTTCCGATTATAAAATTCGAGCTCTAGAATTACTCAAAACAGTGAGAGGCGTATTTGCATCGAAAAAGGTATCAAAAATTGAGGATTCTGTCACTTGTGGTAGAATTTTATTGTTTGTTGCTTCCGTACTTCCATATAATCATGATGCCTGTATCAATAAGGGTGGTCACTTTAACAAGGAGCATCACTCATTGTTGGAACAACAAATTTTAAATGATAACAATGAGGATTCAAGCAATACACAGGATGATTTTGAAATTTATTGGGGACTTCAAGTGCATATAATTCAAATATTGGAACTTCAATCTACACTTGCATCATTCTATAATAGTTATCCAAGAGGAAATGATGAATGTCCAAGTTGGAGTTTATTTTCGCGTGAAGTTGATAGAATATTGAAATGCTTGGACACTAGATTCACAACAAACATTCAAACCATGAAACAATTGAAGAAGAATAATCAATCAACCAACCACGAGTCAGCACTAGTTCAAGATTTATTTTCTCCTATCAAACTCTTAAAGAATAGAACACTATTCGATTTACAATTAGATGATGTTAGATTTAGGAGACAAGTACTAATTCAATTATTGGTAACAATCTACAGGTTGTTGGAGAAAAATTCAGAGCCATCCTTCTATTTGAGTGAACTCAAAACCTTGAAGGACAAAACTCTGAATGTCGTAAGAAAATACGATCCAGAATCAGTCACCTTACTAGAAACTATTCTCGACAGAGAACGACACTGGTCCAACTGGAAATCCAATGGATGTACACCATACTTCAAAGATCATGAATCCGTTTTCCCTCCATCAACTAAGGTTGATCAATCCTTCAAGAATACTGAAATGGCTAAATTTTTAACATGTGACATTTCTCAAGCATCTATTGATAAGTTTTTAAGGAGCTCGGATAATATTCTCAGATCGTATAATTTCAAAGATTATATTGTTCCTTGTGTAAAGGAAGAAATTCATCACTCGTATTCTGAAAAAATGGTTAACAGTAGCGTAGTATTTGTGTGGAAATCGTGTAGATTACTTTCAGAATTTGATTTGAAATATCTTTCCCTAGCTCTGGAAGACTTGAAGAAAGACCACACAAAGAAATCACAACACTTTTTGGAAACAATAAGTTTGGAAGTTTCTCCTCCAGAACCCTCCTCATCTGAAGGTAGTAACAATTATGAAAATTCTGAAGAACCAGAAGAGAATTCGAAAAAGAGAAAATCACCATCAGCAGAGGACGATGATGACAATACAAATGAAGCAAAGAAGGTTAAAACAGATACTGAAAATAATTTATAAATTAATGAACTTGTCTCTTCCACATCTCTACATATATTCCTTCATGTTTGGAAATTAACTCTTCATGAGAACCACACTCGGCTATACTACCAGTATTGTTCAAAACAATAATTTGATCAGCTCTTTGAATTGTTGACAATCTGTGAGCAATCATTATGGAAGTGGTCTTACCAAACAACTCCTCAATTGATTTCATAATTTCCTTCTCCGTATTTGAATCAAGACTAGAGGTTGATTCGTCACAACACAAAATCTTTGGAGACTTGAGAATTGCTCGTGCAATAGCTTTAGAGAATGCTGAGTTAAATTGAAACTTAATTACATACCTGTTCTTTGTTTTTCTCCACCTGATAATTTGAGTCCTCTTTCACCAACTGGAGTTTCTAATCCCTTTGGAAGACGTTCAATAATTTCACTAAGTTTTGCCTTACTAGCAGCCATTTTTATATCTTCCTCTGAACATCCAAGTCTACCATATTCAATATTGTGTCTGAGTGTATCATTGAATAATACACAATCTTGTGGAATGACACCGATATGTTTTCTCAAACTCTCCAAAGATACTGTTTTAATATCTTGCCCATTGATGAAAATTTGTCCCTCAGTTGGATCATAAAATCTATAAATGAGCTTCAAAATGGTAGACTTTCCACTTCCACTAGGTCCACAAATACCCATTGTTGTACCTGCTTTAACTTTGAATGATACATTATCTAGAATTTTTCTATTAGGATCATAATAGAATGAAACATTTCTAAATTCAATTTCAGTATCAGTTGGACCTCCAATAATCAATTCCTTGTCTGAGCTATCTTGCGTATCATTCTTTGAATCCAATAAGGTAAATAAATTCTCAATATCTGTTATGGCTTGAGAAGTTTCTCTATACATGGTACCTAAAAAGTTGAGTGGAATAGACAATTGGAAGAGTAATGTATTGACCATAACCAAGTCACCAACAGTTAACTCTCCTGTAGTGATCTTATTGGCAGTAATATACATGATATAAGTAAGAGCACAGGAAAAGATAAAAGTTTGTCCAAAATTGAGTGCACTCAAACTAGAGGCAATACTCAAAGAGGTCTGTTCATACTTTTTCAAGTGTTCGTCATATTTCTCAGATTCATATTTTTCATTTTGGAAATACTTGACAGTTTCATAGTTAATAAGTGAGTCAACTACCTTTCCACTAGCTTCATTTTCTGCCTTGTTCATTTGTTTTCTAATCTTGGTTCTCCATTGAGTTACAGTTATAGTCCATGCTGCATATAAAGTGACAGATCCAAGAGCTGTAAGAGCAAAACTAGGTCCGTAATTAATGTAAAATATAGCTGTTACAATTGATAATTCTAGCATTGTTGGAACAATATTAAACAATAAACTAGTCATTAAAAAGTTAATTCCTCTTTTTCCTCTATCCATAGTTGATGTGAGTGCTCCTGTTTTTCTTTGAAGGTGAAAGTTCAAATCCATATTCAATAATTTACTAAAAACTCCCAGAGAAATTAATCTGATGGATGCTTGAGTTACTTTGGCAAACACAGCTCCTCTCAATTCAGTAAAAAGAGAAGACAATGTCTTGGCAATACCATAACCAATAATCATTGAAATTGGACCCATTGTCATAAAAACAGCCGGATCCTGTATTATTGTTTCAGTGGCTGGTCCAAATGAATCTACTGCTCTCTTGAAGAAAAATGGTACTGAAACATTGAAAATTTTGGCACCAATTAGGAGTCCCATAGCTGCCACAACACGAGTTTTCAGAGATGAATCCCTTGGCCACAACAAGGAACTCAAATGTGTTAAAATCTTCTTTACATCTGTTGTAGACTCCTGATTATTGGCATTAGAGGAAGAATTTGCACTTTTACTTGTAACAGACGATGATGGCGCCGAAGAAGTATGAGCAGTAGACTTTTTTCTTGCAAATATGTCATTAATAGTACTACTACTATTATGTTGTACTAGAATATTTTGCCTACTCTTATTGTGATGAATTGATGATAATGATGACACTCGGAGAAGTGATTGTTGTTGTTTTAAAAAACTAAAAGGTTGCTGTAACCTTTTAATGGATAACCGTTTCATTTTTTTCAAACATATCAAACTCTAAAATAATTTAATTATATTAACATGATTTATTAATTATTACTTGAAAATATATTAGATTATTAAAAGAGTTTGTTATAATTCATGGAATAGATGAGAATATAACAACCTCTTTTCCTACTAAAAAAATGAAGAGAAAGACACCTATTGATTGTCAACAACAAACTTTGCAACCATCAACGAAAAGGAAAAATCAAGGAGAGGGCTCACAACTCTACTCCACACAACAACAACACAGAGAACAAGATAAACAGTACAAATGTGAACAATCGGTGCGATATAATTTGGATTTTAATAATCAGGATTGTCCTCTCGTATCGTGGTATGATTGGAATGAGTGGTTATTTGTAAAGAGGAATTTATTTTCGGATGATGGAGTTTGGATGAATAATAGCCCTACTAGGGAAAAGGAATCATTGAGAGAAAAATCAATTGAAATATTGGGTGTTTGGAAGAGTAAATTTAGGATTCAAACTTCCACAATAGTAGAATCGAGCTATTTATTCTTGGAAGCATTAAAGATCGATCAGAGGATTGATTCAAAACATAATAGATTGAATATTAAATCGATTAAGGAACAGGCTTTGAGCAATGCCATTGTTAGATTTGTCAATTTGTTCAGTAAGGATGGTAAGAAGACACAGTCATCTAGTTTAGCTCTTGGTTCAAGACAAGCTGATTGTCCAAAACTATTGGTGGATGTAAGAAATGAAATTTCACATAGAAAGTTTCCATCCATTGAAATTTTGGAAAATTGTGCCAAACAAGCTCTCAAATGGATGAAGACTAAATATTGGGATAACCAAGAGGAATACATTCTCAACTTTCAAAAGGAATGGATTCAATACTCTAATCAATACATTATTCAATTCAATAAGAGGAAGGAATTACCACAAGTTGAAGAGGCATTCGACAAGAAGGAAAAGCAAAGAAGGAAAGAAAAAATAGAAGCTGCCACGAAAGAATTAGAGAAAATTGAAGAAAGGATTCTTCAACACACTAGAGGACCCTCTTGCTCTTTCATCGTACAGTCATTTTTATTGGCTGTGCTAGTTTCTCCACAATATAATACTGCCAAGACGAAACCTGATCATATAGTGAATAAGCTCAGACCTCTCATTGATTTTCTGGATGAACGTTTGGATTTTATACCCCATTTGCTAAAGCAAATCATCATTTTAATTAGAGATTTTGTAATTTCGACTGAGAGTCATTCAATGTTTGTGTGTGGAGTGGAGGTTACATGTGAAATGATTGAGTTGTGTTTCTCATACTTTGACACGTTATTGAGAATTTTTACAAAAAAGCAAAAGACGAATTGTAGTGTTGTAGTGGGCGAATTGTCTCACCAGATAGAAATATCAAACAGCGAATTTTTAGATATTTTGAAAACGACAATGAATAAGCATGCTTCCCAGTATTTAAATAATCAATCATCAACTCTACAGTATGAATATGGCATTGGTTCATTTGACAGTGTACTTTCATACCATCTTTTAGATATTAAAAATATTGATAATCAAATTATTTAACCAATAAAACAGTTAAAAATTGAAAGTTTAATAATTGATTAATTTTTAATTATTTTATTAAAAAATGGACGGAAATAAAGAGGAAAAACATAAATCGGAAGAAGAAATTACACAAAATTACATCTCCAACCTTTTAACAACACAAAGCTATTTTAGTAATGCACCAGTATTATTTTCCAACAAGGAATACGTTCCAGAAAAACCATGTCAAGATTTGTTGCAATTGTTTGCTAAATGTGAACGTGAATATCAAAACAACAAGCCAGAAATAATGTGTGCTGAATTTAAAGAATCATATTTGGATTGTAGAAGACAATTTAATTCATTGAAAAAGGAAATTGAAGAGGAAAATCTTGTTAGATCCAAAGTTCTTTATTTTTATGATAAAAGTGCTAAAATTGTTTCTGCATCGGATCCACAAGGACCAAAAGTTGGTCAAGTCAAGGTTGACAATTAGATTTGAATGGAGAGTAATATGATGTTGTGGAATTGATTTTCAAGTGTACTGTGGTTACTATGACGAACTGAAATGAATATATTTTCAAAGTTTATAGGAATATGGATGAAGAATAAATAATAAATTTAATTAGTTCTTAGGTGACTTAAAGTCAGGCTTAGGGTGGATGATTATAGTGGCAATTATTTCCTCAGGAAATAGCTTTCTTTTGCATCAGCTTCTCTAGCTGGAAGTCCAAAGAATTGTTCATAAACTTGCTTGGTATTCACGTATTGTTCGTGCAGTTTTTTACCTTGTTCAATTAATGACTTGATTGTCTCTTCCAAATCAATTGAAAAATGTCTAAGCTTTTCATGAATGAAATCAATCTTTTGTACGTTTTCATGATAATAGAGAAGGTGTTTGTCAATTTCTTGTCGTTGCAGTAATAACTGTCTACTTTGTGTGATACCTTGACACAATTCAGAATAAGAACTGTTTGTTTGTTCTTGAATTTGATTAATTTCGGAAATTAACTTCAAAATGTCCTCATCTTCCACTGTGTTGGAAGCCTCATTATTGAGTTCCATAATATCTTGGTTTACTAATTTACAAAAAGATTCCTGGCATTCGGTTGGAATTTGTGGTTCGTTAAAGCAATACGTTTTTACAAATTGTTCAAAAATGTCAAATTGTGAATTTAGGGATTGAATACTCATATTGAACATTCGTTCCACAGCATCATCTAACATTCTATCAATTTCCTTTGCCTCATCTTTTGTCATATTAGGATTTGATGATATTATATGATTTAAAAGTGTTTGTTGAAAGTGGTCATAGCCATCCGAAATAAAAGCTTGTGCGATATTGTATAGATCCTCTATAATAGAGAGCACAGGACTGCCCATAAATTTATCAATAAATTCTACTTGCTGCGATGATGACAGCTCCATTTTATCATCCTGTTGTTGATTTTGCATTTTTTTTAAATAAATATATTCTGATTTTTGAACGTTAAAATTTTTTATTGGCGGGAAATGATGAGTTTAATTTGCATTTTCGTTTAAAATATGTTAATGATATTAATAAGGTTTAGAAGTCCAAATATAATTAGACAAATGTATCAATTTACTCTGAGTTTATTCTATTGATACTGCATACCATTCATGCTATTATTTAGAATGTTTTGAGTTTCGGTTGCTTGTTGTTGGGATTTCAATGTTTGCACTCCTGATAAGAGGAAATGTTTAAACTCTGATGTGATACGTCCATTCAAAGATATTCCAAGAGCATTCTCAAATCCTTTTGGATAAACTTTTCTGTTAGAACTTGTCTGTGGTTGAGCTGCTTGGTGCATGTCATCCTCGTCACAAAGTAAAAAGTTGTTAACTTGTTGATTACCCTCTTTTCTAGCTGATTTCGGTGTTTTTGGTGCAGAATTATCTTGTTTCCATTCATCCTTAAAGACCTGTTCTTGTTGAATAGCAGCCAATACTAGTTTTTTACAAAGTTCCACAATCTTTTCCTCCCCATAAATACAGCTTAATGAATTTTGATGAAGAGATGAAGCAATTTGTGGGTTAGTAAACGTTAAGGGACTGAATTGTGACACACTTCCATGAGCCATAACAATACCTCCACCTAATATTGAAGGACTTCCAATTGGCGGTCTTGATTGAGTGGTATTATTTGAAGAGCTAGGTGGAGCTTGCGAAACCAGATTGGTTTTTCTTTTTTGAGTCTTTCTTTGTGTTGCACTAGTTGAAGTTTGTGGTCCTGCTCCAGATTTTGTTTGTTTTTCCAAAACTCTATGTAAATCAGGACATTCATGATAGTTTTTGCAACCCTGACAACGACATTTTATGGTACATCTCTTATTGTTCTGAAAGCATTCACAATATCGTTTTAAACAACCAGTTTTTTTACAATTACATCCTTTTGCATTATTGTCCACGAATTTTGGTTGTTGTTGATGTTGTAATTTTAATTCGATTGGTTTTGCTCTTGTTGTTGGAGGCTCTTCTTGGTCACCCGAATCATCAATTTCAATATTGTTTTGATTGTCTTCCTCATCTTCTTCTTCCAAACTTCTTTTGGAGGAGGGATTTCTTCGTCTTTTGTCCAAACCTGTTGTGGCAAGAGATGGCTGTGAAGCCATATTCATGGATAGAAAATGTGTTGGTGGAATAGAGGTATGGATGGAAGGAAATGGATTCGAGATGGGAGAAATTAGTGAAGGGAAAGATTGTTGAGATTGGCTTGCCATTGTAGGTGTTGGTCCAAATGGCAGAATTGTGTGAGAAGAAGAAGAAGGTGAATTCATCATGTATGTATTAGGATGTTGCTGTTGTTGATATTGATGGTGGTGATGGTGTGGAATCATTGAAGCCGGTGTTGGATTGAAACCTAAACTAGGACTTGATGACATTCCAACTTGCATTGGAGGAGGTAGTGGAGGCGTGTTTGAATCTAATGTTGTGGACAGATTCATGGATACTCCTCCATTGTTGTTAGGAGTAGTCATAATAGAATAGCAACAACAATAAGATCACTCGGTTTTTAAATGTGTTTAAACTGAAAACACTGTATTTTTTTTTTAAATTTTAAATTTGGGCGCGAAATTTTAATAGTTGTTTATCAAAATATGAGAATTTATAGTCCAGATGATACTAATATTTTTGAGATTTAAACACAGATTTAAAAGTTAAATTAATATATTTAACATATTCTGTTTCTAATCAGAAAATAATAACTGTTTGTAACAACAATTGATTTAAATATTAAAAAAATGAAAATAATCAAAAAACCAGGTCAAGCACCTGCAGAGGAACAAAAACTTGCCAAGAGCGCAATCCCACTTAAAAAATCGTCTAGTCGTTTTCTCTTGATTACATCTTTGAGTATTGCCAGTATCTTCTTGGGTGCCGAAGTTGCCCACAGAATTTTGAAGCCAGATGTGACCATCAAGGTTGATTTAAAACAATCATCGGAAAAGATTTAACGATATAGTAGAGGAGTTGGAAATTGGTTTCATACTCTTGATATTCGGAATATTTTCAAATCCAATATTTAAAATTTTAGATGGAATATGGAGAAGGTTGATAATGGGTTATTGATGGCACAACTAATTAGTCCTGAATAAATCATTAAAATCCGTTCAAGAAAATATAATTTAATTAAAATCCACCGACTTTGTCTCTTGGAATAATACGTAAATCTGTACCATACTTGAGCCAAACGTTTCCTGCAGTTTGACTAGGATTAATACCGATACCATCATTGGAGAGAATTGCACTAGTTTCAGCAGAAATTTGGAATTCTTCAGCAGCATACTTCAAAACAGCAGTGAATGGTGCACTTTCAGGAACCTTGATTCTAATCCCGTTTGATTGTTATTATTAATTGTTACAATATGTGTGATGATTAATTCAATGATCGGAAATGGTCAATCATTTATTTACATACGTTCTAAAAGGTTGCTTTGGGTGTGATGTTAAAGTAATCTTGAAAGTGACTTTGTTTTCGGTGGTTGCAGACATTTTTTTGGTTGATAGTGCCACGTATCTATTTTAAATTCAATCCTGATTCACTCGTAAATATTTTCTCTTATTGCAGAAGGGAGTAAATGTTCTTGTTGCATTTGAATACGAACAGATGTGACTGCATCTTCAATAACTTTCATTCTATCTTGCAGTTGATTTTCTGGAATTTTTGTTGAGCTCTCAAAACTGTCCATTCCTTCTTCTGTATAATCAATATCTGAATATAGTTGACCACACTTTGCAACACCTTTAAACCATTCCCCAACATACTTTTGACCTTGTGTGATATAGTAATACACTCCTGGACCATGCTTCAATCCATTCAGGAAGGAACCTTCGAATCTATCTCCATTCTTTTCCACACAGGCTCCATTACCTCCTCTCATATCATTTTCCCATTCTCCTTCATATTTCGTTCCATCAAGATAGTACATGACTCCATAGCCACACCTTTTGTCGTCCTTCCATTCACCGTCATAAATTTCTCCATTTTCATAATAAAATACACCCTTTCCATGCTTCTTATCGTTTTGGAATTCTCCCAGAAATACTCTTCTGTTTTTTTCCTTTGAATATAGGGATCCCTTACCATGCTTTTTATCATTTGCCCAACCACCTTTATAATTTACCTTTTCATTATCAACCTCTCCGTAGCCATGTTTTTGATGACCTTTCCATTGTCCTTTGTAAGTTTCCTTTGGTTTCCCTTGAAGTGATGAGGGTTTATAAACTGTGGCACGAATACCATGTCTCTGACTCTTGGCATCATTTTGTTTCCATAATTGATCCGTTTTTGATAATTCCAATTCAGGAATATCTTGAAGAGAAGGATTTGTTTCCATTGGTTTGTCCAAATCTTCGTCATCTACCAATCCATCAAGGTATTTCCTGTATAATCTCTTGTAGTATTCCAATTCCTCTTGCTGTTCAGTTGGGGGATGGCCAGGGGCTAGTTTATCTTCTGGAATGCTTGTTTCGAGTTTTTTAATCTTATTATAGAGCTTTTTGATTTTAGAGTTCAAGACTTGTTTTACAGGTTTTGAGAGGATGTGTCTTGCAATTCTGAGATTTTCCAAAACTTCCATTGTTTCAAGATAGTGGAATTCCGTTTGAGAAATAGATCCAATAATTACTGTGGCACTCTTTCCACCAAGAGAATCGCTCATCATGGCAGTTACTTGAGAGTCTCCAAATAAACTGTTAATATTGATAGCTGTATCCTTTTTAACTCGTGTGTGGTTGACTACATTGTGAATTGCGTTACCGAAAGCAATCATACTCATGTTTAAACTTGCTCCTTCCTTCATATGATCTCCCTTTGCTCCAATTTTACCAATTCTTTCGGTACCCTTCAAGTTTACAAACATAAAAGAAGATGAGACATCCTCTTCTGGGTGATCGTAATTGTTTCTTGTGAGCCTTAATCTCATAAAGGAGTGCAACCTAATTTTTCTTTGAGCAGTCAATTGTTGGCTTCTTCTTATACCATTATCAATTAGTGATTGAAGATGCTCCCAACTGTCAACTTGATGTTCAGATAGATTTGTGATAAATACCCCTTCCTTTCCACTTCTTTTTAATTTGAGCTCTTTCCCCTCATTCAAATCAAGTAAATCCAAAATCGAATCATTACTCATTTCCCAGAAAGAAAAAGAAATACTATAATCCACCTTGTCAGAAACTGAAGAGAGATAGGAATAGCCTTCTCTGAATGTCAAATCAACAATTCCTTCCTCTCTTTCATTTCCAATCATCATTTCAGTTTTTCCTGTTCGAGAAGATCCATAGGAAATAATAGTTCCATTATAACCCTCAATCACGGCATTCAATACTGGTACACAAACACTCTCAAAGATTGTGTTGTTTGTTGTTTCTGAATCAAAACAATTGTCAAATGAATAGAGCAAACCCTCTCTACTTTCAGGGTGATAGGCAATCAACTTGTTTACATCCGATATTTCAACAATATTTTGAGCATTAGCACTCGCTTCCTCAGCTATTTGATTCAATAAAACATGAATGATACTAGAGAAATCTACATACCTGGTACAGGAGAGACTCGTACGCAAACATGAATGTGATTATAATGTTCCTCTACAGTCTTGGAAATATCCTCTTCACTATCTGAACTCTTTCTTAGATATTCATTGTTAGAGTTATTAATCGACTCCTCATTTATGATACTGCTCAAATTTAGGGATTCATTCATTTTTTAAAGATGTTGTGATTGGTTTGAACTGTAATTTTTTAATTCAATTTTAAAATTGGCGGGATATTGATAAGACAACCTTTTGACATAAATAATGTATATCATTTCTACTCAGTTAAACATCTTGTTGATCCTTTGAGGGTCTCATTTCTGTTGAATAATTCAATGATTGAACAATCCATTTCGTAGTGATGCTTAATTTGGGTATGCCACTGCTGAGATGGTTGTGATCAACTTCTGGACTTACCAAAATCCCAATCATTTGATGTGATTCTCTTGGGACGAGCTTTGTGATCTGACATGTGTGGTACGATTTGATTACTCTATTTCACAATGAAACAAAGAATGCTACTAAGGGTGATTCAGATGATGATTCCTTCTGTTGAGATGCACTATTAGAGACCACATGAATAACCTCAGAATCAGCTGCTGTAGTGGATGGAAACATAAGATTTTTTAGATTCTAATCCTTACTGTATTATACCGAAAGTTACCCCGCCGAAATGGCACTCTTAATTGAGCTCTTCATGTTCCTCAATATTTAAAATATATACATTTAAAATATTACTATTTAGAAAATATTTATTAATCGTGGTCAACGTGTATTGTGTATTCAGTTCTATGGCGATTGTTGTGGTTGTTGTAGTGTTGATTATCAATACCTCCATTGGAGGTATCATTGTTGTTAAATGAATATCCAGGATGACTATCTCTCTTACAATCAACTTTTGAAGGAACATTTTTGAATTTTGTCATTTTGAATTGATTGGAACTATCGTCCTCTCTGGGGGTTAATTTGATTTTGGCATCCTCTGATCGTTTCATAATATCCAACTTTGCTCTTGTATTTACAGATGATAACATTTCTTGCTTTTTGTCTTCCTTAAATCTACGATCAGTTTCTTCCTTTTTCTTTGCCCATTCCTCTGCGAATCGATGTTCCATCAAATCTTTAGCTTTTTGGTCAAAAACATTCCTATGTCCATAAGCAAAGCTTGGATCTACATCCGAAGGGAGAAGATCTGCTTTCTTTTCCTTCTTGTGGGAGGTTATTCTTGCATCGTGACTTTTTCTAAAGTTCGAAATTTGAGAGGAAGACACTTGTTTTTCCTTTAAACTAAGCACATTTAATTTCTTAAAATCTCTATCTGGTGTTTCATCTCTATGAGGTTGATTTTCCTTCCACGAAAGCACTACTTTGAGAGCCCCTTCAACATCAGGAACAACCTTTTTGCCATATGTATGATTATTGCCAAGAACATCCACTGGATTTTCTGAAACTTTTTTCCTTGCTGAGAGCATATTTACAAGCTATTTTATTACTATAACCAAGAGATGAAGATTTGATGAGGAGTTTATTGTTGTGATTAATAACGAATTTCCTTAACGCCTGTTGTTGTAGTTTTTTTAAAGTCTATTTCGCAACCGTTATGAAATAAAATGATCCTTAATTGGAGATGAAAGAGGTACCAACGAGATTTAAGAGAAATATTAATAGCTTTGTTGAAGATCAAAAAAACAACAAAAAAATGCCTACCACATAAAAAGAGGGGTACAAACAAACCCCAAATGAATAACTTGGAAAGACTCACAGAAAGCAAGTCCGATATTGAATATAAAAGAAAATTAAATAAAATTTCAAAGGACAAGGAAGAAAAGAAGAAGGTTGCCTACTCTTATCTCAAGACTATCTCCAAGATGGGCTATGATTTTGATGATTCTATCAAACAACATAAAAGAAAGATGGAAAAAGTGAAGGAAAAGAAGGAAACCAAGAAAGATCCATTCAAAAAAGAAAGAGAGGAATTCGAAAGAAAACAAATGGAAAAACAACAGGCAATAGAGGAAAAAAACAAGGCCAAGGAGGAACTCCAACGTAAACATTACGAAAGAGAAAAGAAGAGAAAATACATGAGAAGAACCAATAACAGAGGTCAGCCAGTCCTCAAACATCAAATGAGTCAAATTTTGAAGAAAATTTCAGATACCAAATAGATTGACAAGTTGTAGATAATAGGAATAATTCGACCTAAACCCAACCAGGTTTTCAACACTCTCTGGTCACAATTATTACAACAATAATGGATCCATCACACACAGGATTGATAATAATGAGGAAACAACCATGATTCATTAGCCAAGATAACAAAGAATAAAAACTTCAAAAAAAATGTTAGGAATCCTCATCTTTCTGTATGGTTATGCTCTATTGGCTGGCCTCATTCTGTATACACTCTTGATGGGACCAACAGATTTCCACAAGAATGGATATATTGGAAAATTCTACAAATTCCTAACACAATGCCCTAAACGTATTTGTTCAATGTGTTGCGGAATTGGATGTTTGAAACGTGCAGAAAAGTATTTCCTCCATACAAGAAATCCGATTTTGCAGGTAAGATTTAGATCACAAAATTATACATTAATTTATTACGTATTTATCTGTACAGATTGTTTATTTGGCTCTTATCAGCATCAATGTTGCTCTCTACTTGGTAACAGTATTCAGAGAAATTCCGAATCTTTACATCCCAGAATATCATCGTTACACTGGCCTTGTTGCACTTATCATAACCTATTGTTCATTCTTGATTGCCTCCTTCTCTGATCCTGGATTTATTACCAAAAAGACGGAAAGACAATTTGAAAAATCGTTCCCATACGATGAAGTTATGTACATTTCCGAGAGAAAATGTTCAACTTGTGATATTGTTCGACCAGCTCGTTCTAAACACTGTCCTCTTTCTGGAAAATGTGTTGCTAAATTTGATCACTATTGTGGATGGCTGAATAATGATGTTGGTGAGTTGAATTATAGATGGTTCCACTCGTTTTTGATTTGCAATTTCCTTCTAGTAGTTTATGCAGTTTATATTTATGTTCAAACATTGATGAGTTTGGTGGATGAGGAAAATTTGTGGAGTTCTACATTTATGAATAATAAGGGAGAAAGAGTTTCTGCATCTGTTTCAATTATTATTCAATATATGCTCTCTCGTCACATTATGATAATTGCTCAATTGTTCTTTATTGCAGCATGCGGATTGATGATTTTTGGATTTTGGCTTTATCATTTCTATTTAGTTTGCACAAATACCACCACTAGCGAAACTTTCAAGAAGAAGGATTTGGAAGAGTTGTGGAAAGTTGTTACCAGATATGTTGAAACAAAGAAAAAGAATGGAGGAAAAATGTTCAATTTGCAAGAGCTTTATGATCAACTCTATCAAGAAGAGGAAGAAGAGGAATCTCAAGACGAAGTTCAAAAGAAGAATACTGAAAAGAAAAAGCAAGTGCGAAAGGAATGGAAGATGAAAATGTTAGAGAGAATGATTGATATGGCAACAAATGGAAAATCTCTTGATTTGAGCTTTTACAATCGTGGAATAATCCAAAATATTAAGGAGGTCATGTTTCCACCTGCATTGTATTCCAAACCTTCCAGATTTACTAAATAAACTCTTTATTGAATCATCTTATTTTTCTTTCCTTTAGCCTTTCAATAAGTTGGTCAATAGATGATAAGCTATTCTTTTCGGATAGTATGTGGAGGATATAATTCTTGACAGCTTCATTTGAAACAGATTCAAACAATATGGAAATGATTGATTTTTGTTCGACTGACCACTCAGCTGATAGGGATGGAAGGCTTGCACAAACATGATAGGCCATATATTTGAAAATAAAACAGCCCTCCAAGTCCTCTTTTGAAATCACAGCCAGAAATCTCTTCAAATACAGTACAATCAGATCCAAATTAGTTTCATTTGGGAATATAGAGAGTTTGCTCAACCATTCATTTCCAATATTTAAAACTCTGATTTGTTTAAAGGTCAACTCATTCACAATATGATTTCTGTATTTTGAACTCCAAATATTGGTGTGTACAAAGAAGCTAAGAACATACTGGGCAAATGTTGACTGATTAAATGATGCTGATGTCTGTTGTTCAATAAAATCTTTAAACATTTGGAAGAAAATATCTTCCATGGTCTCCATTTTAGCAAATCCTCTGAATGGATTTGTAGCGTATGGGTAAGAGTTCGCTTTTTGAAGTAAATATTGTTCCTCAAAATATGTATCAACCCATGTTTGCAATAACTGTTGTACTGAATCAATAAAGAAAATATCAGTATCCATAAGGAATATTTTCATAATATTTGCAAATTGAATAACTTTTGGATAAAATACATTAATGTAAGATTGTTGAGATGAAGTAGAAAATTGTGGGTCATTTCTAAAGTTCGATCCATAAGTAAGCGTTAAAATAAATTTCAATGTGTCAACAATTAGACCAACATTCTTTGTTTCATCCAATCTGTTAATATAATAGTATTCAATTGATTTGTAAATCCAATCACTTGGACTAGTTGGCTCAAACTCTTGTGAATGGAAAGGAGCTCCAACCTGAATATTGTTACTTTCAATAATATTATCCTTCTCAGATTCGCTTTGTGAAACTTCAAACAAATCCTTATCCAAGTAATTCAAAAGGGTAGGGTGATAATTCAATACAAATGTTTGTAAAATGTAAAAGAAAAGATACCTGTCACCCTTGAATTTGATTGGTTCGAGTAAGGAAGAGGTAAACAAAGCCAAATTGCAAATCTGATCACTAGAAATTAAATCCTTGAGTCTTGTTTTCTCATATGTATACAACTTTAAAAAGTAAAAGCTCAGATTGAAAAAACGTTCTCTTAGAATAAAGTACTTGTATCTGAGAGGATTCTCTGAAAAGAGGGACTTGCTATAAAACTCCTTAGTAAACAAATACTTGGTAAATACTGAATTGTAAATTCTCAACAATAGCGACTCGAAATGAATATCATTATACAAAACTCCAAACAGGTGCTTGAATGACTTGGAACTAAAATAGCAAATGGTTACAACAGATGTAATGTTTGCAAGTAATTTGGTAATGGTTTCAAAGTTATCTGCAGAGTTTTCTAAACTTTCTAATTGATTCAAAATTAATTCAGCCCACTGATAGATCTCTTGATAAAATACTCTATTTTCTACTCTTTTCATTACCATAAGAATTTGTGATGTTGTGTCAATATCATCCTTGGAAATAAATCTTGCGAAATCACTGTTTGGATTACAATAAAAATTATCATAAAACGTGCAAATAAAGTACAGAAATCTAATACACAAAGATTCCATACCACTTTTAAGGGCCTTGACAGCTAATAATGGACAATCTTCCAAAATGAAATTTTCCAAATGACCAATAGAATTTTCATCTACTTCGTCCTTATCTTCAAAGGATGGGAAGGAGAGTGCTGACTTTGATTCCATATAGACTTGCATCAAAAATAAGCAATGTTTTGACAATCTTATGGCTTGGTGATTCTTCTTAAAGGCTAACTGGATGATGGTAACAAGATTTGGAAACATTTCTTGACAGAATAGATGCATAACACTGACGATCTTGTAACTGGTACAGGCAACTATAAATGATACCAACTCGTTACAAAATTCTAACAATTCTTCATTTTGTTCTGAAAGACAAAGTGTCAAATATTGTTTAGAAATATCAATAATATTAGTATTCTTAATAATTCTTTCACAAATATTCTTTCCATGACAAGCAAGTGCAGAACACATCTTGGCATAATTTGTTGCCAATCTTGGCGATTTGTAAAAAAGTGAGCTATTAAAACCCTTAAAAGCAAACTTTTTAAGCATTTCCTGAACTATCTTTGAGGCAACGGTCAAAGAGTACCTTGAAAATAGAGCTAAACAATCCAAAACACATTCTAACAAAGTATTGTCATCCTCACATTCTAAAATTGACACCATGTCAGAAATTACATGTTGGGTAATATCCTTTTCATACTTTTTGATAATGTCTACTTTTTCGGAAATGGAATTATTGAGTGTATGTAAACCAAAATCAAATGAATCTCGAGTAATCATTTGATTTATCTCATCTTGTTTCGAGTAGAGGGTAGATAACAGTGTTCTAACGAGCTCTGATGTTACAGTAATTAGGTTTAGATTTTTGTGGAGAACGGTTGGACTCCCATTTGTAGCATCTGCATATCCAAACCAAAATATCGTCTTGAATAATTCATACTTGGATTCTAAATATTCAATGAGTTCAAATGAATTGTTTGAGCCAATTTTTTTGATGATTGAAGAGAGAAGCTTGATATTAATTATTCTCTGATTGATCACACTGCTTCTAATAAGTTGGAAAATTTCAAGAATAGTATAACCAGCTTCCGATTGATCTCCTCCATGATGGTAAAGACCTGATTGGACGTGGTATTCTTTGTTCTTATCGATTACGTTACCTTCCAAATCAAATCTAAGAGGCTTGAATCTACTATTGTCCTTTTTTTCTTCCTCAGACTCGGCAATAATCTCTTGACCACCAACAATCCACTTTAGCTTTTCCTCTTCATCTTTTACATTTTTGAGTTCACTTGGATTCAAACTATCTTTAATTTTTTCAATAATTTCAGTAATATCCTTTTCAATAATTTCCTTCTTTTCTTCTTGTGACATTTTAACTGGTTCTTTTGGTGTGATATCTTTAGGATTAAAAGTAGATTTCTCCTTTGCCTGCTTCTTTTTCAATCCTCTATTTTTGAGCAAGTTAATGAGGGAAGAATCAAAATTCTTTAAAATCTGTTCTTGAGCCTCTTGTATTTCTTCATTAGACATTTCAGAAAGCATCTTGTCACTTTCTTTATCAATAGAGTCTTCTTCTGAGACTCTTTCATTTTGAACATGTTTTAGTTTTTCAATTTTTTCCAATACTGGCTTTTCAATTGTTGGTGCCAGTGTTTGTTTTGATTTTTCCAATGGTTTAGTTTTTTCCTCTTGCTTTTTTCTTCTTCCCAAGAATGTTAGTGTGGGTTGTTTTAAAGTTGGAAAAGGTTGTGGTTGACTAGGAATTGTTGGTAAAGTGATCGAACTTTTAGAAATGTCTCTCTCTACAATAGTTGTGTTATTAAAAATTCGGAGAATATTCTTTGGTGCATCATTCTGTGATGCTCGTTGTTCCTTCTCCATGGCAAATTTGGATTTTTTCACTTGTTGAACAGAAGGTTTAGCTTGTTGTTTTAAAAATAATTCTTGTGCTTTTAATTGTTCTTCATAGTCATCATTAATTTCTTGTTCAAGATTTTGTTCGGAAGTTGTTTCAAACGTATTGTCTTGTTGATTCTCTTCATCCTCTTCGAACGAAATTCCACTCATCGCTGCTCTCTTGAGCGCATTTTTATTTCTGCTCATTTTTTTGAAGTTGGTGAAGAAAAATATAAAGCAACAAGCCACATTGTTTCTCTCAATTGTAGTTTCACTTATGACTGTGCAAATTATTCAAACCAATTTTTACCCTCAATTGAAGAATCAGTAACAGCGTAAGATGAGGAAATGGAGGAAGAGGCTCTCATATTTTGTTGTTGTTCCAAAACTTTAACCACATTAAGCAATGAATCTTCATCATAGTATTCTCCCTCATCTTCTGAATCTGAATAATCACTATCAGTAATAAATGATTCTGAAAACGAATAGCTATTATTCCTCTTCTCAGGATGTTTTTCTGGTTTGGGAGGTTGTTTGGTGATTGGGTCTTCCAACATAAAGTCCTTATCAAAACTTGAAGATGCTTCTCTCTCAAAAACAATATTAACATGGTTTGTAATGAGTTTGTGTGGTGATTCTTTTCTAATCTTGTCTGACTTTTGTACAATATTGAGCAAATCAGAATCATCCACCGTTCTGTCAATAACTTTCTTTGATGTTGTGAGATGGGTGGACTCTTTGCTTCCCTTCCTTGGAGTGGCTAAATAGTCTAGTAGAGGTGATTTGTTAGAAATGTCTGATATTGAAGGAGAGTTTTCTATTGAAACATCTTTCCTTCTGTCTTCTTTTGTTGGTGAATATTTTGTTTCCTTTTGAATGGTATCCTTTTGTGTGACTTTTGGTTCCCTTTCAGGAGAAAGCTTTTTTAACAGAGCTTCTAAATCTCTAGTCTTTTTATCGAGTATCTTTTTTTCAAGAGCAATTGATTTTGTTTCACTCAACTTGACTGGTGTGGAAACAATGGTACTTGTTTGTTGTTCCTTTTCTTCTGTTGGCAGAGTTGGTTCAGTTTCAGTTTGTGTTGACAATTCCCTTGTTTCCTTCTTTTGTAACACTAGTGACATTCTATTGATTTCTAATTCTTCCACTTGTCTTTGAATTTTTACGTTATCTCTTTGGAGAGCTCCATATCTTTCCAACATTCGCTTATTTTCTTCTCTTAAAAAAGAGACTTCTGAAACTCTTTCTTGTTGCTCCTTCTCTCTTTCTTCTGCCAATCTTGTTATGATTACATCACTCTTGTCTTTCAATTTTTTAAGTTTAGAAAGGCTAATATTGTATTTTCCTTTCAACTCGGTTGACTCTCGTTCAAATATTTCCTGTTGTTCAGTATACTTTTGAATTAATTCCTCATTCTTTTGTGCCTCTTCCTCATATAACTTTTTGTATTTTCTGGCTTCCTTGTGACTGTCATCCAGCTTTTTAAACATTTGGGCAAGTTTTTGTTTGTCAGACAAACAGAGATCAGCAAACCCTATTTCCTTCTTTGTGTTTGCTTGATTTAAGTAATCCTGAACTGATGATATGATGGGATTAAATGATGATGTACCCGAATATGAAGATGAAGATTGAAGAATGGCTTGCGTATCCAAGCTATCCTTGCATGAGGTTGGTTCGTTCATTTTTTTTTTGCTTTATTTTCGTAACCATTTTGGCGCCAAACCTTGATAAGAAAATGTGGGGCTAAACTCTGTTCAACATGATAATGACCAGTTCTTTTCTTTCATTCTAAAGTTGTTAAAAACTGTTGCTAATAAATACTACCTGTTAAAATACAGTAATTATTCAAAAAAAATGGGTACAGCATGCTCAGTAGAAGAGCACAGACTTATAGCCTTAGATTTTGGGGATGCAATCAAATTACCACAACCAGAGCAAATTACCAAGAGAATTGTCTCTCATAGTTTACCTCCGAATTATAGCTTGCAAGAAACATTGTCTCCACAGGTGCCAAAATCCCCTCGACTTCCTTCTAAGGTGATCCAAGAGGAATACTCGACTGAAATACCCTTCGATGACGTTTATTATGAGATGAGATTTGAATCACTAAGGAAGGACTACCACAATAGTGAAGTTCTATCAACAGCAGCATCAAATTCTGCCTCAAATAACGACAATTCTAGTTCCGACAGTCCTAGCCTGTCGTCTTCATTTATCAAATCTTCATTTACTGGCTCTTTCACTGGGTCACCTAGTGATCAGCCTCAATTTGATCCTGCCCTTCTCGATGATAAGGACGATCGTTTTATATTATTTGATTCAATCAATTCAAATTTCACAGAATTTAAAAACAACAAGATGGCTCAATTGTCTTACTCATGTGTTGAAAGAGGAGAAGACAACAAGATGCACATTAATGAATTTATGAATAGTTACCCAAGCTTCCAATCTAGTGAAAAGAGAGCAAAATTTATTCTCAAAATATTACTGAGAAAAACAAAGAAAATTGAAAGAGGTTTTGATCCAAAACAAAAGGCATTACCAAGCTTAAAATTGATGGATCTTGCTGACATTCTTGCGTTGGGAAAAGAAAAGCCTAGGAAATTACAAAATCCATTGGAAAAAAGACATTATATTAAATTGGCAGCATTCTTACTCTATCAAACACTCAAAGGAAAGGAATTGAACAAACAGGAAGAAAAGTTTTGTGAAAGGACAGAGGAATTATTGACGTTATTGAGTGACAATAACAAACCTAAAGTTGAGTCTAACAATATTATTGATTCTCTTGGTGAAATTAATGTGGATTTGAAACATTTTACAGCCATTCTGACATGGTTTGAAGGAAAAATCAAAGGAACCGAAGATGACAACATGCTAAGATTATAAATTGTAAAATAAAATGTAAAATATTCTAATTCTTCAAATCAACATTTCCAGGTTGTTCTGTACAAACAGAACCGGATCTGTTTTGCTCTTTCTTTTGTTTTTCAATGGCAAGTAATTTTTCCTCCACAATTTGTTTTGCCTTCTTGAATTCATCAAAAGCACCATCCATACTATACAAACCAACTAGACTAATTTTGGTTGAAGTTTTCATGGCAGTTCCAAGTTTCTTCTTTGTCAAAGCAAAGAATACTGGTAGCTCTTGTTCATTACACTTTTGAATAATTTCCTCAATCTTTGTGTCAAGTCCACCTGGAGTAGTAACCTTATCAATGTTTGGAGCAATTACTACGGCTCTGATATGTTTTAGTTTTAATCCCTTGAGTACCTCTCTTATACCAATCACATATCTCAATCTTTGTTTGAACTTTTTCTTATCTGTTTTTTTCAATCTGAACTGATAGAATTGAAGTTTGGTCAACATTTGAAAAATGATATTCTCATAATCAGGATCCAGAGGGTAATTTACATATTCTCTAATTTTTCTTTCATTTGAATTTTTGAGAACAACCTCCATTGACTCGGCAATAGAGAGGATGTCCATTTCATCATCTGCAACAAGCTTTTCCTCTCCATCAGATGAGTCATCCTCTTTTGTTAATATTGTTTTTGAATTTTCTAATATGGTTGTTTCTTCTGTTTTTTCAGGTACTATTTCAATTACAACTGATTCAGTCTCTGTATCCTCTTTCAAATTCTTTAAAAATTTCTTAACATCCAAAAATTCGCCTGGAGCAATATTATGCAACTTTCTAATTTCCTTTTCCTTTAAGATTAATTTCTTTAGTTTGTTTGGTTTTTTCTTTTTTGTAAGAACTGTAACAAGAGCTTCTGTTGATTCCTCATTAGTTGAATGAGTCACAGCTTTAATGAATGCATTATAGACATCTTCGTTGGTAATCTTGGATGCATCCTCAGAACGAATTTCCAATCTAATTGGTTTCATTCCCTTCATATCTCCTTTAGAAAGAAACGCCTTTTCAACTCGATTCATTTTTGACAATGATTTTTTAGTATTGTCATCCTTTGGAATTTCCTTTTTGGTTGTTTTTGTTGCTTGTTTTGAAACTGTAGACTTTTCATGGGAATTAGTATTAGAGGATGAAAAATTGATTTTCCTTGATATTTCTTCACCAATATGATCTGCCAATGTAAATTTCTTATTCTTCTTCTTTTCCACTATAGGAATATCAGATACAACTTGCTTCAGAGATGCTTTGGAGGTTTCGGAAGTTTTCTGTGGTGATAGAGTCTTTTGATTAATTACAGGATTATTGAATGTAGGTTCTAAATTATTGGGAAGCAAACTAATTGGTGTACTTGTCAAAATGTCTTTATATGAAAATTTTGCTGATTGTTGAGGTGATTCTTCATTGTCAGCACTAGCAACAGTGGGAAAATTCAAATTGTAACCGGCCATATTGGCATTCCCTTGTTTTCTTTTAGGTTCCGAGGATAATGAAGACTTTTTACTCCTTGATGATTTGTGTGTTTGATGATTATTTGAAGAAGAATTACTTGTTGTTGATACTGGTAATGATGATGAGGAGGCAGTATTCGGAAAAACATTCAAAAAAGAAGGAACAAATGGCTTGCTGTTGGCATTAAGAGACATTTTTTTGTAATTGACTTTAATTAAACCTTTGACAAGAACTTGAATAAAACATGTTAATAAACACATAGATCTCTGTAATAATAACTGCTATTTATTACCATTTTAATTGAATTGTAACAAGTGAGCTCAACTACGGTTTTAAAACCGTGCGAAAGGAATTTCAATCTTCCTTTTAATTAATTAAAACAAACATTGTTTACAATAAAAAACAATAAACTACAGCTTCTCTATTTCTTCTTTAAGCCGTGTAATGATGAAAAACTGAGCTAATTTTCCAAAAAACGAAAAATCGCCACAATTAAAAAGCTTCTCAGAGAATCCAAATATTAATTCTTCAACCAAGCTTCGGTTCCCGAACACTTGCCAAAGGTTGTTATTCGTTGTCTCTCTCTTCGCACACCACCATCGTGTAAGCTTGTGATTTCTCTAAAATTTCTTCACACTTTTACACTTGTCATCTTTGTATCACCATTTGATAATATAAAATTCTCCTTGATCGTACTCAGAAAAGATCTTGCAGCAACTGTTCGGTTTTTTAATCTTTCTCTCTTCCAGTAGCATTCTTATTCACTTGCCCGAACAGCAATAAATTCGGGAACTACCAGCAACAATCAGAAAAATTCCACCCAAAAAAAACGCGTTAACACACAGTCATCTTTTTCACACACAAAGACAGAAGATCAAAATGAACAAGAGCAGACAATCTTTGAGAGGATTGATTAAGAATCATCAATCAGCCAAACACTTTTCTACAAATATTTCACCTCAAAATCCACATTTTGGTATTGTTGGCATGGAAACATACTTCCCAAATAGATTTGTTTCACAATCAGCTTTGGAACAACATGATGGTGTGAGTGAAGGAAAGTACACTATCGGATTGGCTCAAAGTAGAATGGCTGTTGTTGACCTTGAAAGAGAAGATACTGTTTCATTGGCAATGACTGCAGTAAAACGTTTATTTGAAAAGTATTCAATTGACCCAAGACAAGTTAAGAGACTTGAAGTTGGCACAGAATCACCAGTTGATAAATCCAAGTCTATTAAGAGTTTTATTATGCAACAATTCCCACAAGTTGATACTTCAGAAATGGAAGGTATTGATACTATTAATGCTTGTTATGGTGCTACTAATGCCTTGTTCAATGCCTTGTATTGGCTCAATTCCGAACATACTACTTGTAAAAAGAATGATGTTTATAGTGTTGTTGTAGCTGTAGATATTGCTCAATATGAAAAGGGACCAGCTAGACCAACTGGTGGTGCAGGTGCTGTTGCCATGTTGTTGGGTAGAGATGCTCCTTTGGCTTTTAATGATTTTAGATTGAAGGCATTCCACATGGAACATGCTTATGATTTTTACAAACCAGTCAAGACCAGCTATTTCCCAACTGTTGATGGTCAATATTCAAATATTTGTTATTTGAGAGCTTTGGATATTTGTTATGAAAGATTAAGAGCTAGACATGAAGAACCAGTTGCTGTTGCTGATTTGGATTATTTGTGTTTCCATGCTCCATACAACAAGTTGGTTCAAAAGTCATTTGCTCGTATGATTTATTCCGATTTTGCATTGACTACCAGTGAGCAAGAATTTGATAGAATTTGTGCTAAATACAATGTTAAGGATGCCGAAACTAAGAGTCAAATTAAAAAGTTCACCAAATCTGCTCCAAGAGAAGAGACTTACAATGATAACGAATCAAGCAAATTCTTTATTAATTTAACTAAGAAGATTTATGAACAAAAGGTATCTCCAAGTACTTATCTTCCAAGAGAATTGGGTAATACTTATGCTGCTTCTTTATACGCTGGTTTTGCTTCATTGGTTGGTTTGAAGGGTCAAGAACTCCAAGATAAGCGTATTAATATGTTCTCATACGGATCTGGTTTGGCCAGTGCCATGTTTGAATTGCAAGGAAGAGAAACTACTCACAAGAAACACAGATATCAATTGGATGACATTAAGAATATCCTTGATTTACCAAATCGTCTTAACAATAGAATTGAAGTAAGCCCAGAACAATATTCTTCCATCATGGATGCTAACATGGAAACATATTTGAAGCATGACTTTGTTGCCACAAATCCTACCGATTATATTGATTCAGGATCTTATTACTTGGATAGAGTCGACGATAAGCACAGAAGATTCTATTTGAAGAAGGATTAATTTTGTAATTTTTTTTGTGTATTTTAATGATTGATGTGTTAATCAATTTTGATTACAACACAGTTGTGTTGGCCTAATGTATAAATATTTCTTTTAACTTATTTACAAAATCTATATTATTTTACAAATCTTCTCTCAATAATTCTAAATATTATCTGCTAAAGAGAAACTAAAAACTCTACTACTTGAAATAATAAACTAAAAATCTAATCAAATAGTAGAAAAAGAAAAAGACTCCAACAATTATCAAAACCAAAGTCCACATTTGACTCCAGGTCCTCACATCAAAAACTTGTTCCATCCTGGTCATCACTTTTTTCATTCCTACATTGGTTTCCGTCATGTTTGTACTTGTTCCCTTGAGTCCATAAACTTGTTGGGAAACTTCATCTTTCAACTCTCCTGCTATATGTTTCAATGCTTGACTGGTTTGCCCTAATTCCAAAGCAACTTGATTAAATTCAGAATCTTGCAAATCTTCATCCTGTTCATTTACACTTCTATCCCGATACCCAGTTGTTGGTTTGGAGGAGGTATCCTTTTCCGAAGCACTTCCAAACAGTGATGACTTTAATTGTCTATGATTATTGGCCATTTTTTTCATTTTTGCTTTCTATTAATAAGTTTAAGTACGTCATTGATGATGAGAAGAAAAATGATTCAAAAACAAATTTTTGTGTAGTTAATTAAAATTGTAAACATTATATTTCTTAGAAGAGCATTGTGCTCAATTTCTTTTCAGCATAATCCATATCAGCCCATTCCTTTCTCTTCATGTAATCTTCAACTTGATCCTTACTAATCTTACCAACAGCAAAGTATTTAGCTTCTGGGTGAGCAAAGTATAATCCAGATACGGATGCAGGTGGCCACATTGCCAAACTTTCTTCAATCAATTTAATTCCAGTCTTTTCAGTAATTTGACCAATTCTCCACATTGTCTCCTTTTCAGTGTGGTCAGGTTGTGATGGATAACCAGGAGCAGGTCTGATACCTTGATATTTAACTCTCAACAAATCTTCAGTATCCAACTTTTCTTCTGGAGAATATCCCCAATAATCCTTTCTGACAAGTTCGTGTAATAATTCAGCAAAGGCCTCTGCCAATCTATCGGCAAGAGCTTTAACCATAATGGATGAGTAGTCATCATCATCTTCTTGATATTTAGCAGCCAATTCTTCAGCACCAAAGATGGAAACAGCAAATTGACCAATATAATCATTCAATCCAGTAGTCTTTGGAGCAATAAAGTCAGAAATACACATGAATGGTTCTTCATCATTTTCCTTTTCAGCTTGTTGACGAAGACCATAGAATGTACCAATTTGCTTCTTTTCCTCTGGACAAGTTGGATCATAAATTTCGATATCATCCAAACTCTTGGAATCATTTGTATTGGCTGGGTAGAAACCAACAATACCTCTAGCAACGAGTTTCTTTTCTTCAATAATAGATTTTAACATCTTGGTAGCATTATCAAAGAGTTTCTTAGCTTCTTCACCAACATCAGGATCGTTGAAAATCTTTGGGTAACCTCTGTGTGGATATTTACCCTTAATTTGCCACACTGAGAAGAATGGAGACCAATCAATATGAGACACAAGTTGGTCAAGAGGGAAGTTGTCCAAAACTTTTTCACCCAAAAAGGTTGGAGACTTTGCAGGTGGTTGCTTTTCCCAATCTATTGCAAGTCTGGATTGTCTGGCATGTTGAATATTTTCGAACTTTCTTTCAAGGAGTGAGTCGTAGTGCTCTTCCCTCAATTCTTCATAGAGTTCATTAATTTCTTCCATATATTCTTCTCTCAATCTATTATCCAAAAGGCTTGAGGCAACAACAACACTTCTACTGGCGTCTAAAACATGGATACATGGTTGATCGTATTGTGGGCAAATCTTGACAGCAGTGTGGGTTCTAGATGTAGTAGCACCACCAATAAGAAGTGGACAAGTCAATCCACCCTTTTGCATTTCCTTGGCAACAGTAGCCATTTCATCCAAAGATGGAGTAATCAAACCAGAGAGACCAACAATGTCAACATTCTTTTCCTTTGCTTCACGAACGATAACATCAGGAGGAATCATGACACCCAAATCAATAACTTCAAAGTTATTACAGGCCAAGACTACACCAACAATATTCTTACCAATATCGTGAACGTCACCCTTAACAGTGGCTAATAAGATTCTACCAGCTGATGAAGAAGTAGCTTCACCTCTGAGACGCTTCTCTTCCTTATCCTTTTCCAAGTATGGAATGAGATACTTGACAGCCTTCTTCATGACACGAGCGCTCTTAATAACTTGAGGCAAAAACATTTTACCAGCACCAAATAAGTCACCAACAACATTCATACCATTCATCAATGGACCTTCAATAACAGAGAGTGGAGATGGCAAATTTTGTCTTGCTTCTTCAACGTCTGAATCAATAAAATCTACAATACCCTTAATCAAGGCATGTTTGAGTCTTTCTTGAACTGAGCCAGTTCTCCAAGCCAAAACTTCCTTTTGTTTTGGTCCTTCAATATCCTCACCATGAGCTTGCTTTTCTCTCAATTCGGAGGCAAAACTTAAAAGATTTTCAGTTGCATTTTCATTTCTATTCAAAATAGCATCTTCACACAATTGAAGGATCTTTGGTGTGATTTCATCATAAATTGGCAAAGCACCAGCATTTACAATACCCATATCCATACCAGCCTTGATGGCATGATACAAGAATGCACTGTGCATAGATTCACGGACAAGAGTTAAACCACGGAAAGAGAATGACAAGTTTGATACACCACCAGATACTTTAGCATATGGGAGGGTTTCCTTGATAATCTTGATAGTATTGATGAATTCAACACCATAATTATTGTGTTCTTCAATACCAGTGGCAATTGTAAGAATATTTGGATCAAAAATGATATCTTCTGGTGGGAATCCAACTTTTTCTGTCAAAATCTTGTAAGCTCTAGTACAAATTTCAACCTTTCTGGCACATTCGGCAGCTTGACCTTGTTCATCGAAAGCCATGACAACCACAGCAGCACCGTACTTTTTGACCTTCTTGGCCTTGGCAATGAAATCTTCTTCACCTTCCTTCAAACTCAATGAGTTGACAATACATTTACCTTGAATACATTTCAAACCTTGCTCAACAACTTCAAATTTAGAACTGTCAACCATGATTGGGATCTTGGAAATTTCAGGTTCACTCATAATCAAGTACAAGAATTTCTTCATGACATTCTTGGAATCCAAAAGGCCTTCATCCATGTTAACATCAATTACTTGAGCACCAGCTTCAACTTGGTTTCTAGCAATAGACAAGGCATCTTCAAACTTATTTTCCATAATCAATTTCTTGAAACGAATACTACCAGCAACGTTACATCTTTCACCAACGTTGATAAAGTTAGAATTCTTAGAATAAATCATTGGTTCCAATCCAGATAATTTCATATCATGAGTAGGTTCTTGTGGCTTTCTGATTTGGTTTGGTTTGTATTGAGCTGCCAATTGAGCCAAAGCTCTAATGTGATCTGGTGTAGTACCACAACAACCTCCAATCATGTTGACGAGTTTTTCATCAAGGAAATCCTTAACTTGACGAGCCATTTCTTCCGGAGTTTGTCTGTATTGACCCATTTCATCAGGCAACCCAGCATTTGGATAAGCATGAGTAAAACATTCAGCAATGTTAGACAATGCCTTAACGAAAGGCTTCATTTGAACAGTACCCAATGCACAATTGAGACCCATACAAAGCATATTACTATGCATCATACTAATGTAGAAAGCTTCAGTTGTTTGACCTGACAAGGTTCTACCAGTTTGATCGGTAATTGTACCAGAAATAATAATTGGCATATCAATATTAAACTTTTCCAAATAATCCATACAAGCAAATGCAGCAGCCTTTGCATTTAATGTATCGAAAATAGTTTCAATGAGCAAAATATCAGCACCACCATCAACTAAACCACGAACTTGTTCGAAATATGCTTCATATAATTCGTCGAAAGAGATATTTCTAAAACCAGGATCTTCAACACTAGGAGAAATAGAACCGGTCTTGTTTGTTGGACCTAAAGCACCAGCAACAAAACGAGGCTTTTCAGGTGTGAGTTGAGTATATTTTGTGGCAGCTTTTTTAGCACACTGAGCTGCGCAAAAGTTTAATCTATATGCTAATGATTGTGCATTGTAATCGGCTTGAGAAATAACTGTTGATGAGAAGGTATTAGTTTCAATAATATCTGCTCCAGCTTCCAAGTATTTTTCATGAATTTCAACAATAATTTCAGGTCGTGTAATACACAACATATCATTGTTACCCTTCAAATCGCAATTCCAATCCTTGAATTCCTCTCCTAAAATTATTCATCACAAGTAAGAATATTTGATATAATTGAATTTAAAATGTTCCGAACATCATTACCTACCTCTAAAATCAGCTTCTGAGAGCTTGTATTTTTGGATCATGGTACCCATAGCACCATCGATGATGAGAATTCTTTCTTTAAAGATTTCTTCTAATTCCTTACGGGTGACCATTGTATATGTAGAGAGTGTCTTTTTGAATTTTTTTTTTGAAGTTGTGTGGGATTTGTTTAGAGAGTGGAGAACGAAGTGGAGTTGATATTTCGCTTTGTCAAGTTGTGGTGGGCGAGTAAAAAGCAGAGAAAATTCCTCTCTGGTAAGAAGCTTAGAGAATCTCTCTGCACAGGAAAATAAAGCGAGAATATTGTCCTCAACAAATAAATGACGTCATCTGACCAATCAAAAGTTTAAATGGTTTATTCGATTATTTATCAGGTCTAAAATAAATAACTCGAAATTAAAAAACTATTCGATATATGGATGTGCAAGGAATTGGAAAAGCATATGGATATTGAATTTTTTCCTCACGCACCAACACGTGTCCAATTATGAATAATAATAAGAATAGTGCAATGATGGGTAAGATTCCGATCTTTGCCAAAATTACAAAATAAAAAATGCAACAACGAGCAAAAACAATTCCGAGAAGGATTTCAACATTATCACTGGTATTGAGTACAGTGATGGTAATGTTGATGGTTTGTATGATGATTAATGTGTCGTATTGTATTGGATTGGAGGATTTGTTGAAAATTAAACCATCAACATATGTTTTTGGATCGGATCAAATTTTGGAAGATGCTAATTGTACAATTGCCTCAATAGAGCAAAATAATAATGAAAAGATTTTCCCAATACTTAAGGAATTGGTTGTATGTTTTTTATATACATATACAAGAGAATAATTTAATTGTTTAGTCTAAACAATTCTTTAAAATTTTCAAAGTTGACCTTTCTAGTCCTTGTCCCTTCTGGGCAATGAAAAAAGTATGCACAGGAAAAGGTGGATGTTCTGTTTGTGAATGTGATGAAAATGAAATACCAATATCTTGGAAAAAATCAACACCTATACTTACGGATAAGGTGAATAAGTTTTTGGGGTTGAGTTCTCAAGGAAAAAAGGTACAAAAGTGGCAAGATGAGGATATTGATTGTTGGACAAAGAAAGAAGGAGATGGAGCAAAGCTTACATATATTAATCTTTTGAGGAATCCAGAAACTAGAACAGGATATTCTGGTGAGGAAGCTTCCAGAGTTTGGAACGCTATTTATGGAGTTAACTGTTTTGTGAATAGAAATTTAAATGACATGTGCTTTGAGGAACGAGTTTTTTACAAATTAATTTCAGGACTCCACATCTCCATCACAATGAAAATCGCCAGATATTACACTCTCAAGTTTGGTCATGATGAGAATCCAACCTATGATTCCTACACTCCTAACTATGAAATGTTTGAAAAGGCTATTTTGCCATTCCCTGATCGTGTAAAGAATTTATATTTTTTGTACACTTTTACTTTGAGAGCCCTTCAAAAGGCAGCACCATTCTTAAAGTCATACAATTTTAATACTGAAAATGAAATGGAAGATTTGGAAACTTCAGCCTTAATGTCCAAACTCTTGGAAAACAAAATGTGTGGAATTGCTTTTGATGAAAAACAAATGTTCAAGAGTGAAGAAATGGCTGATTTGAGAACTCAAATGAAGGCATCATTTAGAAATATTTCCTCAATTATGGATTGTGTTGCATGTGAAAAATGCAAAATGTGGGCTAAATTAGATGTTTTGGGATTGGCCACTGCTCTCAAGATTAATTTGGATGGTGATCATGTCTTCCACACATTGCAAAGAAATGAAATTGTTGCCTTGATCAACTCATTCAAACAACACTCTCAATCCATCTATAATTATCATGAAATGATTACCTATCACAATAGAAAACAATACGCACCTCTCATAGCTGTTGTTTATGGCGCAATTGTTGGTATTGCTGTTTTATTGTTGGGCGTCAGTTTCTTTAGAAAACAAAAACCAGAAGAAAATAAAGAGAAAAAGGATTAATCTTTACTTTTTTCAATCTTTTCCTTGTACTTATCCAAAATGTGTCTGAATGGTTCCACAAACTTGTTCAAACGTCTGTGAGGAATGATAAATTCTTCCAAGAGATTGCTCATTTCTGCTCTTGAAGTCAACTTGGATTTGTATGTCTCGATTTCAGGTCCAGTTAAGAATGTAAATGAAGTACCTTCCTTTTCAGCTCTGGCAGTTCTACCAATTCTGTGAATGTAAGTCTTTAAGGTGAGAGGAGCATCATAGTTTATCACAAAATCAACCTCAATATCAAAACCTCTTCCAATAACATCTGTACAAATTAATACATTGAAATGTCCCTTTCTGAAATTATTCAGTATGGTTGTAGACTTCTTATCTTTTGGATTGTAATATTCAGAGAATTTTGTATTGAGTTCTGGAGCAATACCAAAAGCATCTTTGGAATTGAAAGCCCCTTCACTGACGGCAGTTTCAAGTAGTAAATTTAATCTATGAGCTGTCTGACTGTCATTACAAAATACAAGTGTCTTTTTGCTTCTACACTTGTTATCCAATAAAAGAGCAATAAGATAGAGTGGTTTAGTAACAGCTTCATACTTGACAATGAATTGCTAAATGACATTAAAAATCATTCAATTAATAATAGAGTACTTACAGCCAATGTATCTGGAATGTAATACTTTTTACCAACAAGAGGATCGTCCAATGATGTTGACATATCTTCTGCTGATCTCAATTTAGCTGGAGCCAAATATGTAAAGAATTGAGGTCTATTCAATCTAATGATATCAAGTTTACCAGCATGGGAAGTAATAGTGGCTGAACAACAAATAATTCTAGCAAATGAATGGGCAACAGGAAGAGGAATATTTGGAATAATTTGAGTTTTGGCTCTTCTACTAATTACAGATGTGCTGTATATTGTCAAGTATTATTATTGTTATAAATAAGGACATCATACTTACCAATTATAATATGTATCAGCAATAACCTTAATGAAAGAAGAATGTTCATCTGATAATAGGGTATCAACTTCATCGTATACTAAAAACTTCAAATGTTCCAACGTGAAATTCTTTGTCTTTTTGATGTGTTCAACAAAAAGAGAAGGAGTTCCAATAAGAATATCAACTTTTGAATCACCAGTTAAAGAGTCAACCAAGTCAGATTGTTCTGATTCAAATCTATTGTAAGGATTCAATGATTTCACTTTAAGTGATGTATACTTTTCAAATGATCTAAAAACTTGTGTTACTTGTTTCACCAATTGAGAATTTGGTACAATTACAATAGCTCTCAGTTTTGTAAATTTAAGTGATGATAAAACTTCTACGATTGGCAATACATAGGAAAGAGTTTTACCACTACCAGTTGGTGAACCAATACAAATGTCACCAGGTACACCACTCTTTGTCATGGCAATTAAAACAGGAACAACAGCTCTCTGAACTGCAAATAATTCACGAACTGGGTTGTGTCTATTATTCTTTAAACATTCAACAATATTTTCAGAGAGTGATGCCTTTTCCACACTGACTTTACAATTACTCATAACCCAAACATTTCCCAATCTGACATCCTTTTCCTCATTGATTTTTTGTTTTTTAGCCCAAATATTAATGACAGCAGCTGTAGTTTCATCTGTTCTTTTAGAAATGTCTTCTTCCTCCTCGATATTATCATCGTTTTCCATCTCATCGTAGGTTCTCTTTTTAGAAATATCATCTGCTTCATCATCACTTTGTTCTTCTAAAAATCGGAGAGCCAAATCTCTTGATTGATTGGTCCTATATTTTTCGTTGACTTTATTAACTCTTGTCAATCCGAGCCATGATGATGTTGGTTTTGGTTTATCCTCTTCATCAGCTCCCGAAGCATTTCTCCAACTTGAAATACCTCCTGCTGATGCTGACGAATCCGTATTATCATTCATTTTTTTTTTGAACTTTTTTTTTAATGAATTTTTTTTTAAATATTGGTTTTTATTATAAAATAGTATTGGCATTCCTGCTCTTGCATATTGGTCTGAATGTGATTAAGAGAATGGCAGTTTATCCTCGTTCATAGTGAAAAAATCTTCCAAATAATTGAGATAATTCATTCCATATAAAAGTAGAGTTAAAAAGAATACGCAACATGGTATTGCTATGTAACCACTACTAAAACCCAATCCTAATAGTACATAGAAAGCAATTGGGGATGAAATCATGAAAATGCCATAAATACAAGTCATGGCATTTTCAATAAGTGACTTTCTATCCAATGAGCATGTAATGAACATGACAAAAAAGTAGAGAATTGACCAACCAAATACTAAAATTAAACCCAAATGTAAAATCATTATTGGTATTGTTGGAACTAGAGCTGGAATTGTTTCAAAAACCAGATACAATACGAATAGAATAACTGAAAATGAACTGAATAGCCAAATAATGAACGGTGTTACAAATTTCCAAACACCAATTCCAATCAAAAAATACCTAGGAGAAAATCTGAGTGCATACTTTGTGTATTGCACTCCCATATGTGTGGATCTTAAAAGATATAGAGTGAAGAGTCCTAAAATCGAAAGTAAGGGTGAGCACAAGACTACACCATTATTAAAAACCTCTGAGAGTAGCAAACTGGAAGCTTCTGCCTCAGTTAATTTTACCTCTCCAGCATAATAACTCTCTATTAAGTTATTACAATACGGATGAACGAGCCGAATATTTAAAAAGACAAAAAATAGTATACAGCACACAACTGTTAATGTCATGTACAGGTACATCTCATTGGGAGATCTTGGTCTTCCATCATTTTCAAGTGAATACTTGTTATTATTTACTTCTGTGTTCAACGCTTTTGAGTAACTCTTGTTGGGATAGATTTTTTCTTTGGTTGACTTGTTTCTTTCTTTCAGAAATTGATCTACTAGATGATAAGTACGAAATAAAACTCTCTTGTCTTTCAATATTTGTATGACTGGATGAAATAATTGCTTGGGAATCTTGTTGGTAGGATAATTTAAGTGTGTTGAAAAAATGTCTGTATATTTTCCTATATCGTTCAAAAAGAACTTCCTCAAAATATTGTTTTACTATTGCCTCATCCAAATCATAGTAAAAGTAATTATGTGTATTTTTCCACAAATCAGTTGGTTCACCAAAGTACTTTAAACTCTTTGCTTCAAATAATTCACTCCATGTTTCATCCTGTTCTTGAACCATTATGAGAAACATTTTGGAGACAATTCTCATTATCAACTTGTCAGTCCAACTCATGTAGGGAAGAACATTGTAGGCCCAAATTTCTTGTGGAATAATACAAGTGGAACATGTTGGAACTTTCCGTTTTCTTTTTCTAAAAGGTCTAGTGAGATGATTATCACTCAATTGAGTGGGAGGATGTAAATAATTATCATCATAATTATTGATACGTCTCCTTATTTGTCTGGTAGCTTTCTTTCTCCATCCAATTACTTTAGAATAAACTGCAGAAAGATTAAATACCTTTCTCTGCATTGTATTAAATTGCATAATTTCACTATTAACATTATTGGGATCAGTAATAATAACCTCAAAATGTTCATCATTACCTGTCATTAATGGTTTTCTAACAGCTCCCAACAGAGATTTTCCTCCACTGATAGTCCTACTAACTGAGGTTTGAAGAATGTTACCAATTTTCCTTGCAACAAGTCTAACTCCATATGGAGAATGAACGTTGCTGTTATTATTGGTATTACTAGCTAGTAATGAAGTTGTATAATGAATATCATCTCCTGCATCTGTTTGTGAATCATCAAAGTAGAACATGGGATGTTGAGTAATTTCCGATTGTATTGGACTTGCATCATCAATATCATCGTTAGTTTCAACAATAATTATTTCCTCCTCATTATTATATTTCGTTGTTGTTGTTGTTGTATTATTCCATGATGATATTTCGTTACAAACAACCGAAGAAGAGCATGTGCCAGCAGTTGTTTCTTCTTCTACAGGTGCTGTGGTTGTTGCTTCTAAACTATCCATTGTTGTTACTATCATGCATGATTTGATGGTTAAATATTATTATATCCACATGAAATAAAAGATTTTTTTTGATTTGTGATTTAGGTAAGATCTTTTGTTTCTTCCCTTCACTTTTAGAGACTAGTAGGGCAGTTTAACTGATTGAATTTATGTTTTATTTTCACTTCATATCATGCATGGACCATCATCTAATTAAGAGTTTCAATTTGGGCTAGATTTTGTTTCTTCTTCTTCTTTAGTTTCTTATTATTTGCATTATTGTTTTTTGGTTTGACTTGTTGTGGTTTTTGAATTTCTTGGGGTGGATCATCCTGAACCAAATTAGTGAAATTGGAGGTTCCTTGCAATGGATTATCAAATTGTTGTTGATGGTGATGATCTAATTTGATTTGCATTGGAGAGGAACTTGTTGAGGTAGTAAAGAAGGGCCTTGCCTCATTCTCATCTTTATCCTCCAAAGAATTGTGATCTCTCTCAAATATTGCTCCACCACCACCACTTGTAATAAGATGAGATGTTTCACTATTAATAATTGAATAACCATCACCTCCAGAAAGTATGGAAGATTCATAGGACGTTTCATTTCCCTTTTCATCTTGAGACATGGTGGAACGAGGTGTTTGAATGGTTGTGTTGTGAGTGAATTTGTTTTCTTCATCATGTTGAGGGTTTGATGACTCTCCAGCTGTGTGACCCAACTTGTTGAGAGATTCATTGATGAAGGAATGAAGGAAGAGGAAAGTATTGATTGGTATGCTTAAAATAGTTACAACAAGTGAAGTAATACAAGTGATCAAGACATATTCAATAGTGTAATAGTATAGAATGAAGAGAATACTCAACGTTACACTAATGGAAAAGTAACAACAAGTTGATTCGTACAATATTGAACATTAGAATAAACGAAAAAACAACATACCAAGAAACCATAGAGGCAAATGAAATTGTTGATAAGGCAAACACAAAAATGTTAGAATGAATGGATTTTCTAATATAGTACAATAATCTGATGTTTTGAATCCATGATCTTGAATTGACTCTTTCTACCAACTTGACTGATGAACATTCATCAGAGGAGAGTGGATGGTAGTCAGTTTCAACTCTGTATGACAATTTTCTAAAGGTCAAAATTGAAGAAACCCAAACAAAAACCTTAAGTAGAATTAATAACATCAAGGAAACTCCAATAACCAAGTACATCACTGATCGATTCAATAGGAGATGGGAATTCATTCTCTCTGCATGCTCTCTAAACATGATTGCAGTACTGAATAATAACAGGTGACATAGTGATTGAAGAATCTCAAAGAAGGTATGAAAACAAAACGTAACGTTCAAACAGAGGGATTTCATTTTTTCTAAAAGAATATTAAATACTCTTCTGATGTGATTCACTATTTATTGTAACTTTTCTGGTTCATGTTACAAAAATGGAACGAATGTTAATTTCAATCTCCAAAGATGGAAAGTATACTTTTGATCTTTTAAATATATCATATTCTATATCTAGTAATTATGAGTTTAAAGCTATTTGATTTATTTGTATTTCATGAATTCCTTGTCAAAACCAATGGATGGGAATGACTTGCTGAATGATTCAATCTTATTTCTCAATTGAGTAATACCAACAGCGTCTGGGTTTTGATCCAAATGATCCTTAAAGTCCTTAACCTTCTTGAGACCTTGCTTTTCAAGTTCAACCTTAGTCTTTTGAGCAATTTGAATACCCTCATGAACAAATTGGGCAACTTGAGCAAAGTCAGTTTCCAAAAATCCTCTGGTTGTCAAAGCAGGTGAACCCATTCTGATACCACCTGGAACCATAGCAGATTTATCACCTGGGACGGTATTCTTATTGACAGCAATGCTCGAACGTTCAAGAACAGCTTCAACTCTAGCACCATCTACACCCTTATTTCTCAAATCAACAAGGAGCAAGTGGTTATCAGTACCATCACTGACAATCTTGTAGCCCAACTTTTTCATTTCTTCAGTCAAAACTTTACAATTCTTCAAAACTTGTTCTTGATATTCCTTGTACTCTGGGGTTGTAGCCATCTTTAAGGCAACAGCCAAAGCAGAGATGGTATGATTGTGTGGACCACCTTGATGACCTGGGAAAACAGCAGCATTAATCTTATCCTCGAGACCTTCAATTGACTTTCTGTAGAAGATCATGGCGCCTCTTGGTCCTCTCAAACTCTTGTGAGTAGTAGTAGTGACAACATGTGAGTGTTCAAATGGTGATGGAATAACACCAGCAGCAACCAAACCACTGATGTGAGCCATATCAGAAACAAGGTAAGCATTATGCTTATCGCAAACCTTTCTGAAGGCAGCATAATCAATCAAACGAGAATAAGCACTAGCACCAGCAACAACCAACTTTGGTCTATAATAATCAGCCAATTCTTCCATCTTGGCATAATCAATCAAACCAGTTTCTTCATTCAATCTGTATCCTAATGTTTCAAAATAGATACTGACTGCAGAAATTTTCTTTGTTGGAGTTTGGTAACCATGTGAAAGACTAAGGAAAGATTGAATTGAGTGTATGTGTGAAAAAAACTTACTGGCCTCCATGTGGCAAATCCAATGAGAGAATTCTATCATGAGGTTGAAGTAAAGCAGTGTAAACATAAAAGTTAGCTGGAGAACCACTCAAACTTTGAACGTTAACACCCCATTCCTTTGGATCTAAATTGAATGCTTCAAGGGCTCTCTTTTGACAGAGAGATTCAGACATGTCAATATATTCATTACCACCATAATAACGCTTTCCTGGATAACCTTCACTGTACTTGTTTTGCATGACAGATCCCAAAGCATCCAAAACGGCCTTGGAAGTAAAGTTCTGTTATTATTATTAAACAAGTATTGGTATTATTTAAATTGTTGTTGGTATTAATTGTTTATGAATCGTCATCAAATGTTTAAATATAATATTCCAAATTAATTATCGTTCCGAAATTTTATGATCAAAATTATAATTAAAATATATTTACCTCTGATGGAATCAATTGCAAACCCTTGTATTGTCTATTCTTTTCGTGTTCAATGATATCAAACAATTCAGGATCAACATCCTTTAAAGAGGCATTCAATTGTGCAGCCCATTTTTCAGTGTTAACACCATTGTTAACGATACCTGATGAGAAATTTCTCTTTTGACCACTGGCAAGAGTGCGCTTCAAGGAGGAAGTAACCACGGAAACGGAACGTTTGGTAGTTTGCATTTTTTTTTAACAGAAATCAGAATTGATTGTTTGCTGTTGTTGTAAGCTTCATTTCTATTATTTATTTAATTGGAGTTTATGATTTAATAATTTATTTACAAACCCATAGGTGGGTAATTACTTGTTGGTTTGCTATTAGGCAATTGTATATGTTGTAAAATATTGAATACATTTCGCTCATATTGCATTCGTTCATATTCAGAAGTGTCCTTATTTGCTGAAATAATCTGGAAGAATTCTGTAATTGATGGTCCACTATTTTCTGACGAAATATTGTTCATATCAACTCTTGTCAAAGGAGAATTAAGAGAATATTGATTTAAAATAATTTCAATTTCCTTGATTGTTGAACCCTGAAGAAGAAATACTTTCCTGAATCGTTTTCCCATAATTTGCAAGCCTCTGTAAATTTTAGATAAAATTTGAAAATAATTAATTGGTCCATGTATCGAAAATTCATCACAATTCTTTCTATGGCCCATTTCTATCAGTCTAACTATGTGAAGAATTACTTTTGCAGATGCAGCAATAGAGTTTGATAGAAATCCAGGAGATACCGAAAACATATCTGACTCAGTTAAATGAACAATTTTCAAGGCACTTTCTTCCACCAACTCTGGACTCTTGTTCATCTCAGTAAGAATTCTTATGCGTATTCCATGATAAAGCATGTCTGCAGTTTCGTTATAAAATCTTACTGTTTTTTCATCTTTTAGATTTAACTTTCCTATTTGAATGAGTGCTTGCAGCATTTGAATAAATAGTATGTAATTATTTTCATCTATTTCTTGAACAATAAAATCTTTCCATTCTTTTGGGAGCTCGATACCAATATATTTTCCTAAAATATAAAACCAATCTCTAACAACACAGCTCACAGAAGAATCAAATTTCGCATCCACACATACAACTATTTGTAATTTTTGTAAATTAACAACATAATAATTATTCCTATCTTCCTTTGCAAGTTCATCCATATAAAAATCAACAAATTTCAAATAGAATCTGGCATTCTTCACCCTTCCATACCCAACTTCAACCAATGCCAATAATCCATAAGAACAAGCCACATAAAAATTAGAGTATTCGTTGAAAAACTCACGTACAGCTTCAACAGCTCTGTTCAGTGAATCATCAGCACATTCAAGAGCTAATATTTGTGTCAAATGTGCCACTATACAATAGAATAAAGCACGTATCTGTTTAAAGTTGGGCAGTTGTGCTGAGTTATCACTCCTCAACATATAAAGTTCTAACTCTTCTTTTTCAATAAATTTAATTTCATGCAATATTGTAAAATACTGATCAATATATTTTCTAATTTCAATCCAATCCGATAATGGATCCATATTATCACTAGTTTTTTGTTCCGTATTTGCAATCCATTGAATGGAGGTTACTTCTGACTTTGTTTTCTTCTTGTTCGTTACTCTCTTTGGTTTCTCATATTCGCATCTAATGTTTCTCCATTCACACCCGCTACAAGTTGGATACCTTTTGTTGCAAGTTTTGTGCAAACGTTTGCAATTTTTACATGAGATAGGATGAAATTGTTGTTCCGAACTAGTATCCTCTGGCGGATTGTACATTTTTTTGTTTCAGATTTTAAATAATTCGTTTCTTTTTTTAAAACATACTACACTTCTTTCACTTACTGTGCCAATAAATATTCTATCTCATTTTAGTTTTCTCAGAAATTTGAAAATCACGAACCTGTAAAATATCTTCTTCAATAAACCTATTAAAAATTCAATATTTTAAAGAAAACACTGAAACTTCAATGGAAATAATTGTTCTCCCAAGATTTATTCCAACCAATAAATTAACGGTTTCTAGAAACTCACAATACCTACGTTTGCTTAATTGTATTTTTCATTGAAATACTAATAAATTACTTGATTCTAAAGGAAATACAAGATATGTTAAAATTACTCTAGTTTCTGCGAGTTTTTTGTTTTTTATTTTAGTAAACTTGATCCAAACTACTGAAACAACTATCCCTCCCAAAAACTCAAAATTCCTATTTGCCTATTTAAAACACACTCCCCCTCAACAACACTCAATCTAAACCCAAATCATCAAGTGTTACACAGAGTTCTTAATTGCCGAAAAGCTCATTATTAATACAAACACCTTTATATACCACTCCCAAATATTACGAACGATAAATTATTTTATTTTCTGTGGATGAGGTTTGAAATGTAAGTTTTTATTTTCAGAAGAGCAAGAATATAATTATAAGTATGATGCTATATTAATATCTATCCCAAACTTCGCTTTTTGCTGATTTTTTAGTCACCAACATCCAAAAAGTGGTTTAAGATGGATTATTGTAAAGAAAAGCTATATCTGTAATTCTGAAATGTAGTAAAAAAAAATCAATTTACTCACAACAAAATCAATTCAAACACCAGCAGGAACAAGATAGGATCATTTGTTGACCTTTTTAATCAAATGAGTTGTGCTTTAAATAAATAAGAATTAGTTAATAATAGAGTTTTCAGAAATACCATTACCACCCCACCCATCTCAGGCAAAACATATCGAATTTTATTGGGATTTTGTTTAAATATATTTTTAAACTTATCACTCCATCAACCTCCATGAATCTAGTTGTCTATTTCTTGGTGTAAGAGTTTTTCTTTGTTTTAATAAACAACTATCACAACTCTACTTTTAATACTTCTAATAACAGTGTTTTTGTAATATTTTTACAAAGTTTGTTTTTTCTTTGAATTCATTTTCTTTGAATTTACCATAAAGATTATTACTTCCAATCAATAATCTTCATAATGATAATACCAACTTTAGAAGATTTTTAAAAATTAATGGTCTTTGTATTTTATATTACTTTGTTAAGCTTTTCTAAATTTCAAATCGATAAAATTTTTGAAAATTTATTTTTGCTTCTTAATTTTCAATTAATTTCATTATCTTTATATCTAACATCACATTAAATGATTTTTCAGATAAACCAATTTAACCACCATCTTATAAACCAACTTTCAACAAAAATTTTTTCGGATGTATATATACATAAATATATATATATGCATGCGAAAATTTTTATTTTATTTTTATTAAATATCTAATATGACAAACATATCCCACCAACGCATGTATGAAAATTCGTATTTTTCATTGAAATACTAATAAATTTCTAGTTTTTATCGAAATTTTTTTCAAAAAAACATTTTTTCCATTTTTTAATTTACATATTTTTACTACTCGATATTAAATGGTAAACATGGTATGGAATAAAATTGGATCATCAAGATTCCAATAAATATGATAGAAGTTGTTGAACAACATTGATTTTTAAGACAATTAATGCTGGTAACTTGATTTCTAATAAAAAGAAAGTACTTTTAATCATTTAGATTATTGCAATCAAATTAAATTTTAACTGCATGATGAGGAGTATGATGAAGAATAATAGGGAAATGATTTTTCTAACATAGATAAATATAATTTTTGTTCACATATATATATATATATAACAACAAAATAAATTGTGAAAATATACAAAAATTATATTCAAACTCGAATTAAGATTGAGAAACACTAAACCACCAAACGGTACTACCAAGAAAGAGTAAATGAAAGGAATAAAATTACTCATTATACTCAATTACCACAAGCGGCTAAAGAATTCCCACTCTAACACAGAATAAGATTTCAATAGAAATTTCAGATATAATAAGTTAATATTATTTTATTGGATTTCATTTAATCATATCCAATTTGGAGACAGATAATGTGGTAAAATGATATTTTCATTTGGATAACCAATTATCCAAAGCAGATTTGTTTTTAATGGTTTTTTAAGTTTTTTGAATTATTATTATTCCTACCAATTAATCTACACGTGTAACTTAGAGAGATGCGATTATTTTTCTGTTAGTATATTAGAAAATTTCAATTTCCTTTTCTCTAAATTGTTCGATGATTCAAACATACAACAAGCACAATGGGATTATGTATTGTGTTTTTGTAATGATGTATATCTCATAGTTACACGCGTAATATATTTCAGAAAGAGGGTGAAAGTAATAACAAGACAACCAAGACCATAAAAACAACAAACAAATATTTCTACATGCAATATTCATTAGACATCATTGTTCCAACTTTTTTACAAATTACCTATTAACACAATGTGATATTGGGTAGGTTTTAGTAAAATTTACATTTTCATATTTGATAAAAAATGACTACAACTACATATAAGCATTTCGATTGGTTATTCAAATTAGAACAACATAAGACAAACACAATGATGAATAGTACTAATATTGTTACCCTTGTCCATATGGACAACTTTGATTTAATGTTTTTGTTTTAAGAGGATGAGTAACATCTTTTTCAAAAATTGATCCATTTGATGATGAAAGCTATTACAATTACTAGGGCTCTTCAATCACCACCCTCAATAGCAAAATTATTTAACAACCCTACTAGACATCCAAAAGGGCATGAAAATGATTTCACCTACATGTCAAAGTATAGAACTGTTGATTTAGATATTTTTGTTATAGGTTCTAAGCACATGATTCATAAATCATTATGATCATTTCGTTACAGCATAAAACAACCTCTGAAGAGTTATTAAAATGTTCACAACATTATCATCTTGTTTTTTTCATATTTAGTATCCAACATCATTAGGCATTGTTCAAAAAACCACTATAATTAAGAAGCAAGAGTTATCATGAATTAGAAGTGGCAAATGTTAATGATGAGAACAGCAAATTATATATTGAAAATGTTATGGATGTTTTTGAAATTGCTTTTCTAACTGCAAGAAAAAGCTTTAACAATAACAAAAAGTCAGATGCATTCAATGATGTGTCAAAGAAAATGATTTAAGCTTACAATAAATGTATATTAATATTTATTGTGAAAACATGAAAAATGATGACCTCAAAAATTTATTTGTTTTTCTTGGTCACTGCAAAGGAGTCGCGTGGGATTTGGATCCTTAAATACCACATTAGTATTTTGCTAACAAATAATAACTCTATTCAGGGTGGAAAGAGTAATTTGAAATTATTTTTAACGTCCTTAAATAATGATATTAATTTGTTGATAAGAACTAAAACACAGTAAAAATTATCAAAATTATTTACTTGTTATTATTAAACTTGATGCTTCTAACAACATTGACATCCAAAGCACCTCCTCTATACGTACTCTTCTTTTTCTTTGTTTTAGCTGCTCTAAAGTCCTTTCCTTTAGTTGGGCCCAAATCTCTGACAGCTCTTTCGCCATGAGAACCAAAACTGTATGATCTTACTGATAATCTTTCATCTTGGAATTTGACTTCGTCTCTCTTTACTCTTTGATATGGGACACCTCTATTGTTTTCATTTTCAAACTTGTTCTTCTTGGCATCAGTTTGTTCTTCAACTTGTTCCTCAGTATCTTCTCTCTTTCTCTTCAAAGCATCAGAAGATTCTTTCATTTCTTCATCAGATGAGCTAGAATCTGATGAAGAGCTAGCTTGTTTCTTTTCTACTGCCTTAACAGCTGGTTTCTTTTCGTCTTCTGAAGAGGATGATGAATCAGAATCAGATGAAGAATCCTTCTTAGTTACTGGCTTTGGTTGAACAGCTGGCTTACTAACTGGCTTCTTTTCGTCATCTGAAGAGTCAGAGCTGGAATCAGAATCAGATGAGGAATCCTTCTTTGTTATGACTGGTTTAGTTTCAGTTGGTTTTGGAGTTGGTTTCTTTTCATCTTCTGATGAAGAGTCAGAGCTTGAATCTGATGAATCCTTCTTTGCAGCAATAGGTTTGGTTTGAACAGCTGGCTTACTAACTGGTTTCTTTTCATCTTCTGAAGAGGATGATGAATCAGAATCGGATGAAGAATCTTTCTTGGTTGGTTTAGATTGGATAATTGGTTTGGTAGCTGGCTTCTTTTCGTCATCTGAAGAGTCAGAGCTGGAATCAGAATCAGATGAGGAATCCTTCTTTGTTATGACTGGTTTAGTTTCAGTTGGTTTTGGAGTTGGTTTCTTTTCATCTTCTGAAGAGGATGATGAATCAGAATCAGATGAGGAATCCTTCTTAGTTACTGGCTTTGGTTGAATAGGCTTACTAACTGGTTTCTTTTCATCTTCTGAAGAGTCAGAGCTGGAATCAGATGAATCAGATGAATCCTTCTTTGTTATGACTTGTTTAGTTTCAGTTGGTTTTGGAGTTGGTTTCTTTTCATCATCTGAAGAGTCAGAGCTGGAATCAGATGAAGAATCCTTCTTAGTTACTGGCTTTGATTGAACAGCTGGCTTACTAACTGGTTTCTTTTCATCTTCTGAAGAGTCGGAACTGTCTGAGCTTGAAGAATCCTTCTTTGAGATAGCTGGCTTAGTTTGAGTAGGCTTGGCATCCTTCATTTCTTCATCAGATGAATCAGAGCTTGAATCAGATGATGAATCCTTCTTTGTGACGGTTGGTTTGATAGCTGGCTTCTTCTTTTCGTCTTCTGATGATGAAGAGTCAGAACTATCAGAGCTTGAAGAATCCTTCTTTGTGACAATAGGCTTAGTTTCAACAGCTGGTTTTGGAGTTGGTTTCTTTTCATCTTCTGATGATGAAGAGTCAGAGCTTGAATCTGATGAATCCTTCTTTGTGACAATAGGCTTGACTTGTACAGCTGGCTTACTAACTGGTTTCTTTTCATCTTCTGATGAGCTGTCAGAACTTGAATCGGATGATGAATCCTTCTTTGTCACAGCTGGCTTGGTTTGTGTTGGCTTCATCTCATCTTCACTTGATGATGAAGAGCTAGATGAGGAAGAATCCTTCTTTGAGATAGCTGGCTTAGTTTGAGTAGGCTTGGTATCTTTCATTTCTTCATCAGATGAAGAATCTGATGAGCTGGATTCCTTCTTGGACTTTTGTGTTTCCTTTGGTGTTTCTTTCATTTCAGCATCGGAATCAGAATCTGATGATGACGATGAAGATGATGAATCAGATTTGGTCTTTCTAAATTTCTTCTTTGGAGAAGATTCTGTGGATTGACTTGTGGAAGCAGATGTAGTAGAAGTTGGTGCCTTCTTTGTTGATGATTCATCGTCAGTCATTGTATTAGTTGATTTAGCAAGCTTTAAAGCAGCTCCCAAGTTCAAAAAGTCGCCATAAAGATCAATTCCATACTTGGCAAAATGTTCTTCATAAACTTCCATAACCTTTGGCATGTTTAATTCTTCAAAATTTTCCTATTTAAATTATTACTAAGTGATCAAAGATTCACAAAATGTTCAACTTACCATTTCAGTGGTTTCAGCAAAAACTTTAGCAACATTATCCAATTCACAATAAACTAAAAAGTCATAAATGGCTGGGTACAACTTTTTCAACTTTTCTTGTTTTTGCTTCTTGCTTGGTGAGATACGGAAAGTGGTTGAAGAGACCTTTCCACCAAGAATAGTATGTTTACCAGCTGGCTGTTGTGTGGAGGATGATTTCTTTGCAGAGGAGAATCCCAATCCCTTGTGTCCCTTGTTGGAGACGTCCATTTGGTGTTGGGCATAATTCTGTTGTTCTTCAGATGTAAAACCTTTCATTTTTTTTCTTCAAATTTTTCTTTTACCTGCCTTCTTTTCGCTTGTGTTTCAAATTATCTTTCATATTTCTTTGACAACAGAATTGAACACACAAAATAGCTGAAAATTTAATTGATATATTTAAAAAAAGGAGTTTTCACCTGGTTTCCTTGGAGAGTAACAGTGACAGCTAGTATTTTGGCGCCAAACAGTATACAGTTCAACTTGACATTTTTAAAAAAAATGAGTGAAAGCGGAAAGATAAGGGATGCCTTCCCTCAATACAAATCATTCGGAGCCAGCAATGAAATGTTGTTGAGGAATAAGGTTTCAGATTCTCTAGTAAATGCAAAGTATGGATATGACACAAAAAATGATCCGGATTCAAACTATGTTCCCCCAACAAGATTTGGAAAAATTGAAAGTAGTAATGGCGCTGCCTCGGATTGTATTCATCCTAATGAACCTCCCCTTGTTTCGTATTATAAGGAGAAGAAGGAGGCCATTTACAAGAGAGAACCAGTTGGCCATTCCGCGAAACATACTAATTTTATAAACAATCATGCTAAGGGTGATTCGGTGTTTGGTATTAAAACTGACTACTCTGAGAGTGCTAAGAATATTCTCTACCCAATAGATAGGTATGATCAAAATGAAATGGAGAAGGAAAGAAATGAATTGTACAAACTTTCTCATCAAGCATGGGAAGCTGGAGAACAAGTTAACAGGAATTATGTTTGGGATAAAACTCCAATAAGAGACCCAACACACTTTAGATTTGGAAAGGTTTTGGAACCAGAAGTTGATGGAGCAAAAAAGACAGTCTCTACTTATTACCAAGCACCAACAGCTGGACAACTCGTACATGATGAGCCGGTTCCAAATGAAGATCCATTGGATGGAAAGGTGTTTGGAATGACAAATAAGCCTGACGAATGGGGATCAATTGATTGTATTAGAGGGTATGGCTATGGAGTTGACCACAATATTGATAAGGGAATGAGAGCACCATTCCTTCCTGGAACTGAACATATGACATTTGGCATTCAAAACAAGAAGGACATTGGTGCAACTGAAACATTATCATATCGAACAACTGTTGAAGAAAGAGATAAACCACTTCCAAAAGATGAATTGAAGGAATATGTGACTTTGATTGTTGAAGAAGAAGGTGTAGACTTTGAGCTCGTTTATGAGTATGCCACTGAGCAATGTGGAGGTGCAAACATGTCAATTAATCAATTCCTTGACATATTTAGACAATTGTATCTTTCTTGAATCATTTTGTAAATTATGTAATATAATCCATTTTAATAATTATGATTCCCTTGATTGAAGGTTTATTATGTTGTACAATTTAACATCTCTTCTTTCCTCTTAGCAAATCAGTAAGACTGAATGGATAGAAAGCACTAATTCCAAATAAAACCAATCCAATAATAAAATAAATAATTGAAATTTGACGTTAAAGTAATATCAGTAAATAATTTAAATAATTCAAATAATAAATAAATTATTGTCTAAGAATTACTACGTACATTTCTCCCATCAACATGACGAGGTTCCACACGTACAATCCACGCATACAAATAGAAACCATAGCACCCTTCAAAGCAGTATATTGGGCCAAGTTAGGTGATTCATAAACCCAACCAGTGGCAGACATCTTGGCATTTCCTGATGATGTAGCAGAAGAACGTGCTTGGAATCTGCTGTTGATGTTTGTCTTGTTGGAACGACGGAAGACGTTTTTGGCGGAATTTTGGAATAAATTCTTGAGCATTTTTTTTAATATTATTGTTATCAATTATGAATAATTGTTGGTTGGCGAAGTAGAATGACTGCCTTTGCTTGGTTGTAGTATAAATGCTCAAATATTGAATAGAATACTTGTAAAACTTGTTGTTATTGAGAGCCAAGATTAGGATTATTAAAAAATGAGTGAATTTGTTCAACAATTTTTGAATAGTGAGAAATGTGCAGAGAGCCTTTTTGCTGCCGATTGTTTGAAATTAATTTTGTCCAAATTGTTGGGAACTTTGGTCATTCTCGGATCAGTTCTTTACAAGGTTCCACAAATTATTACCATCATGAAAAAGTCATCAGTTGAAGGATTGTCTGCTTTAATGTTTATCTTGGAAATATACAGGTATGTTTAAAGTGAGACAACTGTATTAATTATCGGATCAAATAGTCAAGTCATTACTCTTGGATACAACTATCGTAGTGGTTATCCATTTAGTACCTATGGCGAATATATTTTCATGATCATCCAAAGTAAGTTTTTAATGATAACAAAAACATTCATTTACTTTCAATTTATTTGTATAATGCAGATATTATCATTCTCGTCTTTTTCTTTGTTTACTCAAAGAAGAATGATATTGTCTTTTCCTTCTCAAGTGTTGCATTCCCTGTATTTTTCTACTTTGTCATTTTCGATACAATTTATGTAACTGAAACTGTTATTGGATCATTGTTTGCTCTCACTCTTCCACTCTTCATCTTTTCTAGAGTTCCTCAAATCATCAAGAACTTCTCTCAAGGTGGTGTTGGTGCCTTAAGTTTCAGTACTACCTTTATGCAAGTTGCTGGTTCATCTGCTCGTTTGTTTACAACCTTGCAAGAAGTTGACGACCAACTCATGTTGATTACTGCTGGTTTGGCTGTTGCTTTGAACGGTATCATCATGGCTCAAATTATTTATTATAACATGATTAAGGGAAATACAACCACTACCACCAGCACCGAAAAACCAGAGTCTTCAACTGCTGCTAGCACAACACCAAAGAAGAAAAAATCCGCTAAAATAGAATAAACACAGAGAACATGTAAAAACAAAACCAATGATCTTTGTGGACATTCTCCCTTAAACAAAAAGAGTTACTAGTTAAAATACATTGTAGTCAAACTCATAAATTCCTATTACAAGGCGCCACAAACATCTCTCCTTAAAAAAAAAGCCATCACTTTGTGTTGATGCTTGAATTAATTGTAGTAATAATCATTGAAATAATTATACGAGTTTAAAATTGTAAATAATAATATGCCACCTCAAACATTTGTCTCTGAAGGAATACCAATTTCAAGTATTGTGGCCAACAGTTTAACCTCCTTAGATTCTGTTTCATCAGTCTCTTCTAACTCTTCGAATGTTGGTAGCATAGGAGGATCATCAAATATTCATCATCATTTCAGAGAGGCAGAGGCACCTTTCTCTGCAAATAGCTCCGATTATGAAAAATTGGAACGAGTTGGAAAGGGATCTTTTGGAGAAGTGTACAAAATGTATGTTCATGTCATTTGGATCTTGGTGACATTTTAATATTCTGATAATAGGAGGAATAAGAAAACTGGACAAATAGTTGCTGTAAAGTCAATAGATTTAGAAAAGGCAGAGGATGATATTGAGGATATACAAAAAGAGATTCATATTCTGTTGCAATGTTCGTCATCCTATGTCGTTTCAGTCTATGGTTCAATTGTTCAGGATACCAAATTATTAATTGTGATGGAGTATCTGAGTGGAGGGTCAGTGTTGGATCTTATGAAACCAAATGGAGGAAAATTTGATGAGAAATATATAGCAATAATATTGAGAGAAATGTTGCTTGGTCTGGAATATTTACATGCTATTGGATTGATCCATAGAGATATAAAGGCAGCAAATGTTTTATTGAGCGAGGACGGAAATGTTAAATTAGCGGATTTAGGTGTGGCTGGACAACTATCGAGTACAATCAATAAGAGACATTCTTTTGTAGGAACACCATTTTGGAGTAAGTATTCCAAGTTCAATACAATCGCTTATTTTGAGGAATAATAGTGGCTCCTGAGGTTATTAAACAATCAGGTTACACTGAAAAGGCTGATATTTGGTCTCTTGGTATAACTGCTATTGAAATGGCAAAGGGATCTCCTCCATATTATGGAGATGATCCAATGAGGATATTGTTTCTGATTCCAAAGAATGAGCCACCGACACTGGAGGGAAAATTTTCAAAGACTTTCAAAGAGTTTGTTTCCCTATGTTTGAAAAAGGATCCTTCAGAAAGACAATCAGCAAAGGAGTTACTGAAACATAGATTTATAAAATCAGCAAAAAAGAATAGTAGTCTAATAGAATTGATTGAAAAGAAGAGGGAGATGAGAGACAAGTCCAAGGACTCTAATAGTTCAACTGATTCATCAGACAGCTCATTTGATTCTTCTGAGGAGGGAGAAGGAGAAAATAATTTTTGGGATTTTAGAAGTACTGTTATGAGAAGAAAGAAAAAGACAACCTCTGTTCACAAGCTTAATGAGCTAGTTTCGGATTTGTCAAAGGAGCTAAACAGTAATAAGAATTCCTTCAAGGGAGAAGGTGGTGGAACATCTAGTGAAGAGGAAAAGGATACTGATTCTTCTTCAACTTCAGATGATGAGATTTCAGATCCGTCAGATAGTGAAACAGAGTATGGAACAATGAAGATAGTGCCATCTTCGATTAAGATTGTGGAATTTAAAAAAACTTCTATTTCTGCAGAGGAAGAAGATACAGAATTTACTGATAATTTTAATGAAGTAGTTATTGAAGAAGATGATATTCATACTCATTCCGAAGAACCAGAGACTACTCCAGTGTACGAAAAGAGTAGAGAAATTATGATAGACAGAGAAAAGAAAGATCTCTATGCATCTCAAAGAAAATTATCAATCTCCTCATCTATTGATCCTTTTAGCAAAAAGTTGCTGTCAAGTGTGGTTGAGGCTAGTTTACAATCGGTTGCAAGTAATTACCAATTCATTGATACACCCCAGCCAAACTCTGAAGTTATCTTACAGGAACAATGTGAAAAAATCTCCCAATTATTCAATGAAACTGAAGTGTCTTTCCCAGGTTTCTCAAAGACTTTTATTCAATACTGTTTGGAGAATCATCAATCCCAAATGAATTTCTCCATCACACCTTACCTTAGGAAGAATATAGCACCGTCCAAAACAGTCTCCTTTGCGGATGACCAAAAACGAGCAGACCTCTCCTCAACACCCCTCAATTGAGATTTCTCAACAACAATCCCTACAACTACTCTTGGCCAATAATCTCTCTAGAAGGTGGAGAGGGAAGTGTGAGGTTGTGCAAAAAAAAAAATAAATTCCTCACAATCCTCACTTGTAGAAGATCTAAACTTATTTGGTGTGGTTGTGCGTTTTACTGTTATAAAAAAGACAACTTAATCCACTTTGTTAAGTTCGAGGATCACCAACCGAACATATGGGCTGCAAAATGAATAATGCGTTCAGAACCAAAAAAAAACAATTAGACATTCAAGATGGGAGGATTCGCAAGCCAAATGATGAAGAGTATTGAGGAAGAGTATTGCTTTGATGAAAAGTATAAAAACAGAACGGCCATTAAGCCACTGAGCGAGTATTCAACTTGTCAAAGAATTCTTCCTCGAGTCGTATACGATGATGACTCCATGCTGAGAAGAAGAATGATGGTGAAGGAATTTAGATCACAGAGATCAGCTGTTGTTAAATTACCTCCAATTAACTCATCTCAAAAACATCACAAAGTTAAAACCACTAAATCTGAGGGCTCTATTAATGAGAACGATCTTGATGAGACAATACTTGAAAACCTGCAACACCCTAATTGTTTTGGACCTGTTAACCAACTTCATAATACTAATAGAAATACCTCAAGCACTGACAATACAGTCTATTACTTTGGTTAAAAAACCAGTACAAAGAACTAATGACGACAAAATAATATGTGAAATAGTGCCAAGGATCGAGAGGAAAAATTCTTACTGAAAATTGCTGCTTAATTCAAATCCTTTGAAAATTGCTCAAAACGTTTATTGTGACAATAAAAATTTACAAGAAAAATCAATTATTATCTTCTCTTTGGAATTGTGAAATTGAGCTCAGAAGATCTGGCAGAAGGTGGTGTGGATCTTGAAGGAGGGGGTGTATAAGAGTTGTTTGGTTTGGCTTTCTTTTGGGGAGGAGCAAGAGAGGAAGAGCTATGAGATGATGGAGGAGGATGTGATGGTTTAGGTTGATTTGATACACGATGATTAAAACTACTGCTAGAGGTTGGAGGTTGCATGCTTTGAGGTACACCTCGACGAGCAGAATCTCTGAGTTTGGTTGAGTCATTGGTTGCTTGGCGTTTTACCTTTTCAAATCTCTTCGATGTCTCTTTGCCAAAAACATTTTCCACATAGCTATGGCTTACAACAGGTGATCCAGCAATTGTATCTGATTGAGGAGGTGAAGATGGTCGTTTCTTTGTGTAGTCAATAGTATTGGCTTTGGAAACAACAACAGGCTGTCTATATACAAGAGGTGCACTAGTAGAGAGTGGTGGTGGAGTGTATCGATTCATGTTCATTGGTGGATTTCTGGTAGCAGCTGTTACATTTCCTGGAATAAATACAGAGCTTTTTGTTTGTTCTGGTTTTTTTCTCACGACTGCAGAGTCACCACCAAGTGAACTTGTCCACAATTTGCTCTTTTTAGAACCGCTAGGAGCAGAGGAAGTAGTTCTTGGTCTATCATTTGAAGATGATGAACTGGATATTCTACTTCTTGTTGAGGAGTTTCTAATTCTTGATGGTTGTCTAATTGGATCTATAGTTTTGGCAATATGTTTGGTTTGAGTAACAGGATTTGAACTGGTAGAATTGATTGTTTGAGAGGAACCTACTGTCTTGGCTCCAATCATTCGTGTTGATGACTGTTTCATACGTTTTGAATCTTCCTTGATCTTTTGAATTTTGTACTCTCTTTCCATTCTTTCTCTATTCAATTCATTATAAAGTTCCTTATGTGGTCTGGTTTCTTGTATGTATTCGGAACTTTTAGAAAGAAGCCCAGCTAAACAATTTGATTGTTGAAATGTTTCAATTTCCAAAATCCTTACCTCCAAAATCTTTAGTTACTAATCTTTTCCATAATACATCAGTTTGTAAAATTACATTTTCCTCCTCATTCTTTCTCTCAATTTCTTCCAATTTGTGTGGTTCACAATTACTTAAAATACGAATGACAATTTCATCTTCAATATTTTCCAAAGTTGGTAGATCATCAATATTATTCTGTAATAATTTAATACACATATCAAATAATGATGGAATTGAAGTACTCAACACTTTAAATAATATATAAATTTTTATAAGTATGGAAACCTACTTGCTTCAAATTGTAAATTTGATCCTTGTCTTCTCTTTGCTGTCATGTTCTGTTCTGCTCCCAATCCATTGGATTTAGCAAAGAGTTTCTCGCGAGGTGGAGCTTGTCCTTGAGTAAGAAGTGAATTCGGAAGCATGCTCATCTTGTATTTTTAAAATTTAAAAATTCTAATTTTATCATCCATTTTGTGTTATCAGAGATTATCAAAAAATTGAATATATATTCTATCATTTGATGATTCTCTTTTAACAATGCGGTTTGTTGTTGAGGATAATTTTTGACACCAATTAAATCTAATTTATTTACTTATTTTTATAATAATATAAATTAATATTCTCACCAACATGTTTAGTAATTACAAAAATATTGTCATTCTCATTCAAATCTTGCCTATAATTATTGAAATCAATAGAGTACTTGATGTCGTGAAGATTGAGCATTTCATCCTTCCAATAATGTTTCAAATTTGTCACTAGTTCACTCAGTAAAAAAGTACAACTATTGACATTGTGTGTGATATCTTGTAACTGAATACCAAGAATGTGCATTTCTCGATTATGATGAGTTTTTGGTTTTATAAAATACCAATCAAATGGTTTGACAAATAACTCTTCGTCAACCTGTTCCTCATAATCTTGTCCCTCTATGTCCTTGTAGAATGTACTTATTTGGAACACAGTATTTGAATAATTATACAAGTATAGACTTTTTACTTGTTGGTTGCCAATAGTTTGAACTAAACTTTTTGAGGTTGGTATAATTGTTTGTTGGTGTGTGGCATTCATGTTGTGTAGTAGTTGTTTTTTTTGAAGTTTAGTTTTGTTTGAATTACAAGTTTAGTAGTTTACTACAATTGTAAACAGTACTTTAAAGGCAAACTGTAAAGGTTAGAAAAAAAGTTTATTCTTTAAAGTTTATTTAGAAAGAAAAATTGTCACCCACTGGGTGAATGAGGTTAAGATTCAATGGATACTTGGCCTTGTGATTATTTCTCTTATGTACAAGTTTGGCTTCAGCAGATAATTCTTCGAATTGATTGAGTGCTTCTGGACTCCATGATTGTTTGATAGCTTTTTGTTCTTCTTCAGTCTTTACCATTAATTCAGTCATGAGTTCAACAAAGTCATATGGAAAACCCAATTCATTTTCATCAGTTTGACCAGACCATAAATCAGCACTTGGTGGAGCTTCAAGAATTGAAAGTGGAACTTTAAGAGCATGACCAACTTGGAAAACTTCAGATTTGTGCAAATCAGCAATTAATTGAACATCAGCAACACCATCACCAGCCTTACAGAAATAGAACAAGTAACCATCTTCATCGAAATTACCAGTTCCTAAAACTACACATGGAAAACCAGCTTGACTCAATAATTGAGCAGCAAAGAAACCAACAGGTGTTCTCATATATGATTTGAGTTGTCCACTTGCAAAATCTCCACTCTTAATACCGAGAGCTTCTTCTGTTCTTTCTTGAATTTGTGTGTGAATTTCACTTTGATCAACTGAGACAACTCTAACACCTTCTGTTGATCCGTATGCTTGTTCAAGCTCAAGAGCTCTCTTCCAAATCTTTTCTGTTGATTTGATAGGTTGAGCAACACCAAGTAGTTGTTTAATTGGTGAATTTGGTTTTCTCATTGCTCTTTCTGCCAAAGCAAATGTAACAGCACTGTCTACGCCACCAGAAACAGATACGAGACAAGCTATTTATCAATCCGATCATGTGTAGTACAATTTATCAAATACAAAGTCAGCCATGATTACCGACAATAAACTTACCCTTCAAACCACATCTCTTCATATAATCATTAAATAAATCTGTCTTTTTATCGATCCATTCTTCTACATTGAAGGCTCTTTGTTCTCTAACCTTTTTCAAGGAATCAACTAATTCCGGATGTAAAACAGCAACAGTCTTGATCATTTTAAAAAAGTATTTAAAGTAATGTACAATGTAAAAGTAATATTGTGTATTTTTTTAAAGTGAAAAAAAGATGAACTAGGATTTAAAAATAGTTTTTAGATAACGAACTCTGTGTTCCTGCTTTTGCTGGAGAATAAACTTTAGTGAGAATTCTCAAAGTGTTAGAGAGTTCATAACTGTCAATGCGAGATGAGAATGTTGAGTCTAAGCATTTGGTGAGAACATCTTTCAAATCAGAATCCTTTGAAGAATAAATTATTTGATTCAAAATTACAAAACTTACAGATATTGATTGGAAAAGTTTTTGCTTATCCTCTTGGTTAAAGAGAATTTCACTGGTGAGATTTAGGGAGCTCTTTTGTTGAATTAACACTAGTTGAAGAATACAAACACCAAGACTCCAAACATCGGCCTTAGTTGTCTGCTCTTTTTCAGGAGGTCTATAACTCTCAGACCCTAACAAGTGTTGATTATCATTCTGGCTTTCCAAATCAAGAAAACATCCAAAATCTCCCAAAACAACATGAATATCACCACTAATCTTTTCATAGTTCGAAACAAAAATATTCTTCAATTTGATATCTCTGTGGATAATTTTGAGTTTGTGCAAGTGGGCCAATGATTCTGCTATTTGGTGGAATATTTGAATAATGTTCTTATCAGACAGGGAGTGGCCCTTTTCATTAATAAATGTGGTCAAATCACCATCTTCATAGAAAGGCATAAGGATGAAAAGCTCATTTTCCAACATTCCATAATCTTCAACGGGTGCCAAATTCTCATGTCTAATATTAATGAATTTTTTACACTTTCCTATTTTGAAACAAGTCAATTTCTAAACACTTACAGCACTTAATTCGTATTCAATATCATTTTCAACTATTTTTAAAGCCTTCCACTCTTTTCTTTTTTTTTCTTGACATTTAAACACCTTACCAAAACCTCCTTCACCAATCAAAAACATGTCATCCCTAATGAAATCCAATTCTGAAAGAAATTCACACTCATCACACTCAATTAATTGCGATTCTTGTACGTTTTCTATAATATCCTTCAATCTTTCCGAATCTATGTATTGACAATCGCTTCTTGAGAAAAGGTTAGACCTTCCTATTGAGAATTGGCCTATTTGTGGGATGGGTCTATTTTCATACTCCTTCAATGTATCGGTTTTGTTGTTTGTAAATGAAATGATATATCTCTTTGGTAAAAGCGAAATGGTGTCCCAGAGTAGAGACTTTTTCAGAAATGAGAGAATGAAATGACCACTATTACAACTTTTCAAATCGTACACCTTTCTTCCATTCCAACTACAGATAGTTTCACAAAGAGCTCGTGTGATTTTCTCTAATCTCTTCTCAGAAACTATCTCTTCAATTGTGTAGAGCAGTTTTTCATTTCCTTGTTGAGGTAAAGTTAGAACCAATGAGTTATCACTCCAAATAATAGTCCACTTTCCAAATAATAGTCCCAGTTTAAAATAGCCACTATGATCCTTAACTACTATAATTAATAAAAGGCATTTTGCATTAGAGTTAAAAGATAACATTTCTTCCTTACTAATGTAAAAGTGATGAGAAAGGTAACAGTGAGGGATTACATAATTCTGAATATTAATTGCTGCCTCCTCATTTAATGTTGATATTGCCAGTTTAGACATGATGGATTTAACTCGTAATGAAAGAGAGATTTCATCCCCATTGTCTTTTGAATAAATGTAATTGGAAAAACATTTAAGGAGGAAATCTTCTGAAATACCATTTGGATTTTTGAAATACTCTACCCATTTAATTGTGTCCATATCTATTGGATCAAATCCCATTTTTTCAATTAGTGTTTTTACATGTTCTCTTCTTCCCAATGAAATGAGAATTTGCAATATATTGAACCCTAAACTGTCTACATTGTACTTGTATTGTTTAGCAATTTCTATGAATTTATGCTCAACTCTTTCCGATAGATCAGTGAAGAGATGTTTAAAACTCATACCATCTATTAAATGTGCACATTCCTCATTGTGAGGTTCTTCAATTGACAAATTTGAAACTGTATCTATTTCAAAACTTTTCAACAGCCTTGAATCGTTGAATTGTACTAGCAACTTTTCATTTTCTAATACAAGCTCTTCAGAACGGAAATATAATACCAGTTTCCTTCCTATATCGATTGCTCTTGAAAGAGGGATTTTGTGAGTATTGTTATCATAGAGAATCACAAGAGAAGGCGTATCCGATCTGGGTGTAAACAACGTAAAATCATCCTTCTCTATCACAATCTCAAAAAGTGAAATATCCTTGTCAAATTTGCAATATGATAATTTCATATTGCTTGGATCTATACAATCATCTGAATTGGTAAATATAAAAGATTGGACATCTTCCTGTGTTGTTGGACAAGCCTTTGATAACTGTACATCGTAAAGAGTTTCATTCATTACAAAGCCAATGTAAATTTCAAATTTACCCACTTGAATGGTTACAATTCCAATTGAACCTATTTCCATACTATTCAAACAATTTCTATCAATTTCAAATGAATTGTGATTAATATTCAATTCCAATGGTTCCACCAACAGTATGTCCTCTCCATCCAAAACTAATCTAAACGATTTGTCTAATTTCCATTCAAAAGATATAGCATTGCTCATTGATCCACATAATTGTTCCACTACCAAACTCATTCCATACATTGTAGGTGATATTGAAATATGAAATGTCACACATTTATCATCACTCTCAACTACCACAACTTGTGTTGAATCCTCACCATATCCAAAATCATCCTTACTCTCCCTACTAAAATATGAAGATGATGATAGTTGATCATCTTCATTTGAATCATGATTTGTAAAATACTCCCTCACCAATGCTAACATATTTTCATTAATTTTAATCCTATTATCCAGTTCGGAATGAAGGCTGTTTTCACTACCACATAATTCATCAGAAAATGGGGCATCATTATGAATTGGAGAATAACAAGAAGAGGAACTGTTATTGTAGTCATTCATTTTTTTTAATATTCGTTAACCACACAACATTGCATGAGAAATGGGTTTATTTTGTGGTTGTATGCCTAAAACAAGGACAAACTCTAATACCTGCTGTAGTCTGACTTTCACATTTAAATCTGGAAGGATTTGTACCTAGAACACAAAGTTCCTTACCTTCACTCTTTAAGAAGAATGGAGCGTTCATAGTTGAGAATTCTGTTGTGCATTTACAATCTGGGTAGAATTGTCTAATTTCTTCACACCTATTGATAAATGTAAAAAATCTGGCATCACAATCAGCTCCAATTTTCTTGCATGCTGATTGACAGCTTTCACTAGGTTCTGTTAGAGTGGATCTTACTCGTCTCAATTCTGAAAGAGAATAATCAGCAGAAGGTGGAATAGATGGCATTAAAAGAGTATCATGCTCAAATTCTTCCTTCATTCTCAAATTATTTAACTGATTGCTATTGATTCTATTTGTCTGACTAGTGGAAATGGTTGAATTACATGGGAAGAAGAGAGAATTGGAACATTTTTCATTTTGGAAAGCATGATAGGTATGAGTTAAACTTTCAAAACATTGAGGGTTTGCAGTATTCATAGATTCTGAAGACTTCAATAATTGATACCTATAGGTATAGAAAATTCTCTTGTGAAATTGTACTTTTCCAAATGGGTTAATCTTTTGAAAGAAACGATCCAAAAGGGCATCAATTGAACCAGTACCTTCAGCTTCTCTTTGCATATATTGAATGAGACCTGCAAGATCTCTCCTTTGAACCATTGTACCAACAATTCCATGTGAGAAACGAAACCCTGCCCAATCCAATCCATCACTCTCCAATGAGTTAATCCTATTAAAAATTGAGAGGAGATGAATGAATGCGTGTTCACAAAATACAAAATTATCATCCATTAAAATAATTGGAATATCATCGGTTATTTTAACACGGTCGTGAAAGGTTTTGATCATATCGAAAAATTCATTGGCAATGTGTTTCTCAGACTTTCCCATATCACTATTTTTAAAATTATGGTCTCCATGACCCTCTCTGTGAATAACGTTGATTCGAATAGAGGATGGAAACTTTTCCAATATTTCATCGATATCTTCATCATAGGCTGATCCTTTTGTACTGAATATCGAAATACAAGGATTAAATAAACGATGTTTCATATTAGCAATACTTGTCATGGTTTTTTCTAATAAAAAGAAACTATTCTTTTCCATATCAGCCCTTGGATTTGCTTGAATTAAAAAAGTTACATCACACTTGGATTCCGAAAAGTAATTTTTAAAAATAAAGACACCTGACAGTGTAGTAAATTGAACAAGCAATAAAATGATGAGCGCTTTGGGTAACATTTTTTTTTAAACTTGTTGACATGCTAAAATAAGGTTGTTCTCTCATTGTATTATTGTTGTTGAGTGTTTATTCAAAATACAAAAAACAGATTATCCTTAAAGAAAAAACCTTAAAAATGAATCATCGATACTTTTCACCACCTAATAATGCATCATCTTCATCATCAACAACGACAATAGGTGTTGCCGATAGTTTGGATAATACAGCAGGAGGTTTGTAAATATTTTTATTATTTAATAATTGTTTTGTGGTTTCAAGGAGGATCTTCATACACCGTTTCAAAGAATAAATTATTTACTGCTGATTCGGAAGTGTTTTGTATTAGATTTAGCTCTGATTCAAAGAGTTTGGCAGCAGGATGTAGTGATGGTATTGTTAGAGTGTTTAATGTAAATGATGGGAAATTACTTTACTCATTGAATACAGCCACTAAGCAACAATTACCTCTCCCAGTAACATCTTTAAAATTTAGACCATCCCTTAACCCAAATTCAGCTCAAAATGTATTACTTGTATCTGGATCAAAAGGTGTTGTTCAACATTGGCATGTGACATCAGGAAAGCTTTTAAATGAAATTCAAGAGGAGGAAAACCAAGCTTATGTAGTGGACTATAGAAAGGATGGAGCTTATTTTGCAACAGCAGGTAAAGATTCAACAGTTAGATTGTATGATGAAGAAACCAATGTTTGTGTAATGAAAATGAGAGGTGGAAATGGAGTAACAAGTGCTGGTCATACCAACAGAATATTTTCTCTTAAATTCCACCCAAATGATGACAATATAATTCTAACTGGAGGATGGGATAATACGTATGTATCTTATTTAATAAGTAACTTTATGTTGAGTATTTCAGAGTTCAAATTTGGGATAAGAGAATGGATTATGCTGCAAGAAGAATTTTTGGACCTCACATTTGTGGAGATGCCATTGATATTGATTCTAATAATTCCATATTGACGGGTTCTTGGAGACCTGATGACCAACTTCAGTTATGGGACTTTGGATCTGGAAATTTAATTGAGGTATGTAAAAGTGATGGAATTGTTTTTAGTAACAATTAAAAGAATATTCCAATACCTCATTCAGGAGGTCCATCAACACTTAACGCTTACTGTGCACAGTTTGGAGATAGCTCAGGATCCATTCTTGCTGTAGGAGGATCCGGAACAAATGAAGCATTAATAATGACTAGATCTTCTGGTAGAATTATTGGAGCAATAAGAGAATTAGAAAAAGCTGTTTACTGTATGGCTTTTTCTAAAAATCAACATCATATTGCTGTTGGTTGTGGAACAGGGTCTATTTACTTATTAAATCGTGCTTAATTTTCTTTTTTATTTCTTCAAACAAAAGCTTTCAAACAGAGCATCAGAATATTTTCTATCCACAAGGTTTATTCGGACTAGAAGTGTCAGAAATAATAAATAATTGGTTGATACATCATTACATAAGGAAAATTCAGTTTTTTCAAGGGCAAAACTAAAATATTTGGCAAAGCTTTTGAGTATTATTGTGGTTTTCATTTTTGTTACCCATTAAAAATATTTTGATATTCGTAATAGGAAAATGTACATAGTTTAACTTAATGATTTATTTAATATGTTCATCTAGATCTTCTGGTGGTACATCTTTGATTTCAGCTTGTAAATTCTTTCTGAAAGCTTCAATGATACGGTATTCTCTATCTCTACAAATATTAATGGCATAACCCTTCTTACCAAACCTAGCAGTTCTACCAACACGATGCAAATAAGTGGCATAATCTGGTTCACGGTCTGATCCAGGTGTTTTTTCATCATAGACAACTGGAAGATCAAAGTTAATTACGTGTGTAACTGTGGCAATATCTACACCACGAGCAAGAACGTTTGTTGTAATCAAAACCTTGGCTGTACCAGCAACAAATTCTGACATGACCTTCTTTCTGACTTCTGGATCTAAACCACCATGAGTGACACTGACAGTAAATTTGTTTTCTTGGAGAACATTGGCCAACTTTTCAGCATAATTCTTACTGTTGACAAAAATAATACTTTGTCCAACTTTGAGTGTTTCGTAGATATCCTTAATAACTTGAATCTTTTGAGTTTCATCTACACATTTAACAACAAATTGTTTCATGTGCTTCAATGTAAGCTTTTCCTTAGGTATCAAGATTGTCTTCAGAGGTTGTGGTACAACCTTTTCAGCAAAATCCAATACTTTCTTTTCTTTTTCAGCACCTTCCTTGTCATCATCTTCTTCCTTAAATGTAGCAGAGAAGAGTAATACTCTACATTTTTCAGGCAAACCCTTCTTGATTAAAATAGTTTGATCACGTAATTGACTATTTCCTTCTTCCAACATTTGGTCTGCTTCATCAACAGCCAAAATTTTGACAGTCTTGGTATTAATAGATCTACGTCTAATCATTTCATTAACTGTACCAGGTGTACCAATCACAATATGATCAGTCAAATTTCTTGGAATTTCTTGTCCTTTGAGAGCGGCATAGATTTTAATTCCTGTATGTTGACCCAATCCTTTGACAACAGAATAAATTTGGGTGGCCAATTCAAGAGCAGGACAAATACAAATTGCTTGGGTTGAGTTAACACTTTCGTCAACAGCCTGAAGCATGGCAAGACCAAAGCAAGCAGTCTTACCAGTACCACTTTGTGATTGGGCAATCAAGTTAACATCTTCTTCCAAAATAATAGGAAGTGATTTTGCTTGAATACTAGATGGTTCTTTAAAGTGCATAGAGTAAATTCCTTTCAAAAGTTCAGGCTTTAATTTCATATTCTCGAATTTAATTTGTTGACTGTAGAGAGGATTTGTTGGATCATGTTGTTGTTTATCCAATTCTTCATCCAAAAGTGAAGCTATTATTATTGTTCAATCACCATATCCGTTGTTGTTGATATTGTTTGTTTGTTTTAATAAAACCATCATCATCACAAAGAAGAATAAAACCATCATGGAACGAAATTACAATAAAATAATTTAGAAAATCTTGTTGATGACTTGATCACATACTTGTTGTTACAGGAGCTTCTACAGTATCAGCCCAGCTGTCGCCAGCGTTTAGGGTCATTTGTTTGATTTCTTTAGCAATTTCTTCTTCTGACATTTTTTCTAATTATTTTTAAAAACTACATACAACGAGGTTATTTTTAAATTATTGCATGAAGTTTTTAAAAATAATTTATTTGTTGATGAATTTCTACTTGTTCATTGAAAATTTTGACTATTCATCACTATCATCAAAATTAAGAGATTTGAGCTTTTCCAAATCACCTTCCATAAGAGCTTGAGGTCTTCTTGATCCACGTTGAATTGTTGCGTTTGTAGCATTTCCAGATTGGAAAATTTGTTCGTGGTGGCCAATCATTATTTCAGTTATATAAGTGAGTGGACCATTATCCTGTAATGCTAATAATGGATTTGGACTATTTGATCTAATGATATTTGGACCCAAAACAATTGCCAAATTATGAGCATTCATCATATTTTCTTCACTAAGTGATTGTACGTAGTTGAGCAATGCAAAAAGCTCTTTAGCAAGCTCAAAATGGCATTGTGGCATTTTAGGAACAATTTTTTTGACCGTCTCAATTACATCTGGAACAGAGTTTCCATTTTCTTAGATAATTCGTAAATAAAATAATTCTTGAAACATACCTTTAACTGCTGAAATTAATTCATCATAAATAGAGAACATAAAAAGTGGATCAGGAAGTTCACGGAAGAAAAGTTTGATAAGACTGGCCAAAACATGGCAATCAACATGGTGCAAATCAACATTAGAGCCATGGTTAATCAAAATCTTGAGCTGGTTGACAGTGGCTTGATTACCACTAATTCTGAAAATTCCTTTAGTGTTGGCATGATGCTCTTTCAAGAAGTCCATACATTTCTTAATTGGTGATGGTACCAAGGAGTTTGCACAATCCTTTCTTGATTTAATTAACTCTTCCAAAGATGTAGAGAAAAGGGAAGGTTGATTGCTTTTGATATTATTTTGCATCAAATCATAAGCAATGACTGTTGGAGGAAGTGGTAGTATATGTTCTGGGATATCTTTGAATATATCTTGTACAGTATCAGCAAGATGAAGTTTCTTCCAAAACTTTTCACTAACAAATGGTGAAAAGCATTTCATGATAACCTTGATCATCATAGTTGGATGAACAATATAAAGCGACTTTAAATTCTTCTTATATTTTCTAGTAATGGTTTTGTAAACGTTTAACATCCATGAAAATCCAGGACGAGATTGAGAGGTAGAGTTACTGACACACCAAATCATTACATAATCTCTTTCCACAAACTTATCAAGTTTTAAAATCATATAGAGCAATGTTCTTTCCAAATCTTCCTTCTTGATTTTTTCTTCAGAAAAGATAATAACAGGTCTACCCTCAGTATCACATGTTCTGCATGAAATTACATTCATAGCCTCTAAATCTCTAACATCTTCTTGTTTAGCTTTTTCCAGCATTTCCAAATACTTTTCAGAATCTTGATATTTCTTCTCATTAGTTGTTGATGTAGTTGTGTTACTACTAATGGAATCATTTCTTGAGAGGATGGATGATTCAGATTTGATAGCTTCTTCAATTTTAGGAAGTCTATTTAATACTCCAATCAAATCTTTAGAAGTATTTGTTTTTTCTGTGAGAGACTTTTCATGAGTTTTAACTAACATTTGAATGTTCATAGCATGTTGAAGTAATTTTTCATCAGAAGAAATGATTTTGTTTTTAACTTTGTCTGGCACGCTCTTTTCCAATTCGTCCAATATCTTGTCACTATCCAAGTTTGAACATTCGATCAAGAATTTTTTAGCCTTTTGTATGTATTCATTAATAAGAGGATTGAGTGGAATCATAAATGATTCTTTGGCTCCAAATTCAAACCCATTGGCAATTTGTTGAATCACTTTAGAAATTAAAACCAAATTTCTTCTTTGTTTTGAATGAATCTTGACTTCAGGTGGGAAAATATCTCTCGATTCAGGATAGACAATAGTTGGATTGAATAATCTCAAGAAAACAAAACTTGCAATTATAGTTTCAGAATTTTCCATTCTGTACTTGTCGCGACACATTTCGTTAATAATTTTACAAATATATCTCATATTGAAAGGCATAGATTCAAGAGCCTCTTGTGATAACATTCTATCCAAAAAGTATCGGCAATAAGTCAATAAATTTTCTAAGTTTTGAATAACAGCTTTTTCTGCAACTTCAGGCTGTTGTTGATCAATATCTTTAGAAGAGAGATCAATTTCAGATTCAATTCTTGTAATTACTTTTGTTGGATCAATTTCCAAATCTAAAACTTCATCGAGAATGATCTTCTTCATTGGTTCAATAAGAATATTTTTCAAATAATCTACAGCTTCTGCTTTAACAACATTGTCCATTACTTTGGTTGCAACAGTATTTCCTCTCATTATTACCATTCCATTGCCGGTATCGGAAGAACTTCTTTCAAATTCAATTCCAATTAGAATCTTATTCATGAAGCAAGATGTTGATAAAGATGAAGATAATTGATAGAGTGCAAAGGCCATTTCGTCCAACTCTGAAGTTGAAAGCAATCTCTGAGTATAAAGAGCAGAGAGTAAACTGAACAAGTTAAATCACATTGTTAATAATAAAACAAACCTTGGGCTTGTGGTCATGACTTGGGAAAATTGATCATAATCGAGTGGTGTCTTGTTAACACTAACAAGATGATGAGTATTTGCTCCTAAATTATCTTGTGTTGGAAGAAGCGGCAAACTGCCTTTAGAACCTTTTGATCCCATTCCGCTGCTACTTGGTAAAGGTCTAATTGTTGTTCTTGATCTACTTCCAGCTGAGGAAGGAGAAGGTACAGTTGGAAGTACCTTCTGGGAGGTACTCTTGGAAGGAGTTTGGGAATTATTTGATGATGAATCAGTCCCGTTTGAACTCATTTTTTTATTATTATTTTGTTTGGTTGTGATGATTTGATTGGTAATTGGTTTTTATCGATCCAATACTTTTAAAATACGCTGGTGATGCATCTTTATTTGAACTGCTACAATCCTCATCATCATTACAAAAGTAAAAAGGATCAATAATTAATAGCAAAATTCCTTTAATCATTTAATTTAATAAAAAATAGATAAAAATCTTGAAAGAATGGGAAACAATAATACGACCAGTTCGCTGCCACAAAGAGAACAAAACAAACACTCCCCAGTCACAACGAAACAAGATCAGTCACTTACCCCTTCTGAAAATCAACAAGTAAATACCAATTTTAACAGCAGTTGTACAACTTCCGATGCGACAACATTGAATATCCCATCAAATGATCAGAATAATTTTCAAATAACATCATCTTCTTCAACTTCAAGTCTCTCCTCCAATACAACAACTTCCTATAATGCTCCCAATCTCGTTGGAGAATCAAAAATACTAATCGGAGAGAAGGGAAAATCAATTATTCAACAATTAAGACTTGCACTTCCTCAAGAACAAAAGCAACATAATGAATGGACATTACTCTATGCAAATTGGAGAAATGGAGCTTCGATAGCAACTTTTGGTGAAATAGTAATGCATCACGGACCAATGATAATCATAATTGAAGATATTGAAGGAAATATATTTGGAGCTTTTACAAGTGTTTCTCTGGATAGGAAACCTAATTTTTATGGAAATAACAACTGTTTATTGTTCAAAATTGAAACAAATGAAAATCAGGAAACGAATGTGCAAATTTACAGGTCCAGTAATAGAAATGAAAATTATGTATACTTTAATTATGGAAATAAGTATAATCCATACAATGGCCTTGCATTTGGAGGAAAAATGGGATGCTTTTCTCTTTGTATTGAAGAGGACTGGAGGTTTGGGAGGACTGTTGGAGATTTACTTACTTATTCATACAGTCCCCAATTGTCGAGTGACTCTGATTTTGAAATTAATCATATAGAAGCATGGATATTCCCTCTTAGTGAATCAATTCAAATCGATTTGAGATATAGAGCTAAAGCAAAACAATCCAAACAGGCATTGGGGGAGGATAATGCTGCAGAAATTTTCATAATGAAGCAAGCCGGAGTAATGTCAAGTGATAACGACCACATCAGAGAAACTGCCTATCAAAAGGATTCAGATTTAAAGAAGGAACCTGGTACTTAAAGATAAAGGATTTTCACCCAATAGTGTTATTTAATCTCAACAATTTAATTTCAAATATTAAATAATAAATATAAAAAATATTCATAAACTAGGTGCGTTTTTCCCTCATTTTTTGTGTTATTCATGCCGGTTCGGATTTGTTGCACTAAATTATTTATGTATTGGATGATAACATTAATGATGGAATTATAATAATATAAACAACAGATGTGGAACAGACCAAGAGAAACTGGAGTTAAATTGGATCCAAAGATTGAAGCCTTCGCCAATTATCGTGATCACATTCATAGAAATTTCAAGTTTACACCAAAGAATACATTATACGCTTTCGTTTTTGTTGGTGTTCTTCCATACTTTTTCTACACTAAATTCAAGCAAGATCAGGTAAGTTATTTAATAGGTTCTTGCTAATAATCGTGTCAAGATGAGGAGACAAATTGCCAACGGAACAAACTATCCTGTTGTTAATACCACTTTCAATGGTGAATCCGATGAAAGCAAGATGACCATGCCACAAAAACATTTTTAAATAGTAAAAACTCAAACTTATTGGGAATTTTATCTGTGGAATCGTTTTTTCTTTGTTTCTGATTCGTGTTCTGATTGTCTATTGTTGCTGGAGCTACTTGAGGATGATTCATTACTGTATTGTCTTTTCAATTCGCCAGAAGAGGATCCTCTTCTGTTATTATCAGAGGATGTACTATTTCCACCCAAACTATTTCTCTTATCAGATTGGTACGAGTCACCAGCTCCTCTTGTATCTCGTCTATCATTGCCGGATGTTCCCTTATCAGATCTGTTTGAAGAAGAATCATTTCTTCTAAAATCATTATTTCGATTATCCCTATTGGAACTGCTTTGTGAAGAACTTCTTCTATCGTTATATCTGTCGCTGTATCTGGAAGCATCACGGTTGTCAAAGTTTCTATTATCACTTCTATCGTTTCTACTATTATCACTTCTGTCGTTTCTATTGTCAAGGTTTCTGCCTTCACTTCTATTCAAACGAGAATTGTCATTCTTTTGTGAGCTATTTTCATTTTTTTGAGTCTCTCTTGAATCGTTCCTACTTCTTGAACTTTCATATCTAATGTCTGACTTATCTTCATTAGATTTGTTTGTCTTGGTTTCTGATTCTTTTTTTTGGGATGATTCCTTACTACTAGTTGAAGAAGCATTTGATGATAGTCTTCTTTCTTGTGAAGAGGGGTGTGTGTCACGTTTTAGATTATCATCAATTCTTCTGGATGATTGTAGAGAACGAATCTCCTTCGAGTCATTGCCTTGTTTTCTTTCAGAGGATGGAGCTGTGTTTTCAGTTGTTCTTTGTGATTGCTTGATTACTTGGAGTGGATTGTTAATTGGAAGAATGAGTAATTGTTGAATGTCTTTAACATAGTCCTTAACTTCCTCAGATTTATCCTCTGATTTTGTTTGTTGTTTCTGTTTGAGGAGCTGTACCAATTTGGAGTTCATCATATTTTGATCAGATTGGGTATTTTCAGAATTGGAACTATCTAAAATGTTATCAGATTCTTGTACTTGAGATTTGTACTCATTTTCTAATTGTTGTTCAATTGGGACGTATTCTGGAGATTTTGGTTCTTCTGTTAGAGATTTCTCAATATCAACAGCTTCCTCTTGGGGTTTTTCCTCTGTAATGGTTGGTGTGGTATTCTTTGTTTCTTCCACAGAAATTGTAACCACAGTTTCTGCTTTAGGAACATCCTCCACAGGAGCATCTTGTGAAGCAGCCTCTACATTAGATTCAGGTAAACTTGTATCATAAGGTTGAATTGCTTCATTTGAGGCCTCCGACATTTTAACATCTTCCACTGTAGGTGTTTCAAGAGGAGTATTCTCAATAGGAGGGATAGTCGAATCTTCTCCTCGAACAACAATTGTTGCTTCAATATTTGTGGAAAGGGTTGTTGGTGGAGAAAGTGAGGTACTACCAGAATCAGAAAAGTCACCGAGAGTGTCTTCTTGTTTTTGGGGAGTGAGAGAGGTAAGTTCACTTTCTGAAATAGCAGTATTTGGAGTTATTGAGTTTGCTGGAATTTCATTATCTCTGGAGGGAATATTGATATTAGTTGGCTTAACAGAGAATTTCAATAGGGGTTTGATAAAGCTTGGATTTTCACTCTTCTTTCTGATGGAGGTTATCAATGGGAAATATGTGTTAGATAAAACCTTGATATTTTCAACGTGGTGCTCTTTCAATGAATCTGATATCTCTAAAAGAGCATCACAGTGACGGGAATAGAACGGGAAAGTGTTTGTCTTGACAAGAGGAGATAGAAATAACATGGCAATTCGAATTTTGATATGATCATTACTCTTGAGTAGCAAAATGCAATTGTTGAGCATATTTTCCATTATTAAAAAGTGGAATTTTTGATAATTTTCAAAATCTAGTTTGGTGTATATATCGTCTGTTGAGCTAGATAGTTGAGGATATTTCTTTACAGATACAAACGAACCAGGCTTGTTTTTACATTCCCGATTGAATTCATTTTGGCTTTCATACCATCTATTTGCTGTTGGGAGTAAAAATTGAACAAGTCTACTCAATCTTTTAGCTTCATTTTCTGTACAGGTCAACAGTAAGCCAGGCACATATTCCAATAAATATTGTAAAAAGAGATTGAACGAAAACTTTGGAGTTTCACTAGTATGTAATAGATGGACAAGTTTTGCACAGTATAAAGAGTCAGCTGCAGAAAACAAAGCTCTAGGAAGAAAGCAATGTTGGAGAATAGTAGTCATGTCCACAAATTCAGATTCAGCCATAAAGAATTTGTGACAAATTTCCTTGAATTCTTTCATAGATGCTTCATATTTTTGATTTTGCTCGTCCTTTTCTCTTACTAAGGAGGATCTATGATTGCCATATTCATTCATGGTACTGTTGTAAAGGGAAGTTGGTACATAAATATCTGAAAGGTCTTTCATCCAGAAAAAGTTATAAAATTGAGAAGTGACATTATTGCTTATGTCTAATGGTAATAGGCTTTGTAATATATTTGGTGGGATGGAAGAGCGTGTAAGTCTTACAATTGAAAAAATAAATGGTGTTGACAAATCATATGCTTTCAAGGTATCCACACTTGGAATAAGTAGGGAAGAGTTAAGTTCATTACCCAAAGCCTCTTCTTCAAAGACAAACTTGATTTCTGAAATGAGGAATTTCAATAATAAAAGGTAGGCTACATGGCACATATCCTTTGAATCTGCAACATGCTTCCATTCTTGATAATCTTCATGGATATGAATTCCATAATTACTGAGCTTTGCAAGCAACAAAACCAGTGATACACCACTTCCACTTGACAGTATTGTATCTTTAAGTTTTTTCATTGATTCTACGCCTGTATTTTTAGAGTTTGGAGAAAAAGTTCCTGCTAGACTGTGTAAAACTTTTCCTCCTGCTTGTGCCTCTAGTTGATGTTGATTAATCTCTTCAGAATATTCCAAGGTTGAGGTATTTTTGATAATTTCAGTCAAAATTACCAAATGTTCCCAAAGTCCCTCCTTCAATCTTTGGGTTAAATAGTTAAGAACAGGTTTCATATCCACAAATGGGTATGTTTTGAAAAACAGCCCATATAAACTAGCTAAATTAGAGAGCCAAGTTGCTATAGAAATACCATCTTCCTTAATGTTACTGCTTTGATTGGAAAGTAATCTATTAAGTAAACAGTATTGCATAATGTCATGGGAAATTTCTGGAGAGAATTGAGATACATCTACACAAAGGGGTATTTGATTATCGTAGGTTTCACATTTTCTAATATACTCTTCACATACGATAATTGGATTTGATACAGTATATGGAAGTATCTCTCTTGCTTTTGTTCTCACATTTGCAAAGGAAATTCTATTAAATATATGTCTAATACCTCTCGACACCCAATTTTGTTGAGCGAGCATTTTGGGTTGTTTCTCATAACCGTGTTGCCTTGTAAAGCCATAAATTTCATATCTGGTTTGATAGGGTAATAGAGCCAAAATACTCCAAAATTCTGAAACTATAGAAGTGTTCATTCCTACAAAGCATAGTGATGAGAGAATTGATGCTAAAACTTGCACTAGTTTTTGATGATGGTCGTTTGGTTGTTTCATATATAATTTAAGTAGACGTATGAGCTTTGTAAGGGATTTGATTTCTCTATACAGTTCATATTTGGTATGGCAAATAAGAGGAAAGAGGTAATTTTCAATAGTTGATTTGTCATCATTGGTTATTGAAATATAGTTGTTCAATACAGTATATTTTTCATATAGAGGAGTAGAAATTTTTTCAATAGATTTACAGCAAGCAATGGAAATATCATAATTCCAATGAGGGTCATATTTTGATAGGATGTCTAACATGCTGATAGCTTCAGCTATCATATCAAAGTTCAAAAGTTGGATTAATAATCCAAATTTTTGATCCTTTTGAAACTCTGGATACGATTTTTCAAATCTGGGTTCGATTTTTTCAACTGCTCCATCAACTGTAATTGTGTATTCTCTACTTCTTTTCAATTCTGTTTCGTATTCATGATGAAAATGCTCCAAATCATCAACAGAATGTGGACCTAAATAATACATAATATCTTGAAAAATAAAAAGTTCTTTTTGCATCAATTTAACAATCATTACAATCAAACTTGTTGGAGTAACCTTGTTATGATAGCTTGAAAGTTTAAATCCAATAACATGCTTCAAATGTTGATTATTAAAAAGGGACCTAACAAGATTCAGTAAAACATCACTGTCTAAATTATTTTCGTAAGCATCCAATAGAATATCAAGTACCCTATTTGGTTCAAGGTTGAAAAATCCTATGATTTGAATAATTTCATTGGTTATTTGTTCCAACTTTTGAATTGACAAATTATTTGGATCTATGATGATTGAAATTAGTTTTGAGAATCCTTCATTTTCTTCGTGTAAAAGATTAAAACGGTCCTGCGTATATAATTCTCGAGTTTTGCTTTTTAAAAACATATTCCTAGTCGAGATTCCACAAGCTCCTAAAAAATCAAAATTCATCAATTGTTTAAGTAAACCAATTTGAAAAACAGAGTTTTCTAAAAGAGACTTTGTGATATTTACCAGATATACGTAATCATTGTGTTCTTCTGGCAATCTATTTGATTGTAACTCTATGGAAAGTGCAAGAGATATTAATAAAGTATTCTTTTGATCGGGATGTTGTGAAGATATGGATTGGATTAATTCTAAGAACTTTTGTGTTGATATCTTGTTTTGTTGGTTAAGCAAATTAAAAAAGAAATGAGAAAGAATGTTATGTTTGATTGTAATTTCTAATTGCTTTGAAAGGACAGATAATAAATATGTTTGTCTGGAATAATTGTGATGACTATTGAATATTTTGTTAACAACATACATTGGTGATATTTCGGAATCCCATTTTGAAAAGTCAAACAAATCAGCTTGATCAGTGGTAACATGCTTCATTCTGATTGGCGTTTTGGCTTCTGTTGTTGTTAATTCTGGTTGCTGAAGTGTTGGATTCGTTTCCGCGCCTGATGAAGTTGTGGAAGGAGAAGCAGACCTATCTTTTCGAAATATTCTTCTTTTTGTTTGGGTCATTTTTAATTTTTTTTTAATTAAGAAAACTTTCAGTACACTTTATCAGTGCCGCCAATGCGTTCTCGTTATTCAATTTAAATAAAAATGATTCCAACTAGCTCGGCAATAGGGCCAACGGCAAATGAGGGAGACATCCTAAAAACAAGAGAGGAGAATACATTAAACAATACAACCACGAGACATTATCAAGAATCGGGATCGTCATCATCCTTCTATAACACACTTCTCAGCCAATACACCAATGTTTTGAATAGAACAATAACAACTATGGAGGATACAATGATAATTAAGAAAGATAAAACAAACGGTGCTAATAATCAAACAAACAACTATTTCGATAGTATAATCGATGATTGGAACAGGATTGTACAGTCTCGAGGTATTGAGAGAACACAAAAGTCAAATGATCCCGAAACAACCCCCAATAATCCAACTACTGAAGAGCTTGCTACAGAATCTCCATCACAAAATTTTCAAAATCCATTTTCCACTAATTCTTCTGAAATAGGGTCACCCTCAACAAGTTATACTAATATGACAACACCAAACAGCTCTGTTAAGAATAATGATTCACCATATATCGGCAGTTCAGTAAGCGAGAGAAGTAATACTTTCAGGGTTTTGGATTTCGACAATACAACACCAATCAAAGCCCATCTCTCAGGTCAAGATTTGGAGCCTCAAAAATCTGACTTAGGAAACACGGCTCTTATTTCACCTCTTTCACTACCTTTAAAAACACTGGCAATTTCAAATCAAACAAGGCAAACAAAGAAGGAAAATCGAAATGAAGAGGAAAACAATTCATTTGAAAGCCCATCCCTACTCTCCTTCTCTGAAGGATCACCCTCCAGGCTGATTTCAAACTCGCCAACCTATTTAACTGCATTTTGTCAAACTGATTTTGATGACAGCTCATCAAATGCCTCTGAACATATTCAGTATGGTGAGGATTTGTCTGAAAAGGATTTAGCACAAAAAAGAATGAAAAGTTTAGTTATGCAGAATGAAGACCTCCTTCACCAGCTATCGGTAGTGCTAAGTAGAAATGAAGAACTCCGCAAGGCTCTTCTTTTTTCTGAAAGTAAAAGCTCAAGTGACGAAAAGGAGGACCAAACTGGGAAAGAGGAAAAAGACAAATACGAGTCCACAATTAACAAGTTAAAAGAAGATCTAGAAAAAGAAAAATCAGAAAACATAAGAATCCAACAATTACTTGTTCCTGCTTTACAGGATGAGTCTAAAAATCAGATCCAAGTTGAAAGAATGAAGACAGAGATTAAATCTCTTCAAGAAACAATTGAAAAAATGAATATGGTCGTTATGGAATCTAACAAAAAAACAGAGGATAACTTTAGAAAAAACGAGGCCAATCTACTTTTACAACACCACAACAAGCAGTCAGAGTTAGAGAAAGATAAAAAAAAATTAGAACAAGAAAATGCAATACTTTTAATGAGAGTTAGAGAGTATGAAGAAATATTGAAATCTCAAAAATATTCGTCTGAAACTCAAAATATTGATTTTGGCAGGATGTGGAAAGAAAAAATGGATAAGAGTAAGTTTAATAGTTGTTTGAGCCCTTGCCTAACATTGAAAAGCAAATGAGGAACATTTGAACTACATTCAAAAGATGAGTAAAGAATCAAGAGAAAATGAATATACTCTTAAGAAATTGTTGGAAGATCAAACTATTGAAAATGAAGCCTTGAAGAAACAATTAGAAAATGATTCTAAAGATATTAAAATAGAAGAAACCAGTTTCATAAAAGAAAGAATGGAAAAAATGTCCAGAGCCTATCAAATTCAACTTGAAACCTTGTACAAAACAATAGAAGATTTGAAATTGAAAAATCTCCAACTCAATCAAGAATTTGAATTTGAAAAATTAGAGCTACAATCTCTTCAGGAACAATTAAAAGAATCAACGAAAATAATTAGTGAATTAGAGGGGAAGATAATTCGAAATGAAATGGTGAATATTGCTTTGGAAAGTGATATAAAGAAGGAACAATTAACAAGCACCCACCTTAAAGAAGATATTATTAATCTTACTTCTCAAAAAGAGTCTCTCCAGACAGTTTATGAGGAACTTTTTAAAAATTTACAACATACCATTCGCGAACATGAAAAGAGCTTAACAGATCTTGAAGAGGGAAAAGAAAATATTTCAAAAAAACATTCAATTCTGGAGGAGGAATATAAAATTGTAAAGGTAGCTAATGAAAACTTGCAGAGTTTACTTGATACTCGGGAGAAGACTAATTCTTTGGAGAAGAGCAACTACGAATCTGACATTACCTCCTTGAAACAAAGATATGAGAACGAAATATTGGAATTGAAATCCAAATATGATGATAGATACCAATCGTATACCAAGAAAATATCCAATCTTAAAAACTCAAATGAAAAATTTGAGAAACAAGAAAAACTTGTAAAACAAGTTCTAAAAGAAAAGATTGTTTCTTCCCTTAAAATTAACGATGATTTCAAGTCCATAAGTTCAAACTTTGAAGAAATTCAAAAGTATTTTAATGAAATTTGTAGTGAAATGGAGTTGATTTCAGTAGACTCTGAATCATTGAAGCAAGTAATGCAAAAAGAGATTGAGCAACTGAACGAAAAAAATTTATTGTTTATGCAGAAGATAGAGTCATTGAAAGAAATTGTTAGAAAAAAGGATATTGAAATAGAAGAAAGGCAGCAAGCAGAAAAACAATTAAGAGAGGATCTACACAGGGTGAAAATTACAAGTGAAAAACAATTAATTCACCTCGGCGAAGAATCAGAAAGTGCCAAAACAGAATTATTGAGGGCCTCAAGAGAACTTAGCAAAGAGAAATCCCATCTAGCTTACATGGAAAAAATCGAGTCTTCCTTAAGAGCAGAAATGAGAGATCTTGCAGAGAGAAACCATAACATACTCTCTCAACTTGAAGATCAAAAATGTTCGAATGCAAAACTTGTCGAAGAAAAGAACAGAGAACGACAAAAATTCGAGGATGATATTAAAAACTACACAAAGGTAGTTCAGCACCTGAACAAAGATTTAGAAGACACCAAAAAAAGAATAGGTTCTTCGTCTAATTCACACGAATCCCTGTCTCAACAATTAAAAAAACAAACAGAAGAAAACATATCTCTAAATAATCAACTCTTAATACTGCAAAAGGAAAGAGATTATTTGAAATCAGAAGCTAAAAGAGTTGAAGAAATGTGGACCAACAAATTGCAAGACATCAAATCTCATATTGTTTTAATAGAATCAATCACTCAAAAGCAGGAAGAGAAAATAGAAAATGACAAACGAGTATATCAAATCAAACTACAAGAAAAAGACTCAATCATTTCAACTTTGGAAACTGAGTTGGAATTAAGAAGAAAAGGCACAAAATTACCAGTGATTGACTCCTCGTTTAAAGAAGAGCTGAGACTTCACAACGAGAGACTTGAATCAAAGATTACTGATATGGAAAAAGAAATAGAAGGTCTAGTTTGTGAATTGACTGGTTGTGCAAATCAAATACAAAAGATAAGGGAGGAAAAGATCTCTCTAGAAAGTAATTTAGCACAAGCCAGATATCAACTTGTTTCAGTTCAAAACGACAAGGAATCAATGAAACTATCCTTGCTCCAGAGAATAGAGTCCAATGAAGAAACCATAAAGGCGTTGCATGACCAACTCCAATCCAACTTACAATACGTGCACTCAAGTAATGAATCAGTCAAAAAGACCCAGGATGAGCAAAACGAACAAAACAAAAAGTACAATGATTTAATAGTAGATTTGACCAGACAAGTAGAAGAAAAAAGTCTGGACGTTCTCCAATTAGAAAAACAAAACACCTTCCTAGTTTCAAAATATGAATCAGAGATGAAGAGATTTGAATCTGAATTCGTTAAATTTTCAAATGAACTTATCAAATTGAAGACACATAACGACCTCCTAATATCTCAAAACAAATTGACAAAGCAAAATGACAATTCAAATTATGAGGAACAAATTAAATCTCTGCAAAATTCCCTCCACATTGCACAACTAAAGATTAAATCATATGAGGATTTGGGAAATGATTTGGAGAAGAGTCAAGCAGAAAGTCAAAATCTTCGTATAACATTGAACAAAGAGAAGCAAAAAGTAATTCAACTTGAAAAAGAAAAGGAAAAGATGAAAATCAGAGAGAAGGAAATTCAAGATGAATGTAATGCTAAAGTTAAGAGTTTGGAGGAAAATATTGCGGGAGTTAAGTCTTTCTTTGAACAAGTTGTCCTTTCACACTCCAATCAATAATAAATTTAAAAATATTTTAATTTTGAATCAAAAGAAAAAATGAGTCATCTGCTCAAAAACATCACCACATCACCACTCTTGCGCAGAACCTTGGTACAACAAACCAAGTCTTCCGTAAAGTTTAATCTTGCTTCTATCTATCAATTCTCGCTCAAAAGTAATAGTAATAATAATTGCAAATTTTTTTCCACAAAATTGTCAAAATTAAATATCGATCCTATCACAGCAATTGTTTTAGAAGCAGAAAAGTATGCTCCAAAAAATGTTAAACAAATTGAAGAACGTATTTATGAAATCGAAGAGTTATTACAATATAACGAAAGTAATATGGAAGAAAAGAAACTTTGCGAAATTTATGAAGAAGTTAGCGATCTATATTGCAAAATTTATAGATATGAAAAAGCAGAAAATATGACACTTAAATATATTGAATTAAGTAGTAAATTATATGGTAAATCTACTCTTGCACTTGGTAATGCATACCATAAATTGAGTGTCATAAATGTAGCTGTTGACAAGTTAAAACCAGCTTATCAATATCAATCTGAATGTATCAGAATCAAGACTACATCATTTTTGGAAAAAAAATCAAAAGAGTTAACATTTGACCTGTCATCAGAATGGAATTATTTGGGGGAGATTGCAATGAAACAAGGTAATTTAACAGATGCCAAAAAAACATTCCAAAAGTCTGTCAAGTTATTCGAACAAACATTAAATCCAATCTACCAAAAAGAAGAACGAGAAATAAGAAATGATTATGAAAAAGCAAAAAATATTTCAAAGCCATTTATGGAAATCAAAGATGCTCCAATCAAAGAGTCTGCTGAATATCTCAAATACAAATCAACTATGCCAAAATCAAATATTAGAGAATTAGAATTTGTGCCAATTGATTTGTTAAAATCATTAGATAATTTGGGAACTGTTCAATATCGTTTGAAAGAATATGAAGATGCCTACGTTACTTTCAGTAGAGCTGTCCAATATCAACACCATTTTGACAAGGTATCAGACAATGTCATTTCTCAAGAAGCATTTGAAATTATTGGAAATGTTTATTTGAATATGGCAAATTGTGCGCTATATCTGGAAATGTCTGAAAAAGCTGAAGTGTTATATCAAAATGCCATCACTTTTATTGAAAAAGTTTTGGGCAGCAAACATCCAAAGATTGGTAGCTTGTTATACTCTTTGGGGGTCTTGTATGCATCAAAGGGGGACTTTGACCACTCTGAAGAATTTACAAAGAGGGCACTCGAAGTCTTTTCCATGACCGACTCTGAAATGGATCTACCTCATGGTGAACAAATTCGTAAACTGTTGGAAACTGGTAAATGTTATCTCACACTAGGAACACTATATTTGAATAAGAAGGATTTCTCCAATGCGGAGGATATGCTTAAACGTTCATTAGATATCCACAATAAGATGAAATCTGCTGGATCTCAAGATTCAAATACTACATTCGATATTGCCTTCATTTTGAATAGTTTGGGTAAAATCTCAGAACAAAAGAACTTACCAGAAGAAGCCCTTGCTTATTACCAAAAGGCTTACATTATTGCCAAGTCAATTAAGGAAGGAAATAATCACGTTGTTGCAACTGCATTGATGAATATTGTAAGTAATGTTACTAATTGTGATTATTGAATCTTTAAAGGGTAAATTCTTTTTCAATCAAGAAAATTATGAAGAAGCTGAAAAACACTATGTCGCTTCTTATAAAGCCTATGATGCATCTTTTCCAACTCAATACCATCCAGATGTTGGTGATTTATGCTTGGAATTGGGTAAAACCTACTTGAAAATGAATATGAATGAAAAAGCCAAGAGAAAATTTGAAGAATCACGTGATGTGTATTTAGGTTATGAGCTTCCAACCAGTTCCAAATTGGATCTTATTTTTGGTTATATTGAATCAACCTCTCAACTTGTAAATCAAGATTTACAATCCAGACTCGACAATACCAATCTGTCACCAAAAGAAAAGGAGAAACTTAATCAAGATATCGAATTTGAAAAGCACCGAGATAAAGATAATAATGTAAGGGAACAAATTGTCACTCTCAAACGTAAACAAATCAGTAATCAATAAACCAACCTTGCAGAAAGGAAATGAGGAAATTCACAAAATATTTAATCAAATTGATTGAAGTAGTCCGATAAATAACAATAGCGGAGCTTTCACAACCCAACTTTTTGAAAAAAATGTCCACACTTGCTAGAATTGCCTCACGTTGCTCTGCTCGTGGTATTGTATCATTCAACACCAAGACAACATCTTTCACTACCAAATATAATGTTAATTCTATCGTGATTAATCAACAACGAAATTTCAATTTGAGTAGAGGATTTTTCCAACAACATCAAAGCAATAATAATAATAATACTAGTGGATCTCAAAAAATCGATAAAAAGATGATGGCTCTTGTTTTGGCTTTGGTTGGATTGGGTACAGGTGTTTCTATGGTAATGTCTGATTCCGAAGTTAAAGCAGAAGAGGTCAAACAACCAGTCACCCCACAAAGCACTGTTCGTGAGGAGGAATCTATCAATAGATATGAAATTGAAGATAACATGAATATTTTGAGAGAGGTTCTCAAAGGAAAGAACAAGAATGAATATAACATTACTCTCTATCAATATCAAGTATGCCCTTTCTGTTGTAAGGTTAGAGCATATTTGGATTTTAATCAAATCCCATACAAAATTATTGAAGTCAATCCATTATTCAAATCAGAAATTAAATTTTCCAAAGATTACAGAAAAGTACCAATAGTTGTCATTGATGGACTTATTAATAATCAATTGAACGATTCTTCCAGAATTATTACTCACTTGAATGATGTTCTCGATGAAACTAAAACAATGAACACTAAGGATACTGTCAAGTGGAGAAAATGGGTTGATGATACTTTCGTACATACTCTTGCTCCAAACATTTATAGAACTAATGAAGAAGCCGTAGAGGCATTTGAATACATTTCTGAACAAAATGGTTTCAGTTGGTTCCAAAAGCAAGCAGTTTTATATGGAGGTTCATTTACCATGTATGCAGTAGCCAAGAGACTGAAGAAAAAGTATGGTATTGAAGATGAAAGAGAAGCCATTTTTTCTTGTGGTAAAAAGTGGATTAATGAAGCTGTTTTACCAAATGGACGTTTCCATGGTGGTGATAAACCAGATCTTGCAGATCTTGCTGCCTATGGTATTTTGACATCTATTGAAGGTTTGAGAACCTTTAATGAATTGACCAAGGAAGTACCTCAACTTGGTGCATGGTATGATATGATGAAGAGAACTGTTCCAAAATGTTCTGGTATAAAAATTAACAAGTAAAACTATTAATTGTAAACCATTTACAATGTTATTTTTTTATTGGAAGATTGTTGTATACATTGAATGTTCATGGCCTATTGTAGTGAGTTATGCAACGAAAAACCTTAGAAATTCCACTATTTGATGTCGCTGTTTAGGATCATAACATGATGTTAGTTGTTCGGTTAGACAGCCAAGGTTGGTACTGATCTGTACTGAATAGGAAGCTTGTGTACGATGGTCTATTAAGGTGCATCATCCAACACTCGTAGGTTCTCTGGTAACGGACAATCCAGATTGCATAAAAAAGAATGAGTGCAAACTTTGTGAGTTGTGGATGTTATGAGTGCAAACTCATTGCCGATTACTTGCACTCAATACCCAACATAAATGAAAAATTACTGTTATCACGATTAAATACTAACAATAGTGGAGTAATATCACCTCCAACTTGTGAGGAAGATGTAAAATCTGACTTGACAACAACCACATCCCAAAGTGTTGCCTCTCTAGACCTCATAAGTTACTTTAAAGTAAATGAAGATGAGGATTTAACTTTTCTAAAGTTGGATGTGGATGATTTTTTAACATCTCTTGACAGTCCATCCAGCATTGCTCAGATAACGACAAGTAATGATAAAGGACAAATAACAAAACTTCAAGATGAGTTCAGTTTTTTATCTGAGATTGGTAGTACTGAAGAATCAAATTTAAACGAATTTGAAAACAATAATGCAAGCAATTCAGAAAAAGAAGTTAAATCCTTGAAAGACAAATCTCCAAAACGTAGAAGGAGAGGAAGCAATAATAGTTCAACAACAACAGCTAAAAAGAGAACTAAAAGGAGCTCATTCCCAGGAGAAAGCAAAGTAATTGTATGGAAATGGAATAAGTCGACTGATGATAAAACCAATCAAAGATTACAACTAATTTAATGACGCCAAATGTCCAATACAATTGAACACTTCAAAATAATGTAAATAATAACCAAACAGAATTGAAATATTAACAAGAGAACTAATGTACATAAAAATTAAACAATAAACTTGTCATAGGTTCAATTTAATCATACATCACTTCTTCTCCTTTGACAAAGCAAGGCTTACTTTGGTTTTCATGGTGGGATTCATTTTCAAATTGATGTACAATTATTTATTGCAAGAGTCAAAAACCTAAAAATACCTCTCGTAACTCATATGGTGAATACCAATATTTAAACAATATGACATAATGTCGTTGACTAGAGTCATTGCTAACTTAATACCAATTAAAATAAATTGATTTCTTGACAATGTTGGAGAGCACAAGTTTAGCACTAGACAATGCAGGGCAAGAGTTTTCATTGTAAATTTATGGTCAACGCTCCACCCAACCAATTACAAGCTTTTCTACATTCAAGTAGCGCAGCATTGCGGCACGAATTGTAATTTTCGCAAAAAAAAAACCTCACAATGCGTGAAAAGTGGAAGAAGAAGCGTATGCGTAGACTTAAGAAAAAGAGAAGGAAGGTAAGTGATAATTAAATTTATCGAGTTTGTTTCTTACATATTTTACAGATGAAGCAAAGAGCTAAATAAATTGTTTGCTTGCAGGAATTTCCTGCTCATTCCTCCTGAATGAAGCTAAATAAAAGACATTTTGTCCCAAACACTATCTTTCCTGTTTTATTCAAAATTCATTTTAATATTTTTCTAACTTTCTGCAAAATCGAACTAACCTTTATTGCTACATTTCTCCAGCAGATATTACTCTCTTCAGATGTGAGTACAAGTTCTGACGTTCTTCTCCAATAATTTCTCGCAGATTAACTAGGGTTGTGGTGATGGATTGTTCACCCATGTTCAATTTTCTGATATTTGTGCTAAAGTTCTTAAACTCATCTGGTGAGAGAGCCTTCTTCACTCTCAGATACAACTCTTGAGCTGTTACATCAGCACTAATCTCTTCCAAGTCGCTACTTGCAATACTACTTGCTAATCGATTAGAATTCTTTGTGTAGTTATTTGCCGATTCTTGACTTGAATAGGTTCGCCTTGATGGTGTGGATACAAATCTATCAGCTACTACCTTGTCATGGGATTCCTCTTTCAAATCTGGCTTCTTAGTGTATTGAACTCCAAACGATGAATGTGGTGTAGGAGGAGCAGAAAATGGTGTATCCACTGGCACTTCTTTTTCTCCTAGCTCAGCAGTTTTTGTACTTGGTGAAAACTTTACATTCTTTTCTCTGGAAGTAAATGATGATGGATCTTTTAGAATTGAGGTTCTCTTTCTATTTGAGAGTGTTGCACTTCTACTTCTTACTGTTTGATCCCTAGACTTTTGAGGTGTTCTGTTAAATATTATTGGAGAATCAGATCCATACTTATTTCTTTGGTGCACACTTGTCAGGATAGGGTCATATGAGTCATGTCTTACAGAAATATTACTTATATTGGAGTGATTACTTGGGGTGCAAAGGTCATCTTCTGAGTTGAACACAAATGAACTTGTTTTTCTCACTTCTGGAGAAGAAAATTTAGAAGTTAAATTTGTAGCTGGATTGATAGATTGCTTTGTCTTGTCTTTTGTTGGGCTAACCATGTGTGTTATTGATGTTTTGAATTGGTTCAAGTCATCATAGTCTCTTTTCAAATCATAATATTTTCTCATTGTAGAATTTTTCAATTCTTCTGTTTCCTCTAGCTTTTTTTCCAATTCAGATATTCTATTGCTTGATCCTTTGATCCTATAATCAAGAATATTGTTTTGCTTTTCCAATTCTTTGCATTTTACTTTCCAATCCATTAATTCCTCTCTAAGCTCTTTTGTTTCCTCTATGAAGGATTTTTTGAGCATTTGCAAAATATCATCAAAGGTTGGTCCTTTTTGCATTGTTGGTGATTGTTCCTTACTCATGATGATGGAAACAACAACACAATTTTCTATTTTTTTTAAAATTGCAAAACAGTCTGTTTAAATGGAGGGAAATTTTGTAGTTGAAAATGTGGTTTAGGCGGGAAGAAGTTTCTACTTTTTATTCGTGTGGTTTGATGATTAGAGTTTACTTTCTGTGCTTGAGGTTGGGTGTGGAACAACACTAGAGTTGGCAACCTTCTTTTCAAAAACACAATAAAACTTCTTTACATCCTCAACTGTTTCCCAAGTACCTCTGAATCCAACTGGAATGATGAAAGCATCACCAGCACTAAATTCTTGAACACCTTCCGAGATTTCTCCATCAGCAACAAGTCTTACTTTACCAGAAATTAAACAACAGAATTCCTCTGCATTATCTCCTTGGTCAAACCACCACTTTCCTTTGGTTGATGACCAAACTCCGCAACTCATGTGACCCGATCTATCAGTATAAATATTATTAACCATAGCTTGTGGAATTAATTGTGAAACAATATTTTCTGGCTTGTATTCTCCCTTTGAATCGTGAGAGAATGGGAGACGAACTACATTATTAACAGGAGTAGTGTTTGGTGATGACATTTTTTGAGTGTTCAATTTTTTATTTAAAAGCAATTTTGCATGATTGTTTTATGGAATTCACAAGTTTTCTACTTTATGTCTGGTAAAAACATCAGTGGCAACTTCTAATAAAGAATAAAAATCCACATTTCTATATCTACCCCACATTCCACAACTCTTCCAAAATTCAACATTAAAATTTGGAGTTGAAAGACCAGTAAGTATTTTTGCTAGTACCTTTGCATTAGGAATTGATTCATACTTTCTCAATAATACAAAACAATCAGCTTGAATTGTAATCCTGTCATTTCCTTTCAATTCTGTTTTTGCAATATCATTTTCACTTGATAGAAAATCCTCTTCCTTTTCGCTTGTGAAATAACTATCTATTAGTTCGTCCATCCCTGTTTTTCTTTTTGGTTGAGATTTTTGAGATTCTTCATCTGAAATAATGAATTCTCTGGCAAGTTTATACATTGCTTTGGATTTGTGTACATTGATTTTTTCTAATGATTTCATTTCCTCTGTTATTATTGTAGACACTTGAATAATATCATCGACATCTTTTACAACTTCTAAACAAAAGGCTTCAGATTTTGATTCATATTTGATTTCTCCAATTTCCTTCAATCCTATAATTTCCATCTCTAATTGTGAGAGAGTTATGGAGGCTTCTTTTGAGAGTTTGGAGATGTCAATTTCAAACTTTGTAGATTTGGAATTTTGGAGAGCAATCTTAATCCATGCATGCTTTTTAGAAAGTTCTACTGGTGTACTTTTCATAAAATAAATGGTGAATATGTGGTTCATTTGAGGCAAGACTTTTACATAGCCTTTGCTTTGTAAAAGGGTTAATATTGTTGAGATGACTTCCTCTTTCAAATCTAAATGTTTTTCCAACTGCTTAATTCCCATTGCAATAACAGTTCCAATTTCATTGTCTTTAAATACCTTTTGAATTAGTTTTTTCACAGTAAAGACATCTACATAGTTACTGTAACACAATGATCTTATCAACAGGTAGTCATCATCATCCAACAGCATGTGACATTGGGCTTGAGACCCGTCTCTACCAGCTCTACCAATCTCTTGAATATAACTTTCTATAGATTTTGGTAAATTGAAATGAATGACAGCCTGAACGTTTGAAATATTGATTCCCATTCCAAAGGCTACTGTAGCAACAATAATGTTAATTTCCTTTTTTACAAATTTGTTTTGGATTTCTTTTCTTTTGGAAGTGTCGAGACCTGCATGGTATGGAATTGCATGAATACCATTCATAATTAAGTGGCTACATAACTGCTCTGCATCTCGTCTTTGCATTGCATAAATAATTATGGACTCTTTGCAATTCCTCATTCTTTCACTATTTAGAAGGTTTAGTACGGCTGTAAACTTGCTTGGAATTCCCAAAGAAATGGTCTTTATCAGGTTGTGTCTCGCTAAAGTCTGTCTATAAATACCATCCTTTTCAATATGAAGATATTCACAAATAGATTCTTCTGTGTGTCTTGTAGCAGTACCTGTCATTGCTAATATAGTGGTCACTCCCAAATCCTTCCCCAATACATTTTTAATGCTTAAATATGAAGGTCTAAAGTTGTGAGACCATTCAGACATACAGTGAGCCTCTTTTTAGACGCCTTATTAAACATGCTATTATTAATATAATACTTACCATCGATGCATGCAAATGAAATTTTAGGAAGTTGCCTTAATTGTTCAATAAATTTTGGGTCGCATAATCTTTCAGGTGATATAAATAATATCTTGGTGATCCCCTTTCTAATATCATTAATAATTTTAGATTTTTGTTGACTGGACTGATTATTGGTAAGTATAGAACCTGGTAGGGTCGGAATAAGATTTTTCAGCTGATCTTCCATTAAGGATATGAGAGGAGAAACAACAATAGCAAATTCTAATTTACCTAATGTCATGCAGAGCGCAGGAAATTGATAACAAGTAGATTTTCCACTTCCAGTTCCTGAAATAAGCAATGATGATTGGTTGTTCATAATTCTTGAAATTGTTTCGAATTGACCTGGTCTAAATGATTCATGAGAGAAGAACTCTTGTAGAATTTCTTCAGCTTTTTCCTTGGATCGAATAATTTCGTCCATTGAATACTTAAGTGAAATGGTGTCATCGAAGTTTGTAGATTCCTTCTCTTCAATATCAGAATAAGTATCATTTGTAATTTCTTGATCTAATGATTGGTCTTCTTCAGTATTGTTCAGTTTGTTAAAATTCTTTTTTGATAAATTGTTAGAAAATCTTGCTCCAGAGGGTTTAAATCGTTTTTTTGATTTGAAACCCTTCCTCTTCATGTTTAGTTTTACAAAATTTGGCTCTGATTTGAATGCTGGCTTGTGAGCCTCCTTCTTTTCTAATTTTTCACACCATGTTTTGTTTTCCTTTTCTAATTCTTCCCTCTCTTGGATTTCTTTTTGGTGTTCCTTTTCCATTTCCTCTTGTACCTGATAAAAAGATTTACCTGCCAATCTATTTTGTGTACTATTTGTTTTTAATCGCTTGTTATTCTGTATCATTGGAATAACGAAATTATTACGAGATGAAGAATCTTCATTGTGTGTTGTGGATGATTGCACATTTCCGATGGGTGTAACTGGTCCTAAAAAACTTGTATTCATTCCATTAATTGAAAATGGCATTGATCCAAAAGGATTGTTTGCTTTAGTATTATTTTGGTTGAGTGCTTCCAAGAGGTGTGCCTTTCGTTTTGACATTTTTTTTGAATTTGATATCCACAAAAACAAAAAGAGCGGCAAAAACCGTTACACAAACCTGCAGAAGTAAAAACGTACAACAGCAGAGATGTTTAACGACAAGAACTTAAAAAAAAAAGATGGAAAAAAGGTTTGATGAAAAACTGTAAGTAAATCGTAGATACGTTTTTACGAAGAATACTTCTTCCGATGAAATGGAATTAATAGAGAACAAGCTGAAAAGCGGTTCATCACCACCTTTAAGGATCATCGCCAAGACTACAACAAGTTGGATATCAAGGTTTTTGTGGATAGTAATAATAGTAATGAAAAAAGCTTCTCACTAAATGCACTTATTGAAGTAGATAAATCCCTTATGAACGATACTCACTTTCTTGAGATGATTAAGGATGTAAATAAGTTTTGTTCGGAGGAGTATTGTAAGGCAAGTTTATAATGTCGTAAATTTTAACCTTCTTAAAGAGAGTGGCACCTATTGATAAGATCTATGTATTTGTAGCTGGACAATTGAAGAGCTTATTGAGAGATTGTATTTCCTTGTACAGTGATGTTTTTATCAGAAAGGAAATGATAGAAAAAGCCTACTCATGGTATAGAGACAAGAGGAGAAAATTGTTGGAATTCAGATTAGCCATCCAACAACAGGATATGAAACAAAGAAAAGTTGCCTCTAAACAATCAGCAAGAAATCAGAGTGCACTTCCTTCATCAATTCAATCTCAACTTCATTTAGATATTGGACAGACAACAACCTCCTCTAGACAACCATCAGCTCTTTCTACGCACAGCACTCAAGATACCTCATCTAGGAACACATCTTCCCAACCATTTATACCAAACTTTGACTATGAAGAAGATGACACATTTTCAACAATTCAATCAGAAAAACCAAAAAGGGATAAGAATAATGTTGGTCATTCTTTGGATCCTAGAGTTATCTCTTTCGATGTATTATCGAAACCTTCAAAAGATCCCAAAGTTCCTTTCTATGCCAGTGAGGAAAAGAAACGAAAGGCCAATATTAATCACAAGTTGAAACAATATTGCAGAAGAAATTTGGCAAAATCATACGATGAAAGAATGAATGGTACATATGATGATAAGGAAACAACAATATCTGAGGAGAAAACACCTTCAACAAGAGAAACTTCTCGTTTGGATACTCAAAGAAGCCATACTTCAGCTAAGGTGATAGCCCCTCCAATTCAAACGCAAAGAGATCTTTTTTCAATGTATTCTGAGGATGTTAGAGGAACTGGAAGTGTGGAAAATATAATGAAAAGTTGGACAATGTTCAGAGCAAGGGAAGCAGAGGAAAAGATTGAAGAGATGGAGTTTAGAGATGCTGTACATTCATGGAGAGTTAATAGAGGAAGAATAGAAGAAGAAATACAGAGAAGACTGGAAAGCCAAACCTTTTCTTCTCAAACAGGGACAGTAGTTCATAAAATTAAGAACTACAAACTGCCAACACTAATCAAGAGGGAAAATATTTTGGATGAGAGTAGTGATGAAGAAGATGAAAGGAGACCAAAAAGTGCTTCCAGTGATGCAAGCTCAAAGAAAGGAGCTCAACCTCCATCAAAAATTAGCAAAACAACTAGGATTGAAGAACTTGAAACAAGCTCAAGTCTTTCAGATGTAAATACAAGTTACCTTACTCCATATAGTGCTGAAGATGCATTCCATGCAAAACAGGCTGGGGATGAGTTAGCAACAACATCTAACAGTAATCAAGGGCCATCTGTACAAAATCCTAAGGGCTTTCAAACTCCAAAAATTGTGGACTTTGCTTCTCAGGCTCCCTTTAGTAACTTCTTTGTAAATGAGTTTGTGGAGGTGCCACATCCTAGACCTGCTACTTCAGGTCAACTTTATGGAAGAGGAAAGACTGTAAGGACATTAAGTGATAAAACTGTTACTAGAGAATCGACAGGTAATGTAAGGCCTCTCACAAGTTCTACGACAAGAGAAGCTGGAGAAACTTCCAAGTACAAGGTTATTTCTCACAATGTATTCGATTTGTTCACAAAACAACAGTCAGAAAAGAACAACCCTAAGAAGAAAAGAGCTCCTTCTTCACCTGGTAGGACTGGTAAAGCTGATCCTAAAAAGACATCAACCCCAAACAAGAAGGATGGTGCCGTGCCAAAAACAGAAGTCAAGCCAGCAGAGAAAGTTGAAGTCGAACCAATTGGTGGCCCACCAACACTACAGAAGAATATGGCCATGGATCAATGCGACAAGATTAAGATACTGCTTTCTAAGGAGGGTGTATTCATCCCTAGCTCCACCCTTAGAAGAGCAATCATAACGCCTGAGGATAGGCCTATTGAGGAATGTCTTAAATCTCTTCCAAAGTCTTCTTCCACTGTTGTTTATGTTGATGTAATTGAGCAACCCAAGAAGAAGAGAGAGAAAAAGAAGGGAAGGAAAACAGCTTCACGAGGCTCTAGTGGAAAGGGAACAAGAAAAACATAAATTTAAACCTTACTAATCCAAAGTACTTTCTTGCGTTGTAAAATCGAAAAAATCACCAGAATTAAAACAATTAACCGAACTACCTATAGAAAAAAAAACAGCACAATACCTACTACCTCTTCATCTATTTCTTAGATAGACTAACTTTTATCATGCTCACAAATACGTCCTAATTAAATTAGAACATGAAAAAGGCAATGGAAAGCAGAGGCTAAATATTGGTGATGGCCCTATTTTATATTCAATTGTCATCAGTTTACAACAAGTAATTCAATTCCAAATGGATAAATCGCGAATTTTTCAATTTTGGAAATCACCAGAGATTGGAAGATTAATTGATAATTAACATATTATTGAGCTTTTAACATACAAACACTTTTCATTGCAATTGTTTGCTAATAAAATAGCGCTTTTAATTGAAATCAAAAAGAGTTTTAATAGTGAGGAAAGATTTAAATCATCTCTAACTTTTGAAACGTATTTTACAAATAGAAAAAAATACTCGTATGCCTAAGAATCATCACAGGCCTCTTGAAAAAATATTTGAAAAATAGTCGTTAGAGTGAGGAAATAGTAACAACAATATTGGAAGAAAATATTGGACATTAACTTTGTATTAATAGTATTAATAGTCAATCATTGACGATCTAATTTTCAAAATCATTAAATCATGCCTAAAGAATCAAAAACAATTTCTCACCACAACAAACAACCCTATCCAGAAAGTTCTGCACCACAACAAACAAATGCGAAAAAGAACGTTGAATTCGTTTGGGAATCATATGAGCAACAATCTCCGTTAAAATCCAAACCAAACTTTCCATCTCCTTCAAACTCTTCGGGAGGGATGACCCAACTTTTAGGATTCCAAGACGATGATCCAATTAATGGTTTTTCATTTTCTACACCTTCAACATCAGGAGAGTTAATGAATCCTTTTCCAACATCAGACAATGATCTCAAACTATCTCCACCAAACACAACAACAGCCGAAGATCCTTTCAAAAAACATAATGATCTTTCCTCCCTAACATCAGCCTCCTTTCATATTGCTTGCACTGCTTGTAGAGAGAAACATATCAAGTGTGGTACGTTTTTTAATCTTTCCTATTTGAATCACAATTACTTTTTTAGACAAAAAACTTCCTCACTGTACATATTGCATAAAACATGGACTAACATGTCAGGTAAGTACAAATACTTATTCCTATCAATCTTTACTCTCACTAGTATCGCAAACCAAAAAAAAGAGGGAGGCCAAGCACTAAGAATAAGAATGGTCAATCTACTGAAGATGATGAGAGCGAAATGAATGGTAATAGAGTTCCTACATTTCCAGAGTCAACTTCAACTATGATCAGCACAGCCAACCAAAATTTCCAAATGGACGAATTCCCTCAAAATTCTGGTGACATGACTGGGTGGTTTTTCAATCAACAACAAAATTTAAAACAACAACAAACAGAAACTGTAAGTGATACCAATTTTACATTTTAATTGACCTAATTTCATACTAGCAATTGAGTCGGGTTGCCTCTAGCTCCACTACTAACCCAATCATGATGAATGAAACAGAAATTGATATGGCAGGCTTCTCACAAATGCCACACGTCGATTTTAATAATGAAAGTTTAATGGCATTAATAAGGATGAGCAGAGATTTAAACAAACAACTAATGAAAAGATTAACAGTTGATGACTATTACAGATCCACATCAATGCCACTCATTGATCAACGATCAGTTGAACAAATTTTCTTCTCTGAAAAACGTAGTGCGGAAGCAAATTGTTTTCTGTATAGTATCCACATGCTTATGTGTCAAAGAAGAGGATTCAAAGAAGAATCTGAAAGAGCATACGAAAAAACAAGAGCAATGCTTTCTAGTGTATTTGATCAATGGAGATCTTTCTTAACAGCATGTACATATTGCAATCTTTCAATTTATTGCTCAGGAGAGGGAAACGATGCAGACGCAGTATTTTATTTGAGCTTTGTGGACTATTATTTCTCTCAGTTGAAGGAAAAATTTTCACTAGGACAGCAAAATCTACGATATCTCAAGTCTATCGCCGAGATGGCAGCAGGTATTGGTGTATGCAGTGAGAAACCAATTTATGATGAGTTGGCAGAGGTGGATGCAGAATCCCTAAGCAAACAATGTCATCATGATGTTGCTAATCTTTTGGTTGGCTTTTACAAGTATACAACAGGAAAAAAGAAGGTTCCTCCAGAATTATTACAAATAACCTCACAAACAATCAATCAGGATACAATATTCCTATACTTGACATTATTTGATATGATTACCAAACTAGTAACACAACACGAAGCCAATAGACAAAAAAGTCTTACTCCTGAACAAGAAGAAATTTCAAAAGCAATTTGTGACGCTTTTATCAATGGTACTCGTGTTTTAATACTTCAACAATGCGGCTATAAGGGAAAGGTCTTGGAAGATGCAGCTAATAGAATTGCAGAAATTTTTTCTAATGAAATTTCTATTGGGTTTGCATCTCCACTGTATATGTCTTCTGTGATAGCTACTTGTCAGGTACATATTGCTATCATTGAAGAAATAGAGAGTGGAGCTAGAAGTAACTTTGAGTTTGGAGTTGATTATTATTCCATGATTGATAAGGATATCAAGGCTATGAATTATTTGGAAAAGCAATTTGGAAGAGTTCGTAAACGTTACTCTCAGATTATTTACCGTTTAGAATCCATTAAACGAAGAAGGGAGATGGAAGTATCAAAGCTTGTGGTAAACGAGATAGAACGACTCAAATCCATGCGAAATGGTGATGGAAAAATCAACTTTGACAAGAGTTTCCTATCCCAGGAACATTTGTCATCTATTTACAGCCTGTTCCACAACAACAATGGAGAAGCTGTAAACAGTAACCAACAACAACCAATATTTATTAACATACCTAATGAGAATATTCCACAATCATCTGCTACAACTGAAGTGCCCAACTTTGGAAGAAACTTGGAAGACAGCTTCGATGATATTTTAAACAATTTGTAAACAATAAATATTCTATAAAACCTAGGTATATAAATTCAAAAAATTAAATCACTCTCAAAATGTTTATTGTAATGTTAATTAAAGTAGTCATCTGCTGATGCAGATTTTTGTTGGGAATTTGGTTCTTCATCGTCCATTAGTGGTTTTACATCCTTACCTTGAAGTACCTTCTTATTCAGTCCCTTAAACAATGCATCTTTGAGGCCGTCTTTGATACCAGTAAATGAGCCAGGGCTCAAGCTAAATCTTGCCTTTCTCTTATCATCGGTAATGTCTTGCTCTGAAATTTGTGGTGTTGATGGGTTTGGAACTAAGGAAGGTGTACTATTATTGGTTGGTGTTGAACCTAATGATGTCCTAGATGGTGTAGTGTTTGGAGCTTGTTGGTTGTTGGAGAGGTTTTTCTTTAAAATTTCCATAAATTCAAACTTTCTCTTCTTGTTTTGTTGGCATACCATACTCAATTCAAAGAGCATGCAGAGGTTTTGCAGAATTATTTGTTTTTCAGGAGCACTTGTTGTTGTCTTACAAAGTTGGTCATAGGTAAATATTGGTTTCACATTCAAAATACCACAAAACTTGAGGTATTGATTAACGTTCTCTAATTCTACCGACTTGTTAATTGGAGTTTTAGAGTTACACACTTGTGAGCCACCAGCACCGGAGTAGAATTCAGGGAAAATATTACTATTTACAATTTTACACAATAAAATACCATCTCTCAAGTTATCATAAAAAGTCAAAGTAGAATTGTAATCCTCCTTGCAGATTGTACTTATCCATTTGGATACAGCCTTTTCAGTAAAGTAGTATAATTGTTTAGAGTCCAAATCACCAGGGATTGCTTGTTGGGCTCTTCTAAAGAGTGCCATAACTGATTTACCTTTCATTGACTCCATTAATTCAGCATAGTATGGTTGATCTTCAAGCTTAAATCCTTCTTGTTTCATTCGCAAAAGGAATTGAAGAGCTGGTGAGAGTGCAACTGGTGGTGTAGCAACAGATGTTGGCGTGGACACGTTTGTGTTGGTTTGAGGAGTAACAGGAGTGGATATTTGCTTGTTAGTTGGTGTTTCTGTGCTTGGAATCTCATTAATGGAATTTCTTGAAATAGGAGTACCAATAGGATTGTGAATATGCACAGAAGGAATTTCATGAGTTGGAATGGTATTTTGGGCTGTGGAGAGAGCCTTCTTCAAATCAGTTTCTAGTTTAATCTTATCTTGGGTCAACTTGTTAAGATTATTCTTGTAGTTATTTTGAAGAGAATAAATTGTTTTTGAGAGTTCTTGTAACTTTTCTTCGTAGGCTGTCATTTGCTGTGTAACCTTAAGGTTGAGACTTTGATTTTGGTTATTGTTGAGACTGTTCAATAACGAAATGGCCTTCTTGGCGTCGTTTTCAAGTTTGGTTTTTTCGTTATTAATTTTAACCTTATCTTCTCGCTCCTTTTCAAAAAGTGTTTGTATTCTAGATACATTTCTGTTGGCTTCGTCAAGCTTTTCTTTCAATGAGTTTTCCTCCTTCTTGGTTTTCAAGTCTTCCTTGTTTGCAAGATTTTCCTTCTCAGAGTATAGCTTGGAGATTTCTACTCTTAATTGATTAATTAATTCCTCCTTTTCAATATCTGTTTCCTTGGACAATTTGATTTGATTTTGAAATTGAGAAATGGTTTGCTTTAAAGAATCAATTTCATTTAAATGCTCAGACTCCAATCTCTTCAATTCTATATCCTTGTTGGAAATAGTATTTCTAAGATCATCTATAATCTTGTTAAGACCTTGGATATAGGATGAGTTTTCTTCTTCCTTCTCATGAAGACCTTCTTCTTTTTTGTTCAAAATATTTCTCATAAGATCTAGATTCTTGTTGAGCTCGCTAATTTGTTGGGCATTTTCTTGTTCTTTTCTTGAGAGCTCGCTCTCCTTCTTTGTTAATGCTAATTTGATATCCTCAAGCTCCTTTTCTAACTTACTAGTGGTGCTTTCATGCTCCACTTTTTGCTTTGAAAGATCCATCTCTTTTTGAGAAACAGTTTGGGTAAGGTTTTGGATTGAAGATTGTAATTGTTCAACAATTATTTGATTCAAATCATTACTTTTTCTAAGATCCTCTTCCCTTAGAAATATGGTATTTTTTAGCTCTGTGGTGGAATGCTCAAAATTATCCTTCATAGTTTCATACTCTTCTTTTTGGTGATGTATTTGCACAGCTTGATCGGAAATTTTAATGTTTAGGTCGTCAATTGCCTGCTTCATTTGAGATAATAATTGCTCTTTTTCTGTTTCTAATTTTGAAATGGCTTGTTCTTTTTCATTCAATTGTGACTTGATGGAAGAAATTTCACTTTCTAACTTTTCTTTCAAACTTGTTTTTTCAATTTCTTTTTGATCTATCTGGTTTTGGAGAGCATTGATTTTCTCATCCATTGAAGAAATTTCCTCTCTCAAGACCTTTTCCTTGTTTCTCAACTCGTTTTCTTCTTTCTGTATCTCGCTTTCTCTTCTTAAGAGTGTTTCTCTTACATCAGAAAGGGTATTTTCGGCCTTTTGTAATTCTGATTCTTTGGAAGCAATTTTCTTTTGGAGTTCTACATATTGATTCTTCAAATCATTCAACTGAGAGTTCAAGGTTGTTTGAACCTTCTCTGAATCCGAAAGTTTTTGAACTAATTCAAGCTTTTCTTGTGTAACAAGTTCAAGTTCGTTTCTAACACTTGAAATGTCAGAAGCCAACGTAGAATTTTGTGAGTTGGCTTCATCTAATAGGTGAGCAATTGTATGAGATTGGGAAATAAGTTGATTTCGCTCCTCACTTAGTACCATATATTCCTGTTGCGATTGGGAGAGTTGAAGCTCTGTCTGTGATAATTCCCTAAGTAGTTGTTGCCTTTCGTTATTGAAGGAAGTTTGCAACTCTTCAATATCAGCAATAATTCGACTCTTTTCCTGATCTAACAATTCGATTTGATTTTCGGAATATTTCTTTAAATCTTCATAATTGTGTTGAGAGGCAGAAAGACTACTATTCAAACTTTCAATAGTAGTTTCCAAATTGGATACATGATTTTCTAATTGTGATATTTCATTTTCGAGCTGTTGTTTCTTTTGGTTGTGCTGTTCTTCTTCTGTTTTGATCATTCTTTGTAAATTTTCAATATCTTGATGTTTTTGTTTAATGATTTGATTCATTTGCACTTCCTTGCCTTGAAATTCTTGGGTAAGGTTATTAATTTTGTTTTCCAAAGCTAATTGTAATTCTTTATGTTCCAGTTGTTGAGTTGCAATCTTTTCCTGCAATAATCGATATTTAGTTTGTAACTCTTCCATATAATTTTGAAGACCTTTCTTTTGTTTTACCAACTCCAAATGATCATTCCTAGCCTTTCTTTCTGTTCTTTCCAATTGTCTTTTGGTAAGAGCAGATTCTGTTTCCGCATTTTGTGTTTGGCCTTTCAGTGTATGATAGGCATTCAGGTGAAGTAAAAGATCCATTCTATAAGATAAATAGATTGTAATTCCGATTTTTAATCCTCTCAATAAGTTTATCCAAATGCCAAGAGGAAGACCTAAAAGTTGGTGTTGTTTGAAATAACGTCAAGCGTTGCTAGAGAATTTTTTTTGATTTTAAATTAAAAATAAAAAAATAATTGACGTGATCGTTACTTAGGTGATGAGGCCGTAATAGGAAAAATTGCCAGTGAATTTTTTTTGATACTTTGCAAATGTTGTGATTATTGAGTTTGCAAAATTGATTTTTTGAACTTATTACAAATAAGAGGAAAAAACAAATAAAGTAACATTCCAAACCACATTTGATTTCAACAGTGTGTAGAGTGGGAGATTCCAACAGTTTAGGTAGTCTTTGTCACGCCTACAAGTTACAATCCCAAAGTTTGGACAAAGTTAACCATAAGAAACGATCGACAAATACAAATTAAATTTTTGCCAAACTCAATATTCCACAGGTCTTGTAATTAATCATAATGCCTTTATTTAAATTGAGTTTAAAAATTATTTTTGTAAATTCTTAAATAAAAATTGGAGGTTGTCCAAAACATCGAACTTTCGCTCACTCTTCATCGCTCTCTTAAATCCTTTAACTTTCAATATCTTTTTAACTCAATCGTAAAATAATATTACATTTTTACTTACATGCTGTAAATTAAGGTTGAGTAAAATAATGGCCTTGTAGTATTTAGGTCTTTCACTTCCTCTTAACATGAAAAGAGGCAGACTGACGATAATAAATTATTCGCAAAAATTAGAGTAATTGTACTTACAGAACATTTTGATCATTTTGACCCTCCTCACTCACAAAACTTCTGGAAGATAGAGCGTAAATTTGATACTTGAGTGGTATTTGGAATAACTTGGATAAAATTCTAACACAATGAGCAACAAAACCAAGTGCACTAGCTGCTTCATCATCATTGTTTGGTTGCTCTCCTCTACAAATAGTTAATCCATTAATGTACAGATCATTAGTTTGTTTTTGAGGATGAGGTCCAATCATATAAATACTGCTCAATTGTTGTACTATCATTGCCTGTCTATGTTTGTATTTTTGTTCCAATATAGAAAGCTCCTCCTTTTGTGTTGACAAAGATCCAGTTTGCTCACGTGATAGAGATAATCTTTGATCTAATAAATCCTGTTGAGACTCTAATAAAATTTTGTGTTTTTCTTTTAACGAAACTCTCCTTTCTTCAAGTTCTTTCTTTCTTTCCTCTATTGATTTTTTTGTTTCCTCAATTACGCCTCTCAATCGTTTTATCCTACTTTTTCTGAGTTCAATATTTTGTTTATACTCTGTCAGAATTTTCCTTCTTTCCAATTCTTTCTTTACATCATCTTGAATAAATCTAGAGTTTCTTTGAGATTCTTCAATGGCAAACTGAATACCACAAAGTTTTTCAATTGAAAATTGTAAATCAAATAGTGATACATCTTGGGAAGTATGGTCAATTCTAAAGCTTTTTCTAGATACTTTTTCATTGGAAAGAGAGCCATGATTCCTCAATGCAAGGTCTGCATGTTCTGAAATAAATATACCATCAACAAATTCTAATAATATACAATTAATTGGGAGATCAGGTATATTCAAATCTCTCATTGATACACCTATGAATGTTAATGTGTTAAAATTAAACCTATCCTCACAAATTATTTGTTCTCTCAAATCTAGGTCAATATTTGGGTGAGGGATGTAAGATTCATGCTGTATATTGGATTGTACACTAAATATTTTTACAGCCAAGTTAGTAATTTCACTCTCGTGTTCTGTAATGAATTTTGTTTCGTTTTCATCTGTTAAGTTACTAATATTTAGTTCAAAACTCCAAGAAGGATTCTAATTTGTTTAACAATAAAATGTAAATCATCAGTAACATACAATTGACTGTTCAATAATTCCTGTTCTGAAAATTTGATTACTTGTATTTTCCTTTTCTAAATGTCCACTAGCAAAACTATTCAAAACTTCCGAGCTTTGAATATTTCTGACGTGTATTGCTCGTAAATGTCTTAAATTTCTTTGTTTTGGTTTTAAATAAAATTTAAATGATGTTTTTGATTTGTGTGATTGATCATGAAGGATAAGAGAAGAATTTAGAGCACTACTATTCTCCATACTATATTTTTTCACTAAAGATTGTTTAACAACACCTGTTGGAAGTGTAGTAATATTACCTGGTGACGTCTTTATGAAATAATTTTGCTGCTTCTCCGACAGGGCATTCTCTTGTCCTAGACTATTGGCGGGTGGTGATGCAGATTCAGAGGATGATGCATAAGTTTGAGTTTGATGATTATCATCAAAACTAGATGATTCTTGTTGATTGTAGGATGGATCCATATTACTAGCACCTGTCCAATAAATAAAAACACTAATAAATAATATGTAAATTGATAAGTGAAAATATTAATTGACAATTTTTTTATGAAATGGAAAGATGATCTGGAAACTCGTCACACAGCGAACTCTCACTATGTTGCAGGTATCGTAATGATAACAAATTTGGCTTGGGCAAAACCACATCTAAAAAAACTACAGCAATTTAAACCCTTAAATTTTTTATTAAACGTTTTGTTGGACCTCCAACTTGTAAATAGAGAAAATGAATACAGATGAAGCTCCTTTAAATTATTCTTCTCCTATGAAGTCGAACAGAGACTTGGTTGTTGCTGAGGGAAACAACCTTAGTTCCGTAAGGGGAAGAGAACAATCAGCAAATAAGGTGTATGGAGCCATTCAAAAAGATGTAATATATCAATCATATAAAGAGGAAATTGAAAATGAGAAGAAAGAAATTGCAAGAAAACTTGTACAGTTGGATATGGAAAAAACACCTAGTATTAAGGATTTATCAAAAAGTACTGATGATGTTTTTGGAGAGGTTGGATCGGGTGTTGTTGATACTGCAGACTTTGAAGATAAACCTAAAAAATCAGGAGCAGCCCTTGAACAGTTTAGAAACGCTGCCAAGAAAGTGACTGCTGCAAAAGCTGTTATAACAAGTTTAGAATTTGGATTAGTAAAAGCGGGGGTAGTCACACCCTCAAAAGGAGATGAAAATGTTAAAATAACAATCAAAAGAAGTAATTCAGATAAGAAAACAATAACACCACTACAAACCAAACAAAAATTCAGAATTGAGAATAATCAAAAGATGATAAAGAAGGCAGATGAATTAAGACGAACAACATATAGATCAATGGATTGCACAAGTATTCTAGGTGTGGAGAAGTACATGTTATTACATGAAAAGAGATTTTCTCCCAAATGCATGATAGATGCTATGGTAATATCAAAACAAATGCCTAGATATATTCACACAAGAGAGATTCTGTTCGAATCCAAACCAAAGATTAGAAAAGGTGATCCAGGTTATGAAGAATATGTGATGGAGAAGAAAAAGAGAAAGTACTTTAATGAGAAGAAAAAATCAGCCTCCAGTTATAATATTGTTTCGAAAAAAGTTAATGACCATGATGTATTGAGTGATGCCTCTTGTTACTAATAAACCTTAGAAATTACAATCCCGCCAAAATATAACTCAAAAAAATGTCACTGTTTTCCTTCTCCTCTAACCCACTACTGCCACAACAGGAGCCACAAAATAATCCCTCACTCCAACAAGCATCATCTTTAAAACAAAGACCTAAAAGTGCTGTCATACCTAAAAAACCTCAGCCAACATCAAATAACAATGATCTCATCCCGACTTCTTACACTTCATCCACCCAAACTCAAAATTACTATCAAAGAAAAGAGACTACAAAAGATACTTCCCACTCTTCCACAAACATGATTCCAGAGGATCAAAAAATTGGAAAGATTTTAAATGAATATGAGAGGGGTATGGTCCTATACGATAAGGGTAAATTTGAGGAGGCCCTAGATCGTTTCAATGACTGTCTAAATATTTTCATGAAATCAAAAATTGAAGATGCGGAAATGTGTGCTAACATTTTCCTTGCAATGGGAATTTCATATTATGGCAACGGAGATGATGAATCTGCATTGGAACTGTACAATAGATGTATCCAGAGGTTGGAAGTTAAATTTGGAAAAAACTTCCCTGGAATAGTGTCACCAATGGTGAATATTGCCTTAATATATACTAATCAAAAAAAGTATGATGAAGCTTTGGTAACCTTTCAGAGAGCTCAAAAATTAGCTGAAAGTAAGTATGTAACTGTATCTATTCTACAACAACCTATATAGATATTCTTGGAGACGATAGATTATGTTTGTCAGATATTTATCATAACATTGGAGTAATTTATGATCACCAATCAAGATTAGAGGATGCCATTGATTATTATGATAAATCTATTCGAATTAGGGAAAAAATATTGGGTGACACTCATCCAATTACAGCCCTTACCTATGAAAATATGGCTCAAGTTCTTAAGGATGTAAAAAAATTTAAAAAGGCGATAGAATTTCAAAACAAAGTTATTGCCATACGGAAAAAGCATTTGGGAGTGAACACCTATGATTATGCTTTAGCCCTCCATAACATGGGACTCATATTGTTTAAGGATAGAAACCTTCCTCAATCGCTCACCTACTTTCAAAAAGCTTTCAAATTAAGAGAACAAATTCTTGGCGAAAATCATGAAGCAACTCGATTGTCTAAGCAATTATTCGAAGAAATAGACAAACGTTTGACAGAAAAGAAGAAGAGAGTGTCATCCCTATCTCATTCTATTAATAATACATCAAGATAAATTTATTTGGCTTCCACTTTTTCTGTTTGATTATCTGCTTGCTTCTTTCTTTTAGTGAGATTTGCAAGAATAATACCAATAAATATTACCAAGCCAATCCATTTGTTTTGAACAAAAGTTTTCATACATTGTTCAGAATTATTATAGTCAATGGTATGAATTTTGTAAACAGCTGCCAAAAGAGAAGAATAAACAGCTGTGTAATATGGCCATTGCTCGATAAAATCATATCCAGCATTATAACCAGTAATAGTCATCAAGGCACCAAAAATTAAGGAAAATCCTGTCAAAATTTCTCTTGTTCTTTCTCCAAAAAGTAAGGCAGTTGATTTGACTCCAATTTGTTTGTCATCTTTCTTGTCCTGGTGGGCGTAAATGGTATCATAAACAATTGTCCAAGCAATACTTCCTAAATAAAGTGGAACAACTATTGACCAATCGCAAAAACCAGCAAGAGCAGAATAGCCCACAAAAGCACCCCAGTTAAAAGTCAATCCCAAATAACTTTGTGGCCAATAAGTTATTCTTTTCATTAAAGGATAAGTAAAAACTAAGAATAATGAACTGGCTCCTACTGCAATAGTATACATATTAAATTGGACAAGAACAGCCAATCCAGTCAACAATTGGGCGCCTAAAAATATTATACCATTTCTCACTGATATTTCTCCACTTGCAATAGGTCTGGTTTTAGTTCTTTCCACCTTTTTATCAAAATCTCTATCCCATAAATCATTAACTGTACATCCTGCTCCTCTCATTATAATCGAACCTATTGCAAATAAACTTGCATAATATGGTGATGGTATTAATGAATTAATATCTGCCAATCCTAAACTCCACAAACAAGGATACAATAGCAACCAAGTTCCAATTGGTTTATCTAGTCTCATTAAACGTAAGTATGGTCTAATAGAGGCAGGTGAAGAGTCAACCATTTTTTGAGGCCATGAAATTGTTTGCACTTGTTGATGACTACATGAGTGTGAAGTAGTTTCTTGCTTGTTGATTACTAAATTATTATGATAATAGCGAATGGTATTATTGGCAGAAAATGTATATAGTCTTGATTCCGTGCTATTATTTTGTGTAAATGATTGGTTATTAATTGTTCCAATTGCTAATGTTTTATGGAGAGTTGCGATTTGTGAGAGTGGTTTCACAATTTTTGACCGTGTCTTTAAAATGTTCATTTTTTTCAATAAATTTTACTTTTTATTTGGTTTGCCTTCCAGTAATGAAACTCTCTTTCTCTTCTTTTCGTTTTGTGTTGTGTTTTGTGATACTATTTCTTTGGTTTTCTTTGGTTTGTTATTTTTTTTAGAGCCTGTCACGAAAGCCTTTCTCTTTTCCTTCTTGTCCAATGTTTTACCATCTTCCTTTTTAGAGTGACCAATCCTGGTTGACTTGATATTTTCCAAAGCTGTTTTGATCATCTTTTCCTCAGAAACAAGCTTAATTTCTGACATGTAATCAGGTACAGGACATCCTGAATTTTTCAATACATCAGCAATGTTCTTTAAAAGAGGAATATCTGCATACGTAAAGAATGTAAGAGCTTCACCTTTTTGTCCAGCTCTACCAGTTCTACCAATTCTGTGAATGTAATTTGGTACTGAGGTTGGAAAGTCATAATTAATAACACAACTAATATTCTTAAAATCCAAACCACGAGCCATGACATCTGTACAAATTAAAGCCCAAGTTTTACCAGTTCTGAAATTCTGAATTACTTCATGATTTTTCTTATCACTTCTCTTTCCGTGAATGTAATCTACGCAATAGTCAAGAGGATCTGATGCACCAGTTTCATTTGAACTTGAAGACATTCCTGTAGTGCTTGTCAATGTAAATAATAATTCCTTATATAATTGTTTTGCTCTATCTATTGATTGAACGAAAATAAGTACTGGAGGTTTCAATCCTTCAATTCTTATTCTTTCCTTAAGAGCAAGTAATTTTCCTTCCTCAGATCCAACAAATATTAATTTTTGTTCAATAGTGTCTGGACCTGCATTTCTTACACCAATACTAACTTGGACAGAGTCTATTTTCAATAAAGAGGTCTGAGTTTTGAGAGTATGTTCCAAACTTAAAGGAATAGTAGCACTGAAATATGTCTTTACCAAATTAGGATTAGTGCAAAAACCTAAAATTTCATCCACCTGTTCTATAAATCCTAAATCAAACAAACGATCAGCCTCATCAAAAACAAGCATTTCCACGTTAGTCAAATCAATTATTCCACTCTTAATCATACTTAAAAGACGCATTGGAGTTGAAATTAAAATATCGTTTCTCTTTGATTGGAATTTGTGGTTATCCCTCACTGCATGAGACTCACCTCCCTCACTATCGGCTGCGGATTGATCATTTAGACGAATCTTCCAATCCTTTCCACTTCCTAGTACCTCTAAATTTCTAAATATTTGGTCAGCTAAAACCTTTGTTGGAGTAATAATTAATCCTCTAAAACCCTCCTTCTTTGGTTTTCCTAATAGGCATAACATTGGTAAACAAAATGCAACAGTTTTACCTGAACCAGTTGGAGCAGCTACCAGACAATCTTTTTTAGAAAGTAAGACGGGAACAGCTTGCATTTGAACTGGTGTTGGAAGTTTGTATTTGAGCTTTGTTCTAATATTTCTATATAAATAATCACGAACCAAATCTGGATATCTATTTTTTAACTCCAAAAAAGAAACGAATGGTTTATAAGGGGAAACATAAACATCTTGAGAATTAGTTTTCATATTTGGAGCAAGAAGCAGGTCTGGATCCATTTGGCTTACAATACCTTTTATCTTGATCTTGTTTTGCTTTCTAAATTTCTTAATTTCCTCAGCTGTTGTCAATGGAGGTGGTAAGTCAGAAAGATCTTCCTCCTCATCTTCTTCCTCAATTTGAGATGTTTGTTGCTTTGATTCCTCGTTTGCTTGTTTCACTTTTTTAATACGATCCAAAACTGATGATGACTTTGAAGAGCCGAAAAAATCCAATGATGAAGCAGGAAGTAATTGTTCAAAAAGTTTCTCATCAGCCATATTATGTACGGTCAATGATGCTTTTGTTTTAGATGAATGACTGTCAACATTTATATTTGAAATGTTACGTTGTTTAAAACTATTCACTTGGGATGCATCATAAGCTAATGTTTTTGTGAGTGATGTGAATAAATCGGATGAATCCTCCACATTATCATTTTCAATGTCGAGAAGCTTCCTATCATCATGAGAAGGTAGTTTGGGCATCTTTTTTAAAAAATAATTCAAAAAAAATTTAGAGGGAATCAATGTCCTTCTTTCAAAAGTTGGAACATTTGAGAAAACAAAATGGTGATAAGAATTTTTCAACACCATCCGAAATAACTAGTGGATGCATTAATAATGACGATAGTGATGATAAAATCTATGATGGAAATATTTTGGAAATTAAATTTGACAAGGATTCGGAATCAAATAAATCAACTTGGAAAGCAACCCTTCACTTTCTTACTGGTGATTTATTTCCTATGAAAAATTTCGTACTGAGTAAGAAGAAAGAGACAAAATCAAGCACACAACGTGGAGAGGTTTCATTCCTAGAACAGATCATTTCATTCATTGTTGAAATAATATCATCCTCAGAGGGACTTGGCCCGGGAAGAGTGTGTATGCTGATTGGTTGTATATTTGGATTGGGTGGATATCTATATTATAGGTGGATCTATCTAAGAAGAAGAGAAATAAGAAAGGACTTTGTTGATTTTGCTCTTGAACAAAAATTCAAATTCATCAAGTGATCTATTTCCGTAAACTCCTCAGGATTGTTCAATTTAGCAAAGCAGATTGAGGTGAAAATGATGATTTTCCTGTCTTATTATTGAACACGTGTTGAGGCACTATGACAACGGTTACTGTTTAAATTAAACAGATAAACAAGCAAAAAAATAACAACAAACTCAGGAGTACAACATGAAAGTAAAGGCACTGTAAGTGTGTTGATAATAATTATTATTCATCAATATATTTACGAATTAAAATAATTATTAATAATATTAAATAATAACTGCAACAATACATCAAAAAACATGTAGCATTCTTGTTGGTGGATACGGAACAAGACTCAGACCACTCACCTTCTCTACTGCTAAGCCTTTGATTCACTTTGCCAATAAACCAATTGTTGTCCATCAAATTGAAGCTTTAAAGAAGGCTGGATGTACAGAAATTGTTCTTGCTGTAAATTATAAGCCACAAGAAATGATTGATGCTATGAAGAAGTACGAAGAAAAGTATCAAGTTAAGATTACCTATTCTGTAGAAAATGAACCATTAGGTACAGCTGGACCTTTGGCCCTTGCCAGGGATATTCTCGGTGCAGATGAAACTGAATACTTCTTTGTTTTAAATTCTGATGTTATTTGTGAATATTCATTGGATGAACTTTTGGAATATCATAAAAATCATGGAAAGGAAGGAACCATTATGGTAACTAAAGTTGATGATCCAAGTAAATATGGTGTAGTTGTTACACAAGATGGAAAACAAGGTGAAATTGAAAAATTTGTTGAGAAACCAAAGACTTTCGTTGGCGACAGAATCAACGCTGGTATTTATGTTTTTAGCACAAAAGTTTTGGAAAGAATTGAATTGAGACCAACCAGTATTGAAAGAGAAATCTTCCCATTGATGGCCAGGGATAAGGAATTATATGCAATGGATTTAAAGGGTTTCTGGATGGATATTGGTCAACCAAAGGATTACATTACTGGTATGTGCATGTATCTGTCAAGTGACAAACATTTGAGAGAAAATTCTCAACATTTTGCTAAGAATCCTGAGGATGGATCCTACAAGATCATCAATGAATCAACAGTTCTATTGGGAGAAAATGTCAAGATTGGTAGAGGAGCTGTAATTGGACCTAATGTTGTTCTTGGTGATAATGTTACTATTGGAGAAGGTGCTAGAGTTACTAGATCAACAATCTTTGAATCAGCTCATGTAAAGGAACATGCTCTTGTAAAATCTTCAATCATTGGTTGGAAATCTTCGGTCGGTAAATGGTCCAGAATTGCTAATGATACAGTTTTGGGCGAGGATACTCACGTTTCTGATGAAGTCTTTGTGAACAACGTTAAGGTTTTGCCTCACAAGACTGTTGGTGAAGATATTTTGGAACCAGGTCAAATTGTTATGTAATTATAATTATATTTGTAAATTAATAAATAAATTATTAATAAATATTAAATTATTGGCTTGATGCCATTATTGAACAAGCAGCTAGGGGAAAAAATAATTTTAATATTTAGAAAAAAAAATGAATGACATACAACAACGGATAGAACGTCAACAACAATTCGAACAAAAACAAAACGAACAAGAACAAAAACAACACGGAAAAAAGAGATCAAGAAATGATCAAGATAAGAAAAAGGATGATAACCTTCCCGAAGGATATAGCTATAATTATGGCAATGTTGATAGATCCCGTAGTTCCAAGGTGAAAGATAAACGAAGTTCTCAACTTCAGATCACTGCAGAGCAAATTATTAGGGAGGCCTTTGAAAGATCCGAAAAGGAAATCAAAGCACCAAAGCAAGATATCAAAGATATGGAGGAATTGGAGGAGTTTAGATTAAGAATGAGAAAACAATATGAAGACACTATTAGGAAAAATAGACATAGAATGACAAATTATATTAAATATGCACAATGGGAAGAAAATCAAAAACAAATTGAAAGAGCAAGATCTATTTTTGAACGAGCACTCGATGTAAATTATAGAGAACCAATTATTTGGCTCAAGTATGCTGAAATGGAAATGAGAAACAAATTCATCAATCATGCTAGAAATATTTGGGATCGAGCTGTCAGCTTGTTACCACGAACTGACCAATTCTGGTACAAGTATATTCACATGGAGGAAATGATGAAAAATATAAATGCTGCTAGACAGCTTTTCGAGAGATGGATGGAATGGCAACCAGATGAAAAAGGCTGGAAATCTTACATTAGTTTTGAATTGAGATATGGAGAAGTCGAAAAAGCTAGAAAAGTTAATGAAAAATTTATTCGTGTTCATCCAGACATCAAAACATGGCTCTATTATGCTAAATTTGAACAAAAATATGGAGGAAGAGAAGGGAAAACTCAAGCTAGACTGGTATTTGAGAGAGCTACTACCCTATTTGACTTGGAAGTATTACTTAAAGCCCAAAATTTTACAAGACAAAACCTTGATGAAGTAATTGGATTGTACATTGCATTTGCTGACTTTGAAGTTGTTAATGGGGAAGTTGAAAGAGCCAACTCAATTTACAAGTACCTATTAGATCGTGTTACAAAAGATTATGCTGATGTATTGTATCAAAAGTTTGTATCTTTCCAAAAGCAATTCGGTGATACCCACAGTATAGAAAATGTTATTTACAATAAGAAAAGATTTGATTTTGAAAATGATATCAAAGAAAATCCAAATAATTATGACGTATGGATTCAATATTTAACAATGGCTAAAGAGCAAAATGGAAATGATAACTTGGAAGAAACAAGAGATTTATTCGAAAGAGCAATATCCAATGTACCACCACTAAAAGAAAAAAGATACTGGAAGCGGTATATTTATATTTGGATAAATTATGCTATTTTCGAAGAAATAACAACTAAAAACATTACTAGGGCAAGACAAGTGTACCAGGGATGCTTAGAGCTATTAGCAAATGAAGAGTACTCTTCTCCTAATATTTATTTTTCTAAAATTTGGATAATGTTTGCACACTTTGAAATAAGACAGCACAATATGGATGAGGCTAGAAAAATTTTAGATACAGCAATCTCTATTATTCCAAAAGATAGAATTTTTAAGGAATATATCAAGGTTGAGCTTTCTCTTGGTAACATTGATAGTGTAAGACATTTATTCCAAAAACAATTAGAAGTATCTCCATCCAACTGTGAGGCATGGAAGAATTATGCTGAACTAGAACAAAAAGTCAAGGAAATCCAAAGAACAAGAGCTATTTATGAGCTAGCTGTGTCACAACCTAATCTAGATATGCCAGAATTGATTTGGAAGTGTTATATTGATTTTGAAATTGAACAAAAGGAATACGAGAAGGTTAGATTACTTTACAAAAGATTACTCGAAAAAACAAAACATGTTAAGGTATGGCTTAGCTATGCACTTTTCGAAAAAGCATTAGGATCCAATAATTTTGCAAAAACACGCCAAGTTTATGAAGATGCATACACTTACCTCAAAAAGGGCTCCATAGAAGAAGGAGGGCAACAAAATGTCGATGACCAAATACAAATTGCAAGGCGAGAGCAAAGATACCAACTTTTAATTTCTTGGTTATCATTTGAGCAATCAATACCAAATAACCAAGATATGATAGAGAAACTGAACCAAAAGAAACCAACTAAAATTAGGAAAAAGAGAAAAATTTTCAACCAAGAAGGTGAAGTATCAGGCTACACAGAATATGCTGACTTTATCTTCAAAGATGATGAAGATGAATCAACAGGAAAGAAATCCAATTTGAAAATTTTGGAGAAGGCCATGTTGTGGAAGAAAGAGAAAGAAAAACAAAAATAAATTATTTGCCAATTTCTGTTTTTTAATGTTTTTTCTTTTTTGTATTGACAAATTCGTATGTACACAACTGGTCGGAAATTCCAGTCGAAAGTCAACCTTATCAAAAGGGAAGGGTTACAACCTCCCATTAAAATCTACTGGGTTACTTTTTCTTTTTTCTTTGTTTGTTGTCTGTGGCCTTGTTCTTACGTTTTTTGTTGTCACCATCTTCAGAAGAGTTGTCATCTTTGGTTTCACTTGTTGAATTGATACTTGTTTCAGAAGTTTCGTTTGTTGGCTGGTTTTCGAGGGCAACTTTTCTTTGTTTTTCTTTCAGTTTTTTAAAGTAAAGTTGTATCCTTGCAATCTCTTGTTTCACAGGGTGTTCCTCCGGATTTATTCCTTGTGTTTTTAGGTACACTAATATATTAGTAAGTAACCAACAACAAATTGATGATGTAAAAAGAAAACAAATAAAATTTCATCCAACAAATAATATTATCAATCAGTTGTTCACCATAGATGAAGAAAAATCATAAAGTTTGTGAATAGGAATTAACATTTGATAAACATACGATAAAATAGAGTGTTCACTGTGTATGCACAACAAAGATTAACTTTTGCTCTTGATTCTGGATCTAATTTAGATGTTTTGGAGGTGAGTGGTTGTTCAAGTAATGGTTTTACCATGTCTTCTACAACCTTCAAAGAGTTATGAAATCGTAGCACTGAGGTTTCTACTTCCGAAGGCATTCCTTGCATTTTTTTTGTGATTTTCTTTAATTACCAACACACTAGTGCACAAATAATTTCAATTATTTCGAAATTTTGTGTAAATAATAATTTAATAATGTGCAGGTTGGTCATATTTTACAATTTATTAGATTAATTATTAGAAAAAATAACTGCTGTGAGTATCTTTTTGCTCTGCATACTTTCTAAATGGTGATCTTATAATAGAGTTGTCTTCTTTCTTGTATTCTTTGAACTGGGTTTTGTATGTTTGACTTCCAGAACTTCTACGACTTCTTTCAATTGGTGTAGATGGAGCACTATTGTTTGTGGTCTTTAACATATCCTCATCAAAAGTTTGCATTCCAGAAGATGTAACCAACAAAGGATGGTACGCTGAGGTTGTTGAACTGGTTGGTGATGTAGAATTTGAGTGCACAGATGATGCAGTATCATTTGGGCTCAAAATAGAAAAAAAATTTGAATTACTAGCTGAAGGTTGACTCAAAGAATAGCTTGGTAAAGCAAAACTTGTGGAAGAGAAAAGAGATTCTGGAGTTTTTAGCAAGAATGAATCTTTGAACTCATTGGCAATTCTTTCCGAAGGATCAGTAATACGTTGAGTTTTCAAAACTTCTGGATCAACTGATGAGAGTGGGTAAAGAACTGATTCTAAGGAATAATCAACTTTAGGGGCATTGAGGTGGTGTTGAACTTGTTTAAGAAGAAGGTTATCATCAGCCTTGTCGCTTTTTGCAACACTGACAGAGTGGCCATTGGTATGTTTGATAAAATGGTCCTCTCTCTCCTCAAGATTTTGTTCTCTCATATTCAACATTCTTTCTCTCGTTAAAATCTCCAAAACTTTGTCGTTAAGTTGTATTTCTTTTCTCTGGAAATACTCGTTCATCTTTCTCAATTCTTGATCCACTCTTGAAGAGAGACTATTGATGAACAGAGTCATCTTTTCAATATGTTGTTCATCCTTTTGCTGATCAACTTGTTGTAGTCTTCTTGATAAATACTCAATTTGATTATCAATTCTTTTTACCGATGACTGTAATTGGCCAACCCTATTGTCTGTGTTTTGCTTGAGATATTCCACATTATTTTTAACATCTGTAATATCCTTCACGCTCTCTGAAAGTTCAATTGTTTTTGTCCAACTTGAGTCATAGAGCTTGGAAATTAGGTCGAGTTTTTCATCATAATTTGATTGGGTATGTTGAATATTTGAAAGTTGGGAGATAAAGTTTTGAATTACTTCATTTTCAAAGTGAGTTGTTGGTTCCTCTCCTTCAGATATAAAATTGTTGTTTGGAGGAACTATATTCATTGCACTAAGTTCCATTTCCCTTGTTTTCATGTGAATAAATTCTTTCAAATGCTCCCACTTTTCTTCAAGGGATTCAACTTTGACATTGACAATTTGATTGAGGTTCTTATTCATAAAATTAAACTGCTCAATTTTAGAGTCTACTGTTTTTTCCAATTGCTCCTTTAGATCATTTTCCAAAATAGAGACCCTTCTATCAAGGGTTTCGATTTCTTCCTGATTACCATTAACAAAGGTTTGAGTATTGAATCTATTCTCAATTTTGCTTTCAAAATTATCAAACTGTTTCCTATACTCACGAAACAAATTTTCAACATTTGGTATATTATTGATTTGTTGATGAATTTGTTGATTAACTTGTTGATTGACTTGTTGTATTATTTCCTTCTTCAAATTATTCTGAATGAACATAAATTGATTAGAGTCTAAAGACTTTGTTGGAGAGGAAGCATTTGAACTGACATCTAAAGAATCGTCAAGTTTAGAGACTATTGAGGATGTGTCTGAGTTTCTTGCTTGCAAAGATGATGTAAATCTTAGCATATCAATTTCTGACTTAATTTGATCAACTTTGTCGCTGATTTCTTTAGTTTCCTTTGCATGTTCCTTATTACTTTCTTCAACGGACTGAATTTTGGTGTGAAGAGCATCAAACATGTTAAAACGGTCCTTCTTCTCTTCATAAAGTGATTGTTTTACGTTTGACATGTTTTCGTAAGTATAACTTTCAATATTATTGATTCTTTCAACAACCTCATCTATTTGAGTATCAGCTGAAGGTTGGGGTAACTTGAAGGTTTCTTGGTCGTTATTGGACTTTTCAAAAATAGTACCCAATACCTCATGAGCATATTTCCTTTTAGAAATGATACTCATTTCATCCCTAAGACTCGCCAATTCAGTTTTCAAATCCTCTATCACTCTTGATACATATTCAAGTTTTGATTCGGATTGAGGATTGGTGTTAGTTTCTTGTGCAATTACTTGTGATTGATGAATAATCATTTGTTCTGGAGAATTTTCATAATTGGAAATAAGCTGCGGTTCTGTCTCCTTTTCCTCTGGTAGTTGTAAATTTGATTCTAAAGGTTCAGATAAAGGTTCAGTGTTAAAGGTTGAGTTGGCTATAATCTTATTCAAATCACTATTGTTGGTACTTTGGTGAAATGCTTTGTTTTTTACATCCTTTTCAATTTGAAGCCTAGCCATTTTCATAATTTCAATCTCTTTTTTCATTTCATAAATTAATTTAGCATCTGAATTCTCATGTTGGGTTATTGTTTTTTCCATAACCGGATGGTTTTGTTTCTCATAATTAGAAAGATTTTCTACAACGCTCTCCATCTTTTTGGTATATGCATTCTTCACTTCATTCATTTCAGATTCAATACTGGTAAGTCTATTAATGAAATACTCTGTTATGATATCACTCTTTTGTGGAGAAGTCGTTTGACTTAGAGTTTCTGAAACTGTTTTGTTTTTTTGTTCTTGAGTTTGTCTTTTTCTTGGGGACAGCTGCCTTTCATCAATCTCTTCCAGTCTCACCATTACATCCGTAAGATCTTGATCAAAAGTTGAATTTTCTATCCCTCTTTCTTCTACTGACTTGGGATTAACTAATTTCTGTTTTCCACTTTTAATTTTTCCCTCAATATCTTTCAACTTGTTTAAAAGATCTTCAATTCTATTTCTATGCATATCCTCCATGATGAATAATTTTTTCTCGATATTGTCAATAGGAGAATCTTCAACTTGAAGAGAAACTCTATAATTTAAATATTTCTTGATCAACCCATGCTCCTTCTTTCTCAAAGTTATTAATTGTTTTAAAATATATTTCTTATTGCTTGATAATTTTGAAGCGCTCATTTCATTAGGAGCAAGGAAATCATTTAAAAATCTTTCCATAACTTCCAGATTTTCAAAATAGGTAACACAAGCCCTCAACCCTTTTTTTGGAAAGAGTTTTTGAAATGTGTGGAATAGACAATAACTTTCATTTCCATCATAAAATACCACCAAATAATCATTAAAACTATTTGACTCTTCCTCAATCACTTGTGCCTTTAGAATGCAGCAAATTGGCTTCTTTTCTGATGATTTAAACATTTGAATAATACCGTAATTGTTGATAGACTCTACATTCTCAACTTGAAGGTGAGCAGAGTAACGATCACATCTATTTAGAATAGAATTAATATCCATAACAAATGAGTCGTCATCTGTTTGAAGGTAATCCTTTAAATTGTATAACTTCTTTGCCATTTCTGCCATTCCTTCAATGCTTCCTTGTGTGATTATTGGTATCTTTTGATATAGAAGATTAACAGAGACTTCACAACATGTAACCTGTGTGAATTGTTCCTTTTCTCCTTTTGACCTCAGGAATGATGAGTCGATATCTGCAACTGTAGCTCTAATTTCCTGATTTGGAGGAATTAGAGGACCTTTATATTTGTACTCTTCCAAACTTGAGGCTGCATTCTCACCTGGTTTTGTTAAATTTGTTGGAGATCTTCCATACACTTGAATTTTATCACCAAGCCTCTCAATTCTAACGCCCCTCTTAACAGAATTTGATGGTGGCGGTGTGTGAGCAGGTGGTAGGCGTGGTGGTGATGACACCTTACTATCATTATTGAGAGGTATTACTGTGTGCAAGATTGGAGTAAGGGGAACAGTGGGAATGCTGGTGTTTGGTACTGGAAAGGTCAATTTGGTTGGTGTTTGTTCTTGGAAGCTGTTTCTTCTTCTGTTAGAAATCTCATGGATTGGTTGAAAGATTTTTGAAATTGTATCATCACTTGATGAAGGTGCATTGCTAATAGTATTAAGGGAGGAGAGTGGATTGTTAGATGAAGAATTTGCGTGTTTGATAAAATCTTTGATAAATAGATGGTAGGCCTCTTCTTTAAGATCATCCTCTATCAACGTTTGCACTTCATCGTATAAAGCAATACTGCCCGAATCCATATTATCCACTAAAATTGAGTGCAACTCTTCCGGAACTTCAATAGAACCAGCAACAAAGTAGGTGTTCCATATCTTTTTTGCTGTATTCACTCTTAATTCCACTTCATTGTCTTTGATGTTCCTGTAGTTTTGAATATCTGTCCACAAATCTATTAATTCTTCACAGGATAACACTTGCTTACAAAATGTTCTAAATGAATCTTTCATTATAGAATTCATAAGAATATCTTTAAGCCCCTATTAAAAATTGGTTCAAACAATAAATCAAACCATTCAAAATAAAACCTACTAACGCCTTCATCATTTTTTTTGGGAGTGATCCCACTACAATATTTTTCTGGCCACTTTCTTATTAAACGACTTGAGGGTGCTGTGCTCATTTTCCATGCCAAAATTGTACGGTCAAGATCGTCCAAAAAAATGCCAAAAGATTCAGAACATGTGATAAGTGATGATGAACGATCTCCCAATATTTTAAATATTGATGATGAGGAGGAGAATAAATCAAGCATTGAGCTGAATAGCATATCGGAAGAAGACAAAACATCTCTAGAAACTTTTAGAAAGTGGACATCCAGTCGTTCTGTCACAAATCCCGAATTATATTCAAGTTTGATAAGATACATTACTGGTCGTTCCCCACACCTATTCGAAAAACACTGTGAATTTGTGGAAAAAATTAAATATTTATTTCAAAATCATAAACCAAGCACTAGTGTGTTAGAAGAGCAAAATGAGGAATCAGAAGCAGAGGAACATGGCAGAAAATGGAACAAGGAAAGGTGGATCGTTAGTCTAAACAAGGAGCTCAAACTGTTCGATCCTAACAATCCTAAAAGACACCACCCACAGGCATTCCATATTAATTCAAAATACATGACAAAGGCTAATGTTAGAGATCGATATCGACGATTTTTTGCCAAATATCCTGCATTATTTTACATTTACAAGTATACATTCTTTTCTGGAACAATTACTATGGTATCTGAAATTTTAGAAAACAATATTGAATTGAAAAAGAAAGCTGAATATTTACCAACATCATTTAAAACATGGTAAATATTTCAATTCAAATTTAACATTAGGTTTTGATTTCTGTCAGTCATTCAGCATTTTTAAAATGAATAGGACAAACGAAGGATTATTTTTCATAATTGAATAGACTTCATTGACTCAATAAGAATTTGGAAGCATTAAATAAATTGATAGCGTAAATCGTATTATGAGATATTATTTTGATTGTTTTATAGTGATATATTTGTGGACAATTTACAATAATAATTTCGCTTCCTTGAACTTTTCCGTTGATATTAAGGCTGCCTTTGTTTCCTTATTTTTAGATTTTTATTTATTAATTAAAAAAATGGAAAGTCAAACTGTTCGTCTCGTTGTTGTTGGAGATGGTGCTGTGGTATGTACTGAGCATAATTTTAAAATCCTTAAATCTATTATCAGGGTAAAACATGTCTCTTGCACGTCTTTGCTGAAGGTGTATTCCCTGAAAAGTATATCCCAACGTATGTATTTACAATAACCACATGTTTAAAACGTTCTCCTTATTAGAATTTTCGATAACTATTCATCAGAAATTGAACTCAACAATCAAACCATCAAGTTTTTATTGATGGATACTGCTGGACAAGTAAGTACGAACGTAAATGTAATGCAAGAACCTTTTTGTAGGAAGGTAAATATTGAAGTTAACAAGTTTTCCTATTATAACAAATAATAATGAACCTTAATATTAATTCCTCACAGAGTAAGTGAATTCAAGTGTAAAATTATATTGATTAACAATATTAGCTACGATAATCTTCGGTAAGTGATCATATTTTGAAAAATAATTCCCTTATCAAAGCTTAATAGACCACTCTCCTACCCTGACGCTAATGTATTCTTGTTGTGTTTCTCCATCGACAGTCCAACTTCTTTGGAAAACGTAAAGAATAAATGGGTTCCAGAAGTTAAAAAGCACAGACCAAATTGTCCTTACATTCTCGTAGGAACCAAGGCGGATATTAGAAACGACAAGAACATGTTGGCCAAACTCAAGGATCAAGGTGTTGAACCAGTCTCTGTTGAAGCAGCAAACCAAATTTGCAAGTCAATCAAAGCTGTTAAATTTATGGAATGTAGTGCCATGTTGAATGAGGGTGTGAGAGAAGTTTTCGAAGAAGCTCTCTATAATGGTATGTATCCTCCAACAGAGAAGACACAAGAAAAGAAGCCAGGCAAATGCACTTTGCTTTAAACCTTCATTAATTGTAACACCATCAAATAAAAGTTAGAACAAAAAAAAATGGGAAAATTTAGTGCTCTCAAGTCGACGATCAGAAGAACAAAAACCGAAATTCACAAGGAAAAGAAGAAACAAAAAAGACAATATCAATTAAAAAGTAGTACCGGAAAAGTATGGGACAGGGAGTTGACTGCTAAATACAATTATGCTCGATTGGACCTCGTGGCTGACCCTAACAAACCGTCAGAAGAGAATCACCAAGTTGCCGAAACACTACCAAAAGAAAAAAAGCCAGAAATTTTAGATGAAATCATTAGTAAAAAGCCACAATTCAAATCGAGATTGTGCTTTATTGTTCACGAATCGGAAAGAAAAACTCTGCAAGCACTAATTGACAAACATGGGGAAAACTATACAGCAATGGCTTGGGATACTGATGTTAATATTCTACAATGGACACCTATACAATGTGAAAAGAGAGTTAAAAAGTACAAAATTTATATGGAACAACTTGAATATGAAGCCAAAACAAAGACTGGAGTTAAAGGCCCAGTCCAACCAAAGAAGAACTACAAACATCCTATCAATGAAGGAGACAGATATCAATATCATAAGGAAACTGATGTCTTCTTTTAAAAGAGGAAAGTGACAAACCTTAAATGTGTGACTCAAATGGCAAAAGAATGTTGACAGAATTGATAGCAAATAATGAATCAATAAAGTTTCTTTATTGACCTGTTTCTTTGATTCAAAAAATTTTCTAGCCAATTTTATTAAGTTTTATTATTTTTTAATTCGTTTTGATTGAAAAAAATTAATAAAATTTGAAACAAAAAAATGGTTAATTCTTCTACAACAACTTCATCCGATTCTTCATTGTGGGAAAATATTGTCAACGCATTGAAGGAAAACAAGGGACTTGCAACAGTACTAGGCTCAGCTGCTGCTTCTGTTGTTGGTTTCGTTCTCTATAAAGTTTTCTCTCAAAATAAGAGTACTAAAAAGTTAGCGGTTTCCATCAAGACTGCAACTGAAAAGCCTGTTGAAGTAGCTACACCAGTTCCAACTGAACCTGAATGGATCTTGTACAATGTTGAAGACGCTTCTGGAATTTCATCATGGAAGGTTTGCAATCAGAAAAAGATTGGAGTTTCCTTCAAGATGCCAGCACAATATGAAGTGGAAGTCCACTCTCAAGGACCAATTACCACAATTACTCTCATTGATGCCTCTAATATGAATATGATGATGGGAGGTGGTGGTGATGCTACCATGATCACTATTGAAGACGTACCAGCTGAGCTTGATATCAAGCAATATATGAAGAATAACGTTTCTGCTCTTGCTCAAACTCAAGTTCCTTTCAGAGTTTTAGAAGAAACTGATCGTATCAAGGTTAATGGAATTGAAGCCTGCCAAATGATTTCTGAATTAACAGGACAACAAAAAGTTAAAATCTTTGCCATTGCTTTCAAAAATCCAGAAGAACCTAACAAAGTTTTAATGTTCCAACATATTGGTACTGACATGAAGGCCTTTGAATCAAATATTGGTAGAACTAAAAATATTATTCGTACTGTCAAATTGCAAAAGGGAGAATTGTTTGGAAGAGTTTCTTACAGAAATGACAAACTTGGATATATTCTCAATTTGCCATCAACTGATTTCCTAGCTATCGGATCTGCCACTGATCGTGCTCTCTATTTGGGAAATAAGAATGTTGAAACTTATATGATTCACTATTCAAAGGAAGATAATATTGATAAGGAAATTGTCATCATCTCTAATGAAGCTCAAGACTTTGAACAGTTTGTTTCTGAACAAAAGTCTCTTCATTCAACCAAGACAGGATACATGACTCTTGGACAAATGAAAATTGGACACAGTAATGGTGAACTTATTGCCTATAGCGATAAAGCTCACTCTTATGTTGCTAGCGAGAAAGAAAAGTCTGAAGTCCAAGCTGACTATGATTTTATTGAAATTTATTTCCAACGTGGATCTAGTATTTACACAATTTTAGGAAGATCATTGCCACAAATTAGTGAAAAATTCAAAGTTGATTTCCTTACTATGGTAAAGAAGATGAAATTCTTTGAAGATGTTAATGCTTCATCTGGTTCATCATTGATTTATGAAAATACTGAATTCAACTTTAAGATTTCCCAACCAATTAAATTGCAAGCTACAGCAAAGGAAAATAATAGTGACAATCCAGTTGTTACGTTGTTGGCTCAAAACGATGAAAACAGTCTTCCATTGGAAACCATGGTTTCAATTGCTGAACCAAATCAAATGATGCCAGTTTCTGATTTAGACGGTTTGTCCCAATTAATGAAGGCTGAATTACAAATGATTCAAATGTACTCTGGTGGTTCACCAGTTAACATTGAAAGAGATGGAATGATTAAACTCAATGATGGTTCTGATGCTTTCTCAATGATTTACTCAATGGTTGATCCAATGAGTAATGAAAGTTTGGTAATGCATCAAACTGGTTTATTATTACCTTCAAAGAAGATTGCCAACGTGAAGAGTTACACTTACCAACAAATGTACAACGATCAAGTTAAGGCCAGTTTCGACTCTATCCACAAGAGTTTTGGTTGTTCCAAACAATAATGTGTAATAGTAAACAAGGGTGAAAGTAACGCATACAACTTTAATTTATAAAAATAAATATTAAAAAATGTCTAAACGAGGTAGAGGAAAAAATATTAGTGATGACGAATTAGAAAATCAATCAAAGAAAACAAAACCAACCAGTGGTGATGATTTTGTTTATGAAGAGGATCTTGATGATGGATATGATGATGATTTAAAGGGTGATGAGAATGATAGAAGATACTTGGAATCACTGGGTGATGTCGACCGTGAAGAAATCATCTCGGAAAGATACGAGAGAAGACTCGACCTAAGAAAGAAAAAGGAAGTACTTAGAAAACAAGGTAAATTGATAGAAAGAGGAAGAAAACCACAATCTGCAAGTAAACCTATTGAACAAAAACAAAATGATGAGGTTGACTTGTCATTGGACGAAGAAGACGATGAACCAGTAAGGAAAAATACAAAGAAGGCATCAACAGCTCGTCGTACCAGAAGATCAAAACCATCTTCTGATGATGATGAGGATTACGAAGATGATGATGATCAAGAACCTGTACAACCATCCAGAGGTCGTCAACAACAACAAACAAGCCAGTCACACCATGAAGAGAGTGACGAAGAAGACCAAAATATATTTGGTGATGGTAGTGATAATGAAGAGGAATCCTCAAAATGTAAAATTACTAAAAAAGATATAGAAAGAATTTTAATTAGAAGATCAGCATTGGAAAAGGAGTTTAAAGAACCATACTTTGCCAGCAGCGTGGAAAAAGCTTTTGTTAGAGTTCTTGTTGGATTCAATGAACGTGCAAAAAAGAAAACCTACAGATTGTGCCAAATTATTCAAGTTCAAGACATGACCAAGGACTATCTTTTTGGAACAAATAATTCTGAAAAAACTAAGAAGGGATTGCTTCTCAAATTTGGAGTACAAAAGAGAACTTGGCAAATGAGTGCTATTAGTGACAACAAGGAAATAGAAGAGAATGAGTATAAGGCATGGAAGGCTGAAATGGAAAAAGTAAATGAGAAATTCCCAACAAGAAAGTTTATTGATGAAAAGATTCAAAAATGGAAATCTTTAAAGGAGTTCAGATATACAGATGAACAAATTGAGAACATGGTTCAAGAAAGAAGAACTCAAAAAGGAGGACTTATAGTCAAGAATAAGCAATCTATTGCCAGAGAAATAAGTGCTGTTAAAACAAAGATCAAACTAGTTGATGATGAACTCTACTTGAGAACACATCAAAGCAAGCCTAATCAATTTTCTGAATTTGATGAAGATGATGGTAGAAGTGAAGTTCAATCAGAATCCTCACTAAAACAAGAAAGACAAAAATGGGAGGAAGAATTAAGAAAATTGGAGAGAGAATATTCTAAAATCGATTTCCTTTCACCAACAGCACAACGTTTGGGATATATCAACAACAAGAATAGAGCTATGGATCAAGCTGCACACGAGCAAAGAAAGAAAAATCAAAATTCTGCCGGCAATGCAAATCAAGCTATTGGTCAATTAGATCCATTCTCTAGAAGAAAAACAGCCTCATCTTTCTTTGTGTTGGCTGACACAGACGAACCAACCCCTGCCAAAGAAACCACATCACAACAATCAAAGCAAACTGAATCCCGTAAAACTTCTGAAACTCCAGAGAACAGTTTAGTTAGTGCTCATGACTTCCAACTTGATTTGAATGATACAACTCAACCAATTATGACAACACGTAAAATTCAACCAACCACAAACAAGAAGAAAAATTCGAATAATAAGAGAATCACTCTAGCTGAATATAAAAGGTTGAGAGGTCAATAAAATACTACAAGCTTTAATAAGTTTTTTAAGTAAGATCGGTAGGGTCGAAAATATCTTGGTTTTCATCTTCCTCATCGTCAATTTCGGCTGGGGCAGAAGGAGCGATTCCTACTGGTTTAGAGAAATCATCTGTTTGTTGTGTTGGTTTAGTTGAGGGAACATATTCAAGATCGTCATCATCGTTTGATTGTGGTGCTTTTTGTTTTGAATCAGTTGCACCAGTCAAGTCGTCTCCCTCTCCATTTGGAATCTCTGCATCTTGTCCATCCTCTTCTTCGTCATCATCGAATTCAGATTCTCCTCTTTCCAATCTTTCCCTACGCTCCTGTTGTCTTTGTTCGAAAGCTGCTTCTTGCTTTTTTTGAAGGGCTGTCAATTCCTCTTTTGAAGGCATTTGAGCAAAGGCTGTTTTTGGTTTGTTTGTACTGCTACTGCTACCAGATAAGAATGAGTTATTACCAGTTCTTCTGGATGCCTTAGGATCTTCCTCTTCATCATCACTACCAGTATCGAAAAGTGCTGCCTTACCTCTAGCCTTACCACCAGAGCTAGAGCTAGACCTAGTTCCGCCTTTTGCTGTGCCACTCACTGAAGGGCTGACTGGAGTGTTTGCCTTCTTTTTCTTTTCATTGAGTTCATCAAGAAGAGGGTTTAATGACAATGTCAAACCAATCTTTGAGACTGGACCTTCCAAAAACTTGATTACAGAGCTTGTTTTTGCTTGATCCAACATTCTTTCATCTCTATTTTCAAAAGAACTCACTAATTGAATTGCAACGTCACCTTCATCATTCTCACAAAATCCAGAAGATCCACTATCATTGGTGAATTTGTCCAAAGCATTTTGAGCAGCAACTGGGTCATCATTCTTCAAATAGAGAATAATAATCGCCAGCATGGCTTTTCTTTCATTGTTTGGTTGAGATAGAGATCTAAAAGCATTAATTTGTGTTTCTAAATTTTGAATAGCTTCAGTATATAATTTATGTCTTATTAGAAAGTTATTAAAATTACGAAGAATATCAGTTACATTGTGATATTTTCCATTCATGGTTGAAGCTTCAATTCCTTCCTTGTATAGTTCCACACATTGATTCAAACAATTTGGTTCCTTTTCCATTGATTTTGCTGCCTTGACAAGAACCTCAGCTGCACGATCATTCTTTCCATCATCAAGATAGAGACGGGCTGCATCTTTATAATTTTTAAAGGCACTGATGTAGTCTTTAATTGTATTTTGATAAATGTTGGCTGCCATTTCATAGGATTTTCCTGCAGAGTAGAACATTTTATTCTTTTCATGACAAACTCCTAAATTAATTTATATTCAATTATTATTAATATTTTAGTAGGAAGACCACATACCTGCTCTCAAGTAGCACTCAACAGCTTTATCATCCTTTCCTAAATTTTTATATAACAAGGATGCTTTTTCAAATTTTGAAGCAGCTGTATCCCAATCAGGTGACCAACGAAATAATGATCGTTCAGTTCTAATATTTAACTACGTTATACTATCCGAACATATTTAAAACCAAACCTACAGTTTCTTTCCCTCTTTTTCGAGACTGTCTGCTTCTTTCAGTTTCTCTGCTGACATTTTTTTTATTAGAAAGTTAAAAAAAGAAAGGAGATAAAATAGGGCGACAGTAATATTTTACCAGCTTCCAATCACGCATCTAATCTTCTTTAATATTGTAGGCCTTTACAAGTTGATCATTACAACATAGAGCCATCAAACCAACTTCATGAATATTCCATGCAATATCATTCACCCAATCTTCCATCTTTTGATTTTTAAAATTTGACACTCTCCCTCCAAAACTAACTTCAGTCTCGTATGAATCATTTGGGGTATCATTATTGAATTGCAATAGGTTATTTGATTCTCTCATGTCCCATATCCTTAATGTTCTATCAGTGGAGCTTGTAGCCACTAAATGTTGCGTATGTGGACTCCATTGTGTTGACGTTATTTGGGAGTAGTGAATGTTAGATAGAATAGATTTTGGTTTCTTCACATTTCTCAAATCATAGGTCATTAATGAATTATCAAAACATCCCAAAGCTAAAGAGTTTTCATCAAATATATTCAAATCCATTTTTAAGGCACATGTCTTGTTATGAATTCTAAACGATTTAACACAAGGATCTTCCTCTTGTCTCAAATCCCATAAGCACACAAAACCATCTCTATCAGTAGTGAGAAATTGCATGGGAGAATGAGTATTCCACTGAATATCATGAATAGGAGGGGCCTGCAAATCATCAATACTTTCCAAATTTGATTCTTGTTCCTTAATGACAAGTTCATGTTTTTTAGTGTGAAATGTTTGAAGAGATTCATTGGAATCTTGATTTTCATGATACAACTTGATAGATGAATCTATTCCTCCTGTTATTATCCACTCTAGAGAGATTTTATCCCAATCCAAATTTGAGATACTTTGAGTATCGAACCATTCTCTATACATACAATCTGTATTCTGTGTATCAAAAAATCTTAATACATTATCATGACAGGAACTGAGAAGAATACTTTCGTTTCTGTGTGACCAAAGGATATGTTGACATCCAACATTTAGCTGAATTTGATGTTCAATTTCAATTTCGTTCTTTGGTAAAAAAGAGAGTAAATAAATAATGCCAGAAATTGGTGTATGACCTGGTCTGTTTGAGGTTGCCACAGCAAGTTGATTTTCAATAAAGGGACTCCACTCTAGTGAATGAGGATTATTAACAAGACATATACCGACTCCCATTTTCCCAACCTTTCTGATAAAAAATGTTTGTTATAAAATAACAGTAATATTTGGTTCAACTTTTGTTTTTTAGAAATCGGAACGAGATTTTGAAGTTGTCTTGATAACCGAGGTATTTGTATTTTTAATTTTTTTTATAAATAAGGTTTTAATTGAAGTTCTAATTGTTTTGTGTAATGATCTAAATAATTTACAACATTGGCCAATTCAGAAACAGATTGATCAATAGCATCGACTTCTTGAAAATTATTTTGTAAATTTTCATAAAGTTTCATCATTTTTTGAAGATTTGAATGAACAATATCCACTCTACCATTCAAATTTTCATATTTCTTGGAGATGGCTCCATTCATTTGTTGTAATAAATCAAGTTCGTTAAATCCTGCTTGCATTTCTCCTTGCAATAATTGAATAAAATCCGAAAACATTTCCTCGGTTAATTCTTCCAAATTTTTAGTATGTGATTGATTTTCCGAAGTGATTTGTGCAGATTTAACTGCAGAATTACTTCTTTCTCTATAGGTGGATCTTTTCTTTTCCAGTTGATCATCTTCTTGACTGTCCTGTTGAATATTTTTTGTTCCCTCTGATTGTTCGTTCATTTTTAATTTTTTAGAAAACCGAATAATCATTGTTTTAAAAATTTAACTTAATAATTAAATACAATGTATTTAAATAATTCTAATAATTATGAATTAATATTCCAACTACCTACCGCACAAAAAACATGTATTCCGACGCGTATTGATTGACCTTTGTCCTGGCATCACTCCCGACTGTATGCGACCATACTTGTGCGCAATAAAAACTAAAAGGATACCTACCGACTGTACCTCAAACAAGCAAAAAAAAATGAGTTACATTTTATATGGATTTTTGGCTGCTATTGGTGCTTTCTTTACCTACTGGTTTGTCCTGAGATCGGATAACCAAGAAACCGAAGAAGAAGTTGAAGAAGAAAAGTAGGTTTTATTTTCTACTGTATAAGATAATTAAATTTAAAATAATTTTAAACTTTAGCAAGGAATATGTTGATGATGGAAGGCCAAAGATGCTCATTCTCTATGGTTCTCAAACAGGTACAGCTGAAGAATTCTCTAATACATTAGCACAAGATGCTAAAAAGTACGGCTTTAATGCTGTTGCTAAGGATATGGTTGACTTTGAGCCTGACCAAATTTCAAATGAAAAACTTGTCATCCTAATGGTTGCAACTTACGGTGAGGGTGAACCAACTGATAACGCTCGTGATTTTTATGAATACTACAAAGACACAAGTATTTCCTCTGATATGCTTTCAGGTGTCAAGTTTTCTGTTTTTGGATTGGGTAACAAGCAATACAAGATTTACCAAGCAATGGCGAGATTCTTTGATAAAAGATTTGAAGAGCTCGGTGGTGAAAGATTCTTTAGAAAGGGAGAAGGTGATGCTGATGCTGATATTGAAGAAGATTTTGAAGAATGGAAGTCACACATGTTATTGACAGCTTCTGACATTTTCTCTACAACCATTACAGAAGAAGAAGAGGAATATGAACCAAAGTTTACTCTCGACTTCTTAAAGAAGAATATTGCCATGACCCCATTCAAATCATCAAGTTCTGCTCCTGATGCTAAACACCCATTCTTGGCTACCATTAGTAAGAAGGAACAATTGTTGAAGAGTTCTGGATCGGATAATAGAAGTACTGTTCATGTAGATTTCAACATTACTGATAGTGGAATCAAATATGAAGCAGGCGATCACTTGGCTGTCTATCCAGCTAATAATGAAAATTTGGTAAATGCTTATTTGGCTAGAATCGGAATTACTAATGAACAAGCCGATGCACCATTCCAATTGAGAAATCACAAAGATAACAGATTGGCTAGTTATTTCCCAAAGGATGCAATGACTCTCAGAATTGCATTCACTTATTATATGGATCTTAATGAACTCGCAAAGAAGAAAGCTTTCAAAGTTATGGCTCACTATGCTCAAAATGAATCTGAACGTACTGAACTCAAACTTCTTGCTTCAAATAGCGAGGAGGGTAAAGCCAAGTACAATTCTTTTGTTAAGGAAGGATGTCGTAATGTTCTTGAGGTTTTGAATCATTTCACATCTGTCAAGTTACCAGTTGACGGCCTTTTAGAAATTGTTCCAAAGATGCAAGTTCGTTACTACTCTATTGCTTCCTCATCTCAATTACATCCAAATACTATTTCCGCCGTTGTTGCTGTTGTCAAGTATACTACTCCAATCGGAGCAAACAAGGAAGGTGTCTGTTCATCATATTTGGAAAGAATTGATGTAGACAAAAAGGCTTTTATTTATGTTCGTCAATCAAGTTTCCGTCTTCCACAAGATCCAAAGACTCCTGTTATCATGGTTGGACCTGGTACTGGTATTGCTCCATTCCTTGGATTCCTTGAACAAAGAACAGCTATGAAGAATAGAGGAGTTGAACTAGGACCATGTCATCTCTATTTTGGTTGTAGAAAGAGAGGTGAAGATTATATTTATAGTGAAGAAATGGAAAAGGCAGAAAGAGATGGTGTTATTTCTCTTTTAGATGTTGCCTTCTCTAGAGATCAAGGAAATAAGGTTTACGTTCAACATAGATTAGAATCTAGAAGTGAAGAATTATTCAACTTTTTGAATAATGGTGGCTATTTCTACATTTGTGGTGATGCTAAACATATGGCAAAGGATGTAGAAAATGTAATGTTGAACAGTATTCAAAAATATGGTAGAATGACTGAAAAGGATGCCCAAGATTATTTGGAAAAATTAGGTCACAGATATCAAAAGGATGTTTGGTCCAATTAAAGAAGTTTCAAAACTAATAAATAATAATTTAAATCAATTTAAAATCAACAGCCGTAAAATACATGCATTAATTTTTGAAATCAACTTTAATCTATTTCGAATTAATGAAGATC